ATGGAGGTCAGCAATGAAATTTTGGAGGGAAGAGGGCACCGGATTCGTGGAAGGAAGCGTGTCTCACATTAATACCAAAGTCGGAAGCTGAAAAGACACAACTTAAGAACTACCGCCCCATCTCCCTTTTAAATGTGGATTACAAAATATTTGCAGATATTTTGGCAAGTAGATTTAAAAAGTCTTAAATGAAGTAATTCATAAGGACCAGGCCGGTTTTCTCCCAGGCAGACATCTGTTTGCTAATACAAGGAACATTATTGACATTTTGGAACTTCTGCAAACAGATATAAATACAAAAGCAGTTTTAATTTTCATAGATGCGGAGAAGGCCTTTGACAATATCTCCTGGAAATTTATGATGGGAAATTTAAAAGAGATGGGAGTGGGACGGGGTTTTGAGAATGGGATTGAGGCGATATATTCAGAACAGAAAGCTAAACTGATAGTTAATAATGTGGTCACAGAAGAGTTCAAAATTGAAAAAGGGACACGACAAGGTTGCCCTATCTCCCCTTTGTTATTCATTTCGGTTCTGGAAGTGCTATTGAACATGATTAGAGGGGATCGGTTGGTGGAAGGAATTCAGGTCGGTCAGAAACAATATAAACTAAAAGCTTTTGCAGATGACCTGGTTTTGACCCTGCAGAAGCCAGAGCCCAGTACGAAAAGAGTATTACAATTGATTAATGATTTTGGTCGGGTGGCTGGATTTAAATTAAATAAACAGAAAACTAAGGTTTTGGGGAAAAATTTGACTGATACAGAGTCAGAACGGTTTCAGAATGAGACGGAACTCAATGTGGTTAAAAAAGTAAAATACCTAGGGGTAAACATAACAGCAAAAATCTAAGTCTATTTAAGGACAATTATGAAAAATGCTGGACAGAAATTAAAAGAGACTTAGATAGTTGGTCAAAATTGAAACTTTCTTTGTTAGGCCGAATTGCTGCTATTAAGATGAATGTATTGCCAAGGATGTTGTTTTTATTTCAGACACTTCAGGTTTTGGACAAAATGGAGTGCTTTCAGAAGTGGCAGAGAGACATTTCTAAGTTTGTCTGGCAGGGCAAAAGCCCAGAATTAAGTTTAATATATTAACTGATGCAAAACAAAGAGGGGGCTTTGCCCTGCCAGACTTAAAGTTGTATTATGAAGCCGCAGCGTTCTGCTGGCTAAAAGACTGGCTACTTCTTGAAGACACTGATGTGTTAGATCTGGAAGGGTTTAACAATGTTTTTGGATGGCATGCATATTTATGGTATGACAAAGTTAAAGCAAATAAGGCCTTCAAGAACCATATTGTCAGAAAATCACTGTTTAATGTCTGGACAAAATATAAAGACTTGCTGGAAAACAAAACACCAAGGTGGCTTTCACCTTTGGAAGCTAAGGCCCGAAAAAGACCCAATATGGAGGCTAAATGGCCAAAATATTGGGAAATATTAGAAAAGGATGGAGACAATTGGAAATTGCAGAGTTTGGAGAAAATGAAAGACAAAGTGCGAGATTGGTTACATTACGCTCAGATTAAAGAAGTTTTTAAAAATGATAAGAAATTAGGGTTCCAGGTGGAGAAATCGAAACTAGAAACAGAATTGTTAGAACCAAAGATTAAGGTACTTTCAAGGATGTATAACTTGCTGTTGGAATGGAATACACAAGATGAAACGGTTAAATCGGCTATGATAAGGTGGGCACAGGACATTGGGTATAATATTATGTTTGAGGACTGGGAAAGGTTGTGGAGTAATGGATTGAAGTTTACTGCATGTAACGCTCTGAAAGAAAATGTAATGAAAATGATTTATAGATGGTATATGACCCCAGTCAAACTTGCAAAAATTTACCACCTGTCTGATAATAAGTGTTGGAAATGTAAAGAGTCTGAGGGAACGTTCTTCCACCTCTGGTGGACTTGCCCTAAAGTGAAGGCGTTCTGGGAGATGATTTATAACGAATTGAAAAAGGTATTTAAATATACCTTCACTAAGAAACCAGAGGCTTTCCTTTTGGGTATTGTCGGCCAAGGGGTGGCAAGGAAGGATCAGACATTTTTATGTATGCAACAACAGCAGCAAGGATACTTCTTGCAAAACATTGGAAAACTCAAGATCTACCCACACTGGAAGAATGGCAGATGCAACTGATAGACTACATGGAACTGGCTGAAATGACCGGCAGAATCCGTGACCTGGGAGAAGAAAGGATTGAGGAGGATTGGAAGAAATTTAAGAACTATTTACAAAAATATTGCAATTTGAGTGAATGCTAAATAAGATGCTAGACTAAAATAACTGAGCACCACTAAATTTAGAAGTTTTCTATGAAAATAAGTAAGACTGTGAAAATTTAATTCCCTTTGAAAATTATAAGATTATGAAATATAGAAGCGATATAAGAATTTAAATAAGATGATAAATTGCTGACAAAACGTTATAACGATGAAAATGGGAGCGGGAGATGTGAGGAAGTCCAAAGAAAATGTGAAATTTTGTCAAGACAAAGGTTATATTGTTTAATATGTTTATTTTTACTGTAAAACCCAATAAATTGCTTTAAAAAATAAAAAATAAAAGATACCACACCTGTGGTACGGTCAAGATGGCTTTACTTACAAACTTCTCAAAGGTCAGATTCCTGTGCTTCTCTATACAGCAGCAATAAAACCCAGGCAGCAAAACTTAGCAGCAAAGAATTGCAGAGTTGGAAGGGTCATCTAGGTCAAACCCTGCAGTTACAGAAATGAGTTTAAATGTTCCTAAGTGGAACAACTGATTGGTTCAAAATTGGGAAAGGAGTACGACAAGGCTGTATATTGTCTCCCTGATTATTTAACTTACATGCAGAATTCATCATGCAAAAGGCTGGGCTAGATGAATCCCTAGCCGGAATTAAGATCGCCGGAAGAAATAGCAACAACCTCAGATATGAAGATGACACAACCTTGATGGCAGAAAGTGAGGAGGAATTAAAGAACCTTTTAACGAGGGTGAAAGAGGAGAGCGCAAAATATGGTCTGAAGCTCAACATCAAAAAAACGAAGATCATGGCCACTGGTCCCATCACCTCCTGGCAAATAGAAAGGGAAGAAATGGAGGCAGTGAGAGATTTTACTTTCTTGGGCTCCATGATCAGTGCAGATGGTGACAGCAGCCACGAAATTAAAAGACGCCTGCTTCTTGGGAGAAAAGCAATGACAAACCTAGACAGCATCTTAAAAAGCAGAGACATCACCTTGCCAACAAAGGTCCGTATAGTGAAAGCTATGGTTTTCCCAGTAGTGATGTATGGAAGTGAGAGCTGGACCATCAAGAAGGCTGATCGCCGAAGAACTGGTGCTTTTTTTTTTTTTTTAAATATTTTATTAAGGATTTTCTTGTTTTACAGAAGTGTAGTGCCTCGTATTTTTTCCCCCATGTAACATTTTTACAAATCCGTTTCATTTGTTGGGGCATTAGGGGGAGAAGAAAAAGAAAAAAAAGAAAAGGGGGGTGGAGAGAGGGAAGATGGATGGGGGTGGGGTCGGGTGGCGGTGTTTCTATTATGTTTAATGTATGTAGAGTTTGGTGTCAGCGTTGCTTGTGTTGTTCACTTGTGTTCCTTTGGTGGTGAGAGAGGTTGGGGTTGGCCTAGGGTGTGATTGTTTGCTTGTGATTGGCTGTGGTGATCTTTGTTTTCGTGTGTGAGTGAGGTGGGTGGGTGTTTTGGATCAGGTTAGCCATATTGATTTGTATGCTGTTGGTGGATTATTGTCATTGTCCTGTTGGGCTGTGTATGTGATAAAGGGGAGCCATGAAGGCGTCTTCTTCTGTTTGTCCCCGTGTCAGTTTCAGTTTATTAGTTAATTTTTCTAGTAGGGCTGTTTCCCATACTTTTGAATTCTGGTGCTGGAGGAGACTCTTGAGAGTCCCATGGACTGCAAGAAGATCAAACCTCTCCATTCTGAAGGAAATCAGGCCTGAGTGCTCACTGGAAGGACAGATCCTGAAGCTGAGGCTCCAAGACTTTGGCCACCTCATGAGAAGAGAAGACTCCCTGGAAAAGACCCTGATGTTGGGAAAGATGGAGGGCCCAAGGAGAAGGGAACGACAGAGGAAGAGATGGTGGGACAGTGTTCTCGAAGCTACCAGCATGAGTTTGACCAAACTGCGGGAGGCAGTGGAAGACAGAAGTGCCTGGCGTGCTCTGGTCCAGAGGGTCACGAAGAGTCGGACACGACTAAGCGACTAAACAACAACAACAAAGTTATTAGTCCTGAGTAGGTTTCCCCAACTTTGGGTCTCCAGCTGTTTTTGGACTACAACTCCCATCATCCCTAACTAGCAAGACCAGTGGTCAGGGTGATGGGAATTGCAGTCCAAAAACAGCCAGAGACCCAAATTCCAGAAACCAAGGTCTAGAGACACAAAAACGCCTTGTGAGCCCCGTTCACGGTCTGAGCCCGGAGCAAAGTTGACCATTGGGTCAGTATGCCTGGCTGTCAACCAGAAGGCTGCCGGTTCAAGCCCAGGCAGGGACAGCTGTTGGGCAGAATTCCTGCATTGCACGGGGTTGGAATAGATGACCCTCGGCTCCCTTCCAAGTCGATGATGATCTCAGAGGGTAGACTGCAAAAATAAAACAGAAAGCCCTGATTTTCCTTTTTTGGGGGGGGGGAGGGGGCGTGACCTAGTCGCGCCTGGCCCGGCAGCTTCCTCTGCGCTCTTAACCCCTTCGTGCCTGACTCCCAGTGGCAGAGCCTGGAGTCAAGCGCTGCCTGTCCCTCCGCGGCCCTTCCTGGCAATTGCGGGCGGCTCTTACATCATGCCCGTTTGCAGGCGGCGGCAACGTGGAGAGGAGGACGGAGGAGGAGGAGCGGGGCGGGCGGGGGGCCCGTCCCCCAGCAGCCTATGGGGCGGGCCAGGACGTGGGTCTCCTCCCCCTTCCTCTTTAAATCGGGCGCCCGGACGCCTGGGTCCATCCTGCGCTGCGAGGGGGCTGCGGGAAGGGGGGACGCGATGCCGGCGCCTTACACGCGGATCCTGGGGTGAGCACACGCCCGCCGTGGCCCCCTCGACTCCCTCTGTCTGCACCCCACTTCTGACTCTCCCTGACCCCCCACCCCCGTTTCAATGCAACACTGAACCCCCTTCCCCTTTCTTCCCCAGTCTCCAGCCTCCGCGATCTCGCCTCTCCAAGCCTCTGCCCCTCTCTCTCTCTTTCCACCCCCCATCCCATCCTTGGCCCCCCAACTTCTGCTTCAATCCTTTCGGCAGATCTCATGGAGTTCAAGGGAATGACCTTCGCTTCGAAGGGTGTTTGAGGTCCCAGCCTTCCGCCCACCCCATAGCGATTGCTTTGCACCCCACTCTTCTTTGGGGTGGTCCTGGAGGAGAGGGGTTCGCTTAAGTGGGGTGGGCGGGCGGGAAGACAAATACCCATGCAAAAAGCAAACAAACATGCCCCTTCTCCCTGGTGTGTTTTTATTCCATAATAATCTGCATGTGATTTTTAGAATAACGTGATGCCATTAAGAAAAAAATGCAACGCAAAGCTCCTCTTACTTCATGTGACTGGAGTAAGAACGGGACTGTCTCCCTGGGGGTGAAGAGAAGTCCAGCCTCAGTTTGCACGTTCTGTGAAATGGGTATAAGGCGTTCGGAGCCGTTTGCTTCCGCCACGCGAGGCCTCCTGTCCCTTCCCAACTGTGCTCATGTATCCCTTCCTGACACATAGCTGAATATTGCAAGGGGGTTGGATGAGATCACTCCACCACCACCCGTCCCTTCCAACACTTGAGATTTGATGATCCTGCCTCTATCTCCTTTAGAGATGCTCCCCCTCCCTTTATTCTGTCTGTCTCCCTTCCTTGTCTGTGCCCCTGTCTAAGATGCAAATGTGGACCCCCTTCTGAGGTTAAAACTCTAAAACTGTACCCCCCCCCCCCAATTGTGCGAAGGAGCTTCTAAATTTTGGGTGCCCTGCTTCCTTTTTGCAGGCAGAGTGTTTGCAGCCGGGGGACACAGATGAGTCCTTGTGCTCTGGCAACGCCACCCTTGTTTGTTAGGCTCTCCTCCGCCTCGGCCTCCTGCCTCTCGCTCTCCACGTCACCCACAAACACCCCCCCTTCCTCTACAACCTTTTACCCATAAGAGGAAACAGCAAACCTCCGGAGCCCAATCACCTCTGCTTTGTTTTAACAGCTCTTAATATTTCCTCTTCGATTGCCCTCCTCCAGATAAACCAAGGCTAGGACACTAATCCGGGTCCTAAAGAGTTGCAGGAAGATCTCTCTCCCTGCAAACAAACAAACACACACATACACACACACACGCTGCAATCTCCAGTTGCAGCCCTGGGTCTCATCCTCCCCATGCAAGCCTCGCAGCCAGCTTGAACCCATCCCGTTTTATAGCTGTCAATCTCCTGGCTCCTGATTACCTCACCTTGGCTACCTTCTTTAGCCTTTGGACACACAAACAGAACACACACAGAGGGCCAGTCTGTAAAATGGGAGCAGCAGTGACAGCTAGGGGGTGATCGTAAAGCAAATACGCACATTTTAAAACGTGGGTATGTTGCACGCACGGCTTCCAGCCCCATCTCTGCCACAGAGTCATTTTGTGGCCTTGGGTCAGTCACATTCTCTCTCTCTCTTGCTCCGTGCCTCAGTTCCTTTACCTGTAAAATGGGAGCAATATTCAGTCATAGTTGGTTTATTTAGAGTGTTTGTACCTTGCTCTTCAGGGTGGCTTACATACACTCAAAACAAGACAGTCCCTACCCACAGGCTTATCATTTAACCCCTTCCCCAAAGGGGGGAAAAACATGACACACAAGGTAAAAGGTACGGGAGGGAAGAGGAAACTGACATCACAGGATTCTTGTGATGTGCATCCACTTTTTTAAACGAAACAAAACAATGAATGGAGTGTTCTGCAGGAACAATCCATTGCGACGTTCTGTAGCCTGTCTGCAAGACAGTCCTTCTTCCCCGCCACACGCATCAAGCGTTCCCATTTTACAGATGGAAAACTGAGGCCGGTGGTTTGTTGTTGCTTTAAAAGTGTCCTGTCGGAGGTTGAGCAGTTAGGTAGGTGGAAAGGTGCAAAAGCTGAACCCTCTCCGAATGAATCGGAAGGACTCTGTTGGTCCCCGCAGCGTCGGAGTCAAAGCACCTGGGGAGGAAATCAGTGGGGGAGAGGAATTGCTGTAGCTCACAGGTAGGGCATGCACAAGGTCCCGGGTTCAATCCCCTGGTAGGGGCCAGAGTTCTCCTTGAAGGTTGTTGGTTGATCGAAGCAGGATCCAGTCTCCTTAATTTCTCCCCCGCCCCGTGCAAAGTTGCAGACAAAGTAGGACACTTTTTGTGATCTGATCTAGGCTTGCCTCCCCCCCCTTCTTTTTTAATTAAGACAACTCCCCGTGGCAGTGGGGAGATGCCACATGGGAGCTGTGGGGCAAGGCGGGGAGGGCCTGCGCCTCTATCTGGGAACAACATGTTCCCGCACGCAGGCAGGTCTCCGACCCGGCGCCCTGGGGGCATGGCCGGGACCTCCCCCCCCCCCGCTCCGCCGGGAGCCTTAGCTCGGGTGAAAGTCCACGCCACCGTGTGGGCCGTGTGGCCTGGCCCTTTGCCCTTTGCCCTGCCGCCTGGAGCCCAGCCAAGGTTCCTCGCTGTGGGTCCTCTGCCAATCCGGGGGGGGGGGGGAGAAGCAAACCCTTTCCCCAGATCTCCCATGCAAGGGTCAGTGAGGTACGTACATGCTCACAAACAGTCTAGGGTCCACAGATCCACAGCCGTCGATATTGTCCTAGGACAGGCGTCCTCAACCTCAGCCCTTCAGATGTTGTTTTTTTTTTGGACTACAACTCCCATGATCCCTAGCTAGCAGGACCAGTGGTCAGGGATGATGGGAATTGTAGTCTCGAAACATCTGGAGGTCCGAAGGTTGAGGAAGCCTGTCCTAGAATCTGAGAGGTGGAAGCACAGCTGTCAACGTTTCCCTTTTTTAAAAAGGGAAATTCCCTTATTCCGAATAGGATTCCTCGCAAGAAAAGGGAAAAGTGGACAGCTATGGGTGGAAGGGACCCTGGGGTCATCTAGTCCAACCCGCCGCGATGCAGGAATCTCGACAAAAGCAGCCGTGACAAATGGCCGCCCAACCTCTGCTTAAAAGCCTCTGAGGAAAGGAGAGTCACCCTGGTCTCACGCACGCAAGTTCACGAGCGTGCACATGGAGTTTTGTGGCGCATGGTGCATGCGTGTTAGGCATGGAGCTGGGCTTTGCCAATGGGATTTGCCTGCTTGCCTTGGTGACAAAGGCCTTTGGGCACCTCCTTGTTATTTCACCCTTGAGCAAACCTCCTGATAACTTGCAAACGCCATATTTTATTTTTAAAAAGAAAATATGCTTTGAGCGGGGAGCTTGCCAGCAAGGCGGCATGCGTGCCACCCTCTCCCGCCCGCAACCTGCTGCTTTGCGCATAGGGGACAGGCCGTAGCTCATTGGTAGAGCGTCCAGAAAGCCCCAGGTTCTTTCCTTCCAGGTAAGACTCCCTGCCCAAAACCAGCGTTCAAAATTCACCAGGCACATTTTGCATCCGGCTATTGGCCACTTGAGGGACGCGGGTGGCGCTGTGGGTAAAACCTCAGCGCCTAGGACTTGCCGATCGTCAGGTCGGCGGTTCGAATCCCCGCGGCGGGGTGAGCTCCCGTTGCTCGGTCCCGGCTCCTGCCAACCTAGCAGTTCGAAAGCACCCCCTGGTGCAAGTAGATAAATAGGTACCGCTTACTAGCGGGAAGGTAAACGGCGTTTCCGTGTGCTGCGCTGGTGCTGGCTCGCCAGATGCAGCTTGTCACGCTGGCCACGTGACCCGGAAGTGTCTCCGGACAGCGCTGGCCCCCGGCCTCTTAAGTGAGATGGGCGCACAACCCTAGAGTCGGACACGACTGGCCCGTACGGGCAGGGGTACCTTTACCTTTACCTTTACCTTTATTGGCCACTTATGGGCGAGTGAATATGCCCGGTTGCCAGGACACTGCCTGACTTCTCTTCGTGCCTGGGGATCCTTGGATATGCCTTGTTTACTCACACCAGCAACACATCCTGTCGAATTATAGCCGTGATGTTTTATCCGCACAATCAGAATGCATTTTGGGAACCCAAAAGTCATGCAGGGAAATACGACTTTAGAGCTGTCCAGCCCCAAAATGGCAAATAGATCTTCGGTTTTGGCGACTGTAATCCTGATTCAAGGATCCATTCGCTGCCTAGCTTATGTATCGTGAGTTTCTAGCCCTGCCTGGAATTCTGGAAAGCCACTTTTGTCCGGTGTAAATGATAAGGAACAAGGTGGATTGATGGTCTGACTCAGGGAAAGCTACCTTCAGATGTTCACCATCACAAGTACAGTGGTACCTCGGGTTCCAGACGCTTCAGGTTCCAGACTCCGCTAACCCAGAAATAGGACCTCGGGTTAAGAACTTTGCTTCAGGATGAGAACAGAAATCGTGCTCCGGCGGCGTGGCAGCAGCAGGAGGCCCCATTAGCTAAAGTGGTGCTTCAGGTTAAGAACAGTTTCAGGTTAAGAACGGACCTCCGGAACGAATTAAGTACTTAACCCGAGGTACCACTGTATTCATCTCAGTGTTTCTCACCTGCCCCAGGTGCTGTTGTGCATTGTGGGGAAATCTGCCAGCGTTTATGCGATACCTTCTCTCCATTCCCAAAAGGCAATTTAAGTTAGACTCCCATTATCGCTCATTTTGGCGATGGAGCTGTTTCGTTCCACGTCCTCATTTTTTTCGTGTGGCTCCAGCCTGTCTAACACGTTTGGCTTCAACCTTGAGGCGGAGGTAGCTTTTTGGGGGGGAGACGCTGACTTTTGGGGGGGACTTTGCATATAAACGTGGGCCGCTTAGAGATAAGCCCCCCCCCACTCGTTCATTCCCAATGTGTTGTTTATTGCATAGATTTGAAAACGACGAGGAAGGCGCCTGGGCCTCTTGTGCGGAAATGCGCCCGCGCTGTTGTGCAGCGGCATCTAAAGTTTCTGGGCAACGCAGGCGTCTGGCTTTGCGCATAAACTCTGGCACATATGCTCACGGGTCGCGCATACACCGGTTTTTGCCTGCCCAAGCTTGCGTACAATTTGCACATTTTGGAAGGTTGTGGGTGCCCCCGGGGGAATCTCTCTGCCTATTTCTGCACGATTTAAACGCTCTGATAAGGACTCGGGAGAGGCCTGGCAAACAAGAGGCCTGGGAAAATTGAGATGCCCATCTAGGTTTCCTCCAGCTCCCCTCCTTTTTATTTTCTTCTGCTCATGTGGCTCCATGCTTGATCTCTCTCTCTCTCTCTCTCTCTCTCTCTCTCTCTCTCTCTCAGCCTTGGAGCCTCGTCTCTCAGATGTTGGTCCGTAGCCCCAGTGCGCTGGGCGCATGCCCCACGAGTGCTCCACGGGGACTTGGGCAAACTTCCGAGCCGGGTGAAGGAGTTTGTGGACCACGGGGTGCGACTCTGTCAGCCGGACAGCGTCCACATCTGCGACGGCACTGAGAAGGAGAACGTCAAAATCTTGAACTACCTGGAGTCCGAAGGCGTCATCAAGCCATTGGGGAAATATGAGAACTGGTGAGAGCATTGGAGGGCGGGAGGCGGCCGCCCCCGGAAGCACATGGCCAGCGCATGTCCTGCAGAGCATCCTGGGAGGTGGCTCTGTGGAGCCACTGGCCGGGGGATGTGGGCACTGCCGCCACAATCCTGTCATTGGTCGGCTATGCCACACAGGTTTGGGGGCAACAGAACGAACCTCGCTTTCCCCCTCTGTCTTCCCACGTAGCTGGCTAGCCAAGACTGACCCCAAGGATGTCGCACGAGTAGAGAGCCGTACGGTCATTGTGACGGAAAACCAGAGGGACACAGTGCCCATCCCTGCGCCGGGGGTCAAAGGGCAGCTGGGCAACTGGATGAATCCACAAACATTCAAGGGAGCAGTGGATGAGCGTTTTCCTGGCTGCATGAAAGGTAAAGAGAGAATAGACAGTGGATAGGACAGGGAGACTTTCTGAGAAGAGTTGGGCTAAATTCTTATTATTATTATTCCCGTCTGTCAGGGTTGCCCCAGACACTCTGGGAGGCTCCCAACAGATATAAAAACACAACAAAACATCAAACATTAAAAACTGCCTTCAGATGTCTTCTAAAAGTTGTGTCATTCTTTATCTCCTTGACATCTGCTGGGAGGGCGGGTGCCACCACCGAGAAGGCCCTGTGCCTGGTTCCCTGTAAAACCTCGCTTCTCGCAATGAGGGAACTGCCAGAAGGCCCTCAGAGCTGGACCTCAGTGTCTGGGCGGAGCAATGGGGCTAAATTCCTCCTGGACCTAGTTTATTTATTCTCTAGCTGTCCATAGGCCTGTCCTTCTGCTCCTTTGCACCCTGTTAGCTCATTGCTTCAAATACGTATCCGACCCACCTCAAGGGATGTCTCCACCCACAAAAACTGTCCTTCTGTGATTCAATGACTCTTCCTTCAGCTGTGCCCCTGCCTCTGTTTGAGCTGCTGCCTGCACCTTCCCCTCCTGTGACTCCTTTGTTTTTTATATATATTTTATTTTATTAACATATAAAACACACGCATATACATATACATTTACACAATACACATACACAACACACTACCTAATTTTCATAACATAAAACATACCTGCACTACTCTATGTAATACCTACCTATACTATACATATCAACATACCTGCACACCTACCCCATATGGACACTGACCAAGTGACTTGACTTCCAGCCGTTCTTGTTCCGCTACTTTTATTTTTCCAACTGGCTTAAGCTCATTTCATTATTTCTTTAATCTCTTCTTTTATTTTAACTTTCCTTTCACTCTAATCATTTTCTGGATTCACTCCGTATCTGTCAGAAATTCTACTTTTCCCACCTAAATTTTGATGTATTCCTTAAAGATTGCCCTCTCCTTATTCACTTTTTGTACCATGTTTCCTCTTATCCTCCCTGTTAGCTCGGCAATATGGAAGTATTCCATCATTTTAGGAAACCAGCCTGTTTTAGTTGGGATGCTGCCGTTTTCCCAATTTTTGGCAATAGATAACCTTGCTGCCTGTGACTCCTTTGTGCTTCCTCTCCCGCAGGCCGCACCATGTACGTCATCCCCTACAGCATGGGGCCCATCGGCTCGCCCCTCTCCAAGATCGGCATCCAACTCACGGACTCGGCCTACGTGGTGGCCAGCATGCGGATCATGACCCGGATGGGCACAGCCGCTCTTCGCACCCTTGGCGACGGGGAGTTTGTCAAGTGCTTGCATTCGGTGGGGCGACCTTTACCCCTGGAAGGTGAGAGGGTCCTCTTTGGGGTTTTGGAAGTGGGGGGGCGACACCCCTCTTGGGACCCCCCCCCCCAATGGTTAGGGACGAGGCTCAGGTTTCGAAGCAGCCTCTTGCTTCCCCCCACTGAGCCTGGGTCAGTTTTGCAATGGCTGCTAGCGGAATTAAAATCATGGGATTGTAGAGTTGGGCAGGACCAGGTCATGTGGTCTAAGCCTTTGCCATGTGGGAATTAGGGGCAGGGTCCTTAGGCTGACAGCCCTGCAGAATACCGTATTTTTTGCTCTATAAGGCTCACTTTTACCCTCCTAAAAAGTAAGGGGAAATGTGTGTGCGTCTTATGGAGCGAATGCAGGCTGCGCAGCTATCCCAGAAGCCAGAACAGAAAGAGGGATCGCTGCTTTCACTGCGCAGCAGTCCCTCTTGTTGTTCTGGCTTCTGAGATTCAGAATATTTTTTTTCTTGTTTTCCTCCTCCAAAAACTAGGTACGTCTTGTGGTCTGGTGCGTCTTATAGAACGAAAAATACAGTAGATCCTCTGGAAGTGCAAAAACTCTGCCAAACACTTCCTTCTGCTTAAATTATTAGTAGCAGAGAGAGATTGTGTGGGGAAAGGCCAGTTTGGATACACATTTTCTTTTTAATTTAAATTTTTTTATTATTAAAATAATTCTACATTAATACATACATGTTACAAATATACAAACATACATTTCATACAATCTTTAAAAATAATCATACATACCCACACTCAATCCCAGATACTTCCTTTTCCCACCACCTGTCACCCCACCCTTGTGTTAGACTTCCAATTTACTCAATTGCAATTTCTTTCCACTTCTATTATTTTCTCACACACACTTTTAAACCCATTTTCTACTTCTTTTTCTGTTACACATTTTTATCCGTCTTATTTAGTATTTCAGTATTTATAACGGAACTTGTTTATTGTAATAGGAGTTCTGATTTTTCAATATAATTATGCAAGTATCCTTTAAACACCTTCCAGTCCTTGTCTGTCTTCTCTTTTGAGATCCTTGTTTAGCTCTAACAAAGATCCTTAAAGAGTCAGAGCTTTAGCGTGGTCACATTCGCACCAGACATTTTAAAGCTCTGTGATACCGCTTTGAACTGTCATGGCTCCCCCCCAAGGAATTCTGGGAGATGTAGTTTGTTAAGAGTCTTTCGGAGACACGCATTCCCCTCTCATGGCTACAGTTCCCAGAGTGGTTTAAGAATCAAACCTTCTTGATAGGGACCTCTGGGAATTGTAGCTCTGTGAGCGGGTCTCCCAAGGCCGTGTTCTTCAAACCTTGCGTCCCCAGGCGTTGTCAGACTACAATTCCCACCGCCCTCAGTCAATGGTCAGGGATGATGGGAGTTGTGATCCAGAACTATCTGAAGAAGGCTGATCTGAGAGCACCCATAACAAACTACAGCTCCCAGGATTCTCTGGGCGAAGCCATGGCTATTTAAAGGCATATGTTGTTGTTGTTGTTTAGTCGTTTAGTTGTGTCCGACTCTTCGTGACCCCATGGACCAGAGCATTCCAGGCACTCCTGTCTTCCACTGCCTCCCGCAGTTTAGTCAAACTCATGCTGGTAGCTTTGAGAACACTGTCCCACCATCTCGTCCTCCGTTGTCCCCTTCTCCTTGTGCCCTCCATCTTTCCCAACATCAGGGTCTTTTCCAGGGAGTCTTCTCTTCTCATGAGGTGGCCAAAGTCTTGGAGCCTCAGCTTCAGGATCTGTCCTTCCAGTGAGCACTCAGGGCTGATTTCCTTCAGAATGAAGAGGTTTGATCTTCTTGCAGTCCATGGGACTCTCAAGAGTCTCCTCCAGCACCATAATTCAAAAGCATCCATTCAAAATCAGAACTCAGGGCTAATTTCTTTAAGAATTAAAGGGATATAGTAATGCTTTAAATGTAGGGTGTGGATGCGGCCTTAGTTTCCTACAGTATTATTATTAGTATTAAATTTGTATAGCGTCCTTTATCCATAGATTTCAGGGCGGTTCACAGCGTAAAACCGCAAGATAAAACCACAAAATGCAGAATAAAAACCGGAACAAAACAAACCAGTAACTCCCCTCCCCAGTACAGCTGCTGGGATACCCTCCAAGTCCTGTTGTTCAGAGGCAGGAGCGGAATTCTTCCATAAGATTGCCAACCTCTGTTTATCTCCTCCAAATGCAGATGAATTGGTGAACAACTGGCCTTGCAACCCCGAGAAGACCCTCATAGCGCATGTCCCAGAACGCCGAGAAATCGTCTCCTTCGGCAGCGGCTACGGGGGCAACTCCCTCCTGGGCAAGAAATGTTTCGCCTTGCGCATCGCCTCTTGCATTGCCAAAGACGAGGGTTGGCTGGCAGAGCATATGCTGGTGAGAGGGATGGTTTGTGAAGATAGTTTGTGAAGAGGCAGGCCCGGCGGGGTAGGATGAGGGGAACCGGGAGTCAGTGGCTAAATTCCCTCCACAGTTTCATAGTCTGTACATGCTCAGAGGCACTCTTGGCTCCTCTTTACGGAGCCCCGGGGCCGGTCCTGACTTTGCGGGTTCAGTCTCGCATGCCGGGTGGCGACGGCGCGATGGATTTCCTGCAAAGGGTTCTGGGAGCCTGGGATATTATTCAGTTTGGGTTCGGCCGGGGCTTGATAGCCAGGACTGGGGCAGGGATGTGGGGCTTGGGAGCAAGGCCAAAGGACAACGGGGTGTTTACATTGCCTCAGGGGGATATTTAACGAGCAAATATTAATTGGTTAATGAGTGGCAGAGGACTGCTGAAATCCCAAATGTGCGAGGATGGGTCTGACGCATGGAAGGGAAGGGGGGGGGTGGAGGTGAATTTTTTAGGTCTTTCGTCAGGACCCAGAGGGCATTGACCCAGGTGGAAGGGCAGTCGAGGGGACCCACGGCGGCGGGTGTGTAAGTGCAAAGCCTTGTGGGAAAACTTGTGAGGATTTTCGCTGCAAAATAAGTGTTCATGGCTGAAACAGCCTACAAAACATCGTGGGTAATTTGGGGAATGCCATTAACTCTCCAGAAGAGCAGTTTACCTTTGTGCGTTGAGTGAAGGTTTCATTATTTAAAAAATGGCCCTAACAATCCATTGCTTCTGGTTGAGCCATTTTAAAGAGTTGCTTCGGATAACCCTCTGATCCAAGACTCGGCAGGTGTTTAGACAAACAGCTTCCCCCAACCTGGTGCTCTCCAGATCCTTTGGACTACAGTTTTAAAAAGCTCCAACCAGGATGGGGGAAGGCTAGTCTAAAATAATGGCTTTGGATTGGCATTTATTACAATGCATTCTGGTACTTTTATGTTTCATTGCGAAACCAAAGTTCCTTCCTTAAAAAAAAGGGGGGGGAGAGGAAGGCTTCTCTGTGTTTAGACATTGTGTGACAGGCAGAAATTCAACAGATGACGATCTACCCCCTGCTGCCTCTCTGTGCTATAAAAGAATCATCTGTTGAATTTCCTGACCAGAAAATTAGGAAAGAGCACATGGAAATGTCTCATTAAAGTTTAAACCACACTAGGCTTTATGACGCAAACAGCCTTCACTGCAAATATCTGATTACATGTATCCTAAAGTTGGCTTAGATTTCTTAAAACAAGAAACTTGTCTAAAACTTGGGTGCCGTTGCCAGTGCGTGGGTCTCTGGTGTTTGGGCACATCACCTTCCTCTCCCTGTGCGTCTCCTGAGACATTTACGTGTTGCTGATTTCCCCCTTCCAGATCCTGGGACTCACAAACCCAGAGGGGAAGAAGAAGTACGTGGCCGCAGCCTTTCCCAGTGCCTGCGGGAAGACCAACTTGGCCATGATGAACCCCACACTTCCCGGCTGGAGGGTGGAGTGCGTGGGGGACGACATTGCGTGGATGAAGTTCGACAGTGACGGTCAGTTTGGATCCAAATGGGAGGAGCAGGGCGCAGCATGCTTGCTGTGTCACGAGAGGCAGTACGGTGCAGTGGTTAGCGTGCCGGAATGAGGGGACTTGCGTCCAAATCTCTGCTCGCCTGCAAAGATCACTGAATGACCTTTGTCCAGTTTCACTCTCTCTCCCTCTCTCTCCGTGACTAACCCTACCACACAGGGCTCTTGTATGGATAAAAGTTAGGGGACTGGGAGCTGATATACCCACTCCCGAGCTCCTTGAAGAGTGGGATAAAAATGGGAAAAAATAAATACGCTTCATAAGGGTGAGAATGTGGCCCTTCAGGCATCGCTGTGTGGCCCTTGGAACTATCCCCAGGGCATCTCCTCAGGCCGACTGACAACACTTCTGGCTTCCAAGGTGATATTTACACCTGGTGCTCCGCCTACTTTTGCCCCTGGCCCCACCCACCACGGGCAGGTGGCCCTTGGGCAGTTGCTCAGAGGAGAATGTGGCCCCTCAGGTTGGAAAAGTACACAGAAAAGGTACTAACTCCAGGTTGTGCGCCTTGGCCACCTTCAAACCTGACATTAATAGTTCAAACCATCATGGCTTCACCCCAAAGAATTATGGGAACTGTCATTTTGCTAAGGGTGCTGAGAGGCATTAGGAGGACCAATATCACAAAGCTACAATGCCTAGAGTTCCCTGTCAGGACAGTTAAACCACTGGGAGGGCAAAGCGAGCTGGTAAGAGGTGTGGCCTGCTGAGAGAGGGTGTGGCCTAAAGAGAAATCTTGAGGGCCAGGCAGATAGCCTAGTGGGTCCACATTTGGCCCCTGGGCCTGAGGTACCGCCACCCCTAATTTCCCAGGTTGTCCGTCGCTCATCCCGTCTGCAGATGGGGAGGTCAGATCACCCGACCTCCCCAGTCTTAAGATGGCTCAAAGGGGAATAATAACAACAACAACAATTTATTTATTATTTATACCCCACCCATCTGGCTGGGTTTCCCCAGCCTCTCTAGGCGGCTTCCAACAGAATATTAAAATACAATAGTATATTAAACATTAAAAGCTTCCCTAAACAGGGCTGCCTTCAGATGTCTTCTAAAAGTCAAATAGTTGTTTATTTTCTCGACATCTGATGGGAGGGCGTTCCACAGGGTGGGCGCCACCACTGAGAAGGCCCTCTGCCTGGTTCCCTGTAACTTGGCTTCTCGCAGTGAGGGAACCGCCAGAAGGCCCTAGGCGCCGGACCTCAGTGTCCGGGCAGAACGATGGGGGTGGAGACGCTCCTTCAGGAATGGCGGATTTGGTAGATGGAAGGAGAGAAGCTTGTGCAGAGACAGCGGCTCCTCGTATGAAGGAGAGAAGGAAGCCTGGGGAAATAGAGGCTCAAGAAGAGGCCCTGGGATCCGGAGCAGAATTTTCTGCGGCTCATTATCTTCTCCCCTCTCATGCGTAGGCCGCTTGCGGGCCATCAACCCCGAGAACGGCTTTTTTGGGGTGGCGCCCGGCACGTCCACCAGAACCAACCCCAACGCCATGCACACCATCCAGCGGAACACCATTTTCACCAACGTGGCCGAGACCAGCGAAGGGGGAGTCTACTGGGAGGGCATCGACCAGATGATCCCCGCGGGAGTGACCATCAGCACCTGGCAGGGCAAGCCTTGGAAACCAGGCAAGGATGGGCGGCTTGTTTGCAAAGGATTCTGGGTAGCCGCACAGAACGGAGTGGGGAATGGGGAGCGCATAGAGCCCGGTAACCTGAACTTTCCCCTTCTCTTCCTGCCAAGGTGACGCGGGGCCAGCTGCCCACCCCAATTCACGCTTCTGCGCGCCAGCCCGCCAGTGCCCTATCATGGACCCGGACTGGGAGTCCCCTAAGGGGGTCCCTATCGATGCCATCATCTTTGGGGGCAGGAGACCTGCAGGTAAGCTCCCTGGCCTCCCACTCCTCCTCCCAGACTCTGTGGGCACCCACTGAGTGACCCTCCTCTCTGAGGGACCCCACCCGCTAAACTGATTTCCCCCCACAGGTGTGCCCCTGGTGTACGAAGCCTTCAACTGGCGCCACGGCGTCTTCGTGGGCAGCGCAATGAGATCGGAATCCACCGCAGCTGCTGAACACAAAGGTGAGGACTCCCTGGGGCTTGGTGGATCTGTTTTCTATGTAGATCTGGTTGCATCTCAAGGGCTAAAGTCCAGGGAAGACCTGCCCACCCACCTTGGGTAATGGAACCAAGGCCATGGAGAGTACAGTGGTACCTCAGGTTACAGACGCTTCAGGTTACAGACTCTGCTAACCCAGAAATAGTACCTTGGGTTAAGAACTTTGCTTCAGGATGAGAACGGAAATCGTGCCCCGGCGGTGCGGCGGCAGCAGGAGGCCCCATTAGCTAAAGTGATGCTTCAGGTTAAGAACAGTTTCAGGTTAAGAACAGACCTCCGGAACGAATTAAGTACTTAACCCGAGGTACCACTGTACGTTTAAATGAAGGGTGGGGAGAATTTTTCAGCAAAAGGGAGACATTCCCACCCAGGCAGGATTCTGGGGCCTGCCCAACAGTAGTTGGCAAGGCCAGAGGAGCAACAACTGAGAAGTGTACCTTTGTAGTGGCGCCCTCCCGTCAGATGTCAGTGTAATTTTCGGTAGACATCTGAAGGCAGCCCTGTTTCAGGAAGATTTTAATGTGTGACTTTTTCTGCATTTTGGCTGGAAGCCTCTCAGAGTGGCTGGGGCAACCCATTCCAGATGGGCAGGGTGTAAGAAAGAAATTATTAGGATTATTATGGGGAGAGTCTGAGGGCCAGCTAGAGAGGCCTGAATATTCCCAACTCCTGCTTTAAACCTTTGTAACTGGTGGAGCCAGAAATGGGCAGACTGGCAGCAGTGGGGCAATAATAAGCGCATGGTCCGAGTCTAAACCGAAAGGTGAGGTGTCAGAGCACAGGCTGAGCTCCAGATACAAGGCAAAGACAGCAAGCAGGTAGCCCAGAACAGGTGGAGCCAATCTGCCAGATGTTCCTGCAACACAACTCCCATCACCCCTGACCGTTGGCCATGCAGATGGGAGTTTTAGTCCACAACATCAGCAGGGCACATGGATGACCCCTATGCTTGAGCATTGCTCCAGAGCTGAGAGACACTTATTCTTTTTTTATTCATATATTCAACTTGTATACCGCTTTTCCTTAGAAATAAACCCTGGGGCGGTTCACAACACAACAAAAATGTAGCAACGTTTGAGCACCAGATGGTTTCAGTATGACAATCCAAATAATTCATCGAGTTCAATTCATATCAAATATAACAAGCATTTGCAGTGCCATCAATTACAGTGGTATCTCGGTTTTCGAACGTAATCCGTTCCGGAAGACCGCTTGACTTCTGAAACATTTGAGGTGTGGCCTGCAAATTCAATGAAGAAAATTGAAAGAAAGCTCAGCAGAAGCTATTCAACTTCTGAGGCGTGTTCGAAAACGGAAGCATTTACTTCCGGATTTTCGGCGTTCGGGTTCCAAATCACTAATCAACGAAGATGTTCGAAAACTGAGGTACCACTGTATTATTAACAATAATAAAACCAGTAGCCTTCTATTATGAAGGAGCAGCGAGATATGTACCCTGAGGAGTAAAATACCCGTATTTTTCGCTCTATAAGATGCACCAGACCACAAGACGCACCTAGTTTTTGGAGGAGGAAAACAAGAGAAAAAATATTCTGAATCTCAGAAGCCAGAACGGCAAGAGGGATCGTTGCACAGTGAAAGCAGCAATCCCTCTTGCTGTTCTGGCTTCTGGGATAGCTGCACAGCCTGCATTCACTCCATAAGACACACACACACATTTCCTCTTACTTTTTAGGAGGGAAAAAGTGAGTCTTATAGAGCAAAAAATACGGTATATGGAAAGAGGGAAGTTTTACTTCAGAGACAGCTTTACGAAGCTTAGTTTAACCTGAGGTGTACGCACACTTGTTTAAGGTATCCTATCCCTGCTCCCCTCCCTCCCCAAATCATTCCAGGCAAGCTCATCATGCACGACCCCTTCGCCATGCGCCCGTTCTTCGGCTACAACTTTGGCCGCTATCTGGAGCACTGGCTGAGCATGGAGGGCCGTAAGGGAGTCCACCTTCCCAAGATCTTCCATGTCAACTGGTTCCGGAAGGATGCGGCCGGGAACTTCTTGTGGCCGGGCTTCGGGGAGAACTCCCGTGTCCTCGACTGGATCTTCCGCCGCGTCGACGGAGAGGAGAGTGCCAAGGAGACGCCCATTGGCTACATCCCCAAAGATGGCGCCTTAGACCTGACAGGCCTCAGCAAGGTGAACTACCAGGAGCTTTTCTCACTGCCCAAGGAATTCTGGGAACAAGAAGTGAGGGAAGTGAGGCAGTACCTGATGGAACAAGTGAACGAGGACCTGCCCAAGGAAGTGATGAAGGAACTGGAAGCCTTGGAAGCCCGGGTGAAGAAGATGTGAGGCACCTGGAAAGGGAACACACCTGCTCTCCGGAAGAAAAGAGACCAAAGACACACACCCTGCACCTCCTGTGGGAGATGGAGGAGATGACAGGGAGCTTGTTTACAAAATGTCCCTTCCCCACTTCTTTCCAGCTACGCCTCTCTGGCCATTCAGGAGACGGCCATCTTGTTTCCTTGGTCATGAGGCGGCCATCTTGCCTCCTAGGAAACATGAGCCGCACATACTGCTTTCTTTATTTTCTTGATCTGCTTTGCTTCCCCTTTCCTTTGCCACTATCCTCCTCTGGTTGTAGGGTGGAAGTGACCCGCCATCTTGTTCCACCAGCTGCCCGTTGGTTCTCGTTTGGGTCTACGTTCCGTGTCTGTGTGCCATCTTTGTTCTCGAGTGGCTCTTGACCTTTCGTAGAATGCCTTTCCCTCCTTCTAGAGAAAGACTTTTACATTGCAAAAAAAGATGATGGAAAGCCTTTTGGGGAAAGGGACACCCCAGGCTAGCTTGCGGCACGCCCTCAAATCTTAACTTGCTGCCTCTAACGCAGCTTTGGGTTACGGATGTGGAACCAGTTGTTCGCCAGCCAGGATGCAGCGGAAGCTGTACTGCCAATAGGTCTTCAAAGGAGAAGTCATTTCTTTAACGCCGAGAAGCTTTTGCCCCTTCAAATTTTGCTGGACTACAACTCCCATCATCCCTGGCCATTGGTTACACCGGCTGCGGCTTATGGGGTTTGGAGTCCTGCAATGTCTGAAGTGGCTCCCCTTTCGCCACCCCTGCCTTAGTAGAACCTCAGGACCAGCCTTCCTATATGGTAGCTCTAACTGAATCATAGAACTGTAGGGATCCCAAGGGTCATCTAGTCCAACCCCCCTGCAACGCAGGAGTCCCAGCTCAAAATCCCTGACAGATAGCCATCCAAACTACTTAGAAGCCTCCAGTGAGAGACCTGAACAAGTAAGTGCTAATCCTTTGCTTCTAGGCCATTGCTAACACTTGACACCAACTGGAACACGACGGAGGCCACATCCATGAATTTGCCTAGCCTCTCCTCCTATTTCTTTCGATGCTGCCTTAGTCTGACCCATTAGCCTTATCTTATCCACCTACAGTTAGTTGCTTTTGAGAGAAGCCTTTGCTGATCAGCGAGGGATGCCAGGATTCATCCCGGGGACCTCTTAGCACACACGCCACTGAGCTTACGTGGCTCCTATGAATGTACTATGCTCCCTTGGGAATCCGTTCCGCGATCTTTTTAGCTGGCGTGAGGTTTCATGCCAACGCCTGCCCTTCCTCCCAAAAACCCCTTGGCTGTTTAAACCCACATATCCCCCTCTTTCGGACCTCCTTTACATTGGCTTACTTGAACATCACACATAAGGGACCAATCTCACGAGGCCCGAAAGAGATTGTAGGGCATTTGACAACATCATACTTTCTCCTTCGTGCCCACCCAATATGCGGTGCTTCCCGCTGGATTTATGGTTTGTAAATCAGGAAATGGGGAAGAAGGTTTCGACGGTTCTTCCAGCGCTGGAGAGCAAAATTTTGCACTTCAAATGTCCACAAGAATGTAAGGAGAGCCTGCTGGATCACGCCAGTGGCTGATCTCCTCCACCTTCCTGTTCTCACAGCAGCCAATCAGATGCCCCTGGGGTGGGGCGGGATCCACAAGCAGGATTTTAGCACAACAGCACCCTCCCCTCCTTGCTGTTTTGGTTCCAGGTTTACCAGAGTTGTACTTTGTACAATCAGCCTCTGATCCCCACACGTATCTAGCTTCAAACCTGCGAATGGGGTGTGTGAGGCGGAATGCGACTAAACCATCAAGCACATTGCCAAAACCATAATTTCGCTGCCTGCCTTTGAAATCTCCTAAGTGAAGCGGGCAACACCCATTTGGAGCTTGGATCCTCTCTCTGTGTGTGTTGTGGGGGCTGCGAAGTCAGAACGTTTCACGGCATGATGGCAACTCGGCCCAGTCCGTTTTCTGAAAGCCCACCAAGCCTTATTACTCAATCTCCACCATCATCTCCAGCACAGCAACCGTTCCATACAAAAAAATGGTTCTACCCAACTTCAGATTTGCTCCTTCCCAAGAAAGTAGTTGTCTGCCAAGTAGGTGTGGGACAATTAAATTCCCGAGCAAACAAGTCAGCCTTCTCCAGAAGACTCATACTGTACGCCCATGTTGGTTTTTGGGTAAATTAACAACTCAGAGTCAAACTTTATAGTTCACCCACCCATCAGACACCAGCCAGAGAGAGTTCTGGTACTGGATTGGGGAGACGTTGAATCGAATCTTTCCTCCATTACGTTGCTCATGGCAGAGCCTTGGATAAAACTACTCTCAGCCTCACCTACCCCGCAGGGTTGTTGTTGGGACACATGGAATAAGAACAGCATCCTTTGTGGGCTAAAATATGCTACTCAAGTTAAACTTGTTGCCCGCCTTTGATTTTATATTTGGTCAAGGTTACGGTTCCCCGTGGCCATAACTCCACCATCGACCTTCTTCAGAATTCAGCTAGGACACTGTTGACCTAACTTGCTCTGTCTGTCTCAACATTCGATTGCTAACATTCCCCACCAGAGCATTTAGAATTTCCATGAACATTCAGTGACATCACAGCAGTGCAGCCAATAGCTAGAGGAGGTTTTGCACGCAGCAAGGCAGCTTTTCGCTTATTACATACTGGGATGTCTGATGAGAGAAGTGAGTTACATGACGTGAGTCCTCGCTCACCAAACAGCCGTGTGAGTCTGTTACAGCTTGCCAGCAAATAATTCCGCCTGCTGGTTATCAAATACGGTGGGTTGTTGTTGTTGTTGTTGTTTTAACTGGTGTTTAGTGTTATAATCTTAACTTCCCCCCTCTTCTTTACATTCCTATATGTGGGTTACAGTTGGTAGAATCACCCCCTCTGTTGTTCTGAACACACTTAGCCTACATTTCAGGGAATTAACATATGCAAGTGATTACTGTAATGGGGTTTTATATTTCTTCCCCTCCATCCCTGGTAGAAGTGACAGTCTTTCAGGGGGGCGTTGGGGAAAGTGAGCAAGGAGGGCAGAAAAGAAGGAAAATTAGGTATGGCTACACTTTTACTGGTGGAATTTCAACCAGAAGTGAGGCAGCAACTGGAAAGAAACTTGGAGTGTGAGCTCGCTATTTGACTGCAGCTTAATTTTTTATTTTTTAACACACACCCAATCAAATCAAATGCACATTATTCTGTTAATAACAAACATGAATGAGAATAAAAATATCAACAAATAAATGGAAGTGAGCGTTTTAAATCGATGGCTTGTGCAAGATCCCATGTTAATGGAGAATATTCAGTAGGTTGGTGTGTATCTATATGCTGAATTTTCAAATGTGTTGCAGACATGTCCACAACACTAACATCAAACCAGTATGAAACGCTGAGTTAGTAGCTGCAGTATTATTGACATGGCGCAGAACCAGTCAGGCACACTTTTATAATTAAACAAAATTAACAACACATTATTTATTCTAAAATACAAAGGCACAACAGGGTGAACACTTTACTTCGGCTTCTTAAAAGACCTATATTTTCTGCAATAAGGTACTGTATCTTTAAATGACAATTGCAGGGGTTTACATAAGGCCGGCTTATAAAACTTGGTTCCTAACCCTGTTTAACTTGCAAGCCAATTTCACTTGGGGCGTGTATGGGGTACAAATATTATTATTATTGTTGTTGTTGTTATGTTAGCTTCAGTCCATATCGATCCTGCAGTATCTTGAGAAATACTTGCTTGTTTGACGCGCTGTCCCTCAAACCAGATCACATCCAATTGAGAACGAACGCTGCGTTCACTTTGCAGGTAAGCTGAGGTGTGTACATCAGAGGTAGCTGCTGAGCATGCCCAGAATGAATTTCATATCCAGTGTGCAAGGCAGTGTACAAATGAGATTCAACCTTGCTGTGTTTTAAGCTGCTGCCATGTACACAGCCATAGTCTGAATACAGCACCATCAGTATGTGTGGTGCTTTAAGGAGCACAAGAGGGCAAGGTCCCTGCCCTGAAGAGCTTACAATTTAAAAGTTGAAATAGGGGGCCAACATATGAAGGGAACAGGGGAGGAAGTAGCCAATGGCTGGGGCACGGAGTGGTAGGGTTTTTAGCTGAAAGCGTCACTAGGTTTGTGCGCACAGAGTTTGGCAGGATTCCAAAGGAGTTAGAGCATTCACACGTGCAGGTAACGTGTGAATACGTTTTGTGGGTCAAGAGATACTTGAGGCGCACAAGAAGAGCAGCACATTTTGCATGGGGGCAGGGCTGCGTATGAAGGGCAACAAAAGGCTCTGATTAAAGACGGGGGGTAGCCGGTCTACAAACCGAAGCTATTTGGTTTTGAAACGCCTGTGTTTACACTATAGGACTCGTAACCTGCCTTAGGAACGTCAATCATTTCACCACTGTCCAATCAGAGAGTACGCCACTGCCCCGCCCCCCCAGGAGCCCGCCTCTAACCCGAGACGTCAATCATCCTGCCCTCACGATAATGGCGGAGGTTACGCAACTAGCCCGAGCAATCGATCAAGCTACCGGGAACCAATCCGAGGGCGCCCCTTCGGCCAGCTGCCCGCCTTTCTTGCGAGTCATCCGCTCGCTCTGTCCAATCGGCGGCTCATTCACCTTATCGCCTAGTTTATCGCTTAACGGTTCTTCCCCTGCCCCTCGTCTTAAGCGAGGAAGGAGCCTCAGCAGCCAATCAAGGAAGAGCAAGTCTTTTTAAAGCCCCGCACTCTATCCCACGTGGGGTGGTGAACGGTGGCCAATCAATTCTCAGCCGGCGCGGCCCGCCCTATCTCACTTCTCCACTCCGGTTAGAGGCGGCTGTCGCCTTAAGATGTAAACAAGGCCTCGCGCAGCGGCCGTTAGAGGGTGAGGAGGGTCTCGCGCTCCCGGAAAAGGTGGGGGGCAGGCTTTTGATTGGACAAGGTGGACGCGCGGGGAGGGGGGAAGAGCAGAGCGGAGCAGTTCGGTAAGAGCCAAGGTTAAACGCGAAAGGCGTCCTGATTGGTTGGGACGAGCGGGCAGTTGGGACAGAACGTTGCGGGGGGTGGCGGCTGCGGCGGCAACTGAGCAAGAGTGTCCCTGCTCTATGGCGTCTGTTGATTGGAGGAGCCGTGAGCAACGGCCATGCCCATTGGCAGAGAGGACTCAGGTGTCTGAAAAAAGTACTTTAATGGGTTCAGCAGGTCTACGAGCCCTTGTTTGGTTGCCTGGGGCTGTGGTATAGTCACGTAGAGGACGGGGTGGGTGGCTGGCTGACGTCTAGATAAGGGCACCTCCATATGGGAGCCGAGGAGCCCTTTTAAGTATTGGAGGCTGTGATTGGTGAAGATGAAAAGGGGGTGATTTGGGGGGGGGGGGGGCGTTTGGCTATGGGAAGCAGTGGGCGCCCCATGGAAACAAATGAGGGGAATGTTTGGCTTCTGGATGTGGGGTTAAAGTCTGCTATAGTGAGAAGCTGTGATACAATTTAAATTTTTTAAAGAGCAATACTTTTAAAATATTTAATGCTGTACTGTTTTTAACATTTGATTGGGAGCCGCCCAGAGTGGCTGGGGAAACTCAGCCAGATGGGCGGGGTTTAAATAATAAATTATTATTATTATTATTACTTCTGAGTGAGGATAGATTTGATTGGTAAGAGGCAGGGAATCCTTCATGCGAAGAAGAACGAACGCTGTTCTCTCTCCCTCCTCGCCCCCCCCCCCCCGTACTGCGTACAAAGTTCTGCAATTAGTGGCTCAGGATTTTCCTTTTCAGGAAGGACTTTCTCCCTCCGTTTGGTTCCTGAGCTCCAGGAAGTGAAGAACACACCGGACACATACCGTGAAGAATGCCTTAAGACATGGGCTCCCGCAGTAGTAGCAACGCTGGCTCGGGGGGCCGGGATAACCAGGGGAGCTGGTCTCGAAGGGACTCGGGGATACTGCGCAGCGAGGAAGAGGACGACGAGGATGTGGATCTGGCCCAGGTATTGGCATATCTACTGCGCAGGTAACTCACACCCCCGCTCCACTTTTTAGTCAAATTAGGGATATGAGGGGATGCCTCTGGCAGCAGATGCTGTTTCAGACTCGTGCAGAATCTCAAGGCAGGAAGAGGAAGGGAATTTGTTATGCCTTTTCTGTCTGGTCCATTAATCTGGACAAAGATAACTCAGTCCTCTCAGTAAGTGGAATCTGCTGGCGTGGAGACTCATGAGACCCTACTGGAAAATCCAGTCTCAGCTGATTTCTCACAGAGCTAGGATTTTGAAGATATGTGTGTCGGGGAATGAATTCATGCATGGATTCAAGGAGATGGGATGATGATTAAGGATCCAGGGAGCATAACTGAGTGTACAGACTTCCTTGACGCTTTGTTAAAAAACACAGAAGCCAAATAGTTTGGAAGTGTGGAAATAAGGGTCACAGTCCAGGTTTATGTTTTACAAATCAGCCGGGATGCAGTCTCAGTTGTAAGGGGGTCGTACCAGAATTTAACTGTGTATTGCTGGATCTCATCATGTGCCATGGCTGCTTTTCTAAGAGTAGAGGGGTTTTTGTATTTTCTTGTGCAGAAGTTGTTCAGGGCCATACTTCTTCGTATGCTCATGACGTTAAAATTCTCAGTTGTCTACCTATTGTGCAGGATGAGATATCCAAAGTTTTGACGCATAACATAATAGTTTTAGAAATTTATTCAAGAAAAGTGAAGGTTTCCTCATCTGTGGCTTCTTTATCCCTGTTTCTGATGTCACCTTAGGTAGGCCACTAAACACTTTGGAATACTTTAAAAATATTCATAGCCAACTCTACACTAAATATTCTGGTTGGCTTTGGCCAGCTATGCATATACAAAAGAGATTCCTGATACTGTTTTGATAGCAAGTTTTTTGCGTGGTTAAGACAAAAAGAGATTGTGAAGTGCTCCAAAACTATCCCTCTAAAATAGGTGAATGAATGGGCAGTAAAATTCACTGCACACAAGTATAAGTGTGCAATTCAGTGCACACAAGTATAAGTGATTCACGTTGGGGCAAAAAATCACATCTTCACATATACAGTTAGGAAGTTTGAGCTTCCGGTGACTATCCAGGAGACAGTGGGTCGTAGTGGATAGTTTGGTGAAAACGTTGGCCCAGAGTGTGACTGCTGTGAAAAAGGCGATTGCATGTTAGGGATTGTTTGGAAAGGAATTGAAAATAAGGCTGCCAATATCTGTAATGACCACTCTTAGAATTCTGTGTACAGTTCGCTCACCTCAGAAAGGATACTGTAGAGCTGGAAAAGCTTCAGAAAGGGGCAAGTAAAGTGATTCTGGAGTTGGAGCAATTCACCTATGAGGAAAAGTTGCAACACTTGGGGTTTTTTAGTTTAGAAGGAAGAAAAGCAAGTAAGCAAGCTGGGGACGTGATAGATGTGTATACAATTATGTATGGTGTGATGAATAATACTACAATCCAGAGGCATCCAATGAACTGAATGTCAGAAGATTCAGGGCAAACAACTTCTTCACGATTATGTAATTCTGTCCCACAAGAGGCGGTGCTGGTCACCAATTTGTGTGGCTTTAAATGAATTCGAGGCTGTTAATGGCCACTAGCCTAAAGCCTGTGTTGTAGTACTACTTTGGGAGGCCTTGTGCCTCTGAATACCAGTTGCTGGAAACCGCAGGAGGTGAGGATGCTGTTGGGCTCAAGTTCTGCTTGTGGGTTTCCCATTGGGGCATCTGGTTGGCCATTGTAAGAACAGGATGCTGGACTAGATGGGCCTTTGGTGTGATCCAACAGGGCACTTCTTATGTGCTCATGCCACCCTTGTTTCCTGAACTTTTCAGCCTTTGGATTGGTTTTGGATCCTGTCAGTCTACTCAAGATTGACCCTGTCATTGGATATTGATGTAGGAGCCTTAGACAGCAGGATATACTCTCCATAGTTTATGTTAAAAATTTGCATCTCTATTCCCATCTCTCTTAGTTGGTGCACCCCTAAGCTGATCCTGAGCTGGGTAGGTGTCAGTTGAAATCATTCCTTGGCTGTTGTATTAAAACTTCAAAAGCTGCTTAGTGGGCACCTTCAGAGAACAGGAAACAAAAAAATTGGGAGCTGCCTCTCTCCATTCCCTCTCTGTGAGTTGTGATGTGGGGAGGGGCAAAATGGATTTGTAATTCCTAAAACTTCCAATTTCTCTCTCCAGAGGACAATTTCACTTGATGCAGGGCGGGGGAGCAGCCAGTGTCCGTCTGGTCCAGACACTCTCGGACTCGGACGACGACAATGACAGTGCCTGGGAAGGGCGACTTGGAAATCACTACAAACCTCCAGGTACTGGCCGGTAACTTGTTTTAACGTAAGAGAGTCTGAGGAAAATGTGAGGGTGCCATCTGAGTTTATCGGGCAACAGGGCAATTGGGAGTCTTGTTCTCAACCTGTCCGATCTTCCTCTCTTTCTTTTACTTGCAGTGGATTTGACGCCAGACACTCACGACCTGGAGTGCAACGAGATCAAAACACACATCCAGTTGGCAACAGGCAGGCTGGGCTCGGGACAGACTGAGCATAGCATCCCTCGACTGCTTTGCAAGGTGCCTGTTCGCTTCTTGGGGATGCCAATATTAGGCTAGGAAAACAAGAGGTTCTCGTAGCTTAAAGACGCAGAAATCCACTTGAGGGTGGGGCTGTCTGGAGAGCAGATCTTTCAGTGTATGAAAACTGCAAGCAGAGCCTTGTTGAATTACTTACTCCTTTTCTTTTCCTTCCTTCCTTCCTTCCACCGCAGAGGGAGCGCGGCCTCTGCCACAACAGCAGCTTCTCTCGTGGGGAATGCTCCCGAGTGGCGTCACAGTGAGTATTTGGAAGAGAAGGCCTGGTGAGGTGGGTGAGATAATGATTTTAGGGGAAGAACCCTTTAATAACTCAGACTTTGCTCTTCTTCCAGCTTTCTCCCCAACCACTTGTCCTTCACCGATTCCTACTCCCAGAAGGCGTTCTGTGGGATTTATTCCCGTGATGGAAAGCTTTTTATGTCTGCTTGTCAAGGTACTTCATAACACATCATAGTATTTGGCTTTTTTGTTTTTGTTTTGCTTTTCTGTTTTGTTGTATCAACGCATACTGTATTATAGTCATATACAGGATAATAAGAAGGAAAAATAACATAAATGTAAGACATATGTAGGGACACGGGTGGCGCTGTGGGTAAAACCTCAGCGCCTAGGACTTGCCGATCGCATGGTCGGCGGTTCGAATCCCCGCGGCGGGGCGCACTCCCGTCGTTCGGTCCCAGCGCCTGCCAACCTAGCAGGCAATTCGAAAGCACCCCCGGGTGCAAGTAGATAAATAGGGACCGCTTACTAGCGGGAAGGTAAACGGCGTTCTGTGTGCTGCGCTGGCTCGCCAGATGCAGCTTGTCATGCTGGCCACATGACCCGGAAGTGTCTGCGGACAGCGCTGGCTCCCGGCCTCTAGAGTGAGATGAGCGCACAACCCTAGAGTCTGTCAAGACTGGCCCGTACGGGCAGGGGTACCTTTACCTTTACCTTTTTAAGACATATGTAAATTAATATTACTGTAGTAGTTGGTTTTTAAACAATCCCTGCATCAGATCTGCTTCCATCCTTGGCACTGAGGGCATCCTGGAATTCTCTTGTCTTGAAATTTCCTGTAGCACAAGTGATTGTGGCGTTTTGGGTACCAAGTGTCCTAGAATGCTGTCCTTCTGACCAGGAATGCTTTCTCTGCATTTGGGGAAACAGACAAGTGGCATTGTGGGTGGGCCCTGCTGCAAAACCTCTCAGTCCTCCGTAAGATCCTGTGGAGCTTCTAATCCCCAGATACCCAAGCGTAGCGTGATTTATTTATTCATGCAAAAACACCATTGCTGCTTAGTTGGTATTGCTGTTCCAAGGAAGAAGGAAAAAAATCCTCTTATCCCATTGGAAAGGACAGTGTCGAATGTCCTAGTAGTTGGGTCCTTCAGATGGGTTGATCTGGATGATTTGCATTTTTACAGGGGTGCCCTCCCATCTCTTACTAATCCCAGATTCCCGTTGCCAAGATCAAAGGCTTAAAAGGCTGCGTTCTGTTTTCCAACAGCAGCTGTAGCTCAACAAAGAAAGTCTTGCAAGGCATGAATGGGGAAAGTGTGTCCCTTCCACCACTTTGGGTTGGACTACAACTCCCATCATCCCTGAGCAGACACCATGCTGGCTGCTGCTGGGAGTTGAAGTCCTGGGGGGTTCCACAGGTTTCCCATCCCTGATGCAAGCCTAACACCTTGGTGTTTTTGCCTCTGTGTTAAAAGTCCTAGTAGATGAGGACGCATTGACACATGGTACAATTAGTACACTTGCCTCTTTCTCTGTTCCTTTCCCCACGCTTCCAAACCACCCCCACCCCCAACTTCAGATCAGACAATCCGCTTATATGACTGCACTTACGGAGGCTTCCGGAAGTTCCGGAGCATCAAAGCCCGGGACGTAGGCTGGAGTGTCCTGGATGTTGCCTTCACTCCCGACGGTGCCCATTTCCTCTACTCCAGCTGGTCAGATTACAGTGAGTGGGGTTGGCATCTGGGAAGGGTGGGGGTGTCACATGTCAGTCCTTGACCCCACAAGAAGTGTTAACTGATGCCCTTGACCTTCCCTCCCCCTCTCCTTACAGTTCACATCTGCAACATCTATGGCGAGTGTGATACCCACACAGCACTGGATCTGAGGTAAGGAGGGCACCCAGCAAGCCACCCTATTTGACTAAAGAGACTCCTGGAGTGGTTTCTAACTCTCTCCTCCTTTCCACAGGCCTGACGAGCGTCGCTTTGCCGTCTTTTCCCTCGCAGTCTCCTCCGATGGAAGGGAGGTGCTTGGCGGGTACGTTAGCCTTTTGCCCAGTCCCTTTACCCCCAATGCATAGCACTGGTTAACATTTTATCCAGGGGTGTGGAACCTTTCTTTTTAAATAAAAACCTGCAGGGGTCCGCATTCCTTTCTGGACAACCTTCCAAGGGCCACTTGCCATCTGCAGATGGGGTTAGAGGCAAACAGCAACGAAGCGGCAACAATGTTTCCTTTGTACAGCAGGCTACTTAAATTCCAACATCCCACATTCAAGAAGACATTCCAGTCAGGAGCAAAGCCCTTTGGTGGTGGTGGGGAATCAGTGCCATGAGGAGTGGCTTTCTGAGGGCCAGATAGAGAGTCCAGGGGCCACATTTGGCCGTTGTGCCTGAAGTTCCCTACCCGTGACTTTGTCTAAGGCGACACCTGGACTTGGCCTAGGCAGACAAGATTTGGGTTCTTCTAAAACACAGATCTTCTGCCCTCTCTCCCATCCCTTATTTATTTCTGCTGTTTACGTACCATTTAATTGGCAAAGTTTCTAAGCGGTGTCCAGGAAAAAAATATTTAAAAGCATATAGTGGGTAAAATAAATTAAAAGTAATTGTAAAAAAAACCCTCAGGAAACTTCTTGAAAATTCCTCCCGAATTAGAAACATCTCTGTCATGTGCCTGAAGCTTAGCAGGGAGGAGAGGGCTGTCTGATACTGGTCTTTTTGGCCAAGAGGATTCTGGGCATGCTGTGCCATGTGGCTCTCATTCCATGTGGCCCCTGTGGAGCGATAGGCAAGGTGGTGAAGCCCCTCCCATCAGCCTGGCTGGGGCCAGCTGCCCCCCCCTTCCCTGTTGGTGCCCAAAGGAAGCAACACGGACCCAAGTTGTGCAGTGTTTCATTTTGTAAGCAGCCTTGGGGGCTTTTTAAAAGGTGAAAGTCAGGGTGGAAATACTCCAATTCAAGGGCGAAGTGTTGGAAATGCTTCCGAGGCATGCCTTTCTCCTGTCAAGGTGCTGCCTTAGGGTCCATTGACCAGTGTGGCTTCAGTGTCTTTTCCCACCCCTCCTTCCTTGTGTTTATGTCTGTTCTTCCACCCACTCCGTTTTGGTTTTAAACCTAGGGCCAACTATGGCTGTGTCTACGTGTACGACATGGAGCAGAATAAGCGGACGCTCAAGGTACTTACGTTTTGGACCCTGCCACTCCTCTGCTGGGCCTCTCTGTTCCGTGTCTCTGGCCTCACCCACTTCCTGTTCCTCTCCCCCTGGGTTTTAGAAAGTGTGGCTGGTATGTGTGTGTGTGTTCTGTGCGCATACACAGACACACACACAACCTTGTTTCCTTTCCGGCCCTTTCAAGATTTCTCTCTGCAAATGAAAGAAAAGCCAAAGATGGTGAAATTAGAAGCAATTTCATAGTCATAATCATAGCAATAATTGCCCAATGACTTGAATGAACTTAAATGATAAAGATGAATATCAAGTCTATATTTATCCTTGAGCAAACCTGACAATATCTCCTCTCTGTGAATATGTGATGTCCCTTTTTCATTTCCACTCTAGTCCTTAGCCTATCGTTTCAGCCACTGATTCATTGCAGCTCCTTTTGTTGCTAGCAATAGTCATTTAGATACTGTTGGAAGGTTCCGGGCCGTTTCGTAGCACATGGGACAGTGGCGGTTCCTTCCACGGTATCCCGACGCGGATAAAAGATTGAGGGGAGCAGTAAAGCATAGCATCAGTCCAGCTGTCTGGATTTTTTCCACCCCAAAGCCATAGGGTGGGGATCCCTGGGATGTTGTAGATCAGACCTTCCAAGCTGGAACTCTCCAGACATTTTGGACTACAATTTCCACCAGTCCCCTCCCCCAACACGTAGTTGTAGTTCGAAATATCTGGCGGACCCTAGCTTGGGGAAGAATGTTCTAGATGTCTTTCCTTGAGCGTCCCACTGCCCATTCTGCCTCACCCCCTTCCCCATTTCTCTGTAGCGTGCCGTGCTTCTCCAAGGTGGGCTGTGCTTGTGTGTGTCAGCGTGTGATTCTGCTGCATCGCCATTGAGAATGGTTGCCTTGGTCAATCACATTCCGTGGATGCAGAAATGCACTAAATCAGGGGTGACCAACTCCAAAGAGACTGCAATCTACTCACAGAGTTAAAGACTAGCAGTGATCTACCCACTTTTGTGGAGTTCAAGTCAAAGTTGTTGAGCGTTTTTTAGGAAGGAGGAAGGCCCGGTTTTTAGGGGTTTGAAGTTGTTGGGGGGAGCCAGTGATCTACCACGGGACGCGGGTGGCGCTGTGGGTTAAACCACAGAGCCTAGGGCTTGCCGATCATTAGGTCCAGTTGTGACCGACTCTGGGGTTGCGGTGCTCATCTTGTTTTCCTGGCCGAGGGAGCCGGCGTACAGCTTCCGGGTCATGTGGCCAGCATGACTAAGCTGCTTCTGGCGAACCAGAGCAGTGCACGGAAATGCTGTTTACCTTCCCGCTGGAGCGGTACCTATTTATCTACTTGCACTTTGAGGTGCTTTTGAACTGCTAGTTTGGCAGGAGCAGGGACCGAGCAATGGGTGCTCACCCCGTTGCGCGGATTCGAAACGCGGACCTTCTGATCGGCAAGTCCTGGGCTCTGTGGTTTAACCCACAGTACCACCCTCGTCCCACTCCTAGCTCTCCCATGGAAAATCCTGCTCCTCCCTCTTGCGCTGAGTCCTCTGCCTTCCTCCAGATCGAGTCCCACGAAGACGACGTGAATGCCGTGGCCTTTGCCGACACCAGTTCCCACATCTTGTTCTCCGGGGGGGACGATGCCATCTGCAAAGTGTGGGACCGGCGCACCATGAGAGAGGACGACCCCCGGCCTGTGGGCATCCTGGCTGGCCATCAAGATGGCATCACCTTCATAGACAGCAAAGTAAGGCATCCTTTTCTCTCTCTATCATCGCAGAGGGCAGGAGGTGGAGTCTGATGGGGTTGGAAAGCTTATATAGGCAAACAACCTTGAAACTCCTCCCCCCCCCCAAAAAAAAGCTGCTTCGGGATCTCATTCGCAACGTGTTCTGTGTGATCTGCTTGTTTTTATTAATTTTATTTATTAGATTTATTTACCACCCTTCATCAAAAGATCTCGAGGCAGTTCACAAGATGAAAATACAAGATAAAAACAAAAATAGTTAAAACACGAATAACAAGAAAATAGCCCCTACTCCCGCAAACTCATTTAAAAGGCTGTAGAATATTAATCAGCCAAAGGCCTGGTTATTGTTTTTATTATTTATTTATTTATTTATTTATTTATTTACCTACCGCCCTATACCTGGGGGTCTCAGGGTGGTTCACAGAATAAAGTCAAGATATAAAACCACAAAATGCATAATAAAAATAAAAACAACAACCCAATAGCCCTCCCCCCAAAAAAACACATTTTAAAAGGGCATAGGATATAAATCGGATCAACCAAAGGTCTGGTTAAAAATGAATGTTTTTGCCTGGCGCCTAATAGTGTATAATGAAGGCACCAGGCAAACTTCCCTGGGGAGAGCATTCCACAGATGGGGAGCCACTGCAGAGAAGGCCTGTTCCTGTGTTGCCACCCTCCAAACCTCTCGAGGAGGAGGCACACGAAGGAGGGCCTCAGAAGATGATCTCAGGGTCTGGGTAGGTTCATGTGGAAAGAGGCGGTCCTTGAGGTATTGTGGTCCTGAGCCGTTTAAGGCTTTATAGGTAAAAACCAGCACTTTATATTGGGCCCAGAAGCTAATTGGTGTTGATACTGTCTGAAAGAAAGATCCACATGGTTCACCTCCACCTAAGCCCACAGCAGTCCAAGTGAAAACACAGTAGCACCTATATATTTGGCCATGCATTCCTTTAATATCATTTATACAGGATTCCCATGTTGGGGAGAGGCTAAAAGAGCTAAATTAAGTTTCCTTTAGAGAGAGAGTCTTCTGCTGTGGGACATCTGTACTACAGATATAGTCCTTGGGGACTATAGAGTGTGAAATATTCCTTTAAACTCTTGTTCCCCACTCCTCCTTCTCCCAGGGGGACGCCCGATACCTCATCTCAAACTCCAAGGACCAGACGATAAAGCTCTGGGACATGCGGAAGTTCTCAGGCCGCGAAGGGCTGGAAGCCTCCCGCCAAGCCGTCACTCAGCAGAACTGGGATTATCGCTGGCAGCAGGTGCCCAAAAAAGGTGAGTCTTAGAGGATGGGGAAGGAGCGGGGACCCTCAAGCATTGGAGAGGCAGGTCTTACTCTCCTCTAACCCTTACTCTCTCCTCTCCTTCCTCCCTCTGCCAGCGCGGCGGAAGTCAAAGCTTCCAGGTGACACCTCCCTCATGACGTACCGCGGCCACGGAGTGCTCCACACGCTGATCCGTTGCCGTTTTTCGCCGCTTCATAGTACCGGACAACAGTACATCTACAGTGGCTGCTCCACGGGGAAGGTGGTGGGTGAGTGGACTCGGGATGTGGGTGGCAGGGATCGGCCAGGGCAGTGCCATGCTGGGCAGCAGTCAGAGGGGTTAAGCTTTGCCTTTTTGAAGGAGTGCGGCGTTTTGCTTGGGTGCAGGATTCGATCTCTTGCTGGCGGGTGGGGGAGAAATCTCTTAAGATGCACATCCGCATGCACGTGAATGTTGTTTGAAAGTCCCTTCCCTTTTGGTATGGAGGACTCAAGGGAGAGGATGAAAGCAAAGAGAGGTCAGGCTGTGTCAATATGCTTGGGCGGTGAGTTGGATAATAAACCCAAGGGGAGGGAAAACACAGCAGAAATAAATGGTTGGCACATGAAGAAGCTGCCCAAAGTGGCTGGGGCAACCCAGTCGGATGGGTGGGGTAAAAATAAATAAATTGTTGTTGTTAAGAAGCTGCTGCTGCAGCAGCAGCCTTTGGTCCATGAGCCAAATTTGCCCTGGCTAGGGTTAGTTTGACCTGTGAGACCATTTCCACCTCCCAGCCACGACCACCCAATCCACATGTGGCTTCATACAGTGCTAGGTGTGGGACAGGTAAAACTGCAAATGCAAAGGAACAGTTGGCAGACTTGACAGGGGTTTCAATCTGATCTGTGCAGAGAGGAAAGAAATTCCTTTGCAGACCATCGTCAGTCTGGTCTGCAAAGGGAAACTCTTCACTTGTTCTCATGGAGATGTCTAGTTCCCCACCACCTGTTTCCTAGAGGGATCTTGGAAGCCTCTCATTGTTCTGACTATATGCCATGCTGCCCCTTAAATTTTCACTCAGTCTCACCCCCGTGTGTGAACTTGAAGACTTGCAAGCTCCATGGGGCAGGGACCTAAATGGCACTATAAAAATAATCAATAATACAAAGTGTGGGCAGGTCCAATGCTGACATCTAATGGGACACAGGTGGCGCTGTGGGTTAAACCACAGAGCCTAGGGGTTCGAATCCCTGCGACGGGGTGAGCTCCCGTTGCGCGGTCCCAGCTCCTGCCAACCTAGCAGTTCGAAAGCACGTCAAAGTGCAAGTAGATCAATAGGTACCGCTCTGGCGGGAAGGTAAACGGCGTTTCCGTGCGCTGCTGTGGTTCGCCAGAAGCGGCTTAGTCATGCTGGACACATGACCCGGAAGCTGTACGCCAGCTCCCTTGGCCAATAAAGCGAGATGAACGCCGCAACCCCAGAGTCAGTCACGACTGGACGTAATGGTCAGGGGTCCTAAGGGATAAATAGTGGTATCTGGAGCATCAATTCTTGCTGCAAGAGAGGATAGATAGCCCTTCTGATACTTCCCCACTGCCATGGGAGGAGTGGGTGTCGTGGGGCCGGTGTGTTGCCAACGCTTCTCTGTGCTACCCTGTGCTCCTTTCCCTTCCTCCAGTATATGACCTCCTGAGCGGCCTGATCGTGACAAAACTGACCAATCACAATGCTTGTGTCCGTGATGTCTGCTGGCACCCCCACGAGGAGAAGATTGTCAGCAGCTCGGCAAGTACTGGGAGCGAGGGAGTGGTGGGGTGAGGTGCTTGTGTGGTTAAGATGAATTGTTGGTGCTTCTTTCCTCTCGCCCAGGAACTTGTGTGTCTTCCCTGCCAGTAAGGTTGTGATGGCAAGGATGAAATTCTTCTCCTTCTCTGCCCTTTTCTGTGGTTGTTGCTGCTCATCTTTTCCTTCTCAACAAACCCATCTGGGAGCGCCACTTGGCTACAGAGGGGCCCCCTCCCTTGCAGTTTGAGGCGTGGTGGGTGAACCCAAAGGAGAAGGGGGTCTTCTGACTGGGGTGCCCAGACTGAAGAACAACACACCCAGAAAGCGTGCTTGATCAATTTCAGTGGCTGGCGAATACTCACTTTATTCTAGCAAGCTTTAATCAGCCTCTGGTGTGTTAACCGTGGCTTTTTCCCATCCTGCTATTGGGTTATATTTATGATTTTGCATTTTATGAATTGTAGTTGTGAGCCGCCTTGAGAACCCTTAGAAGAGAGATGTTGAAATAAGTACAGTGGTACCTCGGGTTACATACGCTGCAGGTTACAGACTCCGCTAACCCAGAAATAGTACCTCAGGTTAAGAACTTTGCTTCAGGATGAGAACAGAAATCGTGCTGCGGTGGCACGGCAGCAGCGGGAGGCCCCATTGGCTAAAGTGGTGCTTCAGGTTAAGAACGGACCTCCGGAACAAATTAAGTACTTAACCAGAGGTACCACTGTAATGGCAAAGTGTAGCATTTACAGTCTGCTGGGTCGTAGGCAAACACGTTGGCGTTCACATGTGGGAGGAGCTGCCATCTTCCCTGCCCTCCCCGCCCCCACCCAGCATTTAATGACATGGTGCAAAATGTGTTTGCTGCCCATTGTTTTTGAAACTGGTTTGGGACCCAAAATAACAGCATTCCCTTTGAAAAATAAGTAAGTAACTAAACCCAGGAAACCAAACAAAAGCCAATAGCCAGAGCAAAATGTCAACCAGCCTTTCCCAACTTGATGCCTTCCAAATGTTTTGGACTTCAACTCCTATCAGCGCCAGCCAGCCAGCCTGGCTGCAAGACGTTTGGGATGGGGAGAGCTGTAACCCCAAACATCTGGAAGGTACCAGAAGGGGAAGGCCTCTCTTACGCTGTTTCCGTACCTGCCAGCCCATGCCGCCGTAATCTCAATTGGGGAATAAGCAGCAACCTCTGCGGAGATTGCCCAGGTGAATTTTATGTTGGCAGTGCAGCTGCCCTGCATTGGCACAGCGATCTAGTGCAAATAAAGTATAGCGAGATAAGAGAGCACTTAAAGCAGGGTCTGTTCAGCTGAACTTGGATTGCAAGGTGGGTTCCTGTTTGGGGGCAAGAGCCCTTGTGACGTATCTGGACTGCAAGACCGAGAGTTTTGCAGATGAAATTCAGCCCCTCAATTTGGGCTGGGAGAAAGATGTTCAGTAGAGGAACTGGTTGGTTGTACAGTGGTACCTCGGGTTACATACGCTTCAGGTTACAGACTCCACTAACCCAGAAATAGTACCTCGGGTTAAGAACTTTGCTTCAGGATGAGAACAGAAATCGTGCTCCGACGGTGTGGCGGCAGCAGGAGGTCCCATTAGCTAAAGTGGTGCTTCAGGTTAAGAACGGATCTCTGGAACGAATTAAGTACTTAACCCGAGGTACCACTGTATTTGGGTTTCAGGATCAGGCAATTCTATAGGCTGTAGCCTAGGTTAGTTTGGATTTGTCTTATCAGAAATAAAAACCTCTTTTTTTTAATTAATAAATGTTGATTGTCGAAACCCAATGGATAAGCAGAACGGCAAGTAGGTATTCCAGATCAACCATGCTGGAATTAAAAAGGAAGTGGTGGCAAAGATAACACTTTCCAAAAGCATATACAGTGGTACCTCAGGTTACATACGCTTCAGGTTACATATGCTTCAGGTTACAGACTCCGCTAACCCAGAAATAGTGCTTCAGGTTAAGAACTTTGCTTTAGGATGAGAACAGAAATCGTTCTCCGGCGGCGCGCCAGCAGCGGGAGGCCCCACTAGCTAAAGTGGTGCTTCAGGTTAAGAACAGTTTCAGGTTAAGAACGTACCTCCAGAACGAATTAAGTACTTAACCTGAGGTACCACTGTACACCTGTCAATGGCTTTGAGCTTTCTGTCAGGATACATGGGACTTGCTTAGCAAGTTATTTTATTTATTTGTTCATGCATGCATGCATGCATGCCTAGTGAATTCCACAGCGTTTGGTACACTCAAGGATGCTTTAGAAGCGATGACTGTAACCGTCTTTCTCTTTTATCGGCAGTGGGACGGGAACATCCGGCTTTGGGAGTACCACCAGACGGAATACGACGAAGATCCTCGGAGGCCCCCTACCGCCCGAGCGCTGCGCCCCAGACCCTCAGGAGCTTCTGATCAGTAGCCTTTTCTATCTCTGCTCGCCACCATTCTCCAGTTTTGGACTCGCCACACGGTCGAGGGAGTGGGGAGGGAGCAAACCAGACCTCGCGCTGCCCGTGGCCTTGGGACATTTGGGTGGGAGGGAGGGCAAACTTCGTTGCGGGCTGTCTGCTAAGTGAAATGTAAATGGAGTGGGGAGATGGGCAGCGTCTCGAACACGGCTCTTGGGAAGAGCCAGAATCGGAAGACCGGCTGCAAAGGGGGGAAATTTAGGTAAGGAATTGTTAATCTGAACAACAGGCTAGTTTAGTTTATAGCGTCGCTTTAGGGTTCCGTGGGATTGAAATTTACAGTCCCACCCTCTTCCTGGTCTGTGATTTTTAATTTGAATTATTGGAAGGCAGAATCATGGAGCATATCCTAACAACTCTGGGATTTAGTTGGCTCTGGGGAACAACAGCTTGTAGACCCCTCCCTCCCTCCCTCCCTCCCTCCCCATGCCACCCCCCAGTGTGTGTGTGTGATTGTGTGATTGACTGATCAGCCTTCCACAGAGGTTAGAAAAGAGGGCTTTGCGTTCTTTAATTCCTTTCCAGGTGCCATGTTGAGTGCTGAGATGTATCAGAGACTGGGATGTGAGGCCCTTCCTCCCTCCTTCTAGGGGCAAGGGATACAGCAAGACACCCCCCTTTTTCCCCCTCTGCCACAGCAGCTGTTGGCAAAGTGCGAGGGGACGTGCCCTCCGTCTCTCACGCAGCAGCAGATAATGAAGGCTCCCTCTTCCCTTTCTAGAACGCACAGGGCACATTCCTTCCTGGGACGCTGCTTCTGGGGACCCTTTGCCATTTGTCTGAGTGAGAAATGACAGTGTAGGGGTCATAGCAGGGCTTGATATTTTGCGGGGCGGGGTCTTTTCCCCTGGAAGATGCTGTGCGGTCAGCCTGGCCCCTGCCTCCCAGATCTTCCTTCCCCATTGCCTCTACTCACCCCCACAGTCCCCCCCCCACCTGGCCTTTCTTTTAGTCTCCTCAAGTGGCAGGTGGCTTGAAAAGGGAGGCCGGCAGAAATCCTCTTCTACATCCCTTCCCCAAACTGTATTTCCCCGTTTTCCGTGGGGAGCTGGGTGTCCTGGGAGGCTCCCTTTCTGCCCGTTGGCTCCCCCTCTGGGATACTTCCTGCTCTTCTCCCATTTTTTTTTGGGGGGGTCTCCCATCAGTTGCGCCTCTGATGCTCGAGTGGTGATGGTAAGGTTTGTTTTGTTTTGTTTTGAAACAATAAAATATCTGGAGGTTTTTTGTTTTAAGTAGATTGAACCCTGATTTAATCTCTTTCTCTGGTTAAAGAGAGAAGCTGTTTTTTTCCGGAAACCCACTCCCCCAGCATAGAAGGGGGAGGCTTGTACGTCACGGGGTGGGGGTGGGGGGAAGAATCTCTTTCCTGAGATATCTGCACACTTCCATCCAACACGGGTGTCTGTGCAAACTGCAATTGCCGTCAATAAAAGCTGTTGAAATTTTCTTTCTCTTTGTTTCGGTTTTTAAAAAGAGGGGGAGGTTGGGTCTTTGTTTTTTTCTTCAACGTGCGTTGGCACAGCGACACCCCCCCTCTCCCCACCCCAATCTTTCCAGTCTGCTTTGCTCTCCCCTCCTACTCCCGGTCAGCTGCTCACGCCAAACTTGGATTTGATCCCCACACCTGTCGTCGAGGATCAACTCTGGACGACGTTTCTCTCCGCAAGAGTTTTGTCTCTTCCCACCCCCCACCCACCCACCTCGGGTCGTCCCAAAGCCGAGGAGGGACGGGACTCCTCTGGCATCTCTGGCTGTGCAGGTGGGGGGGATGGCAGAGGGATCAGGGGCCAAGAAGCCCTCCCTGCCGGCCAAGGCGGCCGGCTGGGCCCAAGCCCTTTGCCGTGGCCTGGTGTGTTTTTGGAGCAACCAGTATGCCTGGCTGCTGGGGGTGCCCTGTCTCCGGCGAGCTTACCACCTCTGGTTGGCAGCCGTGGTCATTTTTGGGCCGTTGCTGCAGTTCTACGTGAACCCCCGAGCCATCTTTGCCAACCACCATAACTTCTTCAACATGTGAGTGATCGCGGGGTCTCTTAAAACATGTTTGTGGTTGCATGCCTGGGGGAGGCGGGCGGGAGAGTGGCTTGGCAGAAAACAAGGCTTTGTATAGCAGCGATAAATCCCTGGTTCATCCACACCGAATATCCTGGGGTCAACTGATGCCATCCGATCTCTGACTGCCAAATGCAGCCGTTGACTTGAGTTGCGGGGAATCTCTTCCCAAGGGCAGAATACTATCATACCGGGCGCTATTATCCCCAGTGCTTTTGAGTGCCAAATGAAAAATCAGTTGTGCGTTCAGAGCTCAGCATAGCAAAGTTTCCGCAACTGTTAGTTTGGGTATATTGGAATGGCTGATAGGTCCCAGACATCTCTAAAAAGATTCATATTCCACTATTCATATTTAATGACTTTTGTTCAAGTTTTCACGATACAGTATTATCTGGAACAGATACAATAAAAAAGACAGAGGATAGAGAGAAAGGGAACAAGAAAAGGAGACAGAAAAAGAACAGAGAGAGAAACATTAAATATAAAGGGGACAAACTTCTGATTTTCCGTCATTAGAAAATGATTATTTAAGACATTCAGTCTCCATCGTCTCTGCTTTCTGCTAAGCCAAATTTCTTTTTAGCCAAAATGTCACAGTGCCCTTCATTTCTTCATCCCACGAGCAGCCCAAGAGGGAATCCCTAATTGTTACTATCGGTTAATAGCTTTACCTCCGTTAGTTCCCACTGCCATTCCTCCGTATTGGGAAATGGCATTTTCCCATCCATGTTCATGTTAACCTTTCTCCCCTGTGGTCATGTATTGGAAAAATATTCTGTATTCCCCACCCCCCTGTTCACTTTCCCCAGGCAGGTTATGCTTTGTACGCAGGATATGTGATGTATTTGGGGTCTTGCCCATCCGTTTGCTTGGCGGCCCCATTTTTGGGGGCCAGTTCTCCTGCCGCCCTCCATGGCTCGCGGTTTGGGGTTCCTCTCTTTGAGGTGCTTCGTCTTCTGCTCCTCTGCTCTCCCCAATTTGGGCTAAATCCAGCATTGGGGCAGCGGACCGCCTTCCTGCCCCACCCTGCTAACTTTCCTCCGTTCTTGTTCCCTCGCAGAAAGTTTGTCCGGTCGGCCTGGGGCTGGACGTGCATTTTCCTGGGCGGCTTCATCCTTTCGGTGGTTTACCTGGCGACCCACCGGGTTCTGCTCACCTTGAGGCACCTCAGCCGCTTGGGCGTGGGGGCCGGGCTCTGGCTGGGGGCCACAGAGACCTTCCTCCTCATCGAAAACCTCACCGGCTACTGTTTTGACCCCGTGCCCGAGGGCATCCTGGTGAACAACCTCCCGGACAAGTGGACGTGTTTGCACGAGGGCCACACGTGGCACGGCTACGACGTCTCGGGCCACACTTTCCTGCTGACCTTCTGCTGCCTCCTGATGGTAGAGGAGACCTCCGTCTTCCGCCGCTACCTGGCCCAGGGCCACCCGGCCGGTGTCCCCCTACGCCTCATCTTCCTCCTCAACGTCTTCCTCCTCGCCCTGTGGAACTTCCTCCTGGCCTGCACGGTAGTCTACCTCTACGACTACAGCCACAAGGTGGTGGGCGCCGCCATCGCCACCCTCTGCTGGTTCCTCACCTATCGCGGCTGGTACCGGTGGCGCTGGTCTCCCGGCCGGCCGGGAACGGGCCTCTTTGTCAAGGGGAGCCCCGGGGAGGCCAAGAAACGGAACTGAGCCCACCCCCCACCCCAGAAGGCAAAGGAGAACAACCAAGGGGTTTCTTCTCCCCCCTAGAGACAAATAAAGATGGGGCCTGCTCTGTTCTCTATTCGTTGTCCTGTGTGTGCTTTTTAGGGGGGTCTTGAAATTCAGACTACAAATGTAAGGTAAAGGGACCCCTGACCATTAGGTCCAGTCGTGGCCGACTGGGGTTGCGGCGCTCATCTTGCTTTATTGGCCGAGGGAGCCGGTGTACAACTTCCGGGTCATGTGGCCAGCAGGACTAAGCCGCTTCTGGCGAACCAGAGCAGCGCACAGAAACGCCGTTTACCTTCCCGCTGGAGTGGTACCTATTTATCTACTTGCACTTTGATGTGCTTTCGAACTGCTAGGTTGGCAGGAGCAGGGACCGAGCAACAGGAGCTCGCCCCGTCGCGGGGATTCGAACCACCGACCTTCTGATTGGCAAGCCCTAGGCTCTGTGGTTTAACCCACAGTGCCACCCGCGTCCCTAGACTACCAATGTAGCGGGTGCTTAAGTTTCAAGACTTAATCCTGCGTGCAGGTGGCAGACCCAAATTCTACCATTTCCCATGTTTTGTGTGTTTAAAAGTGTCGTGGAATCAGATGGGACCTTCAGGGTCATCTAGTCAAACCCCCTCCAATGCAGGATTTTTTGGGACTCGAACCCACAGCCCTGAGATGTAGGAGTCTCATGCTCTGCTGACCTATCCCAGCTTTAAATAGTCCCCCCCACACACATCTAAAATAGTTTTTCTCTTTTTGTATGCTACATGTTTGTTTAGATTTGTTTTAAATATAGTGCAGGGCAGGAAAGGAAACTGGCGTGTGAGGAGAAAATCTAGGCTCAGGAATAAATTTTGTGCGCGTGAGCATATGTCTTTAATAGGAGTTCTTAATCAAATGCACTTCTACCACCTCACTGAGGACTAGATCCCTGTCAGCCCTCCATTTCCAGTGTTTCTGCTGCACAGTGTATATGATCGAGTAGTTTCTGAGCACATGCAGAGTCCCATTTGCTTCCCAGTGAGCCAGACTTTCACCATTTTAATAAATGGTGGAAATGCCAGACCCAGAGCGATGCGCTCGGAAAACCACGTCAACCTGCTAAGAGTCTGCATGTAGACGTGTCTTAAAAGCTGACTTGGCTAAGTTGTACCAATTTCACACAATGCACACACAGCCTGTGGAACTCGGTGTACCAGGATGTTAAGTGTTAGCATAATTGGGCTTTAATTTTTTTATTTAAAAACCAGCCTGTGATATACATTGTTTTAATGTTGGTGGCTAATGTTCCACAGCCAGCCCCAAAAGCACAGTCCCTGCTGGTTCATGACAGCTGTGTTGTTTATCAGAAATCAAGCCTGCTCTCTCTCCAGCCAGGGAAAAGAGACTGGCCGAAAGTGGAAGGCCCCAGTGTGGCAATTTTAAGACAGCTGATGCTCATTCACAAGCAGAGGGGGAAAGACAGGTCCCATACCACCACCAAAATAATAATAATAATAATTCTATATTTTAAAATGGCTTGTTTGTTTTCCCTTCCTTGGCCGGTTGGATTATCTTGAGTCAGAAATTATACTCCCTGTCAGATGGGCAGGACATCTCCTCCTCCTTCTCCTCCTCCTCCTCCTCCAGGCCTAAAATACTCCAGGGAGTGATTGTGAGGATCATGGGGTGCAGAAAACCCCCCTAAACTTCATGAAAGCGGGACAAACACTCCACAACCTCTCATTTTGAAAAGCAACATAACTGGAAAACTCCACAAAGTTTGAGGCGCATTAGACAGCTGCAGAAATTGGTGCGTGCCGCATAGAAGCAAGGGGGAGCCCTATCCTCGGGAGGCAGTGTGGGCTAGTGGTCGGATCGGGCTGTGCCAAAGGGCCGGAGAAACGGACTCAACCCCCCCACCTTCCAGTCCTCCTCTCTCGGGCTAACCTACCTCACAGGGCTGCAGTGAGGATCAAATGAAAGCAGGAGACCGAAGAACCATGTTTGCTGCCCTGAACTCCTGGGGGGTGTAGGTATATGAAAAAGTCATTTTTTAAAAAGAGTAAAAAATATTCCCTGCTGGCATTCTTACACAGGATTTGGGGGGGGGGGACCTTTCCGTTTCAAAGTGCAACCTCTAGGCAAGTTCTGCGCCCCACCTTCACCCCCTTTTAAGACATTGCATTAAATATATGTATATTAGCCCAGCAAGCATTGCCTGCACTGGCTGGCAGCATCTCAGGATTTCAATTGACGACTGAACTTCAGGGGTCCGCCTGCATTGCGCCGCTGATGCTCTCCCCGTCCAATAATAATAATATAATAATAATATTACTATTTATACCCCGCCCGTCTGGGTGGCTTTCCCCCAAACGAGCCTTGCTGCCGGCTGAGTTTCTTTGAACCCCGGACGGAGATGCAACAGGCAGGAGGAGAAGCTGCCCCTGTTGAATGGCTGCCTGGCGGTCCCTCCCGCGCCTCCCCTTCCCGCAGTGGGAAGTCCCTGCCTCCTCCTCCTCCTCCTCCTCCGCGCGGGTTGCATCTCCCCATTTCTCTTCTCCTCCCCTTCCCTTTCATTTTCGCTTTGATGCATGACTTGCCCCGGCCGCTCCCAGCCTCCCGCGCCACTTTGCAACTTCGCCTCCCGGGGTTTTTTTGGGGTTCGGCCCTTCCCTGTTGCAACCCCAAAAGCCGCCACTCGCCACTCCGGTTTTGCGCAGCCTGAACCCGACGCCATGGCGACTTTGGAGGTTTCCCCGGAGTGCGAGGCGAAGGTAAAGTGGAATAAATTGGGTGGGTGGGGGGTCACGGAGAGGCTGGTGTGTTTGTGGGGGTCTCAGTTTTAGGGGTGTGGTTTTTTTAAGGGGAGACTACAAGAGCAGAGGCAGAATCTGCCTCCTGTCGCTTTTCAGAACGCGGCAGGCGGAAATCCAACAGGTGTCCCCCTCACTTTCGCTTTTTTGCGGGGGAAGCCTGGGAAGGAAGAAAGTTCTTTGTTGGGGTTTCTAACCTGCCCATCTTAGGCAAAGGCACCTTTACCCTGTCTAATGGAGACGGGGTGGGGGCTCTAGGGGGTTGCCTGGAATGGGGAGCGCAGGGGGAGAGATTTGGGGGTACTTAAAATCCGAATTGGGAAGGACGTTTGAGCCCTGTCCCTGAACAACAGACAGGACGGCAGCTTTGGAGGAAGGGGTAAAGGTGGGTTGGTCTGGATGGGGGGGTGCGCTTGGCACCTGTGTGGGAACCGGCACCCTGTTTTTTTTCCCCTTTTTAAATAATTTTTTTATTAGATTTTCCACAATGATAACACAAACTACAAAGCAAAATGATACACAAAAACATAAAAAAGGGAACAATAAACAGATAAACAATAACAACAAACTTAATTCTTCACAAATCCAACCTTGTAAACATCTCGGTTGACTTCCTCAAATCCCTCCCTTCTGAGTTTCCTTGTAATTAAAAGTAACAGCTTTCCAATATCATTATTGAACCAAAACAATTTCCAGTTATAGTCCATCTTGGTCACTTTTCTGAACATTCTAAAGCCCATTTATTTAATTATAACTTAGTTTAATCCTAGGCCTGTTTGTTTCTTTCAAGTAATTTCTAATTTTTTATATTACAATATTTATTCAAATAGACCTTAAATTTCCCCGGCACCCTGTTTTCTGCCTCGTCAGGCGGTAGACCGAGCGGTGAGGCCAACAGGTGCGCAGCAAGATCAGGTGATGGCTGCCCCAGAGGGCCTGGCGTGGGGCCCAGACGCGTCTGGCCATTGTCCTGACTCTGTACATTTTTTCGATCCATAGTTTCATTTTTTTCTCTTTTTCCACTGTGCAGGTGAACTCCTTCAAGAAGGAGCTGTGTACCCAGGTAAGAGGCTCTCATTTTTTTTCTTTACTATCCCCCCAGCACCCCAAAACCCCTGTGGCTTTTACTACAGAGGCACCCCCAAAGCTTATTCCTTTAGGAAGGGGGATAGGGAAGGCTAAACCAAACTGGATCTCTGTCCCAGAGCCTACCTCTCTGCTGACATGGTTGAACCCCTAGAGTAACAGTTAACCACTGAGCACGTGCAGAGTGCAATTCCCACACGCTTGGGATTTTGGGGGCCACATTCCCGTTTCAAAGTGTGTAACCCCTAGGCAAGTTCTGAGCCCCGCTGCCATAACTTTCATTTTACATTCCATTTTTAAAAAAATATTTAAAATTGATTTTCTGTGGTTTAACATAGAATTAAAGCAGAAGAAGGAGCTAAAACCATCTTTGGTACGTTTCGATATCCGAACGGTTCTGCTTTGGATTTTGCCACAAAACTGCACAAGATTCTAGTTCCTTTTGAGTAAGCAGAGATTAGCCACCATAATACCGGATATAAGCTTTGCTGCTAAGATTTTAGGCCTCCACAGAGTGGAGCTGCTTCCTGTGACTTTGCATTTTATTTTATTTTATTTTGGACGGTTGTGCGAATGTGCATCTGTTTCCCTCCCCCCTTCTCTTTTAATCTGCCAGAGTTTTCATTCCTTTTGTCCTCCGATATTTCTCTTGTCTAAGGCCTTTTTCTCACTCCCCCACAACTTCTATCTTCCCCAAGGCTGAAGAACTTGTTGCCAGACGCTTCCCAGAAAAGATTGTGGAGCTCAGTAATTTTCTCAAGGTAAAAACTTCCTTGCGGGTTTTGGAATGCAGGCGGGGGGGGGGGGCTTGTAAATGGTTTTCTGCAGCCGGCATTTAAAAGAAAAATAGGAAATTGCTGGAGGCGAAGGGAATTGTCGCAAAATGATCAGCTGAGATTTCCCCCCCAAGATTTGGGAGAACCAAATGGGATTTGGGACGCTACAGAGTTAACAGTTCTGAAATCTAAAGGGCTTTGATTGGAACAATGTGAGGGAAGACAAGAAAAAAATCAGAATGGTGTTCTACAATTTTATGAAGGGATCACAACTAATATTTTGAACGGAGGAATGCTTGCTACTGAAAGGCGGGGCTTAAATGGACTCCAGGTTGCAATTCTAGACATGCTTTTCTTGTAAACAAAAATTGCCCTTTTCCCTTCTGGGCTATCCAGGAGCCCATATAGAGTCCTTGCATAGGTTCCCTATTGGTAGGAGAGAATAACAGAGGCCAACCAGAGACTATTGAGAAGCAAAGCAGCTAGTAAGCCTGATCTTTATTGATCTGTTGCAACAGGGTGCTCCCCTCACACGCAGGAGAGGAAGAGGAACCCAGAAAAATGGCGCGCAAGGCCTTATAAAGACTTTTGAAATTGCCACCCTGTAGATCAAGACCACCCCCAGAAACATCATACATACATCACAGAAGGGGTGTAACCTAAGACCACGCCTCAGATACATCACACCTACATCACAGAAAAGGCGGTCTAAAACAGAAAATTAAATATTGTTTTTCTCCTGTCGTTGTTTATCTCCTGTCTGCCAGGTTACCTGTTAATGGTCACTTGATTGGATTGCCTGGCCAGTCTTTTGTACAGATAAATACTTAGTTCCTGGGCCAGGTCACAGGCTCACACCCTACGCATATCTTGAATGTGCCCTTAAGACAGGATTTGTGAGGAAAGAGACAATGGGGAGGTTTCCCACTTTGACCTTGCAGAGAAAACATTTGCTCAGTTTAGGAATCAAAATGGTTCCAGGTTGGCCTTCCTGTGCTGATCTATGTATGTGCTTGGTTGGTACACTTATGAACCTTACCATATATCTAAGACCATAAAATTCCTATCACACTTTTCCTGGGAGGAGGTCCTGCGGAACTCATTGGGACTTGACTTCTTGGTTGACCCACATAGGATTGGGCTACTAGCCCTCATGACGGAAGGTGCATGGAAGAGAAGACCGGGAAAATGGCCTCCCTGTGTGAACTGCAGATTCAAGCTGCGTAGCTCGGATGATTTTGGGTGAACTGGGGGTCAATTAGAAATGGTAGCAGGTTAAACCAGATCCCAAACAATTAAGCTTCCTATTTGCCTTCTGTTTGGCAGGAAAAGTGGCGTGGAAATCAAATAAATAATATTAAATAATAATATGTAGAACATTGCCCTTCTCTTTCCTTATCTTGCTTCTGACACCTGACCTGTTTTTCCAGATATTTGGTGATGATGGCTTGCTGTTGACTGGTTGATTTCACAGCTGTTTTTCCATTGGGGTTCTGTCTGAGGATTCCTTATGAATTCTATTAAATCACCGTATTTTTCTGTCTATAAGATGCCCCCATGTATAAGACACCCCATATTTTGGGCAACTCCAATTTAAGAAAATGGGGGAGGAGATCTAGCCGTGTATAAGACGCCCCCAAATTTTGGACATTCTTTTTTAGGTGGGGAAACCTAGTCTTATACACGGGAAAATACGTTATATAATGTCCCCCCTTTCTTGTATTTGTGAGGCTTTGTTTTCTTAAAAAGTCGCTTGGAGACCTCTCTGTGTAGCAAGGTTCGGAAAGGGACTTCCCTGTGAGGAAAGGTCGCAGAATTTGGGGACTTTTTAGGTTAAAGGAAATCAAAGGAAGAGGCGACATGCTAGAAAATTGTAAAATCATGCATGGAATTAAGAAAGTGGGTGCAGAAAAGATTCCCCCCCCCTTCTCTCAGAACACCAGAACTCATAGACATCCAGTGAAACTGAAAGTTGGGAAATTAAGGTCAGATAAAACCTTCATGCAGGTCATAATCTATGGAACTCCCTGCCACAAGATGCAGAGTTGGCCACCAACTTAGATGGCTTTAAAAGAGGATTGGGAAAATTCATGGAGGAACAGAGGGCTGTCAGCGGCTTCTGGCTATGATGGCTATTCTCTGCCTCCTCAGACAGAGGCAGCAATCCTTCTGAATACCAGTTGCCGGAAACCAGAGGAAGAGAGGGGGCTCTTGAGTTCAAATCCTGCTTGCAGGTTTCCCACAGGCCTCTGGTTGCCACTGTGAGAACAGGATGCTGGACTTAGATGAGCCGTTGGCCTGACCCTGCAGGCTCTTATATTACGTTCCTATGCCAAGCGACTAATAAATTGAATTATTATTGTTATTAATGATTTGCACTTATCGGTCACGTACAGAAGAAAAGGTCTCAAACCGGCCAGACGAGATAAAATGCGAAACGTAAAAAGCAAGATCTTTTTATTCATCAACTGAAATAATAATAATAGTAATAGTAATAATAATAATAATAATATAATAATTCTGCGTAGTTCTATGCAGAACTAGATAAACTAACAGGAAGGATTCGAAACCGGCGGGACCAGAAATTCACGGAAGACTGGAGTAAATTTACGGACTATTTGGAAAGTATTTGTGAAGATCAGACGACGTTTGTAGGTTTGCAAGAAGTTTTGTGAGGAGTATTGTTGGAAGTATTGCAAAAATGGAGAAGGGGGAGGATGATTTGTTAAGAGATGTAAAGGCAATATAAAGTTAAGAAATGCATAAGAAGTGGTTAAAACGGTGGATCATCAGAGGTGCTGATGGAAGTCCAAAATGATTGTATAAGTGATAGGTTTTGTGGTACATTTTATAATTTATATGTTAAAATCAATAAAAATTAAATAATAAGAATAAATAGTAATATGTAAGAAACACCCCGCTCCAAGACTCGGATGTTGGGGGCAGCAACGAGAAGTGGGGAATTGCAAAGCCTGTTTCTTCATCTCTCCCCCCCCCCAGTCCCCCGAACTGAACGTCTCGGACCTGATTTCCCTCCGCGTTGAGTTGGACATCCCTATCCCTGACCCCAAAAAGGATGAAGAGCGTCGCAAGCAGCGGGAGGTGAGTGGGGCAGGGGATTTGGGTCATATCTGTCAACTGTCCCTTATTTGGCGGGAAACTCCCTTATCCCAGCGCCATGTCCCGCTGCTGTCCCTTACTGATGATGTCCCTTAAATTTCCCGGGTTTCAAAGGAAGCAGCTCCTCTCCCTCCCTCCCTGCCGGCCAGGGAGGAGGGAGGCTCCAACTGTGTTGCTTGGCTGCGTTGCTCACCCAATAAGGAGTCTCAGAACGACTGGGGGGTGGAGCTTGCATGCCTTGTGCCAATCAAATCGGCCGCATTGCCTGGGGACTCGCCTTTGCTCAGCGCTTCCCAGCGGAGAGGTGACGGCGGTTTCCCTTGCTGCATCCCCTTTGCCGGGTTGCTGCGCTGTGGGAACCACCGCTTGAGGCTTCGTTTGGCTGCTGGCTGGGCTTTCTGCCTTTGGCTCGGAGGGGCTCAGAAGTTGAACATACCTGTGTTCGGGAAATCCCTTATTTTGGCTGCTGATCCCTTATTTTCGAGGCTGCTGGTCCCTGATTTTCAAATCTGTAAGTTGACAGCTACGATTTGGGTTGGGGCTCTGGACCTCGAAATTGTGGGGCAGCAACAGATCAGATCCCGGCAAATCGCAGATTCCCCCCGTTTCTGGTCCTACGCGGAAGCTCTTTCCGTGTGCAGTATTTTTACTGCGTTCAAAACCTACGTGTCTCAAACCTTCGCCTCCCTGCCTCCGTTTTTCCTGCTCTCACAAAACCCTGTGAGGCTGATCAACCTCCATCCTTCATCTCCAGAGGTGGCGCCACTTTTCGCCCTAGTTTCCCACATCCAGATTATATTTTTTTTTTTTGCGCAACTGGACTATCCCAGTTGAGAGGACGGTTGTGGGTGGGTGACCTCAATATTACGCCTCTCCTTTAATTCGTACCTTCCTCTCTTGCCCGGAGCACTGGAAGGATCTGATCTTAACAGCTGCAATTCCTTCCTTCCTTGATAAGCAGTGCTTTGAATTTAGTCCTCCCTGCCCCAGGGGCTGTGGGGGTATTTATATCTCTGCCTTCCCCATTCCTTTTGTCACGAAGAGCATAATCTCTAGTTAGAAAAAAACATCCCTGTAATTACGTTTCTTTGGGTGTCTTCTAGTGTGTGTTAGTGAGATGCCCTTTGTTGCTGGGCTTAAATTAAGATTTTTCTGCTTCTGCCAACTCTGTCGTTCTCTGTTCAGGCGATCCGAAGGGAAGTTATAATTATTTATAATAATACTAATTTATTATTTATACCCCACCCATCTGGCTGGGCTTCCCCAGCCATTCTGGGCGGCTTCCAACAAAATATTAAAATACTGCAATACATCAAACATTACAGTTGGGACGTGTTCTTGAGAGAGAGAGGAATATATTTCCTTTTCCCTTTTCCTTCTTCCGCCCAAGGAAATCAGTAAACTCTCAGGCGACAGGGAAACAGTTGTGGACTGGCGGGTGATGGGTTCGGATTCCGCAACCTGTGATGGGCTGGAGAAGGACATTTTCTCTCTGATCGGTTGCTAAAAAGAAGGAGGAAGTTCAGTTTCTGTGGCCACATTCGCACCATGCGCTGTGGTATCACAGCCATGGCTTCCCCCAAAGCATTCTGGGAGTTGTAGTTTGTTAAGGGTGCTGAGCAACTCCTGTTTCCCACGCACAGCTGCAATTCCCAGTCCGTCGCTCTTCACAAGGAACTCTGGGAATTGTAGTTCTGTGAGGGGAATGGGGTGCATGTCTTCTAACAGCTCTCAGCACTGTTAGCAGACTACAACTCCCAGAATTCTTTGGGGGGAGCCATGACAGTTTGTTACAGCTCTTAACATGTCAACCTGCAACCTCTGGCGTTTCCTGCAAGGGAATGTAGCCTTCAGGCTGTAAAAAGTCACCCCTCTATGCTGGGGTAGCTCAGTCGGTGCAGCGCGAGTCTCTTAACTTCGGGGTCACGGGTTCGAATCCCGTGTCGGACAAATGATTTCTCTGTCGCAGGGGGTTGGACTGGATGACCCTCGGGATCCCTTCCAACGCTATGCGTACTGGTGGGTGGCTCTCTTTCTGCCTTCCCCTTGTGCATTTTGTGATCTTGTTCCTTTATTCCCGCGCAGAAAGAAGAGAAGGATTCCAAAAAGGAAGAGAAGGACTCAAAAAAATCGGAGGACGAGGATAAAGGTACGCAGGATTCCCTGTGACGTCTGGCAGGGAGACATTTTGAAGCCTTTCCGTGGAAATGGGGAGCGAGAGGTGTCCCACCTTGAATTGTCCCAGCGGGCTGCATTCTGCGCTGTTTTACTAGCCAGGCCCCGTCCCCACTGTGCGTTTAAAGCAGTGTCGCCCCACTTTGAACAGCCGCAAAGGATTCTGGGAACTGTAGTTTCACGGTCAACCCACCTTCCCAGGGAACTCTGGGAAATAGCAGCTCTCTGAGCGAAATGTTTTTGAATTTATTTTCTTCATTAAATTTGCTATTTTATCAAACGGAGGCGGTGGCCTTGGACAATAGGCCTCCGTTGAAAGATGAGGCTAAGGATAAAAAAGAATGTTTATAATACAGTATAATGAGAAGGATGGGAAGAATGAACACTTTTGTTGTGTAAATAATGTTGTCTTTTCTTCTTTTTTTATTTTGTAGCTTTGTTATTTCTTTATTTTTTTCCTTTTCCTTTTTTTTATTACTTTATAAAATTTCTATTTACTACCTATTTTATTTACTACCTATTTACTATCTATTCTATTTACTAAATATTTCTATTTACTAATATGTACTATTTTCTTTTTCTTCATGTAAAGTGATAGCACATAATGCTTGTATAGATATGTAAATTTTTAATCAATAAAGAATAATAATAAAAAAGAAAGATAGATGAGCCTAAGGAAAGATATCTGGATTGTATCCAAGTCAACCCATTGAAATGAATGGGCTTGGCTGACATAGCTTCATTCACTTCAATGGAGAACTTGGTTGGCCACAAGCCACAGTTACCAGCTGAGTAGGCCTGTCCCCGGTCCCATTTAATCGAGGTTATTTAAAAAAGAAATAAATGCAATTACTCATGGCTGGCAGCCATCTTAGAAGAGCTCCACACACCCCATTTCTTTTTTACACAAGGGGAAATGCCTCTTCTACTACTGCTTGAGAAAGGAGGCCGCCTTTGCATGCTTTCCTCTCTTCTAAGCTGGCGGCCGTTGGCATATGTGCCAAGCGCCACCTTGAGGGTGTGACGCCTCTGACGTTCTCCGCCTCTTCCTTCTTCTCCCCAGCGCCCCCCTGCGGTCCAGTTTGCCACAACGAGAAGATCACCGCCCTGCTGAACCGCGTGAAGCCCGAAATCCAGGGCACGAAGGAGAAGCTGAACTTGGTGAGGGGTCCGGAGGAAACGGGTCTCGTGCCCGCCCCTTTGCACAACCAGACATGCTGACCTAGTGCCCTGCTCAGTGTTGGAAGGGACCCCAAGGCTCATCCAGCCTAATAATAATAATAATAATAATAATTGTTAATTGTTAATAATAATAATAATTGTTAAGTTGTGGGTGAACATATCAGACAACACAGTGATTCTTCAAACAGCTCTTGTTTATTCACAGGCCAGAACAGAACTGAACTGAAGGGTTCAGCCACCCTTCTTATCAGAGAAGGATATCTTATCTTATATCTTATATATATCTATCTATCTTATATATCCACTAGAACGCAACAGTAACCATTTTCTGTAACTATCCAATCACTGAATGTCACTTTCGATCCCTTATTTGCATATGTGGACCTGAACTATCTACAGTATCCCCCTGCTGGCCCAGGGTGAGAACTTCAGTACATAATAATAATAATAATAATAATAATAATTTTTATTTATACCCCGCCCTCCCCAGCCAAGGCCGGGCTCAGGGTGGCTAACAAGCAATAATAAAAACAAGTTGAATGAATACAACTTAAAAACAAGATTAAAATACAACAATTAAAATATTGGAACATTAAAATATTAAAATGCAGCCTCATCACAGGAGGAGAAAGGAAAAAGGAAAAAGGAAGAGGGGGAGGGAATCAAATTGGCCCTGTGGAAAGAAATCAGATCCTGCAGGGCCCTGGTCTCATGAGGCAGAGCGTTCCACCAGGCCGGGGCCAGTGTTGAAAAGGCCCTGCTTCTGGTTGAGGCTAATCTAACTTCCTTAGGGCCCCGGACCTCTAGGGTGTTGCTATATGTGGACCTTGAGGCTCTCCGCGGGGCATACCGGGAGAGGCGGTCCTGTAGGTACAAGGGTTCTAGGCCGTGAAGGGCTTTAAAGGTCAAAAGCAACACCTTAAACCTTAATTATTAAAATAATAATAATAATAATAATAATAATAATAATAAAGAGTCTCTGGACTATGCAGAATTAGATAAATTAACAAGGAAGGATTCAAAACCTGCGGGATCAGAGATTCTTAGAGGACTGGAGTAAATATATGAACTATTTGAAAAGTAGCTGTGATGAACAGGCTACGCTAGTAGGTCTGCCAGAAGTTTTGTAAGGTGGATTATCTGAAATATTACAAGAAAGACTATGAAAAGAATGATCAGTTATTAAATGTAATCTAGAAATTAAAAACGCAGAATAAGTGATAAAGAACGAAAAATCATCAAGGTGTTGACGGAAGTCCAAAACATTGTATAAGATGACTGCTGGAATTGATATGGTAAAAAATTAATAAAAATGTATATCTATATAAAAAAAGAGATTAAGAGTCTCATTCTCTCTTCCCTCCTTCTCTGCCCAGATCTCGCTGTGGCTACAACTCCTGGTCCCGCGCATTGAGGACGGCAATAATTTCGGAGTTGCTGTCCAGGTGAGTTTTGGCCCACAGGTCTCCCAGCTCTCCCCGAACACCTTTTCTGTGTGTGTGTGTGTGTGTGTGTGTGTGTGTGTGTGTGTATTTGTTGACAGTGTTGTAACAGGAATAGACAGGTCCATGGAGGAGAAGACTGCCAGGGTACCAATAATATAATTATGATGATTCTTCTGAAGACCAGTTTTTGGAAACTGCAGAAGAGGAGAGCGTTCTTGTTTTTGGGTCCCACTTATGGGTCTCACAGAACGGGAATCTGTTTGGCTGCTGTGAGAACAGGATGTTCTTACGTTTGTGTGGCCTAGCGGACTTTTCTCAGCCCAATGGGATGTTACCTCTAGCACATCTCGCAACTCCTCAGTGTTATACGACCAGGTCTTAGTTTTAGTATAGGCACACTGGTGTACAGTGGTACCTCAGGTTAAGTACTTAATTCGTTCCGGAGGTCCGTTCTTAACCTGAAACTATTCTTAACCTGAAGCACCACTTTAGCTAATGGGGCCTCCTGCTGCTGCCGCGCTACCGGATCACGATTTCTGTTCTCATCCTGAAGCAAAGTTCTTAACCTGAAGCCCCAGTTCTGGGTTAGCGGAGTCTGTAAGCGGAAGGATATGTAACCTGAAGCGTATGTAACCCGAGGTACCACTGTATAGCTATGGAATGGGGTTTTTGGTGGCAGACCTCAGCAGTGCCGCCCCAAATTATTTAATAATAATAATAATAAATTTTATCTATACCCCGCCCTCCCCAGCCAAGACCAGGCTCAGGGCAGCTAACACCAAATATAAAAACAATTGATTGAAATACAGCTTAAAAAACAAGATTAAAATACAATGTTAAAATGCAGCCTCATTTCGGTGGAAACTCCAAGTTTCCTCTAAACCAGAGAAGTGGAGGGATTTGGGGCTCTGGATTGCATTGAGCCATGGGACTCTTTTTGACACACCTGATTCGTAAGTCCAGAAAAAGAGAGAGCGCGAAAGAGACCTTGCCGTCCTTCAACTCTGCTTCTACCCACCACTGGCTCTGACTCTACCTGCTAGGCGGTACAGCGCCCAAATGATTTTCCTTCATAGGAAAAAAATGATCCAACTCATCTTCTGCACTATCAAGAGAGCTGGCATTTGGTGCACTACGTACCCAAAGAGATCCGTGGGAGAATCTGAAAGCGGTGGTGTGTGCCACCGAGCATGTGCAGAGTGCACTGCCCTCCTCGTCCGTTAGCCAGTGTGGTGTAGTGGTTAAGAGCGGAAGTCTTGTAATCTGGGGAACCGGGTTCGATTCCCCGCTCCTCCACCTGCAGCTGCTGGGTGACCTTGGGCCAGTCACACTTCTCTGAAGTCTCTCAGCCCCACTCACCCCACAGAGTGTTTGTTGTGGGGGAGGAAGGGAAAGGAGAATGTTAGCCGCTTTGAGACTCCTTAAAGGGAGTGAAAGGCGGGATATCAAATCCAAACTCTTCTTCTTCTGCTGCTTAACTGCAGCTACACCCGGGATTAAGAAGAGTCCCTTTGCTAGCAGAGATGTCACGTAGACAGTCAATCTGTTTTGGGCCCAGAAATTATTCTTGTTCAGCCAAGACTTGCTCGCCATGTTTCCCGTTCCCTTTTCCTTGGACCCTGTCATCGCACTGGGAACTTCCTGTGCTATAACCCTCGTCTTTCTCTCCTCTTCCAGGAAAAAGTGTACGAACTGCTGACCTCGGCTCGGACAAAGCTGGAAACTTTCCAGACTCAGATTGCCAAGTGAGTCTGAAATCGGAAGCAGAGCAATTCCAACTTCCCCTTTTCCCTATATTTGGTTTAAAAGGGGGGAAAATACTGAGGAAGAGGGAAATTCGGTGAATTTTCTCCAAAGAGCTTCTCACTCAATCCACGCAACAACCCAGCGAGGTAGACTGAGAGGCTGTGACTGGCCCAAGTTCACCCCGTGAGAGCCAGTGTGGTGTAGTGGTTAAGAGCGGTGGACTCGTAATCTGGGGAACCGGGTTCGATTCCCCGCTCCTCCACATGCAGCTGCTGGGTGACCTTGGGCCAGTCACGCTTCTCTGAAGTCTCTCAGCCCCACTCATCTCACAGAGTGTTTGTTGTGGGGGAAGGAAGGGAAAGGAGAATGTTAGCCGCTTTGAGACTCCTTCGGGTAGTGATAAAGCGGGGCACCAAATCCAAACTCTTCTTCTTCTTCTTCATGGCTGAGTGGGGATTCGAACCCTGCTCTCCTAGGTCCTGGTCAGACACTCTAACCCAGTTTTCCTCAACCTCGGCCCTCCAGATGTTTTTGGCCTACAACTCCCATGATCCCTAGCTAGCAGGACCAGTGGTCAGGGATGATGGGAATTGTAGTCTCAAAACATCTGGAGGGCTGAGGTTGAGGAAGCCTGCTCGAACCACAACACCACACGGGCTGCTGGTGCTTGTCTGAAGTTTAGGACTACAAGTTCCATCAGCCTTGGCCAGTAGCCTAGGACAAGGAAGGCAAGAATACAACGTACCTTCATCCACACGGTCGCAAAATTCACAGCTGCAGAACATTCTTAACGCTTTTTTAAAATGCTTTTAAAACAAGGGTAGACGATACAATACGATAATCTTTATTGTCATTGTCCCATACAGAACAACGAAATTGAAAAAATCTACACCAGACATTCAAAAACCAAGCCGCCTGCTATCCCAGCCTAGTTAGCCCCCTAAAAACTCTGATACCCTAAAATTAAATACAATATACTCCCATAGAGACTACCTTAGACTGCGTTTAAAACCAAAATCACATTTGAATAGAACCTGTTTCTCAGGCGGCTAGTCCTAGTCTTTATAACCCTGTCCCTTCTTCCAGAAGGCAGAAGCTGAAAGAGATCATTTCCGGGGTGCGCACTATCCTGCGCTATCTCTGCAGCTTTCTTATGGCACGTGGAAGCATAGATTTGATCCAAGGTGGGAAGAGTGCACCCAGTTATTCTCTCCGCAGTCTTTACAGCCCTGGATGGCATTGTATTTTCCCTGACCGTGCAGCTCCCAAAACCACACACACAGACCATAAGACCATAGAATGTTGTACTTCCTATATGTTTCAGGCTGAAACTCCCCTCACATCCTAGACCTGAGAAGGACTGATTTGGTTCTAAATTACCAGCAAGGGGACAGATTGATTCCCCTAGGAGAAAAGGTTGCGGCATTTGGGGTCTTTTAAAGTTTAAGCAAAATGTAAGACATGGCTTGTAAGATTATGCATGGGATACAAAAAGTAGATAGGGGGAAATCCCCCTCCCCAATATGGCTAGAAATCTTGGACAGCCAATCAAGCTGAGTGTTGGAAGTTTGGGGGCAGATTAAAGAAAGGACTTACTCACGCAGGATGTAGTTAAACTGCGGAACTCCCTCCCACAAGAATCAACGGTGGCTGCCAAAATGGATGGCTTAAAAAGGGGGTTGGATAAATTGATGGATCCGCCAGGTCCTCATTAGGTTCTTATTGAACAGCATTTATATACTGCTTGATTGTAGTAAAACCTCTGAACGTATTGTAATAAATAATAAGATTATCAGTTGAAAACAGGCCACGCAGGTCAGCTGCCTGGGCCAGCTAAAGAGGTTCGCTGGGGGAACTCATTTTACTGCTGAGTTGAGGCAAGTTGGTTTCCTCCTTCCCTCCCCCATCTGATGAATGGAGCGGCGCTTCAGAAGAAACTAATTCCTCTTCCACGCAGCTTAAGCTCCCTGACCCGAGATCCAAAGATTGCACAGGTCCCTCCCAGGTGAATCAGGTCCTCCAAGCAACAGCCGGTCCTTAAGGAGGTGCTTGTGGGGAGGAGAAGAGGAGGCAACTCTTCCCATCTCACACACAGGGCTTCACAAAGGGCGAAAATCCATCCTTTTGCTAGTTACCGTATTTTTCGCTCTATAAGACGCACCTAGTTTTTGGAGGAGGAAAACAAGAAAAAAAATATTCTGAATCCCAGAGGCCAGAACAGCAAGAGGGATCGCTGCGCAGTGAAAGCAGCAATCCCTCTTGCTGTTCTGGCTTCTGTAATAGCTGCGCAGCCTGCATTCGCTCCATAAGACGCACACACATTTCCCCTTACTTTTTTGGAGGGGAAAAGTGAGTCTTATAGAGCAAAAAATACAGTATTTTACGGTACTCTGTGTGTGTGTGTGTGTGTGTGTGTGTGTGTGTTGTGATGAGGAAAGCTTCACCTGTTGGATTTCTGCCTGCCCTCCCGGAAGACGGGGAAGCCGTGCCGGAAAACGAGGCAGCATCTTGGCTGCTCTTGCCGGGCCTAAAACGCTGACCTTGCTTTCCTATGTATAAAATGTCCGAAATGTTCAGATGAAGCCGCCTTCATCTGATCGCCGGGGTCTTACTCAGAGACCTTTCCCGTCTCCTGATGTTCCTTTCAACTGGAGATGTTGAGGACTGAATTGGGAGCCATCTGCCCTGCTCCTAGTTTGCAGTTTGTTAAGGCTGCTGGGAATTGTAGTGCTCCGAGGGGTACACTATAGTTCCCAGGTGCTGGTGGTTGGGGGGTGGCGAGAGATTGTGATTTAAATGTAGGGTGTATTGGATGCAGCTAATTGCTGTGGAGCTGAGCAGCTTCCTAGCAGTTGGGCAGAGAAAGCAAAGGTGAACTCAGCCTGTAAATGTGGGAGCGGCCGAGAACTCGCACTGTGGACTTTGCATGGATGCCCTAAATTGGTTGGTTGCTCAGCAGGGGTGTGAGCGAGCACAAACGACGGAGAGCGTGGGTGCAAACACACCCAGAACTCGTTAATTCAAAATCTAGGTCACAGTGCTGCGGACAATCCTTGCAATGCAAAATTGAGGTTTTTCCCGTTTTTGAGACCCGAGAAGCAACAGAAATCTTTCAGTGCTCCCTAGCGTGCCGATTTGAAAAGTTTAATTGAAAGTTCCCACCTGTTTGGCTTTCCACCACCCTCCCTAACTTTCTCTCCTCCCCCAAGCCTTTTCACGGGTGCCACCCCCCTCTCACACACACCTGGAGCTGTGCGCTGTCAACACCACAGGGAAACAGGTGTATAAACAGGTGTTTCAGATCGTTGGTTTTTGGGAAAAGGTGCTGTGACAGAAAATTTCACCCAAGTTGGTGGTGGTGGGTTTTGGTCAGTCCATTTGCGTTTCTTGTCCTGGGGGGTGGGTTTTTTTTTTGTCACGTACATGTTAATTTCGAGTAAGTATAATTTTTTCACCCCCCCCAAAAAAGTCCTCCTGATTCCTGTCACTCCGCCATTCTTTGTTACCTTTAAAAAGGGAACGATGAATTTCCCTTGTGTACCCTTTCTCTGCAAATTCTCTTCGTTCCATCCGCCAATTTAGCATAGCAAATTGAAAAGCAGTGGTTTTGCCTTCGGGAGGCAAGGTTGCCCTGAGCTTGCGATTTTGGGAGATTGATAGCATATGACCTAGAAAGGCCTGAGGATCAGGACGGGGAGGACTTAAAGGAGACCTGAAAAGTGATCCGGGCTTCAGGGCAGGGAAGGTGACCTGTGAAATTTGGCCTCTCTTGCAGTTGGTCAGTTCTGGGGTGGAGATTTCCTACCGCACTCATAAGGCAGTAAATTGAAATTTACTTCCGTCGGTGAATCGAAAGCCACCGTTAACAGCCGAACAAAAGGGGATGACTTTTTCTGCATCTTTGGAGCAAAAAAAGCCCCCAAACCATCCCACCTTGTGTGGGAAATGAGATACTTCTGAAGAATAGTTGCTGGAAACTGCAGCACCCATAGTCCACAGCAAGCGGGGGTAGGGTGGGGATAAGGTTTTGGGCCGCTGGCCAGATCCAGTTCTCTCCTGGGTCAGCACTGCAAGCAACAAGTGTGGTGGATTACACAGGTCAAGGGTGTGTATTTGGGTCTCTTCTCTGCTACAGACCCCCAATAGGTAAAGGTAAAGGGACCCCTGACCATTAGGTCCAGTTGCGGACGACTCTGGGGTTGTGGCGCTCATCTCGCTTTACTGGCCGAGGGAGCCGGCGTACAGCTTCAGGATCGTGTGGCCAGCATGACTGGCGAACCAGAGGAGCGCACAGAAACGCTGTTTACCTTCCCGCTGGAGCGGTACCTATTTATCTACTTGCACTGTTGTGCTTTTGACTGCTAGGTTGGCAGGAGCGGGGACCGAGCAACAGGAGCTCACCCCGTCGCGGGGATTCGAACCACTGACCTTCTGATCCGCAAGTCCTAGGCTCTGTGGTTTTACCCCATGATCTGTATCAACTCATTCCTGCTCTGCCTTCTTTGTGTTTCCCAGGTATTACTCTGAACGGGGCGACGCGGTATCAAAGGCAGCCAAAAGTCCACACGTGGTAAGTTCCTTCCTGCTTTAGTCATGTGGCAGAAACAGCTCAAGGGTTATGTAACGTAGGAAGAGGCCGTTGGGATCTGCCCAATGCCCCATCTAGTCCAGCCTCGTGTCCTCACAGTAGCCTGAGCACGAGAACACCCTTTCCCTCCCTCGCTACTGGTATTTGGGAATGTTCTCTGAACATTCGCGCTGACCTTCCCTCCTCTGTCACTCGCAGGGCGACTACCGCCAACTCGTGCACGAAATCGATGAGGCGGAATATGCTGAAATCCGATACATGATCAACGAGCTGAGAAACATCTACGTGAGTGATGGGGGGCTATGGGGCAGAGGGGAGCATCTGTGTTGCTGCTGGGCTTTTTGCCATCCGTATCCAAGGAATAAGCAAAGCAATGATGCACAGGAACATGAATGTGCAACGCTCGATTCATTGCGTTGTACAGGCTGACTCACGCTAGGTGAGTAGGCACCAGCTAGCCTGCTCTCCACGTAACCTGTCTCCATCGAAAAGTCTGGGCAGGCTTCAGCACAAATAGTTCCAGCCCCCTTCTTGTGCTCGTCTCCCATGGTAAAAAGGTTAAGGGGACCCCTGACCATTAGGTCCAGTTGTGACTGACTCTGGGGTTGCGGCGCTCATATCACTTTATTGGCCGAGGGAGCCGGCGTACAGCTTCTGGGTCCTGTGGCCAGCATGACTAAGCCGCTTTTGGCAAACCAGAGCAGTGCATGGAAACGCCGTTTACCTTGCCGCCGGAGGGGTACCTATTTATCTACTTGCACTTTGACGTGCTTTTGAACTGCTAGGTGGGCAGGAGCAGGGACCGAGCAACGGGAGCTCACCCCGTCGCAGGGATTCGAACCGCCAACCTTCTGATCGGCAAGTCCTAGGTTCTGTGGTTTAACCCACAGCGCCACCTGCGTCCCATGGACTGTACCACAAATGACATTTCTTTAAAAAGACAGGCGCATCCTGCGACTCGGAGTTCCAGAGGTTAACGGCACCTCCGATGAAGTTGTGCTCCCATTTGCTCCGTGTTAAGGTTTTGCAGTGGCTAACTTTGGAGTTAATGGTAATTTGAGTCTAGTGATTTATTTACAAACACAGAATTGCAATACAGTGGATCCTCTAGTTATGTACCGCTCTGGATACGTAACTTTCGGGTTACGAACATGGGAAACCCAGAAATGAATAGTTCTGGGTTTCGCCACGTGCGTATGGAGAAGCGCTCAATTGTGCCGTGCGCAGAAGCAGTGCCTCTGCCTACGGACTTTTCGGGTTGCGGATGGACCCCCAAAACGAATTTAATTTGTATCCAGAGGGTCCACTGTATAGCAAATTCCTGTTGTGCCTGCTTTCCTGGATCCAGAGAATGTGCTAGCGGGGAAGGAGTTTTTGGGTGGGTGAGCTCAAATGTCTACCTCCTCCTCAGCTTCATGTAGCTGCTCCTTAGTTTTATGTGCCTCATGCGACTGAAGTAGGCTGTTTGCCCCCCACCCCCAAATACTAGGTTTCAAAATATCTCTCTTTCTTTCTAGGCTGTGGTCTACGACATCACCCTGAAGAACTTCGAGAAGATTAAGAAGCCTCGCGATGACAACAAAGGAATGATCTACTAAGCCAACTCACCAGGATCAGGCTGGAAGAAGAAGAAGAAAACAACTCCTTTCACCAAGAACAGCCTTGATTTCACACAAGCTGTTTTGGGTTTGTTGTTGTTATTTAAATGCTCTAAATGATATCCAGTTAACTGGAACTTCCTGCCAACCAGCTTCATTCACTTTCAAAATAAAGAGGTTTTTAAATTTGACAAGTGTTTTTTTTTTTAAATTTATTATGTTATGAAACTAAATAAATGCAGCAACAACTTTTCATCTCCTACAAGTGCAGGATCTCTCAAGGGGGTGGAATAAATCCAGATCTGTATCTAGAAGCAACATGTTTCCAAAATTATCAATTGGCAAAAAAAAAAAAAAAAAAAGAAGGTTTGAGCCCCCCCCCCTTTTTTTTTTGCACAACCGTGATTAGTTTTGGCCAGGTCCTTTTCTGCAGGAATTTCAAAAATCCCACCAGCTGCAAATCCAGTTTCTTTACAGCCATCTCGGAAACAGTCTGAGATTAGCCTCTGATCATCCGATGGCCCTTCTCTTAACTGCTACGGATGAGCTATGATTCCTTCACGCACTGCCATTGGCCACTGATACCAACTGGGCAATTTTTGTGTTCAGCTGCTGATTGGTCCAGTCCTCTCTGATGTCATCCAGGTGGGCATCAAAATCCACCAACTGGGAGTAAGCTTTGTCTTCTAGGAGGGTCTTGCAGATGTGACGAGAGGATTCCCAGTCGCTCCACATGACCCTAGAAACCAGCAAAAGAAGGGCATTAAAAATCTCGACCCAGACAATTCTCTCCCACTGACGCTTCGGGTAAAGAGCTGAGGAGAGCCAGTGTCTTTGCACAGACAGAGTCGGGGAGATCCTGTCCCACCTCTGCCAACGATTTCTCCTCTGGACTTGGGCATGTCGCTGTCCCTGCAAGCTCATTTCCACACCGTAAGATGGAAATAATAGCAACCAGTTTGTTTTGGGAAGGCAAATGCAAACTGAAATGGTGATGAGGTTTTTGCAGAGGAGAGAAATTACAGACAGCAGTTAACTCACAGGTTCTTGTCTTTGGGGATCCATTGCCGATCCTTCTGCTCCAGAACGATCACCGGAGGGACCCGGGGGTTTATCGTGAACTTGCGGTTATCCAACTGGGGGGAGTAAGCAGATGGCGACAGCAGTCAGGTTTCTGTAGTTCTGGGGAAAGACACCCCTGCCTTGTCTTTAAGTAAAGCTAGGTGGTAAGAGGCAGGATGTGAAAGGAGTGCTGGATACAGATGGGAAAGTCTAGAAATTTTGAAAGGGGCATCTGGTGGGGGAGACACACAGATTGCCCACCTCTGCCCTACATAGTCCAGACCCAGTTGGCCCCGATCCCAGCTCTCACCATGATAAGAACGGCGCCCTCATATAGTTCAGCAATGCGTCCGACAGTCTTTTGTGCGAGGAAAGAAGCGCTTCGGGGGAACACGGAAAGGAGGGAGAGAACAGGTTAAAGGAGGAGAGATACCTCTAACCAGCACGTTTCCAGGCACAATTCAAAGTGTTGGTGCTGATCTTGAAAGTCCTAAACGGCCTTGGCCCAGTATACCTGAAGGAGCGTCTCCACTCCCATCGTTCAGCCCAGACACAGAGGTCCAGCTCTGAGGGCCTTCTGGTGGTTCCCTCACTGCGAGGTTACAGGGAACCAGGCAGAGGGCCTTCTTGGTGGTGGCACCCACCCTGTGGAATGCCCTCCCATCAGATGTCAAGGAAATAAACAACTATCTGACTTTTAGAAGTCATCTGAAGGCAGCTCTGTTTAGGGAAGTTTATAATGTTTGGTGTTTTATTGTGTTGGGAGCCGCCCAGAGTGGCTGGGGAGGCCTGGCCAGATGGACAGGGTGTAACTAATTAATAACTAATAAACCAAACTCTGCTCCCCAGATTTACCTCTTGTCGTCCAGCCCAGAGTTGGCTTGGTAATAGCCAGCAAGGAGCAAATTCAGCTCCGAACTCCAGATGTCAACCTGCAAAAGACATATAAATTCATAGGAACACGGGAAGCTGTTCAAACCATTGGGGTCCACCCAGCACAATTAATGGACCTAAGGTAACTGTGTCCTTTCATTTCAATGGATCTGTTCCAAGAATGAGTAGCACTCTGGTATTTTGCTTTTAATGAGCTGACATCACATTTAAGCATTGTGAATATTGCACCATTCTAGAAAGGTACAAATTGGGACCTGGGGGAAAAAGGGGATTGCGTCTCCTATAAGTATCATAGAATCATAGAGTTGGAAGAGACCAAACAGTTGCCATCGAGTCTTGCAACCCTCTTTGATTCTCTCTTTTTTATCTGAGCTAGGATTACTCCTCATTGCACACCTGAGATGCAATCGCTCTGCTTAAAAGACCGTCCAAAGAAGGCAAGACTCCACCACACACCTAGGCAGCCAGTTCCACTGACCGAACAGCTCATACGGTACAGGTAAGGTACTTCCTGACCATTAGGTCCAGTCATGACCAGTTCATCTCGCTTGTAGTTTGGATCCAGTGACTCCGGTGTCCAGCTTCTCGGAGCATGCAGACAGCATGACCTTACTCCCTCCTCTGTGCGACATCCTGTGTAGTGCATTTGAACATGGCTATCATATCACCCCCTGAAGACCTCTTGATCTACTTGCAGGCTTAGACGTGCTTTCTGAACTGCTAGGAATAAGCAGGTGCTGTGGACTCGTGCAACCGCTTTGATGCTCACCTTTTATCTGAGCTAGGATTACTCCGCACTGCACGACCTTCTGATCGGCAAGTCGCTTTTAAGCTCTGTGGTCTGAAAGGCAAGATGGAAAGAAGCCAGTTCTATGGCCTTACATCATACCCACCAGTTAATGATGGGTTTTTTGGGGGGAGAGATATTTAGTGTGAGGTTGCACTGGGGAGGGGTGGGGAGAGAGAGACCTATGGCCTATAGGTTCAACACCCGCCAGTCCTAGGCAGCATGGCTTCTGATCAGGAATGAGGGGAGTTGTAGCCCAGAAAATCTGGACAAACAGAGGTTCCTGACCCCTGGGTTGCCCGGTTGGTTCATTCCTTGTTTAAAGTGGCCTGCTGGTCCCCCCTCTGCTATCTGCGTCCCTCCAAGGGCATACCTGGTTCAGAGCCACCTCCAGCATGACTGTGAGCGACAAGTGGCTGTGGAAGAGGGGGATGCAGTCTGTAATACAGAGGCATTCTGGCTGGCTGGCTGTTGCCTGGCGTCTCTGAGCCAAAAGCAGCCCGTTCACTGCGGCGTGGGGGTAGCGAGCAGCATGGAGACACATCTTGACATAAGCCCGGGCAGAGATCTCCACTTCACCCATCCTGCCAAGCAAAGGAGCAGTCAGTTTCGCATTCTGAAACACAGGTGCTCCCTAATACACCGTTATCCCTGAAACTGGTTAACCCCATCTTTTTCTCCATTCATTGCCTTCTCCCACAATATCTGAGGATCTCATCTGCCCTTCCCTCAGCTCCCTGCTACCCACAACATCCACATCCTGCCCCTCCCCAATCATGTCCCATCCACACACCCCGATGCCCTTCCAAACCCCGATATTTCTTCCACGCAGGGGCCTGTACCTTTCAGAAAAGCCTACTGGAAGTTCTGGCAAATGCGACATTTCACACACAAGTGCTAGAGGAAAGTGGGAGGCTGGGGAGGACAAGCCCCCTATGCCACAAAATGATGTCAACCTGGTGCAGAGGGACCTGATAATTGGCTATGCTGGCAGGGTTGATATGGAGCCTCAGCAACACCTGTGCCCCCCGAATTCTATGACAAAGGCATCCTGATGCAAGTGGAAACCCCAGCTGCTGTTCTACTACTACAACTCTCATCGTCCCTGAGCACTGATCCTGCTAGCCAAAGATGATGGGAGTTGTAGTCCAACAGCAGCTGGGGACCCAAGCTTGAGAGTGTCAGACTGGGAACTAGAGCAGAGCTTTCCAAACTGCGTGTCGCGACACGCCAGCGTGTCAACTGCAGTGTGTAGGTGTGTGTTGCGCGAAAGCAACACACCTACACATCGTGCTCCTCCCGGGGCTGGAAAGGGGTTAGTTGAACCTCCGGTTTGCTGGTAAAACTGAATCGCTGTTTTGCGAAATGATGCGCGTCTAAAAACATGAAAAGTTTGGAAAGCTCTGACCGTGCAACTCGCTGGAGGCCGGTCCTTGCCTCTCAGCCTAGCCTGCCACGCAGGGGTGTTGTGGGGATTAAATGTGGGTGGGGGAGAAGAAACATATCCACCACCTTGAGCCCCTTGGAGTAAAAGTGGGGTAAAAGGTTAAGGGACCCCTGACCATTAGGTCCAGTCGTGGCCGACTCTGGGGTTGCGGCTCTCATCTCGCTTTACAGGCCGAGGGAGCCTGTAAAGCTTCCGGGTCATGTGGCCACCATGACTAAGCCGCTTCTGGCGAACCAGAGCAGCACACGGAAATGCCGTTTACCTTCCCGCCGGAGTGGTACCTATTTATCTGCTTGCACTTCATGCTTTCGAACTGCTAGGTTGGCAGGAGCAGGGACCGAGCAACGGGAGCTCACCCTGTCGCGGGGATTCGAACCACCGACCTGATCGGCAAGCCCTAGGCTCTGTGGTTTAACCCACAGCGCCACCCGCGTCCCATAAAAGTGGGGCATAAATGCAATAATCGGAATAATGATGATCACTGAGCCTGTGTCCTCCGTCCCCACTGCTCCTTCTGCCCCAGCCTCCAAAGGTGTGTCTCCGGGGGCCCGGGGCCTGACCCTGCCCTGCTCCCCTCAGCAGCCCCATAACCCCCAGGCCCCCTTCTCTGAGTGCCCTCAACCCCTGCGCAGCTTCCCTCCAGCCCCGAGCCCTGAGCCCCACTTCCCCAGGGCTGCCCCTCAGGCTGCAAGGAGGCTCGGAGGAATGACGTGTGGGGAGGAAGGCGACCCCTGGGAGGGCGCCCCCCCTGCGCCCCCCACCAGCCCCCACGCGAGCCCCTCTTCACCCACCTTTCCATGCCTGCCCAGGCGGTTGCTGCTCAAAGACCCCTCCTACAACACCCCATCCATTCCAAGCTCCCCCATTGGCCGCGCCCGCGACCAATCACCGCGCGCTCTTCGCCTACGTCCACTTCTACGCTTCCGATTGGTCGCCGCCCTCGGGCGAGTGCGTTCCCATTGGCCAGGCCTTTTCCTGAATTGAGGGGGGGGGAAGCCACACTACTAAACTAAACTCCTCCCACTCGGCGTCTTGTGAAATCAGCCGGCTTCCTTCCCCCACAGCAGCCTTATAAGGAGCTTCCGGTCTCGTGTCGAACTCGGCCTCTCCCGCCTTTCGGCAACTCGCGCCTCTATGGTTCCGCCCTCTTCCGTGATTTCCAATGCAGAGGGGCTGCCAACCACAGAGTTGCCACGGTTTCTAGAGCGTCGCCGCTTCTCGCCCGTAGAGAATTATATCCAATGGCGGCTTTCTGCGTTTACCGGAAGCTCGGCTTGTGCCTCTCTAGGCTTTTGCCGGCGTCATTGCTCTCGCTTTCCCAGGATCATAAAATAATATGCTAGAGTGGTTCCTGCACTCCCCAAACCCGGAAGTTAGGCATAAAGTAGTATTCTCTCATAAGCCTAAAATATATTATAGGGGGTCACGTACAAAGCTGCCTCTCCCCCCATCCCTATAGACAGCCTATGCCTTTAATAGTACACAGTCAGAAACTCAACAGATGCAGCTTTCCCATCAGTACCACCAAACTAGGAAAAGCTGCACCTGTTGAGATTCTAGCAGCTGCTAGACAAAAAACTGATCCATTATTGTTACGGAAATGACGGGGGGGGGGGAGACATCTTTAAAGTTAAATGTTACAAATATTATGCCTGAATGTATCCTTTCAACTTGACAGCTCAGGGAAGTTACCTAGCTTTAAAAATAATATAAAATCAACTCATTTGCCAGTTTCCTCCATTCCAAAGCTATTTTCCCCTTGAAAAAGGGGAAGTTTCCAGAGGTGACAATTGCTGGGCTCATTGTTGGCCAATGGAAGCCTAATCCCATCCCCAGACTTGCCAAGGGGTCCAGACATGCAAAGCAAGTTCTATTGTACTTTGGGTGGTGGGACTCCATAGGTGTTTGCTTATGCGAATCTTGTACCAAGGACTTGTCTGGGCATGTTTGCCAAAGTTAAACTAGTGTAACCCCTGTCTACCCCTCCCCTTTTGTGACATGTCAGTGATGTAGCAATGATTTTGTATGAACTGTATTCTGGGATATGGTGGGAAAGTTTTAAAAGTCTTTGTCACCCCATCCTTGGGGTTCAAAATTCCTCTTTGAACCTGTTGTGCAATAAACTGATCTACAGCTATCTGCTCCAGTTGGTGGCTGGATTCCTTCTTTATTCCGCAGGGACCCGCGGGCTCTGCCTGACGAGCTGGGTGACTGAGCAGCCTCACACCTAGATTTTTCCATAACAGTTACGGTATGTTCAGGTGTAACACTGTAGCAGGAACCCCCCCCCCCCAATCATTCAGTTTCTACAAACTTCACACACACTCACACTACATACACTACGCTTCTGTTATAAATTCATAGAAAATCAACCATACATCAGATTTGCAATGTTCCACTTTTATTTTACTCCATGAAGGAAGGACTACAAAATGGGGAAGGTTTGATACAGGCCACCATAATCCCTTGAGCATACCAGCACATCCACAGGAGCCCTGCCCAGTTGCTATGCCAACCCTGATGCTCTCAGAAGACCATCAACAACACAACGGACTGCATCCAAGTGGATTCAACACGGACTATAACAAAAGAACAGTGATTGGATTCCCCCTCAGGGGGCAGGAAACTGCGACTACATTTTGTCTTCTGAAAATGACTCATGGGGAGGAGGAGAAGGGAACCAGCCAGGTGACAGGACACTCAGGTTACCACCACCACCCCTCCCTCAACCCCTCCTTTCTGTGATGTATGCATGATGTTTCTGGGGGTGGGCTTGACCTACAGGATGAGAATTTCAAAAGTTTTTATAAGGCCTTGCACACCACTTTTCTGTGTCCTTTCCTCTCTCCTCCAAGTGAGGAGAGCACCCTGTTGCAACAGTTCAATAAAGGCCAAGCCTCCAATTTACTCTGGTTGGTGTCTTTACTTTTGTCCAAGGGAGCCCTTGGATTTTTCTGGTAACAACACCAAAGGTAACCAGTGTGGCGTTGTGGTGTCGGGAACGCCTGGGTTCAAATCTCCATGTAGCCATGAACCTTATTGGGTGATCTTGGGCCAGGAAATGGGGGTTATTAAAAGCGGGGCTATTAGCACCTGGGGGAGCATTCAGATTGGGGTAAAACAACAGCCTATGGAGAAGATTTAGACATCCCATCAAAACTGAAACACCCAGTAGCTGCTTTAATGGGAATAAAATAAAACTGGGATATCAGATCAAGGATTGGCCACTCAATTACTGTTTTGCCTCTGATTCAGTTCCAGGATCAAACTACGAAGAAGGTGGTTTTAATTTCCCAAGTGCCAAAGAAAGAGACGCAGACAGAAAATTAAACAAGGCATGTTTTTGTTTTTATTATTATTATGAGACAAAGTAGTCATTTCCAAAGTATCACAAGCTTTCAAATGGCAGAAAACAGCCACCAGGCACAGAAATTCAGAGCACAAAAATGAAAAATATTGTTTAAAGTCTCTGCTATATGGATTTCTTAGATGAATGTGATGATCTTAACAGAGACTGGAGCAGGCTAAATTAATCTGATTACAAAGCGAGCACTTGGTGCTCTTCTGACGTTTTGGACTACAACTCCCATCAGCCTCAGCCAGCACGTTTGTAGTGGATGATGGGAGTTGTAGTCCACAATATCTGGAGGGAAACCAGCTTGGGGGTGGCTGTGCTAAAGTGAGAGGGTTCACAGTGGTTCTAGATTCAAGCAATTAAAAAAAACCATAGCTAGTGAAAACTTGGATTTCTCCAGCTCTTATTATGTTTCATTTCACAGAACTTTTGTAAGAAAGAAAAGGCCACACATTAAGGCATTATTCATACTCAGCCACAGACATTTGTGAATCCACTTTTAGACTCTCTCCCCACTACCAAAAAATCCTTTTCTTTTTACCCCATATTGCTCTGGTTTCCCCATGACAGCAAAACACCCAAAGAAAGATAGGAGAAGTTGGCAGAGGTGGTTGTCACAGATTTCGGAATCAGTACATGGATGGCTTCTCTTCACCTTTGGGGTTGGTCAATTTCTCCAGGTTTTTGCTCAAGATGTGGTAGAGCTCAGCCTGCAGCGGATGGCAGAACACTTGTAAGCGCTAAGATATTTTTCTTGGTTGCGCTCTGCTATTTCCCTCTTTTTCGACTACTGTACTAACCCGTCACCTCTGTCCTAGCATACTCACATAGAACCCACGGATATCGAGCAACATCATCTGGATTTCCCTGTACACGGCCTCATCCCGCTCATGAACGAGACACCGGTAATCCATCTGCAAGGGGATAAGTCAGATCACAACCAGGGACACCATTTCAAGGACGTTAAAAAGTTTCTCCTGGCCAAGATCGAGTTCTTGAGCTTGAATGCTTTCGAGAAAGCCTAAAGGAAGGCTTAAATCACTCAGCCTGGAGAGCTCAGCAGGTTATGTTGGGTGAGAGTCATTCATTCTCAGAAACAACAATATGTGAAGCTGCGAGAAGCTAAGTTGTTTACAGCAGGTACAAGGCCACTCTGAAGAATGATTTCTACACATGTGCTGCTTCCAGGCTGGACAGAGAGATGTTTAGCTCTGCTATCACAGTGGGAAGATGTAAAGAGACTGGTTTGGCAGCTTTTAGGGTCAGGCCCAGAGTGTTAAGATGAAGCTGAACCTCCATCAGGGATCTGATAAATGCATGTAGAGTTTGTAACCGTGATGCTTAAGAACGACAGTAAAGACTTCTGTTGTAAAGACTACCTGACATTCAGAAGACATCTTAAGGCAGCCCTGTTCAGGGAAGTTTTAAATATGTAACGCTGTACTGTTTTTAACACTTGATTGGGAGCCGCCCAGAGTGGCTGGGGAAACTCAGCCAGATGGGTGGGATATAAATAATAAATTATTATTATTATTATTATTATTATTATTATTATTATTATACATAGCTGTCAACGTTTCCCTTTTTTAAAAGGGAAATTCCCTTATTCTGAATAGGATTCCTCGCAAGAAAATGGAAAAGTTGACAGCTATGCTGTTGTACCAAAACACTTCCTGCGATTGATTTCTATACTCCATGCAAGACTTGGGACTCCTACATGCTTGGAAGCTGTGTGTTAATCTGCTAAAAAAAGGGGCCCGGTACTTGGACCCAAGGAAAGGAGTTTTGGTTGCCTTAAAAATTCCAACAGGTTAGAGCATGGTGCTGATAATGCCAGGGTTGCAGGTTTAATCCCCATACGGGACGGATGCATATTCCTTCATTGCAGGGGGTTGGACTAAATGATCCGCAGGGTCCCTTCCAACTCTACAATTCTATTAACTCTATGACGCTCCTCAACTGATCCCCCAAAGTCAGAGTGGAAGGACTTCTGTTATTCTGTTACTCACCACATGGGTATCCTTGGAAGCCTTTGCGACGGCATCTCCACGCTCTAAAAAATACCTGGAATGAAGAATGATGCCAATGGTCAGAATCCGTGTTACCTGCTCTACTGCTAGACTGTCACCCAGAACAGACTAAAAGTGAAATGAAACAAAAAGTGCTCCAGAACAAAGTGCTAATACGCAGAACGGTCCTGAGGACAAATTACCCAGAATACCCTGTGGTTACCCTCTCATCCTTTCCTCTTACTTGGCAATAGTGGTCTGGAAAGCCTCTGCCTTGGTCTTCAGGGCTGTGATCCGTTCCAGAACCTTCTCCTGTCAAGAGGAAAGAAACAAGACGAGTTGTGCTTTTGGGGTGGCAAGGGGCGGGCTGTGATCATTTTGATCGTGACTATTTTGTCTGAGAGAGTGAAATTCATGTTGTTCCATCTTTTTAGGTCTTTGTTTATTTGTCGCCACAGGGGCTTGTAGTTGTGGAGGTATAGTTTATTGAGGTTTCTGGTTATTTGTACCCCTAGGTATCTGAACTTGGTGTGGCAAAGTTTTATCTTGGTGACATTAGTGAATTCTTTTGGGGTGTGAGGAGGGGTGTTGAAGCACATAGCTTCTGACTTTGCAAAATTTACCTGCAGGCCTGACACCATTGCAAATGTGTTGAGTTCTCCGGTTAGGGAGGTTGCTGTGCTTATGGGGTCTGGTGTTGTGACCATTAGGTCGTCTGCAAAGAGCCCTAATTTATAGGTTCTGCCTTTTATTTCCACTCCCTTGATGTCTGTGGCTGCTCGGATTCGGATTGCTAAGGGTTCCAGAACCAGGATAAATAAGAAGGGAGACAGTGGGCACCCTTGTTTTGTGCCTCTTTGGATCGCTATAGTCCATATCGTTAGTTCTGCATTTTGCTGAGGCTTGGGAGTATATTTGTCTGAGGATTTGTAGGAAGTTGGGGCCAAATTTCATGCTAGTTAGTACTGCTAATAGGTATTGCCATTCTATGCAATCGAAGGCTTTGAGGATGTCTAGGGACATAATTGTCAGTGGTAGTTTGGTTGCCTTGCTGTGTTCGATGAGGGGGCAGGCTGTGGATCGGCGCCAGGCGAGGGGCACATTCTCTGAGCGCCTTGCTTCCTCTTACCTGAACCGCTACGCCAAAATCGTTGCCGTCCTCGATTTTGGGAATCATGTATTGAATCCAGGTTGTCACCTGAGGGGAACGTGGAGAAAGAAAACTGAGGGAGCATCGAGCGAAGGGCTCATTTTTGCCAGCTAGCCCAGATGCACCCCTGAGAAAAACCACACATAATATAAGATTTTTAACAGACTACAGCCTCCAGGCACTTTTTATACAATTTGGCCCTTCCTTCGTTACGCATACCTTCCCCAAGACAAGCCTTGCAAATCTTGACTAGCCGTGGCAACCAAATAACGCTGATATTCTATCTGAAGGCAATTTTTATCTTCACCTTTTCCCTTCCTTTGACGATCTGGGCTTTCCGTTGCTTAAGCCACAGGTAAACACAGGTGTTTTTTTAAAATTTCGTCTTTTTACAAGCTTTCCCGAACCGACGTGATTTTAGAGTTTCGCTTTTTACGTTTTAATTTCCGCTCGTCGCTAGGACCGCGCTTTCTGCGTCGTGCATGTCGTAAAAAAGGAAAAGGGGAAAAAATATTTACCAGTATGCATTTCTCTTTGAACTCCCGGACTTCGGGTTTGACGCGATCCAAAAGCGAAATGATTGCTTCGTTGGCCTTAAGGTAACCGCATTTTGGAGCTGCAGGGGGCAGAAAGTGAAAGTCAGTCCCCAAAATGCAATGGAATATTATCTGCGCTCATCCCAAAATCTTATTTCCCTTCCTTCCGACGGAGGACCCCTCTCTCACCTTCCTTGTCCTTCTCCTTTTCTGTCTCCATCTGTATGACAAAAACAAACACCAGCAAATGCTATTACATCCTTATCAGTGCTGGATTTACGTATAAGCTAAACAAGCTATAGCTTACGGCCCCACTCTCTTGTGGGCCCAAAAAAAATTTAAAGGGAAAAAAACCCCTGGATGTACATTTCCAAAATATAAGATAAAAAACCAAATAAAATAAAACCTACATACAGCAACAGTGTTTTGTGTTGTGTAGGCTCCTATTATGTGCAAATGGCTTTAGATACCTATTCGGTCCATAAATGACCATATAGCATATATTCAACCCCAAAAACAGCGACAATTTGTTGTTGACAAAGGACAGCTGGACATATAAAGGGCCCCATTGCCTTCAGTAGCTGAGGGCCTCATCAAACCTAAATGCGGCCCTGATCCTTATCCTTGCAGGTGCATCTTGGGTTTTCTTGGGGGGGGGTTAGAGAAGAAGACCCCTCAAACAACTCACCTCATCATCTTTGGGAGGGGGGTCTGGAATGGGGATGTCCAGCGGGGCATGGAGGGTGGTCAAATCTTTAACGTTCAGCGCCCCTTCCTGAAAAGAGAACTATGGTTACAGGGCAGCTATGCAAAGGCAGTGTGGTATAGTGGTTGGAGCACCGGACTAGGACTTGGGAAGGCCCCATAACTGCTCTCTGGGGCCTAATCTACATTACAGATCTGAAGCAGCGTCTGTTTCACCCCAGAGTCGTGGTTTCACCCCAGAGAAATTACGGGAGCTGTAGTTTATTAAGGGCGCTGCTGAGTTGTTTGGCGATCCAGAGCTGGAATTTGCAGAGGGGTTTAACCATTGATCCCTCTCCCCAAGGAACTCTGGGACTTGTAGTTCTCTGAGGGGAATAGGAAGGAAGGAATTGGTTTTAGAGAAAGAAAGGGAAACAGGAAAAAAGTCTGTGTGGCTCAAATATTGCATCAGGACCTGGGAGTTTGGGCTTCAAGTCCTCACACAACTATGAAGCTCACTGGACGACCTTGGACCAGACACAGACTCTCACTGTGGCCTACCTCACAGGGGTGTTGTGAGGTTAAAATGAGGAAAGGAGAAAAAACATGGACGGGGTGGGGTGTAAATATAACTTTTTAAGTGCAAATGTAAGCAAGAAAATAAATAAGGAGACAGGGATCAAGATAAAGGGAGAGAGAAGTTAGCGAAAATGTATAAAGTCAGTAATAAATGTTGGAAATGTAAAGAAAAAGAGGGAACATTTTATCACATGTGGTGGAAATGTAAAAAGGTGAAATGCTTCTGGAAGATGATATATAATGAGATGAAAAAAATGTTGAAATATACATTTATAAAGAAACCAGAAGCATTTTTACTGGGCATTGTTGGGAGTGATATAAATAGAAAGGAATATAAGCTCTTTTTATATGCAATAACAACAGCAAGAATATTACTGGCCCAAAAATGGAAGCAAGAAGCATTACCGACGATTGAAGAATGGAGGATGAAGTTAATGGACTATGCAGAATTAGATAAACTAACAGGAAGGATTCAAAACCGGCGGGACCAGACATTCACGGAAGACTGGAGTAAATTTACAGACTATTTGAAAAGTATTTGTGAAGATCAGACGACTTTTGTAGGTTTGCAAGAAGTTTTGTGAGGAGTATTATTGGAAGTATTGCAAAAATGGAGAAGGGGGAGGATGATTTGTTAAGAGATGTAAAGGCAATATAAAGTTAAGAAATGCATAAGAAGTGGTTAAAACGGTGGATCATCAGAGGTGCTGATGGAAGTCCAAAAAGATTGTATAAGTGATAAGTTTTGTGGTACATTTTATAATTTATATGTTAAAATCAATAAAAAATGTTTTAAAAAAAAAAAAGATAAAGGGAGAGAGAAGGGGGAGTTATATAAATTCGTCTCCGAAAAAGGATCTGGCCATCCTGAGGGGTCCTGCTGGTGTTCTCTTACCTTCACGAACTGATCCAATTGCAGTATTTTCCTGGGCAAAAACGAGCAGAGAAATTCTTCGCCCTGCAAGATGAGCGGGGGGGCGGGGGGGAATTAAAAGAAACAAATTACCTTTTGGGAGAGGGGTATTTGGAGAGATTTGAGGGGCGGGATTATAAAGCGAAAGAGGTTTACCTCTTGCAAAAGGGACGCTCTGAAAACAGCCATCTAAGGGAGAGAAAGAGAGATTGTGAAATGTGGCCGCTTCTGGGGCTCAGCACGAATGTTACAGAACAGCAGCACATAACACACATGTTCTCTGGAATAGCAATGTTTCCCTGGATAAAAAAAGTCCGTCATATTTTAGGAATCCTGCCAGAAAAATTCCACAAAGCAGTGAATAGACCCCATCTATACAGATATAGCCGCCCTGAGGAGGGCCCTTGGCTGGGGAGGGCGGGGTATAAATAAAAATTATTATTATTATTATTATTAGTCCAAACATGTTTTAATATTGACTTCAACATGTTCCGTGCAGGCTTTTTTTAAAAAACACACATTCATTTAAACCATATACTGTACCTCCAAGAAACTTGGGAATTGTAGTTCACACCACCACCACCCACTGAGCTATAATTCCCAGCACCCTTAACAAACTTCATTTCCCAGGATTCTTGAGGAGCGGGGTGTCTTAATATGATTTTATTTTATGGTGTATACGTAGCCCAAATAAAATAGCAGTCTATGTAAATCAGGTGCGGCTAACCCTCTCTGATCCGCCACCGAGTGGGTTCCCTTTTCTGCCGTTCCCCAAGATCCAAGATTTGGGCATCAACGAAAAGGGGAGCGGAATTATAAGTAGACGTGGCGGATTTTCCAAAAGAGATTCCCCCTGCACAGATCATCAAAGGGGCTGTTTGCCTTTGTGCATGGAAACCTAGCCAGATGGGTGGGGTATAAATAAAACAAAACAAAAATAAAAATAATTACTATTATGTGAGAGGGTCTTTTTTATGTGTGGCCAGACCCATTTTCGCCATGTGGCCCCTGAACATTTTGGAATCTGGCCCTCGAGGCTGAAAGCCACCCTTAGCCACGCCTGAGGTAAATAATTAGCAGAAGTGCAGACACGTCCCTCTAAGAAAAAACAGGGGATTTCTGTAGCGGGGTGGAGGCTGAAATAAAATACGAAGGACAGGAACGCCGCCCACCAGATGTCAAAGAGAAAAACAACCACCAGACTTTTAGAAGACATCTGAAGGCAGCCCTGTTCAGGGAAGCTTTTAATGTTTAATAGATTATTGCATTTTAATATTTTGCTGGAAGCCGCCCAGAGTGGCTGAGGAAACCCAGCAAGATGGGCGGGATATAAATAATAAATTTATTATTATTATTATTATGGTGCCAGTAGAGTTACACCCACCCTTGCAACAAATAGATTCCTCTCCTATAACTGGATTCCTATAGGTCCCAGGAGGCACACAGAATTGTATATTTGCAAGGGACCCCCATGGGTCTGCAATGTGTGAATCTTTTGTCCAATGTGTGTCTCGGACCCACAACCCTGAGATTATAAATCTCGTGCTCTACCAACTCAGCTATCAGGTCTCTGGCAACATAGCTATAAATTATAACTGACTCATAAGCTGAAAATAATGGAAATAAGCCTGCGGTCCTCACCCTGCTGATTTGAAAGCTAACCACACCAGCTTCAACAGCAATGCACCCCTATGTCTTGTTTTCCTAGGAGTAAGTCCCCACAGACCATTCTGGGGTGGGAAAACACCTTCCTGACCTATTCTCCCCCCTTTCAGAGCCTGCTTTTTGCCCTCAGGTGGGGAATATAACTGAAGACGCCCCCAAGCATGTGCAGAGTGCCTTTCCGCCCAGCAGTAAGCAGAGGGCCCCTCCAAATCTGGGATAAGAGAGAGGGAGTGTGGCCTAGTGGTTAAGTGTCAAACGAGAACCTGTCAGAGCTGGGTTCGAATCCCTGCTCAGCCACTGGATGTGGCCTTGCGCCAGTCACTGCCTAACCTACCTACCTACCTTGCAAAGGTTGTTGTGGGGGGATTAAACGAGGAGGGGGAGAAGAACCACAGAGACCACCTTGAGCTCCTGGGAGAAAAGGGTGGCATAGAATCGAAGCAAATAAATGCATTTGTAGGAATTGCAGGTCGGTTCCCCCGGTTGGTCCGTGCCTGAAAACGAGCAATGAGGTGGTGGTGGGAGGAACGGGCTGCTTAGTTATAACTAACCCTCAGCACATGCTCAGAGGCACTCTCGTTTCTCAGAAGCCACCAGATCCGGGCAAGAACCTTAGTCCCCGCACCCTATTTTTAGAGCACCTTCCATTTGACCCCCTGCCAGCCTTCTCTCTCCGATTTACACCCAGTTTCCCCTCCCCCCCCAAACTCCGCACCTTTTCACGGGACTCCTTGCTGACTTGGATGGTGCAGGATTTGGCCATCGTGGCGTTGTTGGGGGGTCTTGTTCAGGCAGGGAGGGAAAGAATCCGAACAGAAGAAGCGGAAAACAGCCTCGCCGATCGCCCCTTCCTGCAAGCAGCTCAGCTCCGCACCGTCACTTTCGCTTTCGCATTCACACGTTCCGCCCGCGCGGCCGCCCCCTTTCCCTTTCCCTCCCCCGCCCCCCACGCATCGACGGGGTCGCCTTTCCTCGCCTTGCACAGAAATAGCCCCGGGAAGGACGAAACCCAACTTCCCAAGGAATGCGAACATTTCGCAAGAAAGAAAAAGAAAGAAAAAGAACTTTGCAGGGTCGACGGCGCCCTCGCAGCCACGTAGCCCGGCATCGCGACACCCCCACTTTAAAAAAATCCCCTAGTGTAATAAGAAGAAGTATAAGAAGTATAAAAGACGTGTGGCGTAAACGGTGGAAGTCTTTTAAAACCTTTTAATTAAGACTGATATTTTGCAAGAGGGAAATATAAAATTGTATGCAAGTATAGATCTGAAATTGTTGTTTATGGTGAACACTTTTCTATTTTCTAAATTTCTATTTTTAACTTTTCTTTTATTCTCTTTTTTCCTCTTCTTTTCGAATATTGCTTTACAGATGTATAAATAATTATGTTCATGTGTATATGTATGAGATTTGTTTATTTCTTTTGTTATTTGATATTCTTTTCTTTTTTGTATTTAATAAAATTTAATTAAATAAGAAATCTAAAAAAATAATAATTTTAAGGCCTTAGATATATAATAAGTGTTCATAAATGTACCAAGCAAACACGTACATAAATATATAAACCACATGTCTGGAGCAGCGCAGGAAGACAGCCCTGAAACCATTTTGACTCCCAAGCTGACCAAATGTTTCTCTGCAAGGAGAGAGGAGGTGAAAAAACCTTCCTTGTTACAGGAATTTAGTAATCACCTTTTCAAAGGAATGGGCAGACTACCAGGAAAGGCAATCAGATAAGGCATTATCAGAGAACCTGGCAGACAGGAAAAACAACAACACTCAAATTTCTGTTGTAGACCGCCTTTTCTGTGATGTAGGGATGATGTTTGTGGGGGGTGGTCTTGGGTTACACCCCTTCTGCGATGGATGTATGATGTTTGGAGGGGTGGTCTGGAGCTCCAGGGCAGGGAATTTTAAATTTAAAATAAGGGCAGGCACACCTTGGTTCTGGGTCCTCCTCCTTTCCTGCGTGTGAAGGGAGCACCCTGTTGCAACAGTTCAATAAAGATCAGGCTTACTAGCTGCTTTGCTTCTCAATATTCTCTGGTTGGCCTCTGTTATTTTCACCTACCAATAGGAAACCCACGTAAGGACTCTATATGGGCTCTTGGATATCTCCATAAGGGAAAAAGGGCAGATTTTGGTTATAACACCAGCAAAATAATCCCAGGACCTAATAAAACAATTAATTAAATACATTTGGGGACGCCATACATTTCTCCAAGCTTGGGGGGGGGGGGGGAAATCCCAGCTAAGAGGCTGTTGCAGGAATTTATGTATAGGTTGGGGGGGTTGCCCCTTCAGCAGATATCATGCACACGCAGCCCACTACCAAAATCAGCACAATTGCTTTTGTGACTTTGGTGATTTGTCCCCACAAAACACTTCATCACAGTTTCTTCTTATCTGTTCAAAGGGCCTTTGCTGCAGGATACCAAATGTAAGAATTCACTGATAAATGCATCTCTACTGGCTCACAGGGAAAACTTCAGAAATTCATATAGACATGTGAGCTCAGCTCCTCAGCAGCCCCTCTGCCTGAGTGATAATCCCTGGCATCCTGATACCTGAGTGCCAGACAGGTAGCCATTCCAGAAATAACAAACCCAGATGAAGACAAAAGGGTGTGATTAACTTGGCTGGGAAACAGGGAAATGTAAAGATCTCTTTTGTTACACTTGATGGGTGTTTGGTGGAGGGCAAGGAGAACCATGGGGCAGGGTCCAGGATGCTCAGATTACTGCCACCCGACCTCCCATTTCATGATGTAACCGTGATGTATTAGTGATGTAGTTTGGGGAGGTGTAACATGGGGATTAAGGTAAAGGTAAAGGGACCCCTGACCATTAGGTCCAGTCATGACCGACTCTGGGGTTGCGGCGCTCATCTCGCTTTATTGGCCGAGGGAGCCGGCGTACAGCTTCCGGGTCATGTGGCCTGCATGACTAAGCCGCTTCTGGCGAACCAGAGCAGCGCACGGAAATGCCGTTTAGCTTCCTGCTGGAGTGGTACCTATTTATCTATTTGCACTTCATGCTTTTGAACTGCTAGGCTGGCAGGAGCAGGGACCGAGCAACAGGAGCTCACCCCGTCGTGGGGATTTGAACCGCCGACCTTCTGATCAGTAAACTCTGTGGTTTAACCCACAGCGCCACCCACGTCCCTAACATGGGGATTAGCAGCTAATAAAAGTTTGGATTCTCTTTTGTTCCATCTTGTTCCACCTTGTGGCAGGTGGGAATCCTGTCACGACAGTCTTCAATAAAGGCCAAGCCTACTGGCTGCTGTTTTGCTCTGGTATTCCTGGCTGGTGTCCTTGTTGTTTTTTTTGTCCAAGGGAGCCCTCAGATAATAATAATAATAATAATTTATTATTTATTATTTATACCCCGCCCATCTGGCTGGGTCCCCCCAACCACTCTGGGCGGCTTCCAACAAAACACTAAAATACAATAACCTATTAAACATTCAGTATCTTAAAAAGCAGAGACATCACCTTGCCAACAAAGGTCCGTATAGTTCAAGCTATGGTTTTCCCTTTAGTGATGTATGGAAGTGAGAGCTGGACCATAAAGAAGGCTGATCGCCGAAGAATTGATGCTTTTGAATGATGGTGCTGGAGGAGACTCTTGAGAGTCCCATGGACTGCAAGAAGATCAAACCTATCCATTCTGAAGGAAATCAGCCCTCAGTGCTCACTGGAAGGACAGATCCTGAAGCTGAGACTCAATGGCCTCCTCATGAGAAGAGAAGACTCCCTGGAAAAGACCCTGATGCTGGGAAAGATGGAGGGCACAAGGAGAAGGGGACAACGGAGGACGAGATGGTTTGACAGTGTTCTTGAAGCTACGAACATCAGTTTGACCAAACTGCAGGAGGCAGTGGAAGACAGGAGTGCCTGGCGTGCTCTGGTCCAGGGGGTGATGAAGAGTCAGACACAACTAAACGACTAAACAACAACTAACTTGGCTGGGAAACAGGGAAATGTAAATATCTTTTTTGTTCCACTTGATGGGTGTTTGGTGGAGGGCAAGGGGAACCATGGGGCAGGATGCTCAGATTACTGCCACCAGACCTCCCCTTTCATGATGTAACCATGATGTAGTTTGGGGGGATGTAACATGGGGATTAGCAGCTAATAAAAGTTTGGGTTTTCTCTTGTTCAGGGCTTCCATCTTGTTCCACCTTGTGGCAGGTGGGAGTCCTGTCGCGACAGTTTTCAGTAAAGACCAAGCCTACTGGCTGCTGTTTTGCTCTGGTATTCCTGGTGTCCTTGTTTTTTGTCCAAGGGAGCCCTCAGAGGCGGGGCAGGCTGTTGGTTGGCCAGAGGCGCTCTGCAGATGCTCAGAGGCACGCCGGTTCTTCTTTTTTCTCCTTCTTTTTTGGCAATTCCTGGAGAAAGGCGGCTTGTAGTTCTTCCTCCCGGTCTCCTGGGGTCCCCCTCGGCTCCTCTCGGCCTTCCCTTGGCCTTCAAGCCCTGCCTCCTTTCCTGCTCTCCTCCGCCTTCCTCCTCTGCAACCAGCTGTTGGGGTTTCGCATGACAAGTGAGTGACGCGCCTGGATTTCTCCCTCCCCCCCCCGCCGCCCCCCAAACAAGGTAAGATCCTGCACCCCCCACTTTCCTCCCCCCCACACTTTCCAAGGGGGCAGGAGGATCCCCTTGAAACCCAACCCGCAAACCCCCCTTTGCAACTTTTCTTTCCCCCCCTCCCGGGTTGGGGAGGAAGTCAGGCTTGTGCAAAAGTGGAAGCTGCAAATGACCCGCTTCCAGAAACCCCCCAAATCTGAGATCCTGCACCCGCCATGACCCCCTGCGCCAGCCCCACTGAAATCGGAGGGGCTTGCACCATGCGAAACGCTGCTTGCAAACGGGGTTTGGAGGGCCGCCCCCCCTTTCTTTCTTTTTTTGCTTTCGATTTGCAAGCTTCTGAGAAAGGCGAGGTTTCCCACAAAATCGTAGCATCGGAAGAATACCCTCCAACAATTTTCGGATGAAAATGGGGATGTCCTATTACATAATAATAATAATGATAATGATGATTTTATTATTTGTACCCCAGCCATCTGACTGGGTCGCTGCCCTGGGCGGCTTCCCACATAAATAAGAACATAACAAAACATTTTTAAAAATTTCCTTATACAGGGTTGCCTTCTAAAGGCTGTGTGATTACTTGCCTCTTTGGCTCGGGGGTGCATAATTCCATACCCTCCAACGTGAATGAAATGAGGGACGTCCTAAGGAAAAGCGGGACATTTTTATGTTCTTATGTTCTTTGTATACTGTGTTAGTTTTATGATGTTAGCCGCCCTGAGCCTGGCTCCGGCCGGGGAGGGCGGGGTACAAATTAAAAGTTGTTGTTATTATTATTATTATTATGGGATCAAATAAAAAACATGATGGGTGGCCAGACACCCCATAAGGGAAAGGGAGCCATATTTTTCTTATAACAGCCATCAAGCCTCTGCTTAAAAACTTCCACCACCTCTTGGTGTCTGACATTATTATTATTATTTAGTTAATTAAACTTGTAAGTCACTTGTCACCTGAATGTCTCCAAGCGACTTACAGCAAAGTAAAATATACAATACTTAATACCATGAGGGTTTGTGTGTGCAATCTGATGGTGGGTAAATGTTAAAATTATTATTACTGCTATTACTTTACAAAAGATTATCCTTGATGCCAGGCTGGTGGTTAGGATCCATTCTTTGTGGATTTCTTAGCTTTAAGGAACTCCAGCTGCCCCCTCCCTCCACTCTTTCTCACCCTGATCACTTGTAGGCATTTAATTCATAATTTAATTCAACAAAAATATTCATGTGGTGCCTGAATGTGGCAGCAGTTTTATACCGATTTGCTCAGTGGGGTTTGCCTGCTTCTGAGTAGGATTTTACTGTAAAATATTAGCAAGTCTATGGTCTTGCTCCCTTAGATATGTGAAGAGTTACCCTCAAACTGACAATTTTATATCCATATAACGCAAATTGTAGAGGGGAGAGAAAGATCTGGAAGGTGTTCAAGGTTAGAGGCTGGTGAAATTTTCAAAAGGCAGGCTATGACAGTTCGGTATTGAAGTTTATTTGTATTCAAAATGCGCACCATGATCCTTCATAAGAGCCCTAACAATAATCCTAACATGGTTTTACTAAATTAAGCACTTGTAGGAGAGGGAACCGATGTCTTTATTCATGGCCAAATGGATAGCAGTTCTTTCTTTTTCAAAACCAAAACCAAAACCCTCTTAATTCAGGGACAACTTCTTCTTAAAACATACTCAAGCCGGCTCACAATAATCTTTTTTAAATGGCAATTGAAAAGTGCATAAAAGTGAACCGTATTGTAAAAGAATTCTAAAAGCAAGTGTTAAAAGGTCAGGATGGAGGAAATGAGCGCCTGATCTCCCTAAAACTCTTCATCTGCCCTCAAAAGGCATTGTCAAAACAAGATTAAGTTTGTATATATGGTTTTTCATGGGCGGCTAAATACTTCCTCATATTTTTCTGAGCTGCATCCAGCAGCGGAAAGAATAGGCAGGTCAAGAATTAACATGTCTCTTAGTAACCGCTCACTCTGGAATATAGCTGCGATGGAGAAAATTGCGGATAATTTGAGATTTCGACAAGGACTAAAACTTCCAGACGCTTTGTATATGATTTGACATTCCTTTATGACATATACAGCAGAACCATCATTTTCAAGACAGCCTTCGTCACAAGCCTGGAACTATACTTGACGATCCGATAAAGTTGATAATCTTTGCTTGGACTTTGATATTTTAACTCACGTGCAAGCACTCAATTCTACATGCCTGTCTTATCGTTTTGTTTTTCACCTTTCGCTTTTTGCCCATTGCTAAAATTGTTCTCTCTGTTTTATATGCATTGTAAAATGGAATCCTAATTGGGGGGGAAAGCTTTTTTAAAAAAGAATTAACATTGTGATGGTGTGGTAGGATAGAGAATTTGACTTAAATCAAATTCCTGCTCAGCAATTACATTTACCTTCGGTAGGGCACCTACTCTCTGCCTTATCCTACCTCTCAGGGCTGTTGTGAAGACAAAACAGATTTCCCCCTCTCCCTGCCATGAACTCTCCCTTTAGTTCCTTGAAGGAAAGTTGCCATGTGAATCTGGTAATGCATGCATGAATAAAAATAAATACATTTTTCGCCCTGATCTGAGGTTATTTTCCCCTTTGGTGGGTGACGGGAATACTTGGTTAAACCCAACAGATATCGTAGGAGAGAATCTTTCTTTTCTCTTGCATATTTCTTTCTCTTCCTTAGGTAGCAGCCATGGGAGAAGTGGAGCGCAAATTCATGGCGCTCCGGGACGAACTGGTAGCTGCTTTGATTGAGAATCCCTTAGAGCAGAACCCAGAGACTGTACAGCGTCTGCTGGAGATGCCGTTTCCCCCAGCTCAGAAATACATGGAGATAGATGCCAAGGGTATTATACGAGCCAATACCCAGGGGCAGGTAAGGGGACAGTATTTTGTGTGTGTGTGTGTGCAATAGCAGAGGTGGGGGTCTAGAAAACCAGGGTGGGGATTGAAATTTGGGGGAGGGGGGAGATGGAAAGATTCAGAAGTCAGACAGGCAAAACTAGTGTGTGTCTCTCCCTGCAAGAGCTCTGATGCTATGGGCAGCTGGGAGCTTCACCTGTGGAATGTCTGCCTGCAATGCGGTTTCCACACAAGGAAGGGGGGTCGGAAAGGAAACAAGCCCTTTTCTAGGTGCCTCGGCAAAACTAGTCATTATGTAGAAGTGAGGATCAAGCTTGGTAAACACAAAGTTTTGTTTTGGCGCGCTGGGATTTCGCCTGGTAGCGGGGCTGGGTCACGGTGGCGTTTATCGTTTGCAGTGCGATTCCCTCGCGCAGATGCAGATTCGAATAGTCCCTGCCTCAGAATCCTCAGGGTCTCCGCTGTTTATTTAAAAAGGCACCCCAGGAACAAGGTTCTAGTCCCTAAGATAAGAAGTTCGTGATATGTGTAAGGCGGTGTGAATGCACCGTGAACCCTGCTCGTCCCTCTGAACACGTGAGAGATGGCAGTGACAACTGGGGTCTGGGAGGGTCAGAGCCTAGCAAACGAAAACCCCAAAGGAAGGGGGTTCTTAGAAGAGTTTAGTACAGTGGTACCTTGGGTTAAGTACTTAATTCATTCTAGAGGTCCGTACTTAACCTGAAACTGTTCTTAATCTGAAGCACCACTTTAGCTAATGGGGCCTCCTGCTGCCACCACGCTGCCAGAGCACGATTTCTGTTCTTATCCTGAAGCAAAGTTCTTAACTTGAAGCACTATTTCTGGGTTAGCGGAGTGTGTAACCTGAAGCGTCTGTAACCCGAGGTACCACTGTACAGCCTCGTGCGATTTGGAGATTGGGGTTTAGGTACCAATGTGCAAAGAGACAATGGCAATTTTCGAACCCTTCCCCAGCCTCAAAAGGACCTTCGTACCATCTCCACTGCCCTGAACATCTTGGAGAAATATGGGCGCAACCTGTTGAACCCACACAAGCCCCGCTTCTGGAGGACCGTCAAGTTCAATAACCCCGTTTTCCGGGACACGGTGGACACCATCCAGGTGAGAGAAACATTCCTTCCCTGTCTGCCCATCCCTTCCTTTGGCATAGCTGTCAACTTACAGATTTGAAAATAACGGACCAGCAGCCTCGAAAATAAGAGATCAGCAGCCAAAATAAGGGATTTTAGTCAACCAGCAGCCAAACGAAGCCTCAAGCGGTGGTTCCCACAGCGCAGCAACCCGGCAAAGGGGATGCAGCAAGGGAAACCACCGTCGCCTCTCCGCTGGGAAGCGCTGAGTCCCCAGGCAACGCGGCCGATTTGATTGGCGCAAGGCATGCAAGCTCCACCCCCCTAGTCGTTCTTAGACTCCTTATTGGGTGAGCAACGCAGCCAAGCAACACAGTTGGAGCCTCCCTCCTCCCTGGCCGGCAGGGAGGGAGGGAGAGGAGCTGCTTCCTTTGAAACCCGGGAAATTTAAGGGACATCATCAATAAGGGACGGCAGTGGGACACGGCGCTGGGATAAGGGACTGTGCCTCCAAATAAGGGACGGTTGACAGCTATGTCCTTTGGTATCAGCACCAGGGTCAGTCACTCGGCTCTTCCCTGCTCTTATATCCTTCTGAGTTTCTATTTTTATTTTGTTTACAACTAATAGCAGGAGCCTGGCGAAAGATATTCCATTGAGAAGGGGGCCCACACAGATAAGGCCCTGTTCCTGGCAGAGGCCGAGCTAAGCTGTGTCCCAGCTGAGCCCCTCCTCCTCTTGTCACCTCAGCCCATTTATTGTGTGCCCCACATTCCTGGCAGGGCGGGCGAGACGTCCTTCGCCTCTACGGATATTCGGAGGAACAGACGGACGGACTTTGCTTCCCGGAGCATCTGCTGGAGCCAGATATCCCTCACGTGGCCTCGATCACCGTGGATGTCATGGTGCTACGGGCTGAACTGAATCTCCTTATTTCGGTATGGTGGAACCATGAGACCCGGAAGCACTTAGATGTGCCGGAGAAATAATAATAGAAATAATGGGGGTCTTGGCTGCGAGATCACATTCACCCGGTGCTATACCAGCTGCACTGGCTCCCGGTGGAGTACAGGATCAGGTTTAAGGTGCTGGTTTTAACCTTTAAAGCCCTATACTGCCTAGGACCCTCGTACCTATGGGACCGCCCCTCCTGGTATGTCCCACAGAGGAACCTACGGTCTGCAAATAAAAACATCCTGAAGGTCCCAGGCCTCAGAGAGGTTAGGCTGGCCTCAACTAGAGCCAGGGCTTTCTCGGCTGCGGCTCCAATCTGGTAGAACGCTCTGTCACAAGAGACTAGGGCCCTGCGGGACCTGACATCTTTCTGCAGGGCCTGCAAGACAGAGTTGTTCCACCAGGCCTTTGGTCAGGGCCCAGCCTGACTCCCTCCTCTGGCAACCTGGACAGAACTTTGCTTAATGGTTGCCATTAATTTGATTTTAATTAATTTTTATAATGAAGTGTTTTAGAATGTTGGATTATTTGATTGTTTGATTATTTGATTGTTGTTAGCCGCCCTGAGCCCAGCTTTGGCTGGGGAGGGCGGGATATAAATAAAATTAATAATAATAATAATAATAATAATAATAATAATAATAATAATAAATAACAACAACTTATTACTTATACCCCACCCATCTGACAGGGTTTCCCCAGCCACTCTGCGTGGCTTCCAACAGAATATAAAAGAACACAGGATACATCAGGCATTAATAGCTTCCCTATACAGAGTTGCTTTCAGATGTCTTCGGAAAGTTGCATAGTTGTTTGTTTCCTTGACATCTGGTGGGAGGGCGTTCCACAAGGCGGGTCCCACCACCGAGAAGGCCCTCTGCCTGGTTCCCTGTAACCTCACTTCTCGCAGGGAGGGAACTGCCAGAAAGCCCTCGGAGCTGGACCACAGTGTCAGGGCTGAATGATGGGGGTGGAGACGCTCCTTCAGGTACACAGGATCGAGGCCGTTTAGGGCTTTAAAGATCAACACCAACACTTTGAATTGTGAGCCAATGCAAGTCTTTTACGACTGGTGTTATATGGTCCCAGCAACCACTCCCAGTCACCAGTCTAGCTGTCACATTCTGGATTAGTTGTAGTTTCCAGGTCACCTTCAAAGGCAGCCCCATGTAGAGCGCACTGCAGTGGTCGAAATGGGAGACCAAGGTCCTTTAGGGCTTTAAAGGTCAGCACCAACACTTTGAATTGTGCTCGGAAACGTACTGGGAGCCGATGTAGGTCTTTCAGGACCGGTGTTATATGGTCTCAGCGGCTATTCCCAGTCACCAGTCTAGCTGCCGCATTCTGGATTAGTTGCAGTTTCCGGGTCACCTTCAAAGGTAGCCCCACATAGAGTGCATTGCAGTAGTCCAAGCGGGAGATAACTAGAGCATGCACCACTCTGGCAAGACAGTCTGCGGGCAGGGAGGATCTCATCCTGTGTACCAGATGGAGCTGGTAGACAGCTGCCCTGGACACAGAACTGACCTGCCCCTCCATGGACAGCTGTGAGTCCAGAATGACTCCCAGGCTGCGCACCTGGTCCTTCAGGCGCACAGTTACCCCATTCAGAAAGATAGTGATGGATGAGCTTTGGGTTCCCAGCTGAGAATGAGTTTTTTCATTTATGTTTAATTTGGTCAGTTCGTTTGTCAACAGAAATCTCTAAGCGGCTTACAGATTGCAGCGAAAAGGAATCCATACAAGCAACAAAAAGTATGAATTGCGCATTTGAAACCTTATGTTGCTACTGCTGCTAATGATAATCGTAATTCCAAGTTTTAATTAGCAGAATTAAATCTCTCTAGATGTGAGCAAAACACCCAAATAATATGCAAAGCGCTGAAATATATTGGGATACATCAAAATGCAACATAACTACAATATATCATTTTTTAAAATCATAAATCTTAAAACACACCCAATAATACAACCACCGAAAAACACCATTCACTTCCATGTTCACACTACACAAAGGAAGTCTACACACCCCCAACATCACTCAGCAGTTTTGTTACATCAGTTCTCACTTCAACAAAACACCCCAGGACACAAAATAATAGGGCGTGTCATTTTAGACAGTGACACTTAATTTCTGCAAATTTATTCAGTGAGCAGTCTTTAAAATATGTGAGGAATTCAAATTTTGTGACTGGACAACATTTAGCCTGGTAAGTCTACATTTAATAAAGAAGCTCATAAACTGCTTTTGGAAAATCAAAGAATTTTAACTTCTGGAAAGTTAGCGCTAATTATAAACAAATAAGTAGCAATATAATACAACGGCAAGTACTTGGCAATCATATTTAACGAATTCCATACAATTTTGCACACATCCTATCAAGCAAAGCTTAAATTATATTAATGTAACCTAATATATTTTGAATTCCCTAGTCATGTTGCAACTTTTTAGCACCCCTCCTTTTCGGAATTGGAAAGTTGAAAAAAAAAAAACCAGGCAGAGGGCCTTCTCAGTGGTGGCGCCCGCCCTGTGCAACGCCCTCCCACCAGATGTCAAGGAAATAAACCTGACTTTTAGAAGACATCTGAAGGCAGCCCTGTTGAGGGAAGCTTTTAATGTTTGATCGTGTTTTTAATATTCTGCTGGGAGCCGCCCAGAGTGGCTGGGGAAACCCAGCCAGATGGGCGGGATATAAATAATAAATTATTATAAATTCAACACGCCACATTCCCTCATGGTTCTGTTTTTCTTTCTTTTTAGGACAACCACCCCAATCCTCAGGTGTTGCAGGAACTAATGCAGGGCGGAGACAATTTACAGGTGAGTCAGGTGAGGGAACATAAAGCCCCAGGAGCTTAGCAGAGAGGGAGCTGAGAAGATCTTTGTGTTTTCGTCCATTTGAGTTTCAGACGGGCGTTAATGAAGCTGTGGGGCCACCCCAGCCCCACTGGCTGCCTCAGAACCATTTGTGTGTGTGTGTGTATCATTCCCTCTGTTGTGGTTCTGACAGCAGTCCTCAGATTACCCTGGCCTAATCCTGTTCCCGGGGTGTGGCCAATGTTGCAGGCTGACAGCTTCTAGGAACCACAGGTGAGAGCTGAGTGCAATGGGGGGAACTTCAGGTTACAGACGCTTCAGGTTACAGACTCTGCTAACCCAGAAATATTACCTCGGGTTAAGAACTTTGCTTCAGGATGAGAACCGAAATTGTGCTTCAGCGGCACGGCAGCAGCAGGAGGCCCCATTAGCTAAAGTGGTGCTTCAGGTTAAGAACAGTTTCAGGTTAAGAACAGACCTCCAGAACAAATTAAGTACTTAACCCAAGGTACCACTGTACAATGAAATTAAACAAGCCTCCCTCCCGCCCCCAAACACTCAATCTCTTATCAAACAACACACCGCCTCGCAAGTCAATTTCGCTATGTTATTTTCCGTTCAACAGCCTAACAGCCCACGGATAGAAGCTATTTTTTAGCCTGTTGGTACGGCTGATTATACTTCTATATCTCCTGCCTGAGGGTACAGTCATACCTCAGGTTACAGATGCTTCAGGTTGCGTTTTTTCAGGTTGCAGACCACCGAATCCCGGAAGTACCAGAATGGGTTACTTCCGGGTTTTGGCAGTCACGCATACGCAGAAGCGCCGAATCGCAACCTGCGCATGCGCAGACGTGCCGCTGCGGGTTGCGAACGTGCATCCCGCGTGGATCACGTTTGCAACGCAAGCATCCACTGTAGAAGATTAAAGAGGCGCTGGGCGGGGTGTGAGTCATCCCTGAGGATTTTTCTCGCTCTCCTAAGGCAACGATCCCTTGCGATGTCATCTAGCAGACTCAAGGGACGGCCCATGATATCATGTGCTGTATTCACCACCCTCCGTAGAGGCTTTCTGTCCGTGGCTGTCAAGCCAGCATACCACACTGTGATACAATATGAAAGGACACTTTCTATTGTGGACGGGTAAAAGGAGTTCATCAGTTGTTGTTTCACATTCTTCTTTCGCAAGACCCTGAGGAAATGGACTCTCTGTTGGGCCTTTCTGACCACCTGAATTATATTGATTTTCCAAGTGAGGTCCTCACTAAGGTAAACGCCCAGGAATTTAAAGGAGGAGACTCTCTCCACACAGCCCCCCCCGATATACAACGGGCAGGTTCCCCTCTCTTCCTCCGAAAGTCCAACACCATCTCCTTTGTCTTACTAGTATTTAGGTGCAAGTTATTCTCTAAGCACCATGTCGATATTTTTTGAACCTCCCCCCTGTACGCTGTTCCATCTCCGCCTGCAATTAGGCCCATTATGGTAGTATCATCTGCAAACTGTAGATGGATCAGATGATATGCAGTCATATGTGTACAATGAGTACAGGTAGGGACTTAGCACACATCCCTGTGGGGTCCCAGTGCTAAGCTTCAGGGAGGTAGACGTAACAGTCCCAATCCTCACTATTTGTGTCCGATCCCTCAAAAAGTCTTTGATCCAGTCACAGATGGTAGAAGAAAGGTCCAGATCTGTCAGCTTTTTTTTTTTTTAATTTTTTATTCGGAATTTCAACATAACAATTTATCAGATATACATCATCCTTATTCCCCTCCCCCATTTTTTCCCTCCCCAAAAAAGAAAAACCAACCCTCCTACCCACACCCCAGACTTCCCTCAGCTCCTCTCTCTGGTTTTTCAGCACGTTCTTCTCTGCATATTATAAAATTGTAAAGATCCTTAATTTCTCTATCTATATATTATCAATAAAAAATTTCTGTGTGTTTATTCAAAACCTGCCAAGGAGTCCAGTTCGTTTTGTTGTTTCTTTTAGTACTTTGTGAAAGGTTCCCGTTCTTCTTTAAAGTCACAGTTGCCCTTGTCACGTCGTTTGCGTGTCAATTCCGCCAATTCCGCGTGGTCCATCAGTTTCTCTTCCCACAGTTCTTTGGTTGGGATTTCTTCATTCTTCCATCCTTGTGCTATTAAGACTCTTGCCGCCGTTGTCACGTACGTGAAGATGTTTTTCAATTTCCTTGGCAGGTCTTTTCCTACAATCCCTAACAAAAATGCTTCAGGCAGGTCCGTCAGCTTTTTAATAAGAATGTCAAAAAGCTGACGGATCTGTACCTTCCTTCTCCCATGGGTCTGAAATCGTAGTTCCCCAACCATTTAAGACATGGATGGGGGATATTTTTCTCTATCCAATGGCTATTTGATCTTCAAGTGGGGGGGAGATGATGTCTTACCAGGCCCTCCTGCTACTCCCGCCTGCACTCCCGTCAGGAGGTAGGTGCCCGAGTTTCGCACTCGCGACAGCTTCCTAGCTTTTCTCGAAGACAGCTGCAGGTGGAACGTATTGCGGTGTGTCCTTGAGGTCACGATGGCACAATGTCCTTTTCTCTTTCCCAGGCTGGCCTCATCGCAGACGCCTTCCCTGTTCAAGAAGCGATCCCGCCGCGCGCCGTTTCGGCATTATCGCCCACAGGTAAAGGGGTACCAAGAGGTTGGCGGTGGAAATAGCGTGGGGCTTTTCCAGTTGAATACCTTCCTGTCGGGCGTCGACGTGACTGTTCCGTGGTTCATGAATTTGGTTCACAATCTTTATTTGTTCTGTAAAGTAGTTTTCATTTTGTAACGTGCATGGAACAGAGAAGATGGTTATGCCCCTGCCATTGGTTCGAATCCTGTCCCGCTCTGGAGGGTAGGACTCAAACCAATGGCTTCAAGATACAAGAAATGAGTTTGTGACGAAACCTCAGGAAGAACTTTCTGACACTAAGACCTGTTCCGACAGTGGAACAGTCTCTCTCCGGAGGTTATGGACTCTCCTTCCTTGAAGGTTTTTAAGCAGAGGTTGGGTGACCATCTGTCTTGGATGCTTTCGTTGAGAGTCCTGCATTCTATGATCCTGTGACAACAATTTTTAAAATGAAAAGCAAAAGCATGAAATAGGCTGGTGGCATGAGTCGTTGTAGGTTCTTTAGCTTCCTGAAAACCCAGCGTTCAAGATGTTAGCAAAAGAATAATACAGTGGAACTTCGGTTTCTTCGAGCGTCTCGAAAGCCGAACGATTTGGAACCCAAACGCCCAAAACCGGAAGTGAATGCTTCCGTTTTTTAACAGTTTCCAAAGCGTGTTTCTCCCATTTTCTCAATGGAATTTGCCGACCACCCATTGAGCCTCAGTTGTGGAACGTTTTGGAAGTCGAACGGTCTTCTGGAACAGATTGCGTTTGACAGCCGAGGTTCCACTGTAATAAGCGTATTTCTAGAGCTCATGGCTGTAGAGAGAAACATTGGCTGCCTGAAATGGTGCTTTTGTCTCCTCCTCAGGTCTAGTAGAGGTACAGCAGATTTTGCAGGCATATATATCGATTGGTGTCTTTTGGGGGGGTAGTTTACTTAGGGGACGCGGGTGGCGCTGTGGGTTAAACCACAGAGCCTATGACTTGTTGATCAGAAGGTTGGTGGTTCGAATCCCCGCGACGGGGTGAGCTCCCGTTGCTCGGTCCCTGCTCCTGCCCACCTAGCAGTTCAAAAGCACGTCAAAGTGCAAGTAGATAAATAGGTACCGCTCCGGCGGAAAGGTAAACGGTATTTCCGTGCGCTGCTCTGGTTTCGCCAGAAGGAAAAACTGTCTGTGGACAAACGCAGGCTCCCTCGGACAGTATAGTGGTACCTCAGGTTAAGTACTTAATTCGTTCCGGAGGTCCGTACTTAACCTGAAACTGTTCTTAACCTGAAGCACCACTTTAGCTAATGGGGTCTCCTGCTACTGCTGTGCCGCCGGAGCACGATTTCTGTTCTTATCCTGAAGCAAAGTTCTTAACCTGAAGCACTATTTCTGGGTTAGCAGAGTCTGTAACCTGAAGTGTATGTAACCTGAAGCGTATGTAACCTGAGGTACCACTGTAAACCGAGATGAGCGCCGCAACCGCAGAGTCGTCTGTGACTGGACTTAACTGTCAGGGGTCCTTTACCTTTTTAGTTTACTTAGCCTGTAAAGTTCAGGTTTTCTTGGCCTAAAAAGACAGAGGGGAGTTTCTGATTCTCTCTCCTCCTCCCACCCAGGTTACCTGCCCCCAGAATCCTGCTTGCTGTGTGGTTTGGAGCCCCCATTGCTACACTGCCCCGCTTGTGCCCAGTCTCTGTGCCCAGACTGTGACCGCCTCTTCCACAAGCACCCCTCGCGGACCCATCACTGCCGGGTGCCCATGAAGGAGCAAGCTTGGCGTAGCCCCCCGACACCCAGGTTAGCGCAATCGACCCCCGCTTTGACTCCGCTTCCGTCTTTCCATCTTTCTGCCCCCAAGCTGCGTTCATAAAGGCTAATGATTTGGCCCCTTTCCTGGGATGGTTTTACTCGGGGTGGACATTTCCTGCCTCTGTTCCGCTCACTTCATGAGGAGGAAATGGTATTGGACGTGTCAGGGTGTCCTAAAGTCGCTTTGTGTTTTTAGTCAAGGAAGCGGCAGTTTTGTTTCTGGTGGGCAGAAGCATCATAGGAACGGCAACCTTGACCGTTTCCCTCACAGTTCTGAAATAATAATAATAATATTAATAATAATAATAATAATAATTTATTTATACCCCACCCTCCCCGGCCAGAGCTGGGCTCAGGGCGGCTAACACCAATAAAATTACAAGAAAACACAATGGGGGAGAACCAGTTTATTAAAATACAGGTTAAAATATAATTTAAAATGCAGCCTCATTTGAATAGTAGCCCATAAATCAAATAGTCCACTCCCAAAAGGTGCCTTTTGGCTTAGAAGATGTGGTCATCCGGGTCCCGTCAAAACCCATCCCTGCAGAATGTACGCATGTAGTCGAAAAATAGCCTTGAAATGAACCTTGCATAGTTTTGCCCGGAAAAACAAGATTTCTCCCAGCATCATGCAGGGTTCCCTTGGCAACGGGCTTCTTTATTAGACATGCTCTGAAGGAGGAGTGAGGCTGTTACTCTGGCCACACGGCTAAAGAGCAGAGAGGAGGAACGGTTTACCTTACTTCCCTTAGACAATAGTAGTTGTCATGTTAAGTCTTCAATAAATGCTTTAAGCAGAACTGGAACGGCATGTCCAGGGCTCATTTGCCTTTACCTTTACCTTATTCCCATGTGGGAATTCGCCCACAGATGAGCTGAACTATGAAATAATAATAATAAATTTATTATTCATACCCCGCCCATCTGGCTGGGTTTCCCCAGCCACTCTCGGCGGCTCCCAATGGAGTATTAAAAACACGATAAAACATCAAATATTAAAAACTTCCCTAAACAGGGCTGCCTTCAGATGTCTTCTAAAAGTCAGATAGCTGCTTATTTCCTTGACATCTGAGGGGAGGGCGTTCCACAGGGCGGGTGCCACCACCGAGAAGGCCCTCTGCCTGTTCCCTGCAGCCTCACTCCTCGCAGGGAGGGAACCGCCAGAAGGCCCTCGGAGCTGGACCTCAGTGTCCGGACTGAACGATGGGGGTGGAGACGCTCCTTCAGGTATAAGAAGATTCTGGAAGGCTTTCTGTGCAACTCTGCTGACTCAAAAGGAGCAAATTGCATCAACAGTTTACAGGGCTGGCCTGAGGCATTTTGCCCCCGCCCCCAGGGCAAAACAGAAAACGACGCCATACCCTGAGATGACTCATTGGATCATTTTTTAATTCGCGGGCTGGCCTCCATCTGTGCGGTCTGCAGCATATGCTTCGCCTCGCTGCTGACCAGGTTTTTTATTCAAAATTAAAACAAGACATATTATCCAAAAACATACCATCCTTGTTTTCCCCCCATTTTTCCTCCCTCCCCCACAAAACCCACCCGCCCCCGCCCCCCAACTTCCCTCAGTTCCAGTCTTTGGTTTCTCTGAGACTGCTGTTTTCTGCATGTTACAAAGTTGTATAGCTCCTCAAACTATTTCGCTGATTACTATCAATAAAAAGTTTGTGAATGTTTATTCAAAACCTGCCAAGGAGTCCTGTTTGCTTTGTTGCGTCTTCAGATACTTTGTAAAGGGTTCCCATTCATCCTTAAAGTCACAGTTATCCTTCTCCCGTAGCTTACATGTCAATTTTGCCAGTTCTGCATAGTCCGTCAATTTTTCTTGCCATGATTCTTTAGTTGAGGTTTCTTCCGTCTTCCATCCTTGTGCTACCAGAACTCTTGTGGCCGTTGTCGCATACATGAAGATGTTTTTCAGCTTTTTTGGCAGGTCTTTGCCTGCAATCCCCAACAAAAATGCCTCACCAGCGCTTCTCTTTTGCCTCGGTTTCCGCTCTCTTTTCAGCGTGACCCTGGTGACGTCCGACGCCGGGTCCCTGAGGCCTCCGACGGAGCCCCTGATGCCACCCTGGCACAGCCTGACCACCCAGCGGCTCCCTTGGTGCTGCGCCGCCTGCCGCATGAACAACGACGCCCGCTCCGTCCTGTGCGTGGCCTGCGACCGGCCCCGCGGCTGCAAGACGCCCGTCAACCCGTCGCCCGAGGACGAGCCAGCCAGCTTGGGGCAGCTGGCCCGGGGACGCTGGGCCTGCCAGTCGTGCACCTTTGAGAACGAGCCGGCCACGGTCCTGTGCGCCATGTGCGACAGACCCCGTCTGGCGGGGAAGCCCGGGACGGGAGACGCAAAGCCCCTCATCGCCTGGGGGAAAGAGCCGGGGCCACAACAGCAAGACGTAAGTGTACCTCTGGGCCAGAGGGCTATTTGGGATTCCGTTTTTTTTTTTTTTAAATTATTATATTCCTTATACATACTTTTACAATGCAGTACAGTAAATCATGGGACGTGGGTGGCGCTGTGGGTTAAACCACAGAGCCTAGGACTCGCTGATCAGATAGTCGGCGGTTTGAATCCCTGCGACAGGGTGAGCTCCCGTTGCTCGGTCCCTGCTCCTGCCAACCTAGCAGTTCGAAAGCACATCAAAGTGCAAGTAGATAAATAGGTACCGCTCTGGCAGGAAGGTAAACGGCATTTCCGTGTGCTGCTCTGGTTCGCCAGAAGCGGCTTAGTCATGCTGGCCACATGACCCGGAAGCTGTATGCCGGCTCCCTCGGCCAATAAAGTGAGATGAGCGCCGCAACCCCAGAGTCGGCCACGACTGGACCTAATGGTCAGGGGTCCCTTTACCTTTACCTTACAGTAAATCACATAAATACTTTAGCTCTGCCAAGCTTACAACTTCCCTCCATCCCTTCAGCGAGTATTCCTTAATTTCTTATATCGCGTATTCTATTTATTTAACCTTATATCTGCCATACATTGTAAGAGCTATTTCAGTCCTGCCAGTGTCTTTAAAGTTTTACAATTATCTTTTATATACACCATAAATTTACTCCCAACTTTCTTGAAACTTCTGATCGTCCTGGTCCTGAATTTTCCCCGTCAGTTTGGCTAACTCTGCATAACTCATCATTTTCGTCTACCACTCCGCAATAGTGGAAACTTCTTGCAATTTCCAGTTTGTAGCAAGCATATTTCTTGCTGCAGCTGTGGCGTACATGAAAAATCTTTGATCCACTTTCTTAATTTTCTTCCCCATCAACCCCAACAAAAAGGCTTCTGTTTTTTTGGGGAAAGTGTATTTGAATATTTTCTTAAGTTTATTGTAAATTAACTCCCAAAAGTTCTTAAGTTTATCACAAGTCCACCACGTGTGGTAAAAGTCTCCATCTGCCTCTTTGCATTTCCAACATTTTTTGTCCTTCATCCTATACATTTTTGCCAGCTTTACCGGTGTTAGATGCCACCTATAAGTCATTTTCATTAAGTTCTCTTTGAAAGCCGTACATGTCGTAAATTTCATATTTACATCCCATAATTCATACCATCCATCCAACTCAATATTATGGAGGACGATTTGGGATTCCTAGAGTCCTTTGGCGGCGCTTTCCCTCGGGTTGCTGGCTTAAAACCAACTCACACCACACTTCATATATTTATTACGGATACATTTATTTAATGGGGTAGGAGAGCTGATGATCATGCCAATGTATTTCACATCCGGCAATCAATGTGGGTTTCAGATAGTACATGGGTAGGGGATGCAGGTGGCGCTGTGGTCTAAACCACTAAGCCTCTTGGGCTTGCCGATCGGAAGGTCAGCGGTTCGAATCCCCGCGACGGGGTGATCTCTCGTTGCTCTGTCAGTGTAGCAGTTCGAAAGCACGCCAGTGCAAGTAGATAAATAGGTACCGCTGCAGCGGGAAGGTAAATGGCGTTTCCGTGCACTCTGGTTTCCGTCATGGTGCCCTGTTGCGCCAGAAGCAGTTTAGTCAAGGTGGCCACATGACCTGGAAAGCTGTCTGTGGACAAACGCCGGCTCCCTCAGCCTGAAGCAAGATGAGCGCCGTAACATCATAGACTGGAGATAACTGTCCAGGAGTCCTTTACCTTTTTACTTACCTGGTAAAGGGACCCCTGACCATTAGGTCCAGTCGCAGACGACTCTGAGGTTGTGGCGCTCATCTCGCTTTATTGGCCAAGGGAGCCAGCGTACAGCTTCCGGGTCATGTGGCCAGCATGATTAAGCCGCTTCTGGCGAACCAGAGCAGCGCACGGAAACTCCGTTTACCTTCCCGCCGGAACGGTACCTATTTATCTACTTGCACTTGACGTGCTTTCGAACTGCTGGGTTGGCAGGAGCAGGGACAGAGCAACGGGAGCTCACCCCGTTACGGGGATTTGAACCGCCGACCTTCTGATCGGCACGTCCTAGGCTCTGTGGTTTAACCCACAGCGCCACCTGCGTCCCTGGTACATGGGTAGATGAGTCTAAAAAGCCCAGGACACAGATTTTTATGGTCCTCTAGCAGCTATTTACCAGAAACGATGTATTTAGCGTTACCTCTGGAAGCGTACACTCGATTCTGACCAAACTAAGCGCCCGGTGTAAATTTTTCTCACGAAGCGGGTTCTGTGCAGGGAATTTCCTCTCGCAACTGATCCCAGCCAGCTTTCGCTCTTCTGTCCATCCGCTGACGGGGTGGTGCTGCGTGTCGATCTGCATCTTAACCTTAGGGCCGTGGGTTCGAGCCCCACGTCGGGCCAAAGGATCCTGCATTGCCGGGGGTTGGACTAGATGACCCTCGGGGTCCCAGCTCTACGATTCTACGATTCCTTTTCCTCCAGGCCTCTGGCTGGCAGTGTGAGCACTGCACCTTCTGGAACAAGTGCCCCGGGCGGGTGTGCGAGATGTGCAACTGCACCAGCCAGCGAGGGGGCCCCGAGCCCTCGCGGCCCCACGCCAAGCCGGAGAAGGAGGATGACGAAAGGTCAAGGAAGGGGACGGCGGAGGTCAAAGCTGATCTGAGGAGTCTGCGGAAGGCTCTGCCCATCTCCCAGGAGGAGGCGGAGCAGCGGAGGCAGGAGAAACTGCGGGAGGACGGGCAGAAGATGGTGGCCATGATCCGGGTGAGAATTTGCCGGTGGGGGGAGGAATCATCTGACTGTCCACAGGCAATCAGGCTTGCAAGGGGTGGCTGGGTCAAGTGGACCTGCAAGACTCCCTGCCTGTCCCTCTCCTCAGGCCACACCCCTCACACCCTTATTTACATGTGATGCTCCGCCCACTTTTTGCCCCTGGGAAGAAGGGAACTTTTCCCCCAGGCTGAAAATAAGGCTTCTCCACTCCCTGTGGGTTAAACCACAGAGCTTGCCAATCAGAAGGTCGGCGGTTCGAATCCCCGTGACGGGGTGAGCTCCCGCTGCTCGGTCCCTGCTCCTGCCAACCTAGCAGTTCGAAAGCACGTCAAAGTACAAGTAGATAAATAGGTACCGCTCCAGCGGGAAGGTAAATGGCGTTTCCGTGTGCTGCTGTGGTTCGCCAGAAGCGGCTTAGTCATGCTGGCCACAGGACCCGGAAGCTGTACGCCGGCTCCCTCGGCCCATAAAGCGAGATGAGCGCCGCAACCCCAGAGTCGGCCACGACTGGACCTAATGGTCAGGGTTCCCTTTACATTTCCCCTACTCCTGGTTTAGATGGTCTAAATGTCGGCATCTCAGACCAAAATGCTTCTACACCTCTGCCCTAATTCTAAAATGGTATTCTGCATTTCCAGCTTCAAAATGGCGGATTATTTTTACACCATGATGAATTTGAGTGGGGAGCAGGGAGGGTGTATTCTAAAAAGCCGTGTTTAATTTCACACACACACACACACACACACACAGAATAATTCAGAGTGCTTTTTGAAGGACTTTTTGGTCCAAGGCAAAGCAGTTTTGTGTGTGTGTGGATTTTCAGCTGAGGAATGGGGAGTGGGCACACCAAATGGGGGTTCAGCGTACGTCCCCCTCTTTCAGCTTAGATCCCCAAGGTGGCAGTTGGGGGCACCACAGTGCTCTCAGGCCCCCTTATTTGCCCATCAAAGTCCAAGAACCTTCCTTTATTTATTCAGATCTTTTTTTATGGACGTAGTTGTTCATTTGAGGAGGGGCAGTTGCCTCCTTCCCCCCACCTTGATTTATTTATTTTGAAGCGTTTTACTTGCGGGATGGGCTTGTTTCTGAGAATCGTCGGTTTTTCTTCTGCAAAATGGGCATGTCTTAGGTTTCCCCTGGGGCCTAAAAGCTTTGGGAACCTCCTTTTCAGCATTTTCTGTTAGCGTGACCGAATTTGGGGCCGGGAGGAGGAGAGATCAGAATTGCAGGGGGTGGCTGCGGAGACCCCTTTTTCCGGCGCAAATATCAGGCCTTCCTTCTCCCTCCTGACCCGGCCGAGAGAGTTGCCGACCAGCTTGAAAAGCCCCTTGCTGGATTTGACCCAGGCCCGGACCTCCTGCGCTTTTGGACCCGGGCCTCGAACCCTTCCCTCCTTTTCCCCCCTCAGGAAGCGGAAAAAGTCGGCGTGGCCCCCGAATTGGTGGCGGCCGCCTTGCGCTACTCTGGGGCGGAGCTTCCCCTGGCGTGGCTGAATTCGGAGCTCCCTGGGGTGCTGGAAGGCGTGGCTGAGCTGGCCACGCAGCGAGGCGAGCAGGAGCCCGGCGGAGGCCTGGGGGTCTTGACCCGCCAGGAAGTCCAGGCGGCTTGGACAGAGAGCCTGGGGGACGTGGACGAAGCCGTCAGCCGATGCCTCAGCGCACGGCGCAGGAAGGTCAGCCGGGACGGGACGGGCCTCTGGAGAAAGGGGTCATGTTGTAGGGGGGAAATATTTTGGGCGAACACAGCATGGGCTGTCAAGGGTCGTTCCAGGACGTGGGCGGAGCTTGGAAAATGGGGGCGGCCTTAAAGGATGGTCTGGGAAGTGGGTGGGGCCAGGTCAGCCAATCAGGATAGGTTCTGGAAAAAGGGGAGGTGCTTGTGAATTGGGGGAATGGGAGGAGATGATGGACTTTTTGGAGCTGGCCGACCAGACTTGAAGAATCCGCGAGCAGAAAGAGGAGGAAACACAAGAAGAATGGAAGAAATTCAAGGATTATTTAGCTAGATATTCTAAGATAATATAAGCAGAATTACTTGTCGGTACCAAACTGGCCTAGGAGTAAGATATGTTGAATTGTATAACATTATGGATTGAAAACATTAAGAGAAGAAAGAAAGATGTTAATTGAATAAGTTAATTTTATTGGAAAACTGCTACAATGAGTTCTATGGAAACTCAGCTGGGGGGGATTCGAGGAAGTGATTTAATAAAGATAATTCAATTGGGATTTTAGCGTTAGGATATATGTTTGTTCGTTTGCCTTTTTTATATTGTATTGTTTTTCTTTTATGTTTGTTATAAATTTGGAAAATTAATAAAATATTTGGGGGGAAAGAGGGGGAATGGGAGGGGCCTATATTTTGTGGGTGGAGCCTCGGGGCAGAATTCGCACCTGAGCCAATGTCTGGAAGAAGTTGGGGAGGCCCGGAGAAATGGAGAGAGAGGAGAGGGCAGTGAAGGAGCCTGGGATTCATTAAGAATAGGAACAATTTACGGGTGAGAAAGGAAAGAGGGAGCGAAGCTGTGCTGAGTTTGGAAAGGGAACGGGCTGCTGGGCTGGAAGGGGCAGGGTTGTGCTTGAGGCAAAGCTTTGTTTGAGCTCCCTCAGTCTCAGGCCCTGGATGTGCCCCTCCAGAAAAATTTTTTGTAAAAGACCTCCTCTGAGCACATGCAGAGTGCTTTTGGAAGCTGAGCTCTGCGCTGCGGCCCACCGGAAGGGTGGGATCTGGCTGAATACGCCCTCTTTCCATGCAGTTGCGGGAGCTGAAGGCGCTGGGCTTTGAGGAGCGTGGCCCCGTGCTGCAGGCCCTGTACCAAAACAACGGGGATCTGTGGCGAGCCTTGACGCAGCTGCAGTGCCAGCGGTTGGAGCCCTTTCTTCAGCGCATGTGGGAATACGAAGACCCTCCCTTCGACTTCCACAGCCCCGACCGACAGGTGAGAGAGAGAGATTAAGGCAGGAGTGCCCAAACTTTTTCCAAAGAGGGCCAGATTTGAAGAAGTGAACATGCGTGAGGGCCGACCGCAGATGTTGAGCTTTTTTGAGGATTTAACCCCAAAGTTGTTGAGCTTTATTTTACAATTTTACTCCGTAGTTGTTGAGCTTATTTTAGGATTGAAGTTGCTTCGATCCCCAGCACATATATTCTTCATCATCAACCTTTATTACGGTCCAGAGACCCAACAAATCGTTACAAAGCAATACACAATTCATACAGCCTACCTCCAGGTTACACAAGTATTTCGTTCAGAATATAGGGATCATTGGTTCTTGCAACCACCGTTAAAAACTTTGCCACTGCTAATGTTCTAGCGTTTGTCCGGTCTTCCAATAGGAGCCTGACATAGTGAGCCTCTGATTTTCCCAGTAAAGGTACCAGCAAGGGTAATATCAGTTCAGCTCTGGCTTGCTCATGTTTTGCACAGTGCAACAAAATATGTTTTATGGAATCGATGTCTTGAGCACACGAGCAAAGTCTGTCCTGGTAGGGAACTCCTCTCAACCTGCCATCCAACACTGCAGAAGGAAAGATGTTTAGTCCGGCTTTGGTGAAAAGCCTTCGGTAATTTGGTACTGTCAGGTTTTTAATGTAAGATGTTAACTTAAAGAAGACATGCCCGTATTGTACTCCTACTGCCAGTGGACTACAGACTGCGTGCGATCGATATCACAAGTCACTGTGTGCATTACCCCATGATCTTTGCTTTAACGTCTTTAGGGCGCATTCATAACCCAGGTAATACAGTTGGGGGGGTGACAGACCAATAGAGGTGGCTTTTTTAGCCATGGTTTTCTGTGCATATATTGCCACAGGGGCCAGATTAAAACGACCGGCAGCAGGCCGGATTAGGCCCCCCAAATGGACTTTGGACATGCCTGGATTATGGTCTTTCGGAGGTGGCTGGAGGGGGACGCCGCCATTATCCTTCCTGTTGCACTGTCTAACTCTTTCTCATCCTTTCAGGCTCTCCTCCGCCGCCTGCTGGCCTCCCTTTCCCTGCCCAGCTGGGGCCGGGCGGAGCTGGTGGTCTCCTTGATGCTTGAGCAGCCAAGTGAAGGCGGATGGGAGCTGGCTGACATTGTGGAGGCCGTCAAGGCCTCGCCTAGCCGGGACTTCATCAAGCGTCTGTTGAGCTGGGAGTGTGCCGTCTGCAGCCTGGCTTTGCCTCGAAACAAGGTACCAGACGCGGCTCCTATGCTGGGTCCTGGGAGAAGGTTCACTCTCTCATCCTGCAGCTCAGTCGGTGTTCCTCTTTAGGAATTACAGTGGTACCTTGGTTCTCAAACTTAATCCGTTCCGGAAGTCCGTTCCAAAACCAAAGCGCGTTTTCCCATCAAAAGTAATGCAAAATGGATTAGTCCTTTCCAGACTTAAACCCCTAAAACAGCAACTTAACATGAATTTTGCTATCTCACGAGACCATTGATCCATAAAATGAAAGCACTAATCAATGTACTGTACTACAAAATAAATAAGACGGTACAGTGGTACCTCGGGTTAAAAACTTAATTCGTTCTGGAAGTCCGTTCCAAAACCAAAGCGCGTTTCCCCATCAAAAGTAATGCCAAATGGATTATTCCTTTCCAGACTTAAACCCCTAAAACAGCAACTTAACATGAATTTTGCTATCTAACGAGACCATTGATCCATAAAATGAAAGCAATAATCAATGTACTGTACTATAAAACAAATAAGACAGTACAGTGGTACCTCGGGTTAAGAACTTAATTCGTTCTGGAGGTCCCTTCTTAACCTGAAACTGTTCTTAACCTTAGATAATGGGGCCTATTGCTGCCACCGCACGATTTCTGTTCTCATCCTGAAGCAAAGTTCTTAACCCGAGGTACTATTTCTGGGTTAGCGGAGTCTGTAACCTGAAGCGTCTGTAACCCAAGGTACCACTGTATTGTAGATAATAAAAATAAAAAATAAATAAATTTCTTGCCTGCACTGATGATAGTCATTGTTTGTATGGGAGGCTTTTATCCATTTCTGCAGTCACACAATCAATCAATCCGTAACTGAACTGGGTTCCACATAGTCACAACAACAAATAAACTGATAAAGCCTCAAAAGCAGAAACACAAAATAAACAACATAAACAAAAGCACCTAACTTAATCCGTTCCGGAAGTCCATTTGACTTCCGAAATGTCCAAAAACCAAGGCGCAGCTTATGATTGGCGCAGGCGCCCCGGAAACAATAGCCAACAGCCGCATTGGCCGTTCGGCTTCTGAAAAACGTTCGAAAACCGGAACACTTATTTCCAGGTTTTTGGCGTTTGAGAACCAAGGTACCACTGTATTCCAGAGTCTGAAATACAGAGCACAAAATAAAGTTGGTATACAATCACAGAGCGTCATAACCTTGATTACATCTTAATAGCAAAGCTTGTCATAATTGTGGCTTAATAGCAGCCTGCTGCCTGGCTCTGGTTGGGAACTCAAAGGGACCAAAAAAATCGGTGTGGTTTTCAAAGGTTCAGTCCGGCATCTTGCATCCGGTTGTGTCCTAGCATAAACTAAAACCTCCTTGATCTCAGGAACCGCCATGCAAAATTTGGATATGGTACCTTAAGAGGTGTTCAGATACAGAGAGAGACAGACTTTCCAAAATACAGTGAAATATAAGAATCGCTCTTCAAACTATGATGGCTAACCAGATCTACTGTCATGCAAGCGTAAAGAAAACCTCACCTTTATATTGGCAATTTGTGAATCCTTTTATAACAGTAAGGTAAAGCTACATCATTATCGTCTCTCTTATGTTCCAGCTTAGTTATAATTAATGCAACAGCCTGCAATAGACTTTGGATAAACTTGCATTTATGTCATCAATGTAGCGCAGTTTTTGCAATGGCTATCAAAGGAGCTCAAATGCAAACAATTCCTTTTTTTTTTTTAAAGCATATTTGGATAGAAATTAAACAGTCATTCTCAAAACCTCGGTTGCTGATTAATTTGTACTTTCTGGTATGTGTCTTTGGAATGTAATGGGATTTTATATTCGGCTCTGGTTTAGGAGACCTTGAGTTTTAAAAATCCTCCCAACTTGCTTATCTGTGGAGGCAGAACTTTCTGTCTGGCATTAACTGTTTCTCTTTAGTCAAGGTCAGGTCAACTAGCCTGAGACATTCTTATTTCTGCAGAAATAAAAGCTTCACCTTTGTTTGTGTGGCTCATCTGCTCTGAGATGATCTCCCATTGCCTGTGCCAAGTGAGCGGGGGTGTCAGTTGCAGCTGCAGTATTTCAATTTTAATTGGATTGGTCTGTTTAAGTCTGGTATAATTGACTTATGTAGGGCAACTGGGAAATTCTTTGATGCTTTCGGAGGGGGTTGGGGGTCTAATTGTCAGCCACGTTACTTAAAGACATCAAATTTGTCCTGTTCAGTTAATTTTCATTTGCAGTATTTTACTTGCTGGGGCTCGGAGGATATTTCGTTTACTTCTTTACTATGTTTGTTATTAATTTTCCTTGTATTTTTGCAACTGGCTTTTGCGTGCAGCGGTCATTTTTATCCCAAAGAGGATGGTGCTCTGTTTAGTTGTCAGTTGTGTTTTGCAGAATGCAGAAATTCCCTGGCTTTTTTTGGGTACTGTTTCCTGTTTAACCTTTGCTGTAAACCGCTAGAGGTTTGCTTTTGAACGTAAGCAGTATATAAATTGCCCGTTAATAATGCTTAATAGCCAGTGTGGTGTAGTGGTTAAGAGCAGTAGTCTCATAATCTGGGGAACCAGGTTTGCGTCTCTGCTCCTCCACCTGCAGCTGCTGGGTGACCTTGGGCCAGTCACACTTCTCTGAAGTCTCCCAGCCCCACTCACCCCACAGAGTGTTTGATGTGGGGGAGGAAGGGGAAGGAGAATGTTAGCCACTTTGAGACTCCTGAAGGGGAGTGAAAGGCGGGATATCAAATCCAAACTCTTCTTCTTCTTCTTCTTCTTCTTCTTCTTCTAAATATTAGGGACGCGGGTGGCGCTGTGGGTTAAACCACAGAGCCTAGGACTTGCCGATCAGAAGGTTGGCGGTTTGAATCCCCGCGGCGGGGTGAGCTCGCGTTGCTCGGTCCCTGCTCCTGCCAACCTAGCAGTTCAAAAGCACACCAGTGCAAGTAGATAAATAGGTACCGCTCCGGCGGGAAGGTAAACGGTGTTTCCGTGCGCTGCTCTGGTTCGCCAGAAGCGGCTCAGTCCTGCTGGCCACATGACCCGGAAGCTGTACGCTGGCTCCCTCGGCCAATAAAGCGAGATGAGCGCAGCAACCCCAGAGTCGGTCACGACTGGACCTAATGGTCAGGGGTCCCTTTACCCTTTACCTTAATGCTAAATATTAGTCTCATAAGCACATAAAAAGAGCCTTCAGGATCAGGCCAGTGGCCCATCTGGCCCAGCATCCTGTTCTCCCATTGGCCAACCAGATGCCCCAATGGGAAGGATTGATCCTGAATTCAACAGTGCACCCCCCCTCCTCTGGCCTTCAGCAACAGGAACTCAAAAGCATTGCTGCCCCTAGCCAGTGCCGGATTTACGTATAAGCTAAACAAGCTATAGCTTAGGGCCCCGCTCTCCTGGGGGCCCCCAAAAGATGTAAAGGGAAAAAACCTGAATGTACATTTCAAAATATAAGATAAAAAAAAAAATACAGTGGTACCTCGGGTTACAGACGCTTCAGGTTACGCGATTTCGGGTTGCGCACTGCGCCAAACACGGAAGTACCGGAACGGGTTACTTCTGGGTTTCAGCGCATGCGCAGAAGCACTAAATCATGCTTTGCACATGCGCAGAAGCGCCAAATCGTGACCCGCGTGTGTGCAGATGCGGTGCTGCGGGTTGCGAACGGTGCGGGTTGCAAACATGCCTCCCACACGGATCACGTTCGCAACCCGAGGTTCCACTGTAAAATAAAACCTACATACAGCAACAGTGTTTTGTGTTGTGTAGGTTCCTATGGTGTAAGTAATGGGCCTCACCTGCTAGCCTGCCCCCTAAAATATCACTGGTTTGCTCCTTTCTATATATAGGGTGCCTCCATTCTGCATGTGCAAATGGCTTGAGATACCTATTAGGTCCATAAATGACCATATAGCATATAGTAAAGGTGAAGGGACCCCTGACCATTAGGTCCAGTCGTGACCAACTCTGGAGTTGCGGCGCTCATCTCGCTTTATTGACTAAGCCGCTTCTGGCGAACCAGAGCAGCACACGGAAACGCCGTTTACCTTCCCGCCTGAGCGGTACCTATTTATCTACTTGCACTCTGACGTGCTTTCGAACTGCTAGGTTGGCAGGAGCAGGGACTGAGCAATGGGAACTCACCCCCTCGCGGGGATTCAAACCGCCGACCTTCTGATCGGCAAGTCCTAGGCTCTGTGGTTTAACCCACAGCGTTATTCAACACAAAAAAACAGTGACAATTTGTTGTTGACATAGGACAGCTGGACATATAAAGGGCCCCATTACCTTCAGTAGCTGAGGGCCACATCAAACCTAAATGCGGCCCTGTCTCTAGCTGTGGAATCAGAGCACAGCCATCGTAGCTAATAGCCATCGATAGCCCTCTTCCCCTCCAGGATTTTGCCCAGTCCTCTTTTAAAGCCGTCCAAATCAGTGGCCATCCCTGTCTCCTGCGGCAAAGAGTTCCACAGTTTAACTAAACGCTTGCGTCAAGAAGTAATTTCTTTCCTGAGTCTTCCTTCGTTCACCTTCGTGGGATGCACACGGTAGAGTCTCACTCAGCCGGTCTGTTCTTGTGTGTGTTTTTTCAGATGCAGTCGCTGACGTCGTGTGAGTGCACGATTTGCCCGGAATGCTTTGCCCTGCACTTCACCATCGCCGTGAAGGAGAAGCACATCACAGACCTGGTGTGTCCGGCCTGCTCAGAGCCCGAGATCAGCGACGAAGGGGAGCTCATCAACTACTTCTCCACCCTCGATATCCAGGCAAGTCATCTCTGCGCACTCCTGCACCCTAGATTGTTGTTGTTGTTGAGTCGTTTAGTCGTGTCCGCCTCTTCGTGACCCCCTGGACCAGAGCATGCCAGGCCCTCCTGTCTTCCACTGCCTCCCGCAGTTTGGTCAAACTCATTTTCGTAGCTTTGAGAACACTGTCCAACCATCTCATCCTCTGTTGTCCCCTTCTCCTTGTGCCCTCCATCTTTCCCAACATCAGGGTCTTTTCCAGGGAGTCTTCTCTTCTCATGAGGAGGCCAAAGTCTTGGAGCCTCAGCTTCAGGATCTGTCCTTCCATTGAGCGCTCAGGGCTGATTTCCTTCAGAATGGAGAGGTTTGATCTTCTTGCAGTCCATGGGACTCTCCAGAGTCTCCTCCAGCACCAGAATTCAAAAGCATCCATTCTTGGTGGTCCAGCTGGAGCAGGAACCGGCAAGCCACTCCAGTATCCCTGCCAAGAAAACTCCATGGACAAAGACAACAGGCATCCTAGATACATTCCCCAAATGCCAAATTTCCACTCCATGCTCACATCTGCTTCTCTGTAGAAACGCAGCCTGCGTTTTAACAAATGGCGACGTCCCTTTTAACAGGTCCTTGGTGCCTCTTTTAATTTTTATTTTATTTTTTTAAGAAATTGGGAAGGAAAGCAAGGAGGGAGGAAAAGTGCAGATTGAATTGGAGGTGGGCCTGACTTTTCCTTACTTGCCAGCCCTCCTTTTTGTGTAAGGGTTGGGCCCAGCTAGGAGAGAGAGTTTCTGAGCTCCGTTTTCAAAGAACCTTCCTTCCAGCCCACCTTTAGGGGGAAAATAGTTGCCATGTATAGAATCAGACCATAGGCCCATCCACCTCACTACGACCACACAGACTGAATGTCAAAACAGAAAGGATTTTATTGGGGAGAAAAGTTGGCCAGAGGAGGAGAAAGGGAGGTCTGTAAACACAGACCAGGAAATAAAAATTGTATAGCCAATCCAACTGTCAGGGAACTGCAGGCAGCGAGGGAGGAAAGAATTAGAGGATACAGGGAACGATCTCCACTGCTCAGTACTGAGTCCTCCTCAGAAGACAGAGAAGAGGATAGTGAGTCTGGGGAGGAAGGGGTGCTTCAGAGAGAGGGGGGTCCACGTCACAGGGGATAACGGAAGGGGCTGAGCCGTTGGCTGTGTTGGTCTCGAGGGAAAGGGAAAAGAGAAACCAGTCAGAGCAGCGCGTCATGGGAGACGGGTCGCTTTGTTTATACTGCATGTAATCTTGTCAGAAGGAAATAAAGAAAGGAATTTATGGCTGGCTGCCAGGAGTGTTTTCTCTGCTAAGTGCAGCGACGCATGCAGCTGGCTAGCTGACACCAACATGTTACATAACATGTTACAGAAGCATAGCTGTCAACTTTTCCCTTTTCTTGTGAGGAATCCTATTCGGAATAAGGGAATTTCCCTTAAAAAAAGGGAAATGACAGCTATGCGGAAGAGAGATTTTTAGGTGAGAGCATCTTGGACTTCAGGAAGGAAGGAAGGAAGGAAGGAAGGAAGGAAGAATGCCACACCCTCATAAAACTCAATAGCCTATTTTATAAGATGGACAGTTGTTTAGCTCAGTGGCCGAACTGTTGTCTCCAAGGCCAGCCCTGCTGCTTCTTATCTTGTCTTGACTGCCCCTGAAGGGACCGTTTGTTCTATCTCTCTCATAAAATAAAATAAAAAGGAACACCATTTGTCTGTTTCCCATATTCTGCTTCCTTTACCTCCCCACAGCTGCGCGGTTGCCTGGACCCCGAGACCTATGAGCTCTTCAACAAGAAGCTGATGGAGCGCGTTCTCATGCGCGATTCCAAGTTTCAGTGGTGCACGCATGTGAGTAAAGGACTGTTTTGGGAAGGGGAAGAGTTTATCAGGGAGGGAGAGGCTGGATGCAAAGGGGGCCTCCTCCCGAAAGACAAACGATGAATCGTCTGGACTTCGAAACGAGTCAACGTGATTCATATATAAAAAGTCTGCCGCCTTGGTCACACTCTAGCGCGACTGAGAGACGAGGCGGGGCTTTGGAGGTGCCTTAAGGGAGAGGTGAAATCGCTGAAAACCTGTCCCCCTCCCCACCCTGCAAGTTCATTTTTGTGCATTTAGGTCTCGCCCACCTCTGAGGTGCTGAAGATGAGGTGCTCAGCTATTCTTAGTTACAAGAAACTGCCTAACTCCGAGCGAGGCCTTTGAGCCGTCTAGCGCAGGACTGCCTGCACTGACCGGCAGCACCTCTCCAGGATTTGGGTCAGCGAGTTTCTCCCAGCCCTACCTGGAGATGGCAGGATTTGAACCCGGAACATTCTGTGCGCAGAGCAGATTGTTCTACCCCAGAATTACGACCCTTCTCACTACAGTGGTACCTCTGGTTGCGAGCGGGATCTGTTCCGGGGGGCACGTTCGCAAGATGAAAAGAACGCAACCCACAGTGGCGCATTTCCGCATGTACGGGTTGCGATTCGCCGCTTCTGAGCATGCGCGTGACGTCGTTTTGCGCTTCTGCGCATGTGCGAGCGGCGAAACCCGGAAGTAACTACTGCAACGTGCTCTACCTGGGGCTACCTTTGAAGGTGACCCGGAAACTGCAATTAATCCGGAATGCGGCAGCTAGACTGGTGTCTGGGATTGGCTGCCAGGACCACATAACACCGGTCCTGAGAGATCTGCACTGGCTCCCATTACGTTTCCGCGCACAATTCCAAGTGTTGATGCTGACCTTTAAAGCCCTAAACGGCCTCGGTCCTGTATACCTGAAGGAGCGTCTCCACCCCCATCGTTCAGCCCGGACACTGAGATCCAGCTCCGAGGGCCTTCTGGTGGTTCCCTCATTGCGAGAAGTGAGGTTACAGGGAACCAGACAGAGGGCCTTCTCGGTAGTGGCGCCCACCCTGTGGAACGATCTCCCTTCAGATGTGAAGGAAATAAGCAGCTATCCTAACTTTAAAAGACATCTGTAGGCAGCCCTGTTCAGGGAAGTTTTTAATATTTAACGCTGTACTGTTTTTAACACTTGATTGGGAGCCGCCCAGAGTGGCTGGGGAAACTCAGCCAGATGGGCGGGGCATAAATAATAAATTATTATTATTATTATTATTATTATTATTATTATTATGACTGAGGTATGACTGTAATAGGCTTGTTTATTCCCCACCTGTCACCTCCTCCTCAATTGTGACAAGTGTCCGGCTCTTCTAAGAGCCTAGGGTCAGGAGAAGGGACTCCCAGGATGCTTTGTGATCGCTTCTCCCTTTCTTTTCCTCCTCTCTCTAGTGCTCCTTTGGCTTCATCTACGAGTCTGAGCAGCTGGAGGCCAAATGTCCGCAGTGCCGCAAGAGCTTCTGCGTCCAGTGCAAGCGTCAGGTGGGTGAGGCCGCTTCCTGCGGGGTGGTTGTGGAGCAGCGAAGGGACTGCCATCGTGTTGGGAGCAGCTGTGTCTTGCGAGGAGACTTGGGTAGCCATTGAGGTCCATAGATATCTCTCACACAAACACGCTCTCTCTCTCTCGAAGCCTCGTTGTTGCTTTGTTCTTCCCAGAAACCCAAGAAGCCAGTCCATTGTTGAGATCAGGGGTTAGGTAGGTAGGTAGGTAGGTAATTTATTACGGTCGGAGACCAGCTTATAAAACACACTTGGGGGTACAATTCCAGAAGGAAAACAAACATTTAAGACAATGTACAACAATACAGTGGTACCTTGGGTTACATACGCTTCAGGCTACAGGCGCTTCAGGTTACAGACTCCGCTAACCCAGAAATATTACCTCGGGTTAAGAACTTTGCTTCAGGATGAGAACAGAAATCGTCCTCCGGCGGCGCAGCAGCAGGAGGAGGCTGCATTAGCTAAAGTGATGCTTCAGGTTAAGAACAGTTTCAGGTTAAGAACAGACCTCCGGAATGAATTAAGTACTTAACCCGAGGTACCACTGTAAATTTAAAATTTATAAATGCGATAAGCATATAGACACTTAAAACTTTAAGATAAGCTATCGCAGAGAGATGACCCAGAGTCACCCATGGAACCGAGTTTGGGCATTTTCTTAACGAACTAGTTTGGGTCGGGGGATGGTCTGCGCTTACAGATCTGTACACAGAATCTGGCAACCATCCGGGTCGTCTTATGATCTTTGCCTAACAGGGAAAGGTCAAATTTTTGCTTTTCCAGGAGGTCAGCGAGCCTCACCAGCAGGGGATCAATGGTCTCACTACGTGCCTCTTCATAGTAGGGACATCTAAAAAACAAGTACTCTGGGCTTCCCATCTCCCCCAATGAACAGGCGCAAAGCACGTGGGACTTTTTTAAAGGATCCTTCCTGGACCGGCGAGGGCAGAGCTGAGCTTCTGGCGATTGTAAAAGCCCTTCTTGCATTTTTGGATACGAGACAGAAGAGATATGTTGCCGGTGCGGCTATATATCTCTCGATTTCTCCAATTTTATAGTCGGGGCACCTTGAGCAATCCTGTTGTCTCTCGGTGTCTATGATTCTTTGCCAGACTCTAGCTTTTGCCTGGCCCAACCCCAGACTTAGGGGTTAAAGTCAGTGCCATTTTGAAAAGTTTGAGCCGCCATCTTGTTTCAAGATGGCGGCCAGTTGTATCCAGGCATAGATGGAAAACTTCTCTTTGACCTCCCAAACCAATCATGCCTCACATCTTCTGAGGTGTCCAAATGCCCGGACAGCAAACAGTGTTTCAAAATACATAGCGCACGCACACACACACACACACAAAATACACAACCACAACGATCAGTGAGGGCAACATCACTTGGTGTCATTGATTGTTCCCTCATACCACTACATTTACTCCTGGCAGGAAGTTAAATAGGGGGTACTTTAGGGACGGGGTTCCCTCTGCTTCCTTCCTCGAGTTTAACCCCCAAGGGCTACTGAATGTCACTGCACAGCCCTGTGCTAGGCTCCGTCTCTTGGTCACGTGCCGGCGTGACAGTGCTGCAATTCTGTCCTTGGGGAAACTGATTGCTCGATAAATACACAGATTGCAAACGGGTGCTGAAAAGGTATTGACATAGTGAGGGTCCTGTGGAGAGGATATCCTTTGCAGGGGTGCCACCACCGAGAAGGCCCTTCCTTGCGATGGTAGCTGGAGGAGGAGGAGAGGCTTCTGGAGATGAACCCAGTGCATGCCCAGCCCCCTTTTTACCTCCTTTGATTCTACCGCTATGGAAGGAAGAGAGGGCAAATGTTGGCGCCCTTCTCAATTCTTTCTCCTCTTTTCACCTTTCCCGGGCCAGTGGGAGCCTCAGCACCAGGGCCTGACTTGCGATGAGTTCCTGGAGTGGAAGCGGACCAACGACCCTGAGTACCAGGCCCAGGGCTTGGCAGTCTACCTGCAGGAGAATGGAATTGGTAAGGGTTCCTGTTTACCGGAAGGTTGGCGGTTCAAGCCTACCCAGGTTCAAACCCACCCAGGGGCAAGCCCAATCCTGTGGGCAGGATTCCTTCATTCTGAGGAAACCAAAGCACTAGGAAGCCCTAGAGTCTCCCACCGCTTGGAGATCAGAGTGGCATGTATCAGTAGATCAGAATCATAGAATCGGAAGGGACTGTGTGGGTCATCTAGCCCAACCCCTTGCGATTCAGGAATCCTTTGCCCAATGTGGGACTCGAACCCACAACCCTGAGATTAAGAGTTTTGGTTGCTGCGTCCTGGCAGGGGCAGAGCCTTTCGTTATCCTAATCCTCACAGAACTCTAGCCCAATGGTTGCCATGACTTTGATTTTGAATTGATTTTACAATGAATTGATTTTAGAATGTTGTATTACTTTTATTGCTGTTAGCCGCTCTGAGCCCGGCTTTGGCTGGGGAGGGCGGGATATAAATTAAAAATTATTATTATTATTATTATTATTATTATCACTACCCAAAAAGCCCACCGGCTGGCAGAAGGAGAGTGAATAAAGTCTAGCTCTCGATAAAAGATTGGCCAACACCATAATTGTGGCGACCCTCAGCAGAAGCTACGAGAGCAGCAAATCTCCTCCATTTCTCTCTTCCTCCTAACCCTCCTTCTTCCCTCTCTCCCTCCTTCCAGCGTGTCCGAAATGCAAGTTCTCCTATGCTTTGGCCCGCGGAGGCTGCATGCATTTCCAGTGCTCCCAGTGCAGACATCACTTCTGCAGCGGCTGCTACAGCGCTTTCTATGCCATGAACGTAAGGGAGCTGCGAAGGGCGCCTGTCGAGGGGTTGCCTGCTGGGGGGAAGGCGGTGGCTCACAGAAGGCCAGATTCGGCTCACGGGCTTCTTGTTGCCGATCCCCTGGACCCAAACGCTCGTCCTTGTTAGAGGACCAGGGCGAAGGAAACATCTTGGGGTGTCTCACAAACTCGCTTTCTCTCGCCCTCCCGTCTCCAGCAGAAATGCCCCATCGCCGAGTGCCCTATAAGGCGGTCCCTCCACGGCCACCACCCTCGCGACTGCCTCTTCTACCTCCGCGACTGGGACGTGCCTCGCTTGCAGCGCCTCTTACAGGTCGGTGTAAGAGCAAGGCATGATGGGTCGGGCGCAGGAGGGAAAAGCAGAGGGCGGGGGGAATATTTGTGGGTGGGGAAGGCCGCGCGAGGTGTCCCTTTGGAGTTCATGCTTGACATCTCCCCATCCCAGGACAACAACATCGTGTTCAACACAGATCCTCCGGCCGGGACCCGCGCCACCCCTGGAGGTGAGTGCTAAAGGGCTCCTGCATTGCAGGGGTTGGACTAGATAGCCACCAGGGGTCCTTTCCAACTCTATAGTTTCTCTGACCTATAGGGAAGCCTGACTTGCCGAGAGCATGTCTGTGTTCCCCGTCCTTACTTGCTGATCGATAGATTTTTTGATAACCTAATTTGCTGGGGGGGTGTTGCAAAGGCTTGTGGGTAATGTGACATGTCAAGGAGGGAAGTGGTTTCCTGTGTGGCGGACGGCCTTTCCTTTCCTCTTTTAAGGGTCCGACTTTGTGTCACAAAGACGAGCTTAACCGTCATGGCTTCCACGCTGAGGATCCTGGGATTTATAGGATTTTGTGTTTTTAGGGTGCTAAGAATTCATTGTTGGGGATCCCAAACTCCTCAAAAGTTGTACGTACCACATAAATTAGAAACATTTAAAAAAATACTGAGCACTTTACAGTGGTGCCTCGCAAGACGAAATTAATCCCTTCCGCGAGAGTCTTCGTCTAGCGGTTTTTTCGTCTTGCGAAGCAAGCCCATTGACGGATTAGCGCTATTAGCGCTATTAGCGGTTTAGCGGCTATTAAAGGCTTAAAGGCTTAGGGGATTAGCTGCTAAAAGGCTATTAAAGGCTATTAAAGGCTTAGCAGATTAGATAAAGGGGGAAAGCGAAAAAAATCTCAAGACTCGCAAGGTATTTTCGTCTTGCGAAGCAAGCCCATAGGGGAATTCGTCCTGCGAAGCAACTTCAAAACGGAAAACCCTTTCGTCTAGCGGTTTTTCCGTCTTGCGAGGCATTCGTCTTGCGGGGCACCACTGTATAACGCTTCGAAATAAATAAAACAGTACTTACATTGGGTATAGCCCTACTTTTGGACGAGCGGCGAGGGCAGTTTTATTTAAGCCGGGTTTTTCAGACCCTTTGTTTTTATCTGGTATGTCCCATGGAGGACCTTACGGTCTTCAGATAAAAACATCTTGGAGATCCCGGGCCACAGGGAGGTTAGGCTGGCCTCAACCAGAGCCAGGGCTTTTTCAGCTGTGGCCCCAATCTGGTGAAACGCTCTGTCCCAAGAGACTAGGGCCCTGCAGGACTTGACATCTTTCCGCAGGGCCTGCAAGACAGAGCTGTTCCACCAGGCCTTTGGCCAAGGCACAGTCTGACCCCCTCCTTCGGGAATCCTCACAGAACTCTAGCCCAATGGTTGCCATTAATTTGATTTTGAATTTAGAATGCATTTCAATTAATTGATTTTATGTAAACTGCATTACTTTTATTGTTGTTAGCCGCTCTGAGCCCGGCTTCGGCTGGGGAGGGAGGGATATAAATAAATTATTATTATTATTATTAGTCTTCTCTTGGTGTGAGTTTTAAACTCCCGCTATATTTTGCTTCTTAGTTTGGAGTTCCTTTTTTTTGAACTCCTGAATCTCATTTTCTCCTGTATCGCTTACACATTGTTGTCGGTGTAAGCCGCCTTGGTTATTTCTGCGAAATGGCAGGGATGGACAAACAAATGCTAAACTTAATACGGCGATACCGTCTTCCCCCTCCTGGAATTTCAGGCGGATGTCGTGTGATGGAGCAGAAGGAGACCATGAACGGGCTGAAGGACGAGCCGTGCGGGAAGGAAACCCAAGCCGGCTACGCTGGCCTTTGCCAGTGAGTGACGCCATTTCGTGATGTGCTGTGGGAAACTGTAGGCTGGTTTCTGTAGTTGCACATCCCTCTCTGGGAGTGTGTGGGGTGTTGGGGGGGTAGTCCCTCTGGTGGGGGGGACACATGGTGCTCCTTCTGGGATATTTTGTCCACCTTTGGTCCTCACCCTGCTCTCGGCTCTCACCTGTGGCTCCTAGAAGCTGTCAGGATGCCACAGCGGCCGCACCCCTGGAACGGCTTCGACTAGCCAGCTAAACCAGATGTGGGGAGCCGGTGGGTCTCAAACCCTCAGGGAGTTAGGGGCTTCCCCTGCACGCAAAGACAGGCTCTGGGAGATTGGGTCTAACAGTCAAGATGGCCGTTTCTGCACATAGAGCAGGCTTCCTCAGCCTCGGCCCTCCAGATGTTTTTGGCCTACAACTCCCATGATCCCTAGCTAGCAGGACCAGTGGTCAGGGATGATGGGAATTGCAGTCTCAAAACATCTGGAGGGCCGAGGTTGAGGAAGCCTGATGTAAAGTGAGGGGCAGATGGGGCTCGTCCATCTGGGAAGGGAGTTTATCTAGGAGAAGGAAAGCTCTGATCCTAAACCTCCACTGCCTTGGGGGATATCTTTGGGAGAAGAAAAGGTTCAAGAGTAAACGCAGCACAAATTCAGAGTGGAGTCCCTAAGATGGTTGGATGAAGCCTTGTACGCCTCCTTCCAGCCACTCCTGCAGCCAAACGTCTTGCTCTGCTTTCCTTTGGTTCACATCAGCCAGACCTCCAGACACACTGCCCAAGCTTGTGCCCAAAGGAGGTCACTTCGTTGCCGCTAACACAGCTTTTAAGTTGTTTTTAAGTTGCATTTTAATTACCGTATTTTCACTCTATAAGACTCACCAGACCACAAGATAGTTTTTGGAGGAGGAAAACAAGAAAAAAAATATTCTGAATCTCAGAAGCCAGAACAGCAAGAGGGATCGCTGCACAGTGAAAGCAGCAATCCCTCTTGCTGTTCTGGCTTCTGGGATAGCTGCGCAGCCTGCATTCGCTCCATAAGACGCACACACATTTCCCCTTACTTTTCAGGAGGGAAAAAGTGAGTCTTATAGAGCAAAAAATACGGTCATTGTTTTTATATCTGGTGTTAGCCGCCCTGAGCCCGGTCTTGGCTGGCAAGGGTGGGGTATAAATAAATTTATTATTATTATTTTGACTTCACCCCCAGAGGCACACTCCATTGTCTCTTGAGACAGACGGATGCCAACAACGTCCCTCTCTTATCCTCCGTCTGGGCAAGTGAGAGGACTTGCCACAGGCCCACGGACAGATTAATTCACACTTTGGGCCCAAAGCTGACATGGGGGAAGCTCTCGGGGCCAGATAGAGAAGATCGTAAGCATTGACGTTCCCAGTTCCCGTGTTACGTGATCGCCGAGAGACTTGGGGTGTGTGGACACGGAGGGGTGGTGTGGCAGAGAGAGAGGGGCCGATTTATTGTGCGGCGTTAAGGTGGCCGGAGCGCCGCAGTGATTGACGTCCCCCTTCTCCTAGGGCACACTACAAGGAGTACCTGGTCAGCCTCATCAACAGCCACTCCCTGGACCCAGCCGTCCTCTACACCTTGCAAGAAGTAGAGAATGTCTGCCGGCGACACTCCCCTGCTGCGATGCTGCCACCTCGGGCGCCGGCAGAGGATGACGAAGCTTATCGAGGGCGTTTGGTCAAGGTGAAAGGAAATTATCTGAGGCTGGGAGGGGTGGGGATCCCTGGAGTTTGTGCTGGAAAAGCTTGAGAATTCCTTTCTTGTGGTAACTGACTCATTTTTATTACAGTGGTACCTCAGGTTAAGTACTTAATTCGTTCTGGAGGTCTGTTCTTAACCTGAAACTGTTCTTAACCTGAAGCACCACTTTAGCTAATGGGGCCTCCTGCTGCCGCCGCGCCGCCAGAGCATGATTTCTGTTCTCATCCTGAAGCAAAGTTCTTAACCTGAAGAACTATTTCTGGGTTAGCGGAGTGTGTAACTTGAAGCGTATGTAACCTGAAGCGTATGTAACCTGAAGCGTATGTAACCCGAGGTACCACTGTATTTGTAAAATTATATCCCACTTGATTATCAGAATTATAGGGTTCGAAGGGACATCCAGGTTATTCTAGGCCAACCCCTTGCAGTGCAGGAATGTCTACTACAGTGGTACCTCGGGTTACATACGCTTCAGGTCACAGACTCCGCTAACCCAGAAATAGTACCTCGGGTTAAGAACTTTGCTTCAGGATGAGAACAGAAATCGTGCAGTGGCGGTGGCAGCAGGAGGCCCTATTAGCTAAAGTGGTGCTTCAGGTTAAGAACAGTTTCAGGTTAAGAACAGACCTCCAAAATGAATTAAGTTCTTAACCAGAGGTACCACTGTAGATCATCCATGGCAGATGGCCATCCGACCTCTGCTTAAAAACATCTGAAGGCAGCCCTGTTTAGGGAAGCTTTTAACGTTTGATGTTTTATCGTGTTTTTAATATTCTGTTGGGAGCCGCCCAGAGTGGCTGGGGAAACCTAACCAGATGGGTGGGGTATAGAGAATAAATGAAAATAATAATTGTTATGGTTTTATTAATTGTTATCATTACCGTATTTTTCGCTCTATAGGACGCACCGGACCGTAGGAGGGGGAGAACAGGGGGGAAAAAATTCTTGTTCTCCTCCTCTAAAACAAGGTGCGTTCAAGAGCAGGTCGGGGAACAGAGCAAAGGCTGCGCGCAGCCTTGCCGCTGCCACCCGAGCTAGTGGGGCTGGCGGTAGGGGGGAGCGCTGATTTCCCCCACTGCCAGCCTCAAAGAACCCTGAAGTCTTTGGAGCGCAGCTGCACTCCAAAGGCTTGAGGCTTCAGGGACATCCTTTGTAGCCTCCGCAGGGCAATGGGGTGCCTTCATCCCGCTGCCCTGCGGAGGCTTTGCGCAGCCATCCCGAAGCTAGAACAGCTTCAGGCTGCCGGCTGCTATCCGCAAGCCTTGGGAGCCCGGCGGGAACTCCCGCCAGGCTCCCAAAGCTTGTGGATAGCTGCCTGAAGCCCGGGAAGAGAGAGGGGTGCGCACTGACCCCTCTCGCTCTCCAGGCTTCAGCGAAAGCCTGCATTCGCTCCATAGGATGCACACACATTTCCCCTTCATTTTTGGAGGGGGAAAAGTGTGTCCTATAGAGCGAAAAATACGGTAATTGAAAACCTCCAAGGAAGGAGAGACCACCACATCCCAAGGGAGACTGTTCCAGCTCAGTTGGTAGACACTTAATCTCAGGGATATAAAAAGAAAACAAACCTCAGTGCCATTTAGAAAAAGAATAAAACTATCAGCAAAAATAATTATGAGCCAACTATTTAAGATATTCCAAAAAATAAAAAATAAATAAGATCCACGACAAGGTAAAAGCAGATTAAAACACGCTTAAGCATTCTACATGTCTAGGTAAAAGTTAAAGAGACCCCTGAACATTAGGTCCACTCATGGCCGACTCTGGGGTTGCAGCGCTCATCTCGCTTTATTGGCCGAGGGAGCCGGTGTACACCTTCCGGGTCATGTGGCCAGCATGACTAAGCCGCTTCTGGCGAACCAGAGCAACACACGGAAACGCCGTTTACCTTGCCGCCGGAGCGGTACCTATTTATCTACTTGCATTTTGACGTGCTTTTGAACTGCTAGGTTGGCAGGAGCAGGGACTGAGCAATGGGAGCTCACCCCGTCGCGAGGATTCGAACCGCCGACCTTCTGATCGGCAAGTCCTAGGCTCTGTGGTTTAACCCACCGCGCCACCCACGTCCCTACGTGTCTAGGTAGGCTAGTCTAAATGAAAAGGTTTTTAGCAGGCGCTGAGAAAGTGACGCAGTGATGGCATCTACGTGATGTCATAGACTTATAGAAATGTAGGGCTGGCCAACAAGACAACAACAAGAACCTACCAACAGCATTCAAATCAGTCTGTCTAACCTGATCCAATAACACACACACACACACACCACTCGCACATGAGAACAAATTTCAGTACAGCCAAACAAAGACAGCCAACCACACCCTTGGCCAATTCCAACCTCTCTCAGCACCAAAGGAAAACAAGCAAATAGTAGAGAGAACCCACACAAGTGATGCTGACGCAAAACTACACTAAGTAGAATAGAAGCATTGCCATCCCACAATTCCCCCTCCACCTCATTCCCCCTTCTCTTCCTAACGTAACACTAATGTCTCAACAAACGAAACTGATCTGTAGAAAATGTAACTTGAAAAAAGAGACATTGCACATACTTTTGTAAACCAAGAAATCTTTCATAAAAATATATTAGAATTACCTCCCCCAAATAAAAAGTTGGAAAGGGACCTAGGGGTCATCTAGTCCAACCCACTGCAGCGCAGAAATATCAACAGGCAGGGAGTTCCAGCTGCCACACATGAAATCAATTTCTTACAAATGAGGTATTGTGCGGCAGTTGCCGGTTCTGCAGATCGAAGCAGTCGAGGGGGAATATTGGGGTTTCGGCAATCTCAGAGGGGAACTGGTCCCAATCGACTTTAGATACTAATCGTTATGCCATGAACTCGAACCCGGTACATCTAAAGCGCCAAAGGCCAGGGCAAAGAGCTTGGGCGCCAGCATAGGGTGAGACCTGCGTCGCCAAGGTTCCTGACCCACCCACAACTTAGGGGCTCCTTTACCTTTTTTTTGTATAATAATTTTTATTAAGTTTTCCATTTAACAATCCAATCATATCACATTAATTATTCCAAATTATAACAATACATATCATAAAGTCCAAATATTTTGCCAAATTATAAATTTTTGTTGAGGGTTCCCATGCTTTGAGTTCAGTAGGGTCCAATCATCTCATATTTCTGCTGCTTTTAGTGTTCACCAGTCCCATCTTTCAATCTTCTTGTTGTTATCCTTTTTCTTCTTAATAGCCTCTGAGTTGTTTCCACAGGCGAGTTAAAGTAAACACTATTATGCTTCTGTGTGAACTTTGTATGGCTCTCCCTTTTTTTAAAGCTGGTAAGTCTTTTGTTTGCAATAAATCTTCACACACTGATCCAAAAGTCCTCCTCGGGTGGCAGACGCCATGTTTCTCAGTTCCGATGAAATAAAATCTAAGCGTTTGCTCATTAATTTTCCCAGACAAGTTGCACCATAAATTAGCCTTTCCAGGGAAGAATTGCCAAGTCAAACTTAGGGGCTCCTTTACCTAACCTAACCTCCCTTTTGTTTCCAACCTGCTACAGATTCTGATGGACCAGGAACCTCTGGGGCCCCAAATCCCACGCCGAAGGAAGTAGGCGGCCTACTGAGCGGAATCGGGAGGCGTGTGGCTGCAGTCTGGCTCCCTTTTGGGGAGAGTTTGTCTGGGAAAAGCTGACCGGAAGCAGGCCTTGCGTCTACAGGAAAAGCCTCCTCGCTGGGCAGGAGGAGCAATGTTAATATTTCTTAAAAGTCTTTTTATTTGGAGTTTCCGAGGTGCCTTGCTCAACGCTGTCTTCCTACTGCTCAGGGATGGGACCGGCTGCGTCTCATTGTGGTCCGAGACCCGACCCCCTTCCCATTCTTTCCTTCTCTCCCCCATCGCGACTCCGAATAAACCGTTCTGTGTTTTAAAAGAACAACCACAGTGTGACGCTTCTTTTTGTTTGCCGATCTGGGCACTGCCCTCCTCAGTTCCATCCTTCATGCTTTCCCAGTTCCCGTGGTTTATGCATTTACTATTCCTTTAGAGCAGGCACATCCAACTCTCAGAAGACAGCAATCTACTCACAGTATTCAAATCCTGGCTGTGATCTACCCATTGTCCTTGCCAGGGAAACTTGCTGAGCTGTTTTGGGGGGAGGCAAAGTTGTTGAGCTGATTTTCTTGCTTAATAAAGTTTATTAAAACAATGATCTTAAAATACACACAAAACAAACATACAGTACAAGCGTTCCATAAGAAAAAAGAACTTAATTACATACAGAATAAAAAATAGTAAAAGAAAAGAAACTCTCGACTAAACCCATTGTACTATTTTGCATTCATTTTTTTTATATATACATTTTCTTATTAATATTTTTCTATATCTTAGTTTAAACTTTTTCTAACACTTCCCTTTTTTTTAGGGGAACCAAAGTTGTTGAGGTTTTCTTTTTTCGTTTTTTGGGACGACTGCTCAGGGTCGCCCCGCAAGCGACTGGTAGATCGCAATCGACCTGTTGGACATGCCTGCCTTATAGCATTCATATGTCGCCCTTCGGCCCAAACAAGGCCCCCAGAGCATAGCTGTTAATGTTTCCCTTTGAAGTACTGTTTTGGGGGGACAGGAGGCGGGCGGGTGTGGAGGACTCCCTGGTCCTGAATGGGGTAACTGTGCCCCCGAAGGACCAGGTGCGCAACCTGGGAGTCATTTTGGACTCACCGCTGTCCATGGAGGTGCAGGTCAATTCTGTGTCCAGGGCAGCTGTCTACCAGCTCCACCTGGTACGCAGGATGAGACCTTCCCTGCCTGCGGACTCTCTCACCAGAGTGGTGCATGCTCTAGTTATCTCTCGCTTGGACTACTGCAATGCGTTCTACTTGGGGCTACCTTTGAAGGTGACCCGGAAACTGAAATTAATCTAGAATGTGGCAGCTAGACTGGCGACTGGGAGTGGCCTCCGGGACCACATAACACTGATCCTGAGAGATCTGCATTGGCTCCCAGTACGTTTCCGAGCACGATTCAAAGTGTTGGTGCTGACCTTTAAAGCCCTAAACGGCCTCGGTCCTGTATACCTGAAGGAGCGTCTCCACCCCCATCGCTCAGCCCAGACACTGAGGTCCAGCCCTGAGGGCCTTCTGGCGGTTCCCTCATTGCGAGAAGTGAGGTTACAGGGAACCAGGCAGAGGGCCTTCTTGGTGGTGGCACCCACCCTGTGGAATGCCCTCCCTTCAGATGTGAAGGAAATAAGCAGCTATCCTATCTTTAAAAGACATCTGAAGGCAGCCCTTTTCAGGGAAGTTTTTAATATTTAACGCTGTACTGTTTTCAAGACTTGATTGGGAGCCGCCCAGAGTGGCTGGGGAAACTCAGCCAGATGGGCGGGGTATAAATAATAAATTGTTGTTGTTGTTGTTATCCACCGCCATGCATTTAAAACAGATCTCTCCCCGGTGCTGAGGATCCTAACTGGGTGGGGTGAACTATAGTTCCCGCACAATTTATTCACTTTTCTGGAACAGGGGGAGGCACTTGCTGTAAGGGTGCTTTTAAAATTTGGGGGAGTGCATGTTCCCTCTCTCGTGGATCTCTCCGTCTCTCGATAAATAGAGATCTCTCCCAGAGATCATGAAACTATATCTGCTTTTCCCCTGTTTATTTTGGCGGCGGCGGAGCCTGAAACCGGCGCGCCCTCCTCTCTGCTGCCCCCTAGAGGCCGGAGAGGCGGCGGCGGCGGCCACGTGATTTACGGGAAAAGAAGCGGAGCCGGGAGAAATGGGCGAGGGAGGGCGGGGCAGAAGGAAAGGGGGCGTGGCGAAGCCCAGAGTGGGCGTGGCGAAGCCCAGCTCAGCTGGAAGGGAAAAGCGCTACTCGGTGTGTTTTGCGAAAAGGACTTCGCTGCAGGAGGGAGACTTGGAGATCAGAGGTGGGACATATATATATCACCTTATATATATAAAAAAATAATATTTTCCTCTCCTTTATCATTCAGCTTTCCTGCCTTAATTTTCTCCTGCCGCCTCCCCGAGCGCGTTTACTCGGAAGTAAGCCCGCGTTGAGTCCAGCGGGGCTTTACTCCCGTGCAAAAGTGCTGGCGGAGGATCGCAGCCTTCCTCGCTACTCCGCTGCTGCAGATAAGAGTCTTTGCAGCACCTAAAAGTGCTTTATATAATAACCATGATTCTTGCTATTATTGTTACTGATCGTGCCGTAATCCGGGCGTTGGAGCCGATTTGATTTGATTTGATTATTTGTCTTACTTTCAAGGAGGCCCATTGCAATCGACGGGGCTTAACGGGAGCCATCGCCAACTTTTAAATTCCGTGGGAGGCGAGGTCTGGATTGCCTTTGCAGTACTGAGCAATCCTGCGCGCCGCTGTTAATTGTGTTCAGCGAAGCTTTCTGGGCAAGGGAAGGCGCTCAGTCCTTATGGTGTTGCAAGAATCTCTTTGTTTTCAAAACTATTGTTTTTATTAACAAAACTAACCAAGGAAGAACAAGGAAAAAGAGGGGGGGGGGAATGAAGGGATAATAGAGAAGGACACCCTCTGCTGTCAGCCCAGTCTCTTAATCTCAGGGTGCAGAGTTCGAATCCTACTTTGGGCAAAATATTCCTGCACTGCCAGGGGTTGGACTAGATGACCCCCTGGGTTCCCTTCCAACTCTATGGTTCTGTGAAAAGGCAATAAATAGCCAGCGAGCCATCTGTCTTAATTTAAACATGTTGTCGCACGCCACCCCAATCTCTGCGTGGTGCAAGAGTCCGGGGGTTCCAGGTACACACACATATATATATACAACCTGAGCCTACGATGGAGGGGTTCACAGCCCTGGCAGTTCCCAGAGGATCTTGCTTCCACAGCCTTGGATCCCAGCAGAGATCAGGCATTGATGGCTCACTCACTCTCAGCTGGCCAGCTGCCTTCTGGCACAGCTCTGGCTTTTACCTTTCTAAGTAACAGACAGTTGAGAGAGGGGGACCAATCCATTCGCACAGAGCCACTTCCTTTGTTCCCTTAAGGCGCCATACTTAGCAGGCCCTTACCAAGAAACTTCCCCCTGCCCCCCCGGCTTTTCCAGCCATTGAATCCTTGCCTGATCCAGGAATTAGGGGGGACTCAGGCTAACCCCCCCCAAAACCCCTCGCAACAATAAAATTCAATTTATGCCATCCAGATGTTCAGACGGCTACCCGCACAAAATGGCCGTTTAGAAGAAATTTGTAACGATGCACGACTTCAGACCGTTGCGCAAGAAGGTGATGCATGTTGGAAGATTCTTTGATGTCCTCGCTTTAAGACGGTTTCCCTTTTCTTTTCCACATTTGCACCCCACCTCTCCTGCTAGAAGCTGAAGGTGGTTCACGTGGTCCTCCTCTCCCTCCCTTTTGCTCTTACAACGCCCCTGCGAGGTAGTTTAGGCTGAGAGGTGGCGACTGACTCCACTGACCTCCATGTCTGAGGGAGGATTTGAACTTTGGTCTCCCAGGCCTTAGTCCGACGCTCGAACCATTGCACCACCCTGCCTTAGTTTCCTGTTTGCATCTCTCTCATGCTGACTCCTTCCTTCTCTATTTCCTTTTTAATGCGCGCAACTTGTTTCTTTCCTGCAATATTAATATGCTTTAGTCTTTTATTTTCCTTGGCTGTTTTGTCCATCCTCTGGGGGTTTCATTCCTATGTCTCTCGTTCTCTCCGGCTACAGAAAACAAATTTAAAAAAACCGCACCATTAAACAGGCCTAAAGTGGTGCGAGATTATTATTAAATGGTGTGTGCGTTCGTGTACACCTGGGGGACGGGGTGGTGGTGGTGTAATCACAGATCCCAAAGGATCTGGTGTTGTCCACATTATCTGAGCAAACTTTTGTAGATTTGCAGACTGGTCCGACGCTGGTCTAGGGACGTGGGTGGTGCTGTGGGTTAAACCACAGAGCCTAGGACTTGCCGATCAGAAGGTCGGCAGTTCAAATACACGCGACAGGGTGAGCTCCTGTTGCTCAGTCCCTGATCCTGCCAACCTAGCAGTTCGAAAGCACGTTGAAGTGCAAGTAGATAAATAGGTACCGCTCCGGCGGCAAGGTAAACGGTGTTTCCGTGCGCTGCTCTGGTTTGCCAGAAGCAGCTTAGTCATGCTGGCCACATGACCCAGAAGCTGTACGCCGGCTCCCTCGGCCAGTAAAGCGAGATGAGCGCCGCAACCCCAGAGTCGGCCACGACTGGGCCTAATGGTCAGGGGTCCCTTTACCTTTACCTACGCTGGTCTACTCTGAAGCAAGCCCCTTTGAAGACGAATCGGGGAGCTGCTTCGATTGCCTAGGGAATCTCTAATTTTAGGGAGGCGAAAGATCCAAAAGCATCTAGGGGACTGCAGTTTGAGGAGCGCAGGGTTGTAGATTTAGGCAGAAACACGAGCTCCCAAAATATGCATAGGGATTAGGCCTGGGCTGTTGCTGTGCTGTTGCTGTGAGTGACAGTAGCACTATTTATACCTCTCTCTGACACTAGGAAAACACAATGTTGTTATGCCTATTTACAAATGGACAGGTTGAGCCTAGATGGGACGCACACAGTTTAAACGTTCCCAGATGCTCATCCTTCTGGCATCCAGGGACAAAGCGAAAAGGTTGCAGTTCAGAGGTACAGTGGTACCTCAGGTTAAGTACTTAATTCGTTCCGGAAGTACGTTCTTAACCTGAAACTGTTCTTAACCTGAAGCACCACTTTAGCTAATGGGGCCTCCTGCTGTTGCCGTGCCGCCGGAGCACGATTTCTGTTCTCATCCTGAAGCAAAGTTCTTAACCTGAAGCACTATTTCTGGGTTAGCGGAGTCTGTAACCTGAAGCGTATGTAACCTGAGGGTACCACTGTGGTAGCACCTGCCTTGCATGCAGAAGAAGGTCCTGGGTTCGAGAAACGCCCTGCCTGAAGTCCTGTAGAGACGTTTCTGCCAGTCAGTGTAGGGTGTAGGCAGAAATTCTGAGCCAGGTAGACAACCGATCTGACCCAGTATAGGGCAGCTTCCTAAATTTCGATGTTTACAAAGCCCCTCTCTCAGTCTGCCTCAAGCCGCCGTCGCAATTCACCCTCCCAGCCGCCCGGATCACATCATCCTTTAGCTTGGGGCGTTGGCGGTGAGTTTCGTCAATTTCCCAGCCTCCTAGGAGGCCAGCTATCGACAGCAACCAGTCAGCCTCCCTTAGGACGGTAGCAAACTGGGCGAGTGTGCCAGAATTATTATTAAGGCGGTTGCCAGGATCCATTTACTTTCCCCTTTCTGCTATCGTCCCGCCTTGCTGCAATATTTCATTCTGCAATTTGACGTTGTTAATGTAATAACGAAAAGGTTTGTTTCCCACCCGACGGACACGCTTTCTTTTCCAGAAAGCCACACACGATAAGACGATAATTGCAAATAGTTGGGCAGTGTAAGGGAAGCTGTTTTGGAGTGCGTGTGCCTCTTAAGTCTTTCTGAGATGTTTTCCAACTTATGGAGGACTGCAGGAAAGCAGTCTTGTTCAGAGTGAGGCCCTTGGGTTCTAGCCCAACCCGCGGCAAGGCCCCATCAGCCCCAGCGAGCGTGGCCAACGGCACAAGGATCATGGGAGTTGTAGTACAGCAAAATCCAGAGCAGCCTTTCTCAACCTGGGGGTCCCAGATGTTGTTGAACTACAACTCCCATCACCTCTAGCGAGCAAGGCCAGAGCTCAGGGATGATGGGAGTTGTAGTCTAACAACATCTGGTTGGACTACAACTCCCATCTACAACTCCCATCCCCTCTAGCTAGCAAGGCCAGAGCTCAGGGATGATGGGAGTTGTATTCCAACCCACAGGCTGAGAACCGAGGGTCAAAGGCCACATCTGAGATGTTCCTTCGCTGCCCAGATCTTCAGCTATGGAACTGACCCTTCGCCATTTTTTCCTTTCTCTCTTCTGCTTTTACAGATGCCCTTTTCCCCCCAAACAGGCATCTCCTCTTCAAAAGCTCACAGAAGCCTTTTTAAATTTTATTTTGAACGATCGGACTTCCTTGTAGCAGAAGTTTGCACCCGCTGGTTTTTGTCCCACCCACCCCATTCAAAATGACACAAAACAGTACGAGCAAAAACCAAGGGTGTCAGTCAATGGGCACAAAAGCGGTTTCGCTATTACAAGTGTAGCCAAGCAACCGGAAAGAGTCGTCGGCTGCAGGGGGCCGTGGCTCTTACAGAGTTAATGCACGAAGTAAATACGAAACAATAGGCCTCGAAAGTGTCTTTGTGGGTTTTGCCACATATCGCATTACAGTGTTGCGTGGGTTTGTCAGCCACGACCAAGTGCCAATTGTTTTGTATGAGCCTCGATTCTTGCGCTCCGTTCCCAGAGCTCTTCGCAGATCTACAATTCCCGGCGCCCTCAGCAAACTACAGTTCCCATGATTCTCTTTTTTGGGTGTGGGATCCTTTGTGTGGCGTGTACACAGCCTGCATCCCCCCAAATTACTTTTGACAAGAGCCGGCTTTATTTTATTTTTTTCCAAAAATTTTATTGGTTTTCACAATATTATAAACAAACAAACACACAAGACAAACAAACATAAATCATAGCCTTATTGAAAATTACACTTATTAACTTTGTTAAATGACTTCCTCGCTTCCCCTTGGTTGAATTTCATTGCATGTCCTTTTAATGGTTTTCCAAATCCCAATTCTTATGAAATTTAACTTAAACATTAACATCCTTAAATCTTCACCTTATGGAATTAAACATATTAATTCATCACTTAACATAAATAAAATCCTAAGCCAATTAAGTATCTGCAAGCTATTTTCAGTTAATTCAACTAAATAATCATTAAATTTATTCCACTCTTCCTGATACTCCTGCTCATCTTGCTGGGACAAGGTACCTTCTTCCATAGAGGCCATTTTCCGAATTTCAAAATGGTGCCATTAAGAGCGGCAGGTTAAAGTAGGTGGGTGGGACTTGTGATATCAGGCAGTTGGCAGGCGACTGCCCCACCCACTAGCCAAAGCCAGGTACGCAGTGGTGGGACCCAATAAGGATTCCAAAAGATCCCCCAACCCAGGCTTCCTCAGCCTCGGCCCGCCAGATGTTTTGAGACTACAATTCCCATCATCCCTGACCACTGGTCCTGCTAGCTGGGGATCGTGGGAGTTGTAGGCCAAAAACATCTGGAGGGCCAAGGTTGAGGAAGCCCGTCCCAACCCATGGGTAGGCAAACTAAGGCCCAGGGGCCGGATCCAGTCCATTCGCCTTCTAAATCCGGCCCACGGACGGTTCGGGAATCAGCGTGTTTTTACATGAGTAGAATGTGTGCTTTTATTTAAAATGCGTCTCTGGGTTATTTGTGGGGCATAGGAATTCGTTCATTTTTTTCCTTCAAAATATAGTCTGGCCCCCCACAAGGTCTGAGGGACAGTGGATCGGCCCCCTGCTGAAAACGTTTGCTGCCCCCTGCCCCAACCCTTTAATTTTTTCCAAACGAAGTATCATAATTAGACTCTCTCCTCACACCTTCCAGACGATCCCTCCTCCCCACCTGTGGCTGATCTCTGTATTCCGTCTCTCCCCCCTCCGTCAAGGATGGCGACGTCTCGGCGCGGGGTTCGAAGGACGCGCAAGCTGCGCCAGTGGACCGTGGAGCAGGTGGAAAGCGGTCAGTTGCCGGGGGTGGTCTGGGACGACCCTCCCCACAAGACCATGTTCCGCATCCCGTGGAAACACGCGGGGAAGCAGGAATTCCGGCACGAGGAGGACGCCGGCTTTTTCAAGGTACTGTACCTGCGTTTCGGCGGGTTGAGCTGGATGACCTTTGGGGGTCCCTCCCCATCCTGCAGCTCTGTGATTCTGGCACCCATGGGAACGGGGTGGCATTAGTGGGGAAGGCAGAGACTTGCCGGCAGTGTGAAGATCGTTCAGAAGTGTATGCGGCGTTCTGCCTCCCCTTCTTCCTGGTTTATTTGTCGATCTATTTATTGATTTTGTGCATAGCTGTCAACTGTCCCTTATTTGACGGGAAAGTCCCTTATCCCAGCGCCGTGTCCCGCTGCTGTCCCTTATTGATGATGTCCCTTAAATTTCCCGGGTTTCAAAGGAAGCAGCTCCTCTCCCTCCCTCCCTGCCGGCCAGGGAGGAGGGAGGCTCCAACTGTGTTGCTTGGCTGCGTTGCTCAGCCAATAAGGAGTCTAAGAACGACTGGGGGGTGGAGCTTGCATGCCTTGCGCCGATCAAATCGGCCGCGTTGCCTGGGGACTCGCCTTTGCTCAGCGCTTCCCAGCGGAGAGGTGACGGTGGTTTTCCTTGCTGCATCCCCTTTGCCGGGTTGCTGCGCTGTGGGAACCACCGCTTGAGGCTTCGTTTGGCTGCTGGCTGGGCTTTCTGCCTTTGGCTTGGAGGGGCTCAGAAGTTGAACATACCTGTGCCCGCAAAATCCCTTATTTTGGCTGCTGATCCCTTATTTTTGAGGCTGCTGGTCCCTTATTTTCAAATCTGTAAGTTGACAGCTATGGCCAAAGCGCTGCAAAATATCACGCTTCTGAGTCGCGGTTCTCACTGAGGTTGCAAACCTATGTCCGGCCTGCGCTGTTTTGGACTGCGATGGGGCGTGCTTCCATCATGGTGGTTGGGTTGGGTGGGAATCCCCGCAGGTAGAAAAGTAGTATCTCAGGGAGAAGTGTGGGCTGCAGAGGAGCGTTGTGGTTGAGATGCAGTTGCAAGGAGGCTTGACCCTGCACCGCTTTCTCTTTCCTAGGCCTGGGCCATCTTTAAAGGAAAGTACAGGCCGGGCGAGCCCCTTGACCCTGCCACGTGGAAGACGCGCATCCGCTGCGCTTTCTCCAAGAGTCCTGAGTTCGAGGAGGTGCCGGAACGCTCCAAGCTGGGGACCACAGAGCCCTACAAGGTGTACCGCCTGGTGCCGCTGCCTGAGCAGGGCCTTGGTAAGGACATTGGCCTCCATTTCCCCCACGTCCTTGAAGTTTCTATACATCCTGCGCCCCCAAAAACTGTGTTTCCCTGTGGGGTAATGTGAGGGGGCGCCCCATATAAGCCCACCTTTTCTCAGAGGAAGGAAATTCATATGCCATCTAAAGTGGGGGTCCCTCCTCCCCACCGGAGAGGTTTAACAACCGAACCCTCTTCCCAGGGAACGATGGGAGTTTTAGCGCTCTGAGGGGAATGGGGGTCCCCTAAGAATTCTCAGCACCTTTATTGAACTACAGTTCCCAGCGGGGTGGATTAACTTATTAAACCTCACAATAATTTCAGAATTATCTGTCTGTGTATTTCCAATAGTATAACCAGATCAGTGATTTTGGATGTAACTGTAAAAACTACTCTGAAAATTTATTATTCCAAAAATGAAACATTCATCTGGTTGTAAATATTAAGATGATAACGGCAAGAATGAGTCTTTCTGTAAAAAGATAAAGACTTAAGTCAAGTCTTACTGACTAGTGATTTAAATCGATTTCAAGGGACCCAGCCCAAACCAAGAAAGCCAAAAGCGCCCAGGCCGGAATCTTCCAACGGGTCCTCGGAGAAGGAGAATGGCGATCCTGATAGCAGCCTCCCTCAGCCTCCAGCCGCCGTCTGCAGCTTGAAGATGGTGAGTGCCAGAGGAGCGAAAGGATGAGATGCAATAGGAACACTGGCATCTGGAGATGCCGCCAGGATTCGAACGCGGAACATGCCGCATGCAGAGTAGAGGCTCTGTGCTCCAAACTGCAGACCTTCCCCCCAAAAAGTGGTTCGCAGTGGTTACAAGCGGAAGGGAACAAAACGGCACAAACACAATAAAATATTGCATATCAAAATCAATTTTTTAAAAAACCACATTGCAGAAATTCTGTCATTTAGAATAATGCAGTCAATGAGAATATCAAAGTAAGCCTAGGCAAATGAAGGAATTTCCATTCGAAGTTTAAAACCTCCCAAATCTGTTTCTGGAGGGTTTTGATGGGGGATTAGTGGCACAACCCCCCAAAAAAAAATTGCCTCCCAGAGGTTTGTACCCCTCAGACTTCCAGCAGGGTCTCCTCTGATCAATTTCCCCCCTCCGCCATTTCCACTGAAGCAAAATCTCATTATTTTTATTTTTAACTTCCTGGCTGCTATCCCACTCTCCCCCATTCGCAGTCTTCACACACACCCTTTAATTCCCCTATTCTCTTAGGTGAGCCTTTGCCAACTTGCAATTCCCATAATCCCCGGCCAGCACTTTGAGCGCAAGATCATAGAATTATAGAGTGGGATGGGGACCCACGAGGGTCATCCAGCCCAACCCCAGCCACGCAGGAATCATTTGCACGACGTGGGGCTCAAACCCATGACCCTGAGATCAAAAAAGCCCTGTGCTCTACTGATGGAGCTATCCCAGGAGATATGAAAAGATTAGATGTGAGGGGAACGTAGGAAGCAGGCCTTTATAATATGTATTGGCAATATTTCAGAAGAGAGGAGCTGGAAACTGCTGCGTCGATATAGGGATAGATGGAGGATATATATATATATATGCGCAGAGGCGGCTAGATTATAGACCCCCTGGCGTTCTGCACCCCCCTGCTTGAAGCAAATTGTGGTGTTAGTGGGGTGCTAGGGTCTGTATTAAAAAGGACAGGGGAACAATACAGTGGTACCTTGGTTCTCAAACAACTTGGAACCCAAGCACTGCAAACTCGGAAGTAAGTGTTCCAGTTTGCGAACTTTTTCGGAAGCCGAACGTGCTCCGTTTTGAGCGTTACACTGAGGTCTGTCTGTTTTTGCTATTTCTTTTGCCTTTTTGTTTTTGCGGCTCTTTTTGTTCTCTTTTTGTGACTGTGTGGAACCCAGTTCAGATACTGACTGACTGATTGTGTGACTGCAGTACAGTGGTACCTCGGGTTACATACGCTTCAGGTTACAGACGCTTCAGGTTACAGACTCCTCTAACTCAGAAATAGTACCTTAGGTTAAGAACGTTGCTTCAGGATGAGAACAGAAATCGTGCAGCGGCAGCGGGAGGCCCCATTAGCTAAAGTGGTGCTTCAGGTTAAGAACAGTTTCAGGTTAAGAACAGACCTCCGGAACGAATTAAGTACTTAACCCGAGGTACCACTGTACATTGATTATTACTTTCATTTTATGGATCAATGGTCTTATTTGAAAGTGAAATTCATGTTAAATTGCTGTTTTACGGGCTGTTTTCCAAGGTCTGGAACGAATTGATCCACTTTGCATTACTTTCTACGGGAAAGCGCGCCTTGGTTTTGGAATGCTTTGGTTTTGGAACGGACTTCCGGAACGGATTAAGTTTGAGAACCAAGTTACTACTGTATACCACAGTGCGACGTGCGTGGCGCCTTTGTATGAACACACCCTAATATCTCTTCTTCCCCTCCAGGAATCCGGCTCCATCGCTAGCCAGGCCCCAAACGCATTTGCAGCTTTGGTCATCCCAAAGGGGGAGATGAAACCTGAGTCCATGGAGTCAGGTGGGGCAATTCGCATTTCCCTTTATTTTGTGGCTCTGATCGCGGCGCAAGGAGATCCCCATTTCTCTCCCTGTTCACCCACACAGGGGCACACACCCCTTGTTTCCCACCCGCCCCCCGCCAGGAAGTGATCCGTTCTTAACAAAACCTCACAGAACAGGAGATCTCTTCCGACCTGCTTCCTGGAAAATAAGTGTTTGCTCGAACCGAGAGAAGACGTTCGGCCTCTTGCGCCATGGAAAGAAAACAGTGTGCCGAAATGTTTGATGCCCCAAAGAAGCCTGCATTTAATGCAGTGCTTGTACCACTTTAAACAGCTTCCCCCGGGGGATTCTGGGAGCTGTAGTTTGTTCAGGGTGCTCACAGAGCTACAGTTCCCAGAGTCCCCTGGGGGAGAGGAATTGAGTTTAATAGGTATTGCCCTTCCCAGCTCCTGGCAACAGGAATTATGGAATAGGGCTTACAGATTGGCTTACTTTCCCCCCTCCTTTCCCTGGTCGTCTTGCAAATTAATTGCAGAAGGTCCAGAAAGGTAGGCAATGGATTATGGCGCTGTTTGTTCATTTCTAAGGTGCTAGCCCTCATTGCTGCTGTCTTAATTCCAGGTGCGTACGGGGAACTGGCTGTGGTGTACATCTGATTACAGGCATTCTCTTCCTTGTTAACATTCTACTTTTTCCAAATATTACCCCCCCCCCACATTTTTATTAAATGTTGCAGTTTCAACATTCTCTCTCAAATTTGAAAATGCTAAACAAAAACAAAAAAACACAAGCAAGCAATAATCAGAGCAGGTATGAAGGAATATATACCAGTAATCTTAGGAAAATACGTGATATCAAGTACAGAGGAACTGTTGTGGGCTGTCAAGGTACTAAGACCATTATAATTTTAAATCTTTTTTTCCTCCTTGTGCATAAAAACCCACAGTACATCAGGAAGAGGCTAGCCATGCTCCTTTGTTCGTAAAAATAACAAAATAATGGCACATTTGCCAAAAGCAAACGATTTCTACATAATCTTAATCATGTGTCCATTTCTCTCTTAAAAAAAAAAATTTCTTTATTCAAAATTATAACAAGACATATTATCCAAAAACATACCATCCTTGTTTCCCCCCCATTTTTCCTCCCTCCCTCCCACACAAAACCCACCCGCCCCCACCCCCCAACTTCCCTCAGTTCCAGTCTTTGATTTCTCTAAAAATGCTGTTTTCTGCATGTTACAAAGTTGTATAGATCCTCAAACTGTTTAGCTGATTATTATCAGTAAAAATTTTGTGAATGTTTATTCAAAACCTGCCAAGGAGTCCTGTTTGCTTTGTTGCGTCTTCAGATGCTTTGTAAAGGGTTCCCATTCATCCTTAAAGTCACAGTTATCCTTGTCCCGTAGCTTATATGTCAACTTTGCCAGTTCTGCATAGTCCGTCAATTTTTCTTGCCATGATTCTTTAGTTGGGGTTTCTTTAGTCTTCCATCCTTGTGCTATTAAAACTCTTGCGGCCGTTGTTGCATACATGAAGATGTTTTTCAACTTTTTTGGCAGGTCTTTCCCTACAATCCCCAACAAAAATGCCTCGGGGGTTTTAACAAATGTTAAATGGAACATTTTCTTCAATTCGTTGTAAATTATTTCCCAAAATTTTTTTAATTACCTTACAATCCCACCACATATGATCAAACGTTCCCTCCTTTTCCTTACACTTCCAACATATATTTGAACTAGTTTTGTACATTTTCCCTAACTGCACTGGTGTTGTGTACCATCTGTACATCATCTTCATGTAATTCTCCTTCAATAGGGAACAATCTGTAAATTTTAAGTCAGTTTTCCATAATTTAGCCCAATCTTCCATCATAATGTTGTGACCTACATCTTGTGCCCATTTACCGTAATCATAACTGATTTTACCTCTTCATCTTTCCATGTGTCCATTTCTCAAGTAATTCTGTCTCCCAGTCCTTTCGGTACAAGGAATCTGTAGTTATTCCAGGCCCCCAAATAGACTCTGCCGTTGATTCCAGAAAAATGTGCCAACCGGGGGTCATTGAACGTTCCTGTCCCCGTGGGGTGGGCATCTCGGCGTGGGGAAGACCATTTTAGTGTTAATGTCTTAGGAAATGATTCCTTTATTCTGTGGAAAGGCTGATTCCTCATTTCCTCTCCCTTTTCTGCTTCTCCACACTAGCGCTGGCTGTGAATGAGATTGCTGCCTTCCACCAGAAGCCAGAGGCCGCCGAAGCTGTGCCCATTTCAGAGAATGTTAGAGGTGAGATAACGGAAGCTGGTGTCTTAGCTGAGCAGCTGCCTTGGAAAGGGTCTGTAAGAAGGCACAGGGCTCCATTCTTGTAATAATCACATTGTATGCAATATTAGCCTGCTCCTTCAATTCCCTGTGCTTTTAAAAATGTTGATCATTGTTTTTCAAAATGATATTCTGCTGCAGCAGCCCTGGAGTCACTGTTAAGAGACAATAGAGCAGCCTTTCTCAAGCTGTGGGTCCCCAGATGTTGTTGAACTACAACTCCCATCACGCCTAGCTAGCAAGGCCAGAGCTCAGGGATGATGGGAGTTGTAGTCCAACAACATCTGGGGACCCACAGGTTGAGAACCGCTGCAGTAGAGTCCCAGGCATGGCCAAACTTGGCCCTCCAGATGTTTTGGGACTACAACTCCCATCATCCCTACCTCACAGGACCAGTGGTCAGGGATGATGAAAATTGTGGTCCCAAAACATCTGGAGGGCCGAGTTTGGCCATGCCTGCGACGGTCTCTGAATCTAAGCGATAAATAATATTTTACTTCAGTGTGTCACAGGTTAACTCCTCCTGCTTTTATTGGAGGCGGGGCTATGCAAATGATGTTGTGGGCAGTCCCCTTCAGTGGAATGAGTACTGTTTTTGGGGGACAGGGGGTGGGCGGGGGTGGAGGACTTCCCTAGTCCTGAATGGGGTAACTGTGCCCTGAAGGACCAGGTGCGCAGCCTGGTAGTCATTTTGGACTCACTGCTGTCCATGGAGGCGCAGGTCAATTCTGTGTCCAGGGCAGCTGTTTATCAGCTCCATCTGGTACGCAGGATGAGACCCTATCTGCCCACAAACTGTCTCGCCAGAGTGGTGCATGCTCTGGTTATCTCCCACTTGGACTACTGCAATGCGCTCTACGTGGGGCTACCTTTGAAGGTGACCCGGAAACTGCAACTAATCCAGAATGCGGCAGCCAGACTGGTGACTGGGAGCGGCCGGCGAATCCACGTAACACCAGTCCTGAAATAATAATAATATAAATTTTATTTATATCCCGCCCTCCCCAGCCGAAGCCGGGCTCAGGGCGGCTAACAACAATAAAACAGTACAAAAGTACAGCACAAACAACACTCTAAAATCATTCATTATAAAATTAATTAATTCAAGCCACTGGCAACCATTGGGCCAGAGCTCCGTGAAGATTGCCGAGGGAGGGAGTCAGGCTGTGCCCTGACCAAAGGCCTGGTGGAACAGCTCTGTCTTGCAGGCCCTGCGGAAAGATGTCAAGTCCCGCAGGGCCCTAGTATCTTGTGACAGAGTGTTCCACCAGATCGGAGCCATGGCCGAAAAAGCCCTGGCTCTGGTTGAGGCCAGCCTAACTTCTCTGTGGCCTGGGACCTTCAAGATGTTTTTATTTGAAGACCGTAAGTTTCTCTGTGGGGCATACCAGGAGAGGCGGTTCCGTAGGTACGAGGGTCCTAGGCCGTATAGGGCTTTAAAGGTTAAAACCAGCACCTTAAACCTGATCCTGTACTCCACCGGGAGCCAGTGCAGCTGGTATAGCACTGGGTGAATGTGATCTCGCAGCGAAGACCCCGTAAGGAGTCTCGCTGCAGCATTCTGCACCCGCTGGAGTTTCTGGGTCAGTCTCAAGGGCAGCCCTACACTGGCTCCCAGTACGTTTCCAAGCACAATTCAAAGTGTTGGTGCTGACCTTGAAAGCCCTAAACGGCCTCAAAGGCCCAGTATACCTGAAGGAGCGTCTCCACCCCCATCATTCAGCCTGGACACTGAGGTCCAGCTCCGAGGGCCTTCTGGCGGTTCCCTCCCTGCGAGAAACAAGGTTACAGGGAACCAGGCAGAGGGCCTTCTCGGTGGTGGCACCCGCCCTGTGGAACGCCCTCCCGTCAGGTGTCAAGGAAACAAACAATTATAATTATCTGACTTTTAGAAGACATCTGAAGGCAGCCCTATTTAGGGAAGCTTTTAATATTTGATGCTTTATCGTGTTTTTAATATTCTATTGGGAGCCGCCCAGAGTGGCTTGGGATACCCAGCCAGATGAGCGGGATATAATTATTATTATTATTATTATTATCCTCTTACAGATTCTACCCTCACAGAAACAGGCCGGGAAAGGCCCCGGGGATATTAGGCAGACTGACACCCACCAAAAAAACCCCTATAACAGCTCTAATAATCCTTATTATTTCTACGCATCGTGTTCAGAGAGGCAGTAGTTGACCCTCTCAATTTCCTTCTCCTTGTCTCCCAGGCAGTCCGGGGAACTTCTTCGTCATCCTGTCTGTCTCCTACGGCGGCAAGGAGGTCCTGAAAGAATTGCTGCCAGAGGGAGAGTTCCTGGTCACTTCGGCCGCAGCTCCTCTGGGAACGTCCAGCAACAGCATGCTCCGGGTCGTGCTTCCGCCTGCCTCCAGTCTCGAGGACGCCCAGAAGGAGGCCGACGTCCGCCGGCTGCTGAAGGACCTGGAGAAGGGTGTCATGGCAGCCAGCAACGTGGAGGGGATTTTCGTTCAGTGCCGGGGACGAGCCAGCGTCTTCTTGCGTGGTCCAGGGGGCACCCAGCCCCACAGGAAGCTGCCCAGCAACGCCTTCCTTCAGTTGTTCAGCACCAAGGCATTTAAGTCAGGTGAGGCTGAGCCAAAGGCATAGCTGTCAACCGTCGCTTATTTGGCGGGAAAGTCCCTTATCCCAGCACCGTGTCCCGCTGCTGTCCCTTAAATTTCCCGGGTTTCAAAGGAAGCAGCTCCTCTCCCTCCCTCCCTGCCGGCCAGGGAGGAGGGAGGCTCCAACTGGGTTGCTTGGCTGCGTTGCTCACCCAATAAGGAGTCTCAGAACGACTGGGGGGTGGAGCTTGCATGCCTTGTGCCGATCAAATCGGCCGCGTTGCCTGGGGACTCGCCTTTGCTCAGCGCTTCCCAGCAGAAAGGTGACGGTGGTTTCCCTTGCTGCATCCCCTTTGCCGGGTTGCTGCGCTGTGGGAACCACCGCTTGAGGCTTCGTTTGGCTGCTGGCTGGGCTTTCTGCCTTTGGCTCGTAGGGGCTCAGAAGTTGAACATACCTGTGTTCGGAAGATCCCTTATTTTGGCTGCTGATCCCTTATTTTTGAGGCTGCTGGTCCCTTATTTTCAAATCTGTAAGTTGACAGCTATGGTTGCAGCACACCTGACCCCCATCTCCCTGGGGCTGATGGGGTCTGGAGACCCACGGCGCCTGGAGGGACATGGCTTCCCCACCTCTGCTCTTGCAGAAGGTGCTCCATATGTCTCGGGAGACGACAGAGGAGTGCGCCTTTGGGGGTGAAGTTCAGCCATAGCTGTCAACTTACAGATTTGAAAATCAGGGACCAGCAGCCTCGAAAATAAGGGATCAACAGCCAAAATAAGGGATTTTCTAGGCACAGGTATGTTCAACTTCTGAGCCTCCGAGGCCAAGGCGAAAACAAGCCAGCAGCAAGCGAGCCTCAGGTGGTCCTAGTCCTTATTGGTGAGCAACGCAGCCAAGCAACCCAGTTGGAGCCTCCCTCCTCCCTGGCCGGCAGGGAGGGAGGGAGAGGAGCTGCTTCCTTTGAAACCCGGGAAATTTAAGGGACATCATCAATAAGGGACAGCAGCAGGGACAGCGCTGGTATAAGGGAGTTTCCCGCCAAATAAGGGATGGTTGACAGCTATGGGATGAAGTCACACCGTTGGAGAGTCGCGGCACCTGCTGTGGCCGTAGAGGCTGATACGGGCGAGACGTGTTTTGTTGCAGCTGGGGAAGGTGTCCGGTTGTGCTGCAACAGCAGATGCACCCCGGCGTTTCTTCTCCTCCCGGGGTCATTCCTCCTCTGGTCACTGCTGTATGGATGCACGACCTGACCGCCTGTCTCCAGGCCCGGCAGTCGTCTGCAAGGGGTACCTGAAGGAGCGTCTCCATCCCCATCGTTCAGCCTGGACGCTGAGGTCCAGCTCCGAGGGCCTTCTGGCGGTTCCCTCCCTGCGAGAAGTGAGGCTACAGGAAACCAGGCAGAGGGCCTTCTCGGTGGTGGCGCCCGCCCTGTGGAACACCCTCCCATCAGATGTCAAGGAGATAAGCAACTACCTGACTTTTAGAAGACATCTGATAATTGAGACATAGATATAGCTATGTCTGAACTTTCATGCATATCAGTGAATATCTTGACCCTCCTCCACGAGAATAACTGTTTACTTGGCCGTTTTCATATGTCGTGAAGGCTGAAATTTCATTTCGATGGAGCCAAAACACAATCCATCCTGTAGATTTAAGTATCTGTCCACGGTCGCCTCATAATCCACATTCCTTTGTAAGAAAATAAGAAATAACGCAAAACTATTATTGCAGGCAAAAAAAGAAATCAATGTGTGTGTGGGGGGTGACAAGAATTTTTCCACACCGGGTACCGCCTGACCTTCCTAAGCCTCTGGCCGTAATATGTCTATTGCCGTATTCATTTGACAAAGCCCGATTTGGTTCTGGTGCTTCCCGCTGTATCATGCCGCTCTCTTTTCGTTTTCCGCCAACAGCACTGCAGGAATACTCCCTGGGCCGTGGGCCTAAGCCTGAACACCATGTCACTCTCTGTGTTGGGGAGGAATTGGGGCAAGACTGCGTGGACAGCAAGAGAATCGTCATCCAGGTGAGATTCATTAAGTGTTGGCAAGGCGGACGCACATTGTTCAGTTCAAAGTGTTGGTGCTGACCTTTAAAGCCCTAAACGGCCTCGGCCCAGTATACCTGAAGGAGCGTCTCCACCCCCATCGTTCAGCCCGGACTCTGAGATCCAGCTCCGAGGGCCTTCTGGCGGTTCCCTCATTGCAAGAAGTGAGGTTGCAGGGAACCAGGCAGAGGGCCTTCTCGGTGGTGGCACCTGCCCTGTGGAACGCCCTCCCTTCAGATGTGAAGGAAATAAGCAGCTATCTTATCTTTAAAAGACATCTGAAGGCAGCCCTGTTTAGGAAAGTTTTTAAGAGCCAGTGTGGTGTAGTGGTTAAGAGCGGTAGTCTCGTAATCTGGGGAACCGGGTTCGCGTCTCCGCACCTCCACATGCAGCTGCTGGGTGACCTTGGGCCAGTCACACTTCTCTGAAGTCTCTCAGCCCCACTCACCCCACAGAGTGTTTGTTGTGGGGGAGGAAGGGAAAAGAGAATGTTAGCCGCTTTGAGACTCCTGAAGGGGAGTGAAAGGCGGGATATCAAATCCAAACTCTTCTTCTTCTTAATATTTAATGCTGTGTTTTTAACACTCAATTGTGAGTCGCCCAGAGTGTCTGGGGGAACCCAGCCAGATGTTCGGGGTATAAATAAATAAATAAATAAATAAATATAATAATTGGTTGGGAAGAAGCCTGCCAAGGGTGGAGACACAAGACATGCCATGCAGAGAATGTAAGAAATAAATGCATCTTGGGAAAACAATGCTAGGGCGAAGGGCGGAAACACATTGAGAGTGCAGGGGAGGGGGCACCGGACGCCGAAGTAAACCTATTTATTCTGCCAGTTTTCTAAGCATTGGGGGGCAGAGGCTCATTCTGCGTAGTGTATGGGGAAATCACAGCAGAGACGCAAGCTGGGTAGATGGAACAGACACGCGTTATGGCCTCCGGGACGTGGATAAGTCATATTTGAAGGAAATCACAGCATGGGTAGTAGGCAGAAATTGGAGCGGAACAGGATTCAAGACCAGCATGCGCAGTTGATCGTGGCGCAAGACATGCTGGTAAACGGCGGCGGGTTTTTAGAAGCAAGTGATGGGAGGGACGCTGGTCAAAACGGTGAACGGCCTATGCAGTCACTCAAAATTTCTAGAGTCATTTCAGCGGTTGATTTCCTCCTCTTCTCCACCCGCAGATGGAGCAGATATTTGCCTCGGCTGCAGTCTCTCCTCCCGTGGTACAAGCAGCTGCTCCCCAAGTCCTCTTGGTCGTTTCGGATGGCTCCGCTGGGAAATGGGATGCTTCTGGGGCACCTCAATGCTGAAATCACCTGTCCTGTCCCTCTGATTTTGGGGGCTGCTGACCTGCTTGTGGTACAGACCCATCCGGGGTCTTGAACAGTTCCCCGGAGCGGCACTTCCTACTTCCTGCCTTATTCTCTCGGGCGGGACTTCCTACTTTACTCATTCCTGCACGTCGGAACAACTTCTACCTGTGAACTTGGCATTATGTAGAAAAAGTGTGAAACACTAGAGCAGAAACCCTGGTGGGAATTACTTCCTGGCGATATCCTGAGATGAGAGCGAGGGCTTTTCCTCTCCTAATTAGCAAAGATAAGCTCCTCTTCCTCCTTTTCCCAGCTGAGGAATGGCTGGGAAGTAATACAAAACCTTGTGGGGGAAAAACCCTTTCTTTTGCCTCCCTCATTCCCGTGCCTACTGAGCTCATGCCTTCTTGCACTTTATTAGTATCTAGGAAAATGCGCGCTTAGACTGTCTTTCACGCTTGCTGTGTGGATCTGAAAATATTTGTTTAAATAAAGTTTTATTGGAAATGGATGCTGGAATCTGGTGTGGGAGTTTTGAATCATGTGGCAGAGAATCCCACAGATTTCACGTTTTGTGAGGTAGTGTTTTTTTCTTTTTTTTCGTCTGCTTGAATCCTGAATCTCAGATCATCCTGACTTATAAGGACACTATAGGCACCTTAAAAAGCCATTTTATCCAGAATGCAACCAGAGGGGGGGCCCCTAGACAGATTTCATTGTGTTCTCAAGTAACACATCCCAGGGAACACTCTCATAGGCATCAATTAGGCATTTTCCTTTCACTGAATTGAACTCTGCAGCCTTTTCCCAAAATTCAAAAACGATAATGGAAATGCACTTAAAACAAACAGAATCCTTGGGGTTTCTTCTTTCTATCTCTTGCTTTTCAATATTGATCTGGGCGTTTACTGCTTTGAATTTTCAAAATGTGCATGCCAGGAACAGGCGGAAGTCAATTTTGTTTCTGAAATGGTTCTCCCCCCCCCCCCAATTTGTTCCTCTCTTTTACTATGTTCTTGTCATTTTTTATATGCTGTCTCTGTTGGAAATACGAGGAAAGGTTCTTTACAAAAAGAGAGAGAGACCATCCTCTTCTCCAGAGATAGCCCAAAAAGCTGTAGTTACTCTTTTGAGACCTTGAAGTTTTCACAATAGGAAGTGAAAGTGAAGTTTTCACAATGGGAAGTTAATTCAGTTGCCACATCAAAAAGCAAATACCGTATTTTTTGCTCTATAAGACTCACTTTTTCCCTCCTAAAAAGTAAGGGGAAATGTGTGTGCGTCTTATGGAGCGAATGCAGGCTGCGCAGCTATCTCAGAAGCCAGAACAGCAAGAGGGATCGCTGCTTTTGATGCACAGCGATCCCTCTTGTTGTTCTGGCTTCTGAGATTCAGAATATATTTTTTTCTTGTTTTCCTCCTCCAAAAACTAGGTGCGTCTTTATGGTCTGGTGCGTCTTATAGAACGAAAAATACGGTGCCTACCCCAAGATCCATTCCCAAATTGGCCAGTTACACCCCCTAGTCCTAATAATCCTTTACTTGGAACCACATTTCATTCAGCTTGGTTAGATTCTATGTAAAGGGCTCCCTAAAAAACGAGTATGATTCTGTGTTAAGTCTGGCGCTGGTCTCTTCTAAGCCTCACATGTGGTTGATGAGTCACCATTATTTTCCCTGTGGTTTCGCTGAACCGATACTCTGCTTGTTTGCTGATTCATGCACGTGTGCTCATCAGTCATCAACGGCTGCAAAAGCTGTTCAGTGGGAATAACCAGTTTACTCTTGAAATAAAAAAAATTAAGGTTTTATATATATATAAATATGTTCATAAATGTACCAAACAAACACATACATAAATATATATACCACATGTCTGAAGCAGCACAGGAAAACGGCCCTGAAACCATTTTGACTCCCAAACTGACCAAATGATTTCTCTGCAAGGTCAAGGAAAATGGAAAAGCCTCCCCATTGTCTTTTCCTTCACAAATCCTGTCTTAAGGGTATGTCTGTGTATGAATAGGGTGAGCCTGTGACCTGGCTCAGGAACTAAGTAGTTATCATTACAAAATACTAGCCAGGCTCCCCAGGGTATCTAATCAAGTAAGCATTAGCAGGTAACCTGCCAGACAGGAGGTAAACAACGCACTCAGATTTCTGTTGTAGACTGCCCTTTCTGTGATGTACCGTATTTTTCGCTCCATAGGACGCACCGGCCCATAGGACCCATACTTTTTTTGGGGGGGAAATAAAGAAAAAAATTTTTATTTCCCCCCCAGCCCGAGCTTCCCCCGACCCCAGCCCCCAGAACAGGGAGCTCTCTGCAAGCCTTGGGAGACCGGCGCGACTTCCCGCCGGGCTCCCACGGCTTGTGGATATCTGCCTGAAGCCCAAACCAGGTAGGGGAACAGCGGGATGGTGGCACTCCTCCCCGCCGCCAGCCTTCAGACCAGGTCGTGGGACAGCGGGAAGGCGCACTGCACCTCCCTGCTGTCCCCCGAGCTTGTGGGGCTGGCGGCGGGGAGAAGCACGCTTCTCCCCGCCGCCAGCCTCCAAACCAGGTCGGGGAACCGAAGCCTGGGGCACGCTATGCAGCGCGCCCCGTGCTTCAGGCTGCAGGCTGCTGCCCGCAAGCCTTGCGAGCCCGCGGGAACTCCCACCGGGCTTGCAAGACTTGCGGATAGCTTCCTGAAGCCTGGAGGCGAGGTCGTGCGCACCGACCTCTTGCTCTCAGGCTCAGGCCATTCGCCCATAGGACACACATTTCCCCTTCATTTTTGGAGGGGAAAAAGTGCGTCCTATAGGGCGAAAAATACGGTAGGTATGAGGTGTCTGGGGGTGGTCTTGGACTCCAGGGCTGGCAATTTAAAATGTATATATAAGGGCGGGCACACCTGGGTTCTGGGTCGTCCTCCTGCGTGTGAAGGGGACACCCTGTTGCAACAGATCAATAAAGATCAGGCTTACGAGCTGCTTTGCTTCTCAATAATCTCTGGTTGGCGTCTGTTATTTTCTCCGACCGATGGGGAACCTGCAAAGGACTCTATAAGAGCTCTTGTGTCCCCCATAAGGGAAAAAGGGCAGATTTTCGTTTATTACACTCTCATTGCTACCCCAGGCTTCCAGTGTTTTGTGTCTCCCACCATTTAAAGACAAAACAAAAAATTGGGATCCTAAGGGTGCCAGCGGTTTTTGTTTCAGATAAGAACTCTGCTGGATCAAGGTAGAATCCGTGACCAGGGAGGAGAGTCGGTGGAGGAAGATTGGAAGAAATTCAAAGACTATCTGCAGAAACATTGCAAAATTAAAGAATGTTAGAGTGATGTTGGATTGAAAATAAGTGGCTTCCAGCTGTACAGGATTTAAAGTTACAGATAGATTAAGATTAAGGATTAGGATTAAAAAAGTTTAAGGAAATGGAAACTTGGTTTTTAAGAGGTAAAATTTTAATGTCATATTATATTAAGATTAAAGATTGGGATTAAAAAAAGAGGGAAAGAAATTGCTGGACAAACAATTTGAACTGGAATACAAAAGAGGGAGGTATGAGGAGGTCCAGAAAATAAGTAAATTTAAAGATGGAGATGAAAAGGTGATATTGTTTTTAACTGGTTTTTTTCCCTGTTTTTTTCTTTTTCGGACTATGTATTGTGTATTTTTGAACTGTGTATTTATGTGTTCTTTTTATCGGAAACTTTAATAAATATCATTTAAAAAAAAAAAAAGAAGAACTCTGCTGGATCAAGACCAAAAGCCTATATGTTCTGGCATCCTGTTCTCCATAGCGCCCAAGCGGGATGTCTGCAAACAGGACTTGAGGGCTGAAGTTGTATTTCTTATTTATCTGGGGTATTTTCATTCCAGTCTAGCCGGAAAAGGCTTGCACAACATGTTGTTGCTGTTGAGTCATTTAGTCGTGTCTGACTCTTCGTGACCCACTGGACCAGAGCACGCCAGGCCCTCCTGTCTTCCACTGCCTCCCGCAGTTTGGTCAAACTCATGCTGGTATCTTCGAGAACACTGTCCAACCATCTCGTCTTCCGCTGTCCCCTTCTCCTTGTGCCCTCCATCTTTCCCAACATCAGGGTCTTTTCCAGGGAGTCTTCTCTTCTCATGAGGTGGCCAAAGTCTTGGAGCCTCAGCTTCAGGATCTGTCCTTCCAGTGACCCCTCAGGGCTGATTTCCTTCAGAATGGAGAGGTTTGATCTTCTTGCAGTCCATGGGACTCCCAAGAGTCTCCTCCAGCACCATAATTTAAAAGCATCAATTCTTCGGCGATCAGCCTTCTTTATGGTCCAGCTCTCACTTCCATACATCACTACTGGGGAAACCATAGCTTTAACCATACGGACCTTTGTTGGCAAGGTGACGTCTCTAGGTTTGTCATTGCAAAACATACAGTCGCTTAAAACGATAACCCAAAAGGCAAGGCACAAAAGGAAAACAGGATGGGGAGGGAATTGTAGAGTTGGAAGGGACCCTGGGGGTCATCTAGTCCAACCCCCTACAATGCAAGACGGGGGGTGGGGGGGAGAGGAAGAACCAGTTCCTAAAGTTATAAACAGAGGTCTGTATGATGGACAAGCACTTTCAGGAGAGGATTTGCTCTCAGCAGAGTGAATGGGCCCTCCTTCCCACCTCTCCGGCTGCTGCAGTTTTTTCATTTTTTGGCAAGGCCAGGAGCGCAGTGCAAAAAGCCACCTGGCCATTAGAACAATCTGTACCTAATAACTTGAAACCCAGTTTGCTTGTTTCCTCCTCCCTCTCAATCCATTGTCCTTTTGTGTTTGAGAGACGGTAAGCATGAGGAGCCTTAAAATAAACACCAACAGTAATCTGAACCTTCTCTTTCTTTCATTACCCTAGCTGGACAAATCAGAAAGTGAAATAAATAAATCACCTTAAAATAGTTGAGGCGACCTTGCCCTTATTTTTCTGGCAACTGATCTGCAATTTTTTTAAAAAAACCCTGTCAGTTTAGTGACCATTACGTTTTAATTATCCATTCACACATATTGTGCAGCAGTTCCATTTTTGGTGCTGATGAATACACTCTAATATTGATGCTTGAACACTCTTGTAAAGGGTTCAAAACTCTTTTTGGGCTGGGAGTTAAACTAAGCTATAAATAAATGCAAAATCCCCAGAAAACTCTTGGTGATTTATTGCATCCTATTTCTGTGTTGGGGTGACTAAACTTGGTTTTCCTCTTGTTCCCCTTTGCCCTCACAACAACCTTGCAAGGTAGGCCAAGCTGTGAGAGAAGTAGGGGCCCAAGAGGCCTGCCTGGGGCTTTAATTGCCTTTATTTGCTGATAATTCTGCAGTATTAGGGTGAGTGATTTTGGTATATACAGAGACATATATGGAGACTACTAGGCTCCTATTAACTGATACATTAATTGTGTCTGGAATTTCTGAAGAGAAAACGGACCCAGAACTTAATTTGGCGGGAAAACTGCCCCTTCTCCATGATTGGACACTATTCCGGTCACGTGCCTTGATTTCATTGGCCAGGCTTGGGCAATAGGTGAGTTGACAGGCAAAGAAAAAATCAAGAAACAAGGTAAACTGTTTCTTAAAGGAGGAGGCCCTTGCGTCGATCTTATTGGCTAGAACTCCGTGAGGAGCCTGCCCATTGGACGAGCTCAGTTCAGGAATTGAGATCATGGACGGGGTAATGAGATGCGCATCTGAACAGGCCAAGTGCAGCGGAGCGATTTGATTGGTTAGAACTCTGTAACGTAATAAGAGGAGGGCTGGTCAAGGGAAGAGAAACAAAGAGATTTGATTGGTTGGAACTGGTGAGAGGCGAAGAACGTGTCTCCAAGCTTGGAGAGAAGTTTTCGCACGTGGCGTCGCCTGCAGTGATTGGTCGAGATAGTTAAAAGAGGGAGATGTTTTCATTGGTCAGAACGTCAGAAAACGGCAGGGATTGGTCGCAGGTGTTTCGTTTATTGACAATGCTGTTGCCTGTGTCTCTCACTTTGGTCCTAGCCAGTGGCTGCAAAGGGTTAAGAGTGGCTGCCTGGTTAGACTGTCGGTTTTTATTTCTAATTTTTAGCACATTCGCCTTTTAGAATCATTGGCTTTTATTAACAGTAGCAGCCAGTGGTGCTGAGTCCAAGTAACCCCCTGTTTAATTATTGTATTTGCAGCCCAATTAATTTACTAGGTCTTCATTTAGTGTTAGGAATCTTAATTGCTGACAGTATCTCCCTTTTTTGCGCGGGGGGGGGGTGGTTTAGTCATAATCTGCCACTATTTCTTAGTTCTTACTGCTATTTCTTAAAATAAAAATTCAAGCTTATCTTAGCCAGACAAAACAAAGAAACCCAAGCTTTTCTTCCCGATATGTACGGTGGTTACTTATAAAACTGCCCAATTACTATAAGTATTAATCACATCTCATTCTGTAATTAGCCACTCAGAAATATTTTTTTGACTACCTTGTTTATTAAAAGCACACAGGGTTGCTAAACCCTCTTTAATTTCTGGGTTCTCTTTTATCACCCTAGTTTTAACTGTTCTGATTACCATAATTAGACATGTTTAATAGTGGTCAATGAATTGTTGCTTCAATATTTAATGGTCTGGGAGGTGACCTTTGTTATTTGCTTATTAATTTCTCTAGTTCTGGTTAATATTTATCTGTGCTAGTATTCCTAGCTAATACTCTTTATTTGCTTCCCATTAAAAATATTCTCAACTGTGTGATCAGTTGGGAATTTAACTATCCTTCCCCCACCCCCGCCCCATACATTTTATACATTTGGTATGAACTTACTAATCGATTTCTAGAGAATTTTGAGATTACACCTCACAACTCACCATTTGAACGAATATTGTCACTAAATGGCACATCCTCTAATAGATTAAAATCCTTTTGTCTGCATATTCTCTTCATCTGACATCAAACTGTCTTTCATTAAACTCAACAGCAAACACAGCTCTCATTCCTGGCAGTTCGCTGCTTACCATCTCATCTCCCTTAATTAATCAGATTTGGGAATCCAACTGGCACGGCTGTTGGCTTTGTGATAAAATTGTCCCAAATTAGTTTTAGGAAAGAACAGGCCCCATCATAATCTTTTGCCTCCAGCGGTGAGTCACTGAATTTGTGAGGTCTGAAGGATCGACTGCATTTCTCAACGTTTTGCCGCTCACTTGGGCCGTTAACAAATTGGGAAAGGGGGTCCTTTTACTCTTGAGATACAACCGGGCGATAATTTGCAGAGGAAAAGCTCCCAAGAGATCAGGAGTATCTAGAAGTCTCAGAACCTCAATACTAGAAAAGTGGAAACTCTCTGAAATGTTCTATTACCCAAACGTGTTGCAACGTCATACGGGATGTTTTGCTACGATCTGGTAAGGACTTTGCTCTGAGAGTGTGGATGGGGGGCAGTGGAAGGTGCTGGCAGCTGCCTGCTTGCCCCCACCCCAACTGATGGTTCCTCCATCTCTTTCCCAGGTTGGCAGCAACTGGGGCAGCCAAACTCTTGAAGCGGGAGTACCTGAAAGTCAATGTCCCGAGAACCTGGTGAGTAGAGGCACAAATGAGGGATGGAAGAAACAACAAAAAAACAACTTTTATTTGTATCCTGGCCCCCTGGCCAAGACTGGGCTCAGGGCGGCTAACATCAAATATATAACATTGGTATAAAATCAAACAATATTTAAATTACCTCCCAAAAACAAGTCAGGGTCAAATTAAAATCTAATTAGATGGCTTTCTGCAGGATTAGGGTTTTGAACAGTGAAAATGCGTATCTAAATTAGGACTGGTGAAAGGCTGGTGGGTTGGCAGCCGGGTGTCTGCTTCTGGACGAACGTAAATGGATTTGTTGTGTCTTTGCTATGGCCAAAAGACTGGTGTTGAGGCACTGGGAAGATAAACCTGTGGCCAACTTCTGCCAATACAGTTTTTGAAACGGACTTTCAGAATGGATTAGGTTTGAGAACCAAGGTACCACTGTAGATTGAAGATACGGCAACACTCGCATCTTATGAACGGGATGTTTACAGATGTTGTACAAACAATGATATCTGGAGCGTGTTTATTAAAAAATATATAGTCAGTTATCAATAGCCATACATGGATTAGGGTGACAATAACACTGATATACCTATGCATTAGACAAGCATATACGAAATGGCACTTGCTCTGCTTATACAGTGGTACCTCGGTTTACGAACTTAATCCGTTCCAGAAGTCCGTTCTTAACCTGAAACTGTTCTTAACCCGAGGTACCACTTTAGCTAATGGGGCCTCCCGCTGCCGCCGCGCGATTTCTGTTCTCATCCTGAAGCAAAGTTCTTAACCCAAGGTACTATTTCTGGGTTAGCGGAGTCTGTGACCTGAAGCGTCTGGAACCCGAGGTACCACTGTATTGTAGATAATAAAAATTGAAAATAAATAAATTTCTTACCTGCACTGATGATAGTCATTGTTTGTATGGGAGGCTTTTATCCATTTCTGCAGTCACACAATCAATCAATCAATCCGTAACTGAACTGGGTTCCACATAGTCACAACAACAAATAAACTGAAAAAGCCTCAAAAGCAGAAACACAAAATAAACAACATAAACAAAAGCACCTAACTTAATCCGTTCCGGAAGTCCATTTGACTTCTGAAATGTCCAAAAACCAAGGCGCAGCTTATGATTGGTGCAGGCGCCCCGGAAACAATAGCCAACAGCCGCATTTGCCGTTCGGCTTCTGAAAAACGTTCGAAAACCGGAACACTTATTTCCTGAGGTACCACTGTAGTTCGTTAATAGGGCTGTTCTTAAACCGAGGTACCGCTGTATAGCGATATACTGTGTGAGGCACCCGCCTGGCTGCAGGGAGGAAAGGGTGCTGGAGGAGGCGGGCCATTGGCCTTATCCTGCAGGCATACATTGCGTCCAGAGCTGAGTGCAGACCAGACGGGTGCTGTGCAGGTGACGCCTCTCATTTCCCTCCTGTTTCAGCGAGGAGATCATGGCCTTCATCCTCGTCCAAGTCCCGCCTCCCGTGCCTGGGGCTCCAAAACCTCGCTTCTCGCTCTACCTCTCTGCTCAGCTGCAGTTTGGGGTCGTCCGCGTCTACACCCGTCAGTGCCAGTACCTTGTGGGTATGACCTTTTCCAAACCAACCCCCACCCCCTGTTTGTCCCTTTCTGCTGCTTCTTCCAGGCCTTTTCTTTTCCTCTCTTTTATATTTTCAAATGCATTCCGCAGAATCACAGGATTGTACAGTTGGAAGGGCGTCACCTGTTCCAACTCCCTGCAATCGTAGCTAAACCTATGACATACATGCATAATTCCCTCCATAAAGGTAAAGGGACCCCTGACCATTAGGTCCAGTCGTGGCCGACTCTGGGGTTGCGGTGCTCATCTCGCTTTACTGGCCGAGGGAGCCGGCGTACAGCTTCTGGGTCATGTGGCCAGCAGGACTAAGCCGCTTCTGGCGAACCAGAGCAGTGCATGGAAACGCCGTTTACCTTCCCGCTGGAGCGGTACCTATTTATCGACTTGCACTTTGACGTGCTTTTGAACTGCTAGGTTGGCAGGAGCAGGGACTGAGCAATGGGAGCTCACCCCGTTGCGGGGATTTGAACCGCCAACCTTCTGATCGGCAAGTCCTAGGCTCTGTGGTTTAACCCACAGCGCCACCTGCGTCTCTAATTCCCTCCATACGCAGTGCATTTTCCTCCCAAGTCTACCGAAAGGTCAGGGGGACACACCCCAAACCCCTTAGCAACTGACATTACAACAGGCTTTCGATATGAAAGAAATGGCTGCTTGAGCGCGCTCGCTTTCCTCATCCCTCACCCTCCTCCTTACCTTCCGTGCCATCGCTTTTTTGGATTTCGGTCCTGAGGGGCAGGGTCTGCCTGTGTGCTACGTATATTATTGGCTTGTAAGTTGCTCTCCGAGCTTTCCTGGCTAAAAAGAAAGTAAGCCACAAAGGCTTTGAATGAACGAAATGAATGGCTGGGGGGCGGAGAGGTGGTTCTCCCGAGTCTGGCTGACTCCCCTTCTGCCTCCCTACCCTGCCATTTTCAGAGGAAATCCAGCACATCTTGGAGCACCTCAACCGGGCCCGGCAGCAGATCCGCATTGACCTGACAGACCTGGAGCAGTGAGTGATTCGCATTCGCCACCCGGGGCGAGTAGGGGGGCGGCTGCGGAGTTTGCATATCTGCTTGGCCTTGGGACTCCTGAGTGATCCTTGGGCGAGCAGATCTCCTTTTGGATTGTTGCGGGGCGACTACCCAGATACCGGTACCTGAGGCATATAGGGAAAATATCAGAGTAGGTTTGGGGGCAGGGGCAGAGAAGTCCCTTGCTTCTTTTTTCTTCTTCTTTTTTCTGATATATATAAATTTTATTAGTATTTTCCACACAACAACAACAACAACAACACGAAAGATATCAAAAAATAACAATACACAACACACAACACACAAAAATCAACATTTGAAAACTAAAGAAAACAACAACAAAAAAAAACAAATCCATATCTTACAAGTTAATATTATAAACACTAAAACCACAATAACAAGACACTGACTTCCACCAATCCCACAGCACCTCCTTTATCTCTCATTGTGTCTTCCTGTTTTCTTTATCATCTCTATCCTAACATCTAGATATAAATCCTTCTTTCATATCCTTTCACTTCACAAGGTTATTCCAGGCTCAGCCAGATTTCTGCCCTCGAACCTTGACTTTTGAGGTATTCATTTAGGCACTCCCATTCTTTTTTTACTTCACTTTTTGGTTTTTGTCTTATTGTGTCTGTCAATTTGGCTAATTCTAAGTATTCTGAGAGCTTACATAGCCACTCTCCCTTAGTGGGTAACTGATTCCCTTTCCAGTCCCTTACCTCTTAATAAGTCTAACCTTTTCTTTCTGCTTCTCCTAACCGCAGGCCAGGGTTGCTGCTCCCTAACCAGCTGGCCATCATGGAAATCCTAGAGGAAGCTCCCGATCCATTTTTCGGGATGATGGAGCCGGGTCTCCCCAGCCCTATGTCCATTCCTTATGTAAGACTGCCTCGCACCCTTTTTCCCAATCTCCCTGCTCTTGTCCTGCGGTGGGGAGGCTGCTGGTAGGGCGTAAGGCAGGGAGCCAGACAGTAGGTGGCGCCAGAGTCCTGGTTCTCTCTCCAGCCTCCTCTTCCCCGCTGAGGTCTGTGTCTCTCAGCTGTAGCTGGTGGCTCCCTGGCAATTATGGACCAGAGGGAAGTGGGTCAGATTCCGCCTTTCCCCCCTCCGTCTTTCCCAGGTCCGATCCATTCTGGAAACAGCCACCCCTGAAAGAAGCCCCCCGCAGCACCTTCCTCCATCTCCCTGGGACCAGAGGCCAGGTGGGTCAGAAACTGGGAGCCCGGGAACCGCTGATAAATTTCATGCTTTCAGAACCCCGTCTTTCCAGGCGGAGAGTATGGCTTCTCTGTGGGGCAAAACCAGTGTTGGTGATTTGTTAAGAAAATACCGTATTTTTTGCTCTATAAGACTCACTTTTTCCCTCCTAAAAAGTAAGGGGAAATGTGTGTGCGTCTTATGGAGCAGATGCAGGCTGCGCAGCTATCCCAGAAGCCAGAACAGCAAGAGGGATCGCTGCTTTCGCTGCGCAGCGATCCCTCTTGCTGTTCTGGCTTCTGAGATTCAGAATATTTTTTTTCTTGTTTCCTCCTCCAAGTCTATAAGTCTGGTGCGTCTTATAGAGCGAAAAATACGGTAGTTGCTGCCCTGGTTACCCCACCTTGTACCTTTGAGATGGGTTGTTTGCTCCCTTCCTCAAAATGGCGTCTCTAAATTAGCCACCATTCCCACATTTCAGGGGGTTGAGCTACATGACCTCTGGGTTGCTTCCAGTTCTCCAATTCTTTGCAATCCCCATTTTCTCCGTGGCCTCCGATTTCTCCTCTTCAGCCTCGTTCCCCAACCCTAAGCCAAGGTGCTAAGTACATGTAGCAGCAGATTATTTTATTTATTGCTTATTAATGTGTTTTTTAAAAGAAAAATCTTTTTAAAGTGGTGCATTAAAAAGTAAAACTGCAAGTAGCACATCATTTGCTCACATTCGCCCTCTTTCTTGGCAAACCACAATAAGGAAGCAAGCAAACGTAGATGTGTACTAGCATTAGGTATAAAACGAACCCTGAAAGTTATTTGGACCTCAAAGCAATGAGAGAAAAAGATGTTTCATGCTCTGCTTTACTTTTTTTTTTAAAAAAAATACATTGGAACAGAACTCAGGCATTGTGATAGTTTTTTTGTATTTTTAAGATGTATTTTGTGCTCTGGTTTTCCTTTTTTTGTTGGGAACCGCTCTGTGATCTTTGGATGAAGGGCAGTGAAATATACTCAGAGTCGGGAGTGGATTTCATGCTCTTTATTCAGCTCATAGTGGTAAGGAGGAATCGGAGTTTCCCCAAAGTATCTGCTTTATATACATTATTTACACAATGGGCTGCATGTGATTGGCTAATTCTGGAATTCTCCTGTAGGCCAATCAGGTTGTGGATTCACTTCCATCTGGAGCTGGATTGGGTGGCTCCTGCAGACCAATCATACTGCTGCATTGTTCTAGGGCCAATCAGACTGCTGCATTTTGGATCCCATTGTTCTAGGACCAATCAGACTGCTGCATTCTGAATCCTATTGTTCTAGGACCAATCATACTGCTGCATTTTGGATCCTATTGTTCTAGGACCAGACTGCTGCATTCTGGATCCTATTATTCTAGAACCAATCAGACTGCTGCATTTTGGATCCTATTGTTCTAGGACCAATCAGACCGGTGCATTTTGGATCCTATTCAACTTAGTACACAACAGGCAGCGTACAGTTTTAATAAATAAGAAGAGTGTTGTGTCCTCGCTACCTCTTTTCGATTGTAAGCTCCTTGAGGTCAGAGAACCGTCTCGGTTGCCTGTGCAGCTGTGTCAAGGGCAGCGGACACAAAACGGTGCCGTGACAGCTCAGAAGAACCGCTTCTGCGTTTTTATTGCTTGACATTTTTAAAAGGCGGTTTTCTACCATTGTCTCGTTCCTTCATTGCACTGCTTTGGCACCTTGCTTTTGGCCGAGAGGCAGGGCGCGAATTAATTAAGGTACTAATCGTCTCCCGATTCTTTTTGCTCCGAAGGAGAGCGGCCCATCACCGTCTCGCCGGACACCATCACTCTCAAAGAGGCAGAACCCATCACCTTGTTGCAGATTGAAGTAGGTTTTTGGCTTTTGGGAGGTCAGGGGTGTTGGGCAGGAAGGTGGGAGTGGATTTTTAAGGGTAGCGTTTTTGGTTCTGTAGAAACTCATCACCACCAGGCCCGGATCCGGATATTATGGCCTGCTTAGCAATAATCTCAAGATGACCTGCCACAAAGTTCCCATTTGCGCCTTCCTTTATTTTTGTTATTTCTGTCCGTGTTCTTGAATTCCAACCTGAACCCCCATTGTTCACCATTGGACAAATCTGTCCCAGGGATCTTTCCCAGAGGGGTTCAAATTTCTCTTTGAAAGAAGGAGTCTACACCACGATCAAGCATAAGCAGATTTATTGTTGGTCGACACAGTGCTTTGGGCAATGAACCCACCCCAGCTCCTGCTGGAAAGAGGGGGTTGCACATTCCAGTTCACATCACAGATCATTTCTACCCTAAGACCGTTCGAATATCCCTCCTACAATTCCTATTGGTTAAGAAATTGCGGTTAAGAAATTGGTTAAGAAATTGCGGTTTACAGGCTTCCCGATCCGCCCACGTGTACCCCCACCAATAACACAAATCCCATGTCCATTCAGATTAGCAGTTTTTACAATAGGGATGTGTTTTATAATATTCATGAAGCATTTGCAAGAGTACTAGTTCTTAAAGGGACGCGGGTGGCGCAGTGGGTTAAACCACAGAGCCTAGGACTTGCCGATCAGAAGGTCTGCGGTTCGAATCCCCGCGACGGGGTGAGCTCCCGTTGCTCGGTCCCTGCTCCTGCCAACCTAGCAGTTCGAAAGCATGTCAAAGTGCAAGTAGATAAATAGGTACCGCTCCAGCGGGAAGGTAAACGGCGTTTCCGTGCGCTGCTCTGGTTCGCCAGAAGCGGCTTAGTCCTGCTGGCCACATGACCCGGAGGCTGTACACCGGCTCCCTTGGCCAATAAAGCGAGATGAGCGCCACAACCCCAGAGTCGTCCGCGACTGGACTTAACGGTCAGGGGTCTCTGTACCTTTACCTTTACTAGTTCTTAAACTATCACCTGCTATTTCTCCTTGTTATCCCGGGTCGCCTCTAAACTATAAATCTATCCCTCTTTCAAGGCTAACAGTCTACTTCTAACACATTCTTAACTTAATTGTAATATTAGCCAGGAAAAGAGCCTCTTAGGGAGTCAAGATTGTGAGTCCCAACATTTGCTTTGTCTTGGCAACTCAGGTTGTAAGACATGCAGATAAACAGTTCTGCTAAGCGGCCCTCCTTGGGGCTCCTTTGAACCTCTTTCTTCACAGAATCAGTCTTAAGGCAGGCATGGTCATCCTCACCACGCCTTCCCTAAGAATAAAACTCATTTTCATTCATTTATTCCACATTCACCATTGAATTCAGTACTGAGCTGAGAGGGCCAAGTTTGTGGGTTTGATTCCTGTGCAGGACAGCTGCGTTGCAAGGGGTTGGACCAAATGAAACCTCCGTGCCCCTTCCAACTCTACGATTCAGTGGTTCCAAATACGTAAAAACCCATCCTTCAAAACTTATTTCCTGAGCACAAGAATACTCTACCTGCCATTAACAATGGCTATCTCATCAGGTGCTGAGGTGCCCTTTTAAAACTTGTTTTTTGCCTGGCCGGAATGTGTAACTCTGATGAGGCCTCTCGCTTGTCCGGATGAAGGGTAGCAGCCCAAAGGGTATGTCTCTAGAAACTAGCCGAAATTATATTCGCCGCTCCACCCACTTTCTCCCCAGGCCCTGCCCACCGCCACCATGTGGCCCCCAAAAGGTTGTCCGGCCCTCGATCAGAGCAGTGTTCCCACACGCCTGAGTTAGAGGGCGGCAGATACATAGCAGAGGCCGTGAGTCTGTTTCCACGAGACCTGTGTCGCCACCTTCCTTTTCCCACTGCCCGCAGGGCGAGCGAGATCTGCCTGAAATCACAGTCCAAGAAATCGACATGCTGATGGATCAAGGGGAGTTTCTGGTGTCCGGGGACGAGAAGCCTCGCCGGGTTTCCTCCAGAAAAAGACGAGCAGAAGAAGGTGAGCAGGCGAGGGAGAGGCCAGACTGATCTGATCTCTGTGTCTGTCCTCTTCCAAGGACACAATGCATTATAATCCGCAAACTGGGAAGGCCAGAGACCTGTCCGTCCTTAGGGATCGCCTCCTCCTCCTCTTCTAGTTGCCCCTTTCGCTCCCTGGGATCCACTGAGCTTGTGGCTCAGTGGCACAGCCCACAATTTGCAGGCAGGAGGGTTCGGTCCCTGAGTTTTATTGTGGCTGGTGCCCATTGGGTGGCATGCAGGGAGGCCAACAGTAGGGGGAGCCAGAGAGCCAACTGGTTCTTGGTTTTTGTCCCCATCGTCCTCCCTGCAGAGTTCTGCAAGGGGCGACTAAGTGACATGGACTGGTTGAACGAGGAGAAATGGTAGGGGGTCGGGGAGGGAAGAAGGCTCAGAGCCCGGGGAATGGTGGTGGGACGACGATGAGTGGTCAGAGGGAGCAGGAAGTGAAGAGGCAACAGGACTTTGTGAGTCTGTGATAGAGAGAAGTCCGGAATCAGAGGCAGAAGCTGAAGAAGGAGAATGAGATGAGGGAGGCCAAGAGACAGAGTCAGGCTGCTGAAGAAACAAGGGTGTCTCCTCTTCCTGCTCCCCTCCCCACTGGTCTCCCTCTCTCCCCCTGCCCCCAACTCCACCCCACCAGTTATGGAACATTTTCCTCCTGCTCCAGCAGACTCGCAGACACCCCAAGCGTTTCCCGGAAGCCTCTGTTATAAGAAAAAAATGCTCCTATATCCCTTACGGGGTATCCAAGAGAGTCCTTTGTAGGTTCTCTATCGGTAGGAGAAAATAACAGAGGCCAACCAGAGAACATTGAGAAGCAAAGCAGCTAGTAAGCCTGATCTTTCTTAAACTGTTGCAACAGGGTCCCCACTCACCACATGCAGGCAGGAAGGAGAGAACCCAGAACAATGGTGCGCAAGGCCTTATATAGACTTTTGAAATTGCCCACCCTGTAGCTCAAGACCACCACCCTAAAACATCATACGTACATCACAGGAGACGGGCTACAGCAGAAATCCTTTCTGGCAGGATACTGATAATGGTCACTTGATTGCTTTACCTGGGCAGCCTGGCCATTGCTTTTGAGATGCTAAATATTTTGTTCCTGAATCCAGGTCACAGGCTCACCCTTGTTGTTGTTTAGTCGTTTAGTCGTGTCTGACTCTTCGTGACCCCCTGGACCAGAGCACGCCAGGCCCTCCTGTCTTCCACTGCCTCCCGCAGTTTGGTCAAACTCATGCTGGTAGCTTCGAGAACACTGTCCCACCATCTCGTCCTCCGTCGTCCCCTTCTCCTTGTGCCCTCCATCTTTCCCAACATCAGGATCTTTTCCAGGGAGTCTTCTCTTCTCATGAGGTGGCCAAAGTCTTGGAGCCTCAGCTTCAGGATCTGTCCTTCCAGTGAGCACTCAGGGCTGATTTCCTTCAGAATGGAGAGGTTTGATCTTCTTGCAGTCCATGGGACTCTCCAGAGTCTCCCCCAACACCATTATTCAAAAGCATCAATTCTTCGGCGATCAGCCTTCTCACCCTATTCATGCACAAATACACCCTTAAGACAGGATTTGTGAGCAAAGAGACAACAGGGAGAATATTTGAGGTTACTGGAAGAGTCAAAATGGCTTCAGGATTGTTCTCATGTACTATTTCAGACACGTGGTTTATATACTTATGTATGTGCTTGCCTTGTACATTTATGAACGTCTATTATATATATCTATATATCTATATCTATATCTATATCTATATATATATGATCTTAGAATTCCTATAATACTCCATAGCCAAAGTTATGGGAAATAAATAGAAGGTGGCACTCACTGATTTTCCACCTCTGTGTTTGGCACTGCCAGATCCCAGAGGACGCCCCCCGCTGTTACAGCCTGCCGATTTCCCCCTTTGCTTCCCCTCTCCCTCTTTGGACCCAACAGGCCTCTCATCTCCACTTTTGCTTCTCTCCCCTTTCCCAGAGTCTGCTGAGGGAGTCAGAGAACAAGAGCTGTTGGTCTCCGTGGGGCTGTCGCCTCCCACAAGGTAAAGAGAGGGGTTTTGGGCTTCTGGATCTCAGATTCTGAGCTTCATGTTTGTGTCGGTGTGAAGAAGATGGACTGGGGCAGGCAGGTGGGGCACAGAGGTTTGTTGGAGGCAGAGGTACACGACCCTTATTTTTTGGCTAGAGCATCAAACTCTAGAGCATCATAAGACGGGGTGGAACAACTCCCATAGTGGGAGAAGATGCAACATTGTGGGGCTTTGGGTTTAGGAAAAAAGGGGCAGGGGAATTATAATTGTGCTCATTTGGTTATACAAACTTTACTATAATTATTTAGATCTGAACTCTGCCTTCAAGTTGGGCAAAATGGCAGAGTTGGAGAAGGGTGTTTAGCTTCTTACTTTTCTCTTTTCAATAGGTAACTCAAAGCAAATAAATAAAGAAATTGCAAGTGTGAAACTCCACAAAAGTAAACACTGAATAAAATTGGTTTGGAAGAAGGATCGCTGTATCCTGTTAAGGTCAAACAGGTTTGGCAGGCACATAGTCTTTTAAAAAAAACCTGCTGGAGCTGTTTGAGCAGAGGCAAAATTTGGAACGCAAGAAGGGTGTTTGCGTATGACAGGGATGGGTTCCAAACTCCCAGCATCCCTGATCATTGGCCATGTCATCTGTGGATAACAGGAATTAGTATTCCACCATATTAGCAATATCCCCAGACTAGGAGAAGTTTTTGTCTGCCTTCCTTAGCTCCATGCCCTGTATCTCATTGAAATCTAGTTTGCAGTCTCCTTGGGGCAATGACCTCCCCCCCCCTCAAACACTTCTCCCTCTGTAATGTATCATAGACATCACACATGACTACAGGCAACAATAAACACATCGGGGTCCTTCCTGTGGTGGCCCCTTGGATTCTAACAAAGGCCATTTCCCACAAGTCTTTGCAGTTTCCGCCACCATCAACCAAAAGGAAACTGGCCATATTTCTTGTTTCACAGAGTCGGGGAGGAGCCGCCTGCTGTGAGGGAAGCAGGAGAATCTCTGTTGACGGACAAGATCCAGCTCCCAGGAGAACCCCCTCTGCTGCCTTCGGGTTAGTGGGGCGCTGGGCACGGGAGGGAGCAGCGGGTGAAAGCTGGCCAAGAGCACAAGGACCCTGCCGGGCTAGACACAAAGGGGCGCTTACACGACACACAAGGCAAAAGGATCAGGGAGGGAAGAGGAAGAAGTCAAACTCAGGGACCAGTTCTTAGACCTTTGTTCTTAATCATGACCAGCTGGGGGCCAGAGGGGCCTGGTGTCTCAGCAAAGGGGATGCCTCCCCTATCTCTCCCGCCAAAGCCACTTGAGGGAATGGGGGGTGGGTCAATAGAGGGAGACGAGGCCAGAGAAATCTGATGGTTATCTGGCACCCTCTTCCCTCCTCTCCCTGCCCTTTTCTCTAACCGCCAACCCTTGCTGGTTCTGCTGCAGAGGCAACCCCCGTCCAAGAGGGAGCCAGGCTGCTGCCTTCTCCCCAACTGACCCCTCTCCGCCCCCAGCTGAAGCAACGCTCCCCTCCGAGCCCCAAGGTAAGAGGAAGGGAGGCAGGGAAAGAGGGCCAGCCTTTCAATTGAGAGCCGGGAGGGGGCCGGTACCCTGTTTCTCAGTGCAGAATGCCTCGGGTTCAAGCCCAGCATCTGAAACCCTGTCATCATCATCATCATCATCATCATTTATTTATACCCCGCCCATCTGGCTGAGTTTCCCCAGCCACTCTGGGCAGCTCCAAATCAAGTGTTCAAAACAAGATTTAAATATTAAAAACTTCCCTAAACAAGGCTGCCTTCAGATGTCTTTTAAAGAGAAGATAGCTGCTTATTTCCTTCACATCTGAAGGGAGGGCGCTCCACAGGGCGGGCGCCACCACCGAGAAGGCCCTCTGTCTGGTTCCCCGTAACCTCACTTCTCGCAATGAGGAAACCGCCAGAAGGCCCTCGGCGCTGGATCTCAGTGTCTGGGCTGGATGATGGAGGTGGAGACGCTCCTTCAGGTCTACTGGGCCTTTGAGGCCGTTTAGGGCTTTCAAGGTCAGCACCAACACCTTGAATTGTGCTCGGAAATGTACTGGGAGCCAGTGCAGATCTCTCAGGACCGGTGTTATGTGGTCCCGACGGCCGCTCCCAGTCACCAGTCTAGCTGCCGCATTCTGGATTAATTGTCAGTACGGACTGTACTGATCTGGGTGGACCAAGAAATATGACTTCACTATAAGCCAGCTTCCCCTACCTTCCCAACAGGTTTGTAATTTAGAAAAAGACTGCGGCTCAGCAGCAGAGCATCTCCCTCACGTGCAGAGGGGTTCTGGGTTCAAATCTCAGCCTCTCCAAGTTGGGCCGGGGAAAGGCTTCCTGCGCAGAGCCCCGGAGAGATGCTGCCAGCCAGTGTCTGCAATGCTGAGCCAAGTGGTCTGAGTCGGTCCAACTGGCAGCCGTTTGAGAGCCTGGGGAGTTTAGGAATGAGCCGCGGCAGAACATCCGGAAATTTCTCTTGTGCTTCCCCAGCTCCAGCTGGCCGCGTACGAGCCGTCCTTCCTGCAGCCCGGCAGGCGGCGGAGGCAGCTGCGCTTCCTGGATCCGGTGACCCAGATTTCCCGGGAAGATTTCCAGAAGCAGATCTTGGATCCGCAGGGACAGTGCCAGCCCCTGGTAGGTGTTGGAACTGGTGAGCGTTGGGGTGCCCACCAAGCTCCGGTTTTTTACATTTTTATTAATTTTTTAACATATTAATTCTAACATTCATACAACATAACTTCTCTTTTTTATATAAAAGGTCCCTTCCAGCTCTATAGCTCTGTGATTCTAGGCTACCTTTTTTAAAAAATCAGGTTTCTAGCCCTCAAGACTACAAAGACAGGCTTGCGAGTGTTAAGTCCCCGGGAAAAGTGTGGGGCTGAGAGGAGGAGGCTTGCAGTGGGCAGGAGGCCAGGTTACATGCCCCACAGAGCCCTTTGCCCCTCCCCACAATAAGCAGGGGGAAAGCAAGTTATGCAAAGCGAGGCTATGTATGCAAACTGGAGGCTTGGTGCAATAATAATAATAATAATAATAATAATAATTCAATAATTTCAATTTTTTATTAGTTTTTATTAGTTTTAACATAACCATTTCAAACATTAAAATACAAGCTTCTTTTGAACCTTCGGACCTCCTTCCCTCCCTCCATGGGTTTAAGATCAAATTTGCTGCACCTTTTACCATTATCCATCTGTTATATAACCGTAACGATGATCAATAATTCCGCATCACAGCAGTCGTGGCCAATCAGTGCTGGGCAGGGGCGGGGCTTCGCTGCTGCCAGGATGCAAAGCAGCATCTTGGCTTTGGCAGGCCACTCCTAATTGACTCCTGCCATGCCATTTCCTGCTTTCCTCTTCTCAGGAGACTCTGCTGCTCCCTCCAAAGAGGTTGAAGACTGCGGAGGAGCTCTTGGGAGCCCCAACTTACGGTGAGGACCCCTCCCTGCCCCATAGCTGTCAACTGTCCCTTATTTGGCGGGAAACTCCCTTATCCCAGCGCCGTGTCCCGCTGCTGTCCCTTATTGATGATGTCCCTTAGATTTCCCGGGTTTCAAAGGAAGCAGCTCCTCTCCCTCCCTCCGTGCTGGCCAGGGAGGAGGGAGGCTCCAACTGTGCTGCCTGGCTGCGTTGCTCACCCAATAAGAATGACTGGGGGGTGGAGCTTGCATGCCTTGTGCTGATCAAATCGGCCACGTTGCCTGGGGACTCGCCTTTGCTCAGCGCTTCCCAGCGGAGAGGTGACGGTGGTTTTCCTTGCTGCATCTCCTTTGCCGGGTTGCTGCGCTGTGGGAACCACCGCTTGAGGGTTCGTTTGGCTGCTGGTTGACTAAAATCCCTTATTTTGGCTGCTGTTCCCTTATTTTCGAGGCTGCTGGTCCCTTATTTTCAAATTTGTAAGTTGACAGCTATGCTCTGCCCCCATGATCCCCCTCCCCAGAGGGTCAGACCCAGGTGTGTTGCTGCTTCCTCGCCCGCTGGCTCAAAGGACAAAGCAGATTTTAACCCCGAAAGGTGAAAAACAGCGCAAAGAGGCTGGAGAAATTTTTTATCACTTGCCCTTTTTAGTAACAAATACCAGGACAGGCCCCCTATACAGTGGTACCTTGGTTCTCAAACTTAATCCGTTCCGGAAGTCCGTTCCAAAACCAAAGCGTTCCAAAACCAAGGCTCGCCTTCCCATAGAAAGTACAGTGGTACCTCGCGTTACATACGCTTCAGGTTACAGATTCCACTAACCCAGAAATATTACCTTGGGTTAAGAACTTTGCTTCAGGATGAGAACAGAAATCGTGTGGCGGCGGCAGCAGCAGCAGCAGGAGGCCCCATTAGCTAAAGTGGTGCTTCAGGTTAAGAACAGTTTCAGGTTAAGAACGGACCTCCGGAACGAATTAAGTACTTAACCCGAGGTACCACTGTAATGCAAACCGGATCGATCCGTTCCAGACTTTTAAAAACAACCCCTCAAACAGCGATTTAAACATGAATTTTACTATCTAACGAGACCATTGGTCCATAAAGTGAACACAATAAACAATGTACTGCAGTCACACAATCAATCAATCAATCAATCAGTAGCTGAACTGGGTTCCACATAGTAACGAAAACGAAAAGAGCCGCAAAAACAAAAATGCAAAATAAATAGCAAAACAGACAGACTTCAATGTAACACTCAAAACGGAGCACGTTCAGCTTCCGAGAAAAGTTTGCAAACCGGAACACTTACTTCCGGGTTTGCAGTGTTAGGGTTCCAGGTTGTTTGAGTTTTTGAGAACCAAGGTACCACTGTAGTTCTTGTCATCCCTGACCCATTAGCCAGGCTGGATGGGGCTGATGTGCATGGCTGCTGGGATGCCGCGCCCCCCCCCCCCCCGGCCCAGGCAGGAGGTGCGAGGTTTCGCCTGCTGTTTGCAGAAACTGGGAAAGGCTTTTCCACTGCCACCGACCCATTTATCTCTGCATAATAACATGAGACAGGCCCCTGCTTTCAGGCAGGATAGAGCCCCCTGCTGCACACCTCCCTTTCCACACAATCCCCCCCCCCCGAATTTTAACTGTTCCCTTCGCCCCCTCGTTTCCTGGTCCTAGGATGGATGCACCCCACCCTTCAGGGCCTCTGGGCCCGCTGCGCCAACCGCCAGCGCGTGGACTACGCCAGGAAGCAAGCAGCAGAGGAAACGCGGAGGAGGAGGGAGGAGGAGGAAGAAGTACAGAAGGCTGAGGTTCCCAGTGAGCTGGAGGTAAGGGGCTTGGGCTGCTGGAAACCCACAGGGCGTTTGATGGCAGTTGCAAAGCATTAAGACTCCCGACCAGAGATGAATGGCAGATCAAGTTGATGGATCATGGCAAAAATGGCCAGAAGAATCCGGAATCCGGAAGACCAACGTTTTAATACGGAATGGGGACAATTTATAATTTATCTTAGAAACCGTTGTAGACAGTTAAAATCAGGAGTCAGCAACCTTTTTCAGCAGGGGGCCAGTCCCCTGTTTCTCAGACCTTGTGGGGGGCCAGATTATATTGGGGGGGGGGAATGAACGAATTCCTATGCCCCACAAATAACCCAGAGATGCATTTTAAATAAAAGCACACATTCTACTTATGTAAAAACACGCTGATTCCCAGACCATCCGCAGGCCGGATTTAGAAGGCAATTGGGCCGGATCTGGCCCCCGGGCCTTAGTTTGCCTACCCATGGTTAAAATCGTTAGTAGGATTGGAGTAACTCTTGTCGTTTAATGGTGAATTTTGGATATAACGGAGATGTAAAAGATTTGGATTATTAGAAAAAGACGCAGGAGGAAATGACTCACAATAGGACCCACAAAGGGGAGGAGAGAAGTCCAGGAGATTCTTTGGAATCTTGTTTTTACGATGTATGCTGCTTATGAGGTTGTAAAATTTAAATTTGAAAAAGCGAATAAATAAATAAAAATTTAAAAAAGACTCAGCGGTTCCCAAATTTCTGTGGTCTGCCGCCCCCATTTTTCCATAAGCTCATCCCCAGTTGTGCCCTATAAAAAGCTTTATTCAGAATAGCATTAATAAGAATTCTAAGGTGTCGTAAATAAAAGGACTGTTCCTAAGTATACGAGATAGACACGCATGCATAATAAGAACATGGACCACATGTTTTAAATAGTAAAGGTAAAGGGACCCCTGACCATTAGATCCAGTCGTGGCAGACTCTGGGGTTGCTCATCTCACTTTATTGGCCGAGGGAGCCGGCATACAGCTTCCAGGTCATGTGGCCAGCAGGACTAAGGCGAACCAGAGCAGCGCATGGAAACACTGTTTACCTTCCCGCCGGAGCGGTACCTATTTATCTACTTGCACTTTGACGTGCGTTCGAACTGCTAGGTGGGCAGGAGCAGGGACCGAGCAACAGGAGCTCACCCCCTCGCGGGGATTCGAACCGCCGACCTTCTGATTGGCAAGTCCTAGGCTCTGTGGTTTAACCCACAGCGCCACCCGCGTCCCTGTTTTAAATAGTGCAGGAGACCAAACCTTGACTCTTAATGACTCCAAATATTTGTCTGCAGAAGGAAATATATTGGGGAAACCTCTGTCTCCCAGGAGCTCAGCCCCAATTTCCCCTCTTTTGCAGGAGCTTCGAGCAGCCGAAGAGCCAACCATCCCTCCTGTCGGCTCGTCAGGTGAGCAGGCGAGCAAAGACAGGTGCTTCCGCTCCCCTCCAGCTTTGAGGGCGGAGGCAAAACGGCGAGAAAAATAACCACGGGATTGTAGAGTTGGAAGGGGCACGAGGGTCATCTAGCCCAACCCCCTGCGACGCAGGGCTCCGACGGTGTCGAACTGGACAGGACAGCCAGATGCCCCAGTGAAGGGTGCAAATTCCTTTCTCCCCAGTCATCAGACGGATCACTTGTACAGAGGCGGAGTGGATCGGCCGCCGGATCCCATCAGCGTTTCTAAGCTCCTGGGCAGAGCGGTCTGAAGAAACCTGCTTTTAGCAGGTGCCCAAAAGGCTGCAACAGGGATGTCAGTAGGCAGGGAGTTCCAAAGGTACCCCCACACTCAAAGGCTGGCTCCTTGCAAACGCGAAACAGGTATTACGTGGCTGCCGGTTATCTCTTTCCATTTCCTCTTGCAGAGATTTCCCTCGAGACGACCGAAGAAGAATCTCGGCCGAGTTTTGTGGTAGCAGAGGAGAGGTGAGAGGCCTAGTTGTCCAATAAAAAAAAAGTTTTTGATTGAGTTTCCACTGGAATGAGGCTGCATTCTAATGTTTTAATGTTGTGGGTTTTTTTTACAATAATATTTATTATTTTCCATACATAAACATAACAAAAAAGAAAAGGTTGACAATAATAAAGGAAAAAGAATGAAACAGAAAAAAGAGAAAAAGAAAAAAGAATATAAAACATACAATACAACAAATCATCACTTGACTAACACTTAATTAATTAAGATCCATCTTCATAAGCATATTATTTGGCTTCCTCAAATCTCTTCCATCTGAATTTCTTAGTAATTATATATAGCAGCTTCCAATATCATTATTTCATAAACCATTTAATGTTGTATTTTAATCTTGTTTTTAAGCTGTATTTCAATCAATTGTTTTATATTTGGTGTTAGCTGCCCTGAGCCCGGTCTTGGCTGGGGAGGGTGGGGTATAAATAAAAATTATTATTATTATTATTCGCTTTCCTTCCCTGGGCAAATCTCTGCCTCCGTGGGGAAGGGGCGACCCTCTTCTCTTCCACTGCCCCCTTTCCTCTTCCCACAGGGTCCTCCTGGAACCAGAGGAAGCGGTGCTGCCCATTGTTCCTGAGCTCCCGGAAATAAGTTTTGAGCTGCCCTTGGACAAGAACATGATCACAGTGGACTACGTGCGAAGGTGAGGCCTCAAAGGCTGTTTCCTTCCTCTTTCCCAAGCAAAAAAAAAGGTAACGGGACCCCTGACCATTAAGTCCAGTCGCGGACGACTCTGGGTTGCGGTGCTCATCTCGCTTTATTATTCCAGGTCATGTGGCCAGCATGACTAAGCCACTTCTGGCGAACCAGAGCAGCGCACGGAAACACCATTTACCTTCCTGCTGGAGTGGTACCTATTTATCTACTTGCACTTTGACGTGCTTTCGAACTGCTAGGTTGGCAGGAGCAGGGACCGAGCAACAGGAGCTCACCCCGTGGCGGGGATTTGAACCGCCAATAGGTTGCTGTTATTTTCTCTTTGACACTGGAGGATTAGGGTTGACAGGTGAAAAGGCGGGAATGCCTGTGTGTGATATGTCTGTGAGTAAATGGTTTGGCAATGTACAGCTCCCATTTCCCTGGTAGCAGAAGTCATGCTTCCTCTTTCCTATTCTTGCAGGTTGATCGCTGCCAAACTAGAACAGGCCGGAGTCACAGAATTTGACCAGCTCTTGCCCCGGGCGGCTTCACGGGGTGTTGCCAGCCGGTTTTTCTTCACATGTTTGGGTAGGTAATGGGAATTCAATGTGTGTTTGTACAAGAGATGTGGCTGTCCTTTTTAAATAAAACTTTTTCTGGAGCGGGGAGGGCCAAGCGAAACACCAAAAAGGGAGTTTGTGGGGTGGGGGGAGGTCAGTTTCTCAAATGAAGAGTGTCTGGATATTTTGCTGTGTATTTCGGGTTTCCCTGCACCATAACATTTAAAGCCAGAATCATACCACTTTAAAGCGTCACGGCTTATCCCAGAGAATTCTGGGAACTGCAGTTTGTTAAGGGCGCAGAGATTTACCGTATTTTTCGCTCTATAAGACGCACCAGACCACAAGACGCACCTAGTTTCTGGAGGAGGAAAACAAGAAAAAAAATATTCTGAATCCCAGAAGCCAGAACAGCAAGAGGGATCGCTGCGCAGTGAAAGCAGCAATCCCTCTTGCTGTTCTGGCTTCTGAGATAGCTGCGCAGCCTGCATTCGCTCCATAAGATGCACACACATTTCCCCTTACTTTTTAGGAGGGAAAAAGTGAGTCTTATAGAGCAAAAAATACGGTATTAAAAGACTCCTATTCCCCTCAGAGAGCTGCACTTCCCAAAGTTCCCTGGGGAAAATAAAGGATTGACTGTTAAAACCACTACGGGTGGCAAACAGGTCGCCTAACAACTCTCAGCCAACGCTGGACTTGCAAGTTTCTGCAAGAGGGTCGAGAGCAGTTGCTTCCTTTGACAGAAGCGCTTTCTCTACTCCCAGCCCCCAACCTTATATATTTTCAAACTGGTGTGACGGTCCTGCCCTTGCAGGCATTTGGGTCTTAACTGGGGTGGCGGGTAGAGTCAGTCATATCGAGCCTTTGTTGGGTGTTCATCTTTTAGCTGAGCGAGGTAGGATTCGCCCCCTTCTTATTTTATTACTTCCAAGTAAATACAGTGGTACCTCTGGTTGCGAATGGGATCCGTTCCGGAGGCCCGTTCGCAACCTGAAAAGAACACAACCCGCATCTGCGCGGGTCGCAATTCGCCACTTCTGCGCATGCGTGTGACATCTTTTTGTGCGTCTGCGCATGCACGAGCAGCGAAACCCGGAAGTAACCCTTTCGGGTACTTCCGGGTCGCCGTGGGACGCAACCTGAAAATGCGCAACCCGAAGCAAATGTAACATGAGGTATGACTGTAATGTTCTTTTTGTATCTTCAATTGCCTTGGGAAATCTTGCGCTTAAGCGATGGAACAGAGGCGTAAATAAATTTATTCAGCAATAAATATGAACGAACGGCTGGAGGCAGCGGTGCTTGTGCGTACGTTTCTGGAAAACGCAGGAGGGGAAGGGAGTATGCGTTTTTGTGCGCAGATCTTGCTTGTGCCCAGATCCTGCCACTGTTACGCCGGACTCAATGGGCCATTGGACCTGATCCAGCAAGGCTCCTTTTACGTTCGTACGCAATAAAGAATAATGAGTTACCGCTCGACACCCACTTCTTTTCTTTTCCTCCGCTCCTCCCCAGTGCTGGCTGCAGTCCAGTTCGTACACCTGGAGCAAGCAGAACCGTACGGACAGATTGTCATTACACCTGGAGCCCGTTTCCACCAAGGCTAGCGAGACTCTTGTTCCTGCTACGGATCTGGCCCTGTGGAGGGTGCTGTTGGTGTCCCAACCTCTAGAAGCTGGAGAACGGCTTCCTTTGTCAAACAGTTGTACAGTTTTTTTAACGCCCCGGTTGCCAAAACCCTTGTTTTCCAATTGAATAAATCCATTGTGTTTTGGTTGGGTTTTCTTAACAAACAGCATTTAACGTGAAAATCATTATTTCAGTAAGCGGTAAGAGCGCAAGTGTCACGTTCTGGTCTCGGGTTCATCCCGGCATCTCCAGGTAAGGGGCGGAATTAACCCCTCCTGCACTCGGGTCCTGAATGCGGGTTTCTCACTGGGGCAGCTGAGTTGGCCACTCTGTGAACAGGATGGACTAGCCAGCCTCATCTAGCAGGCTCCTGAAGGCTTTATGGGGCTGTGGAATAGTTGGCGCAGGCATATTGACAGGATGGGGCAGGTTGCTTCTTGCTTGGAAAACTTTCTTCAGGGTGGGGGTCCGGTATTTGAAGCAAGGGGTTTTGGCCTGAGCTTGGAGACCCCGTTCTTACGATACCCTTAATAAGCATACCCACTCTCCAAGGGAAACACACTTGTTAGTTTCAACGTGTTTTTTTATTATAACATAACACAATATAATCTCTTCGTTCCAGAAAAATACCAAAACCCAGGTGGTTATATAATCTTAAATACAAACTAGATGGGGAAACAGCTGGTTCGATGGGTGCAGGAGCCCGGGTGAAAACCTACAGCAGCCTTGCGAAAATAAATTATCACAAAATCCTCTCAGAGACTGTTTGGGGGAAACACGAACTTTGGCAAACAAAATTCATTTGGAATAAGCCCCCCGCAAAGAACGGGAGGGAGGCGGCACTTAAAAGCGCTGAGAATCGCTCCCAACAGGGAAAGGGAGGCGGGACGAATTTGGCTCAAAAGACAGCCGCCCCCCTCGACAACCGTTGGAAAGAGATGAGAAACTCCGCGGGAGGAGGAAGTAAATAATAATCGGAAGGGGCTGTGTCTTGGCTTCCATTAATGGCAGGACTCGCATCAGCATATATCTGAGGAAAACTTAATACTGCTGAACTTTCAAGTGTGACCTGACCTGAAATCTTTGGCTTGGAGATCAAACAGAAAGTGGGTCTCTCAATGACTAAAACTCCCTCCCCACACCGCTCTTGTTTTCGCTTAGCTTTCAAAGAAAGATAAAATACACATTTCCTGGTGGTGGGAGGTTATAGCAACCGCAACAGGGACAGGCCGAACTCAAGCTCACATTCCCTCTTCCTGTAATGGTCGAGGAATGAGGGGTGGTTTTTTTTGCAGTTTACATGCTTATGACATGCCACACTGCTGGTGTTTTTGAGTGCCGCTGAAAGCACTCCTCAGCCCTCCAAAGTCCATCTCGAGGAAGAAGGGAAAACCATGTGGACTAGTGCCCCCGACTGCACCAATATCCTCTCTCCTTTCCTCCTTGCTGCCCTACTAAAAGGGGCTCCCGTAAAACACAGCCACCCCCCCCCCAATCCTGCTGGGCTCTTGTCTCGGCGCAAAACTGGCTACGACGGTTGCCCCTTGGCAAATGAAGCGTGCTGGTTGAGGGCGTCGTAACTGGGCAGCAAAAAAAGGCAAAAATTTGGCCGCAGGGACTTTGAGGCCCCCCAACGGATGGATCGAGCAACCGCTGCAGTCCCTGAAGGTGTTGGGCAGAGAGCCTCCCTTGGGGAAAGGCCGAGGAAGAAAAGAGGCTGGTGGGAGTTTGGGTGCTACATACTTCATGCCGCTGCTGATGCTGTGTGAAAAAAGGCTGACTGCCCGCCCCCCAAGACCCCCCCTCAGCACCAAGGGACGCGTGTGGCAAAAAACGAACAGCCGTCACAGGTAGGTGGCACGATGGTGAGGCGAGAGAAGCCTGACGAGAAACGGGGAATTGAAACCGCAGGGAGCGTCGCCTGGCGTCAACGGGCGGAGGGCAGGTCGGCCGCAAAAACTTGGAAGGGTTAGTCCATACAGAGCCAAGAAGGGTGTGCGGTGGGAGGTTTGGGGGTCGCCTCAAGCAAAGTCCCCTTCCGCTTTCACAAAGTTGGGAGCGCGGCCCCTCCTCAAACAGAGCTGACCGCCGCGTTGACCAAGGTAGCGGCTTCCGAAGGCAGCGAGCGCACCACCGCCTGGAACTCGGACGGGCATCGGGCGGAGAGATTGCGCAGCAGGGAGACCAGGGAGTTGCGGCCTTCTGAGCAACGAGAACACACACACAGAGGGAGAGAGCCGTTAAGCTGGCCGAGATGCAGCAGTGACGTATCGGACGCTGGGCAATACCTCGCTCAACCTTTCCGTTTCCCCCTAGCCGCCAGCCGGATGTTCGTGGGGCAGCAGGGGCTGTGGGGCCTAGTGACCGTTACAATCCCTGACGCACCCAGGTCCGAGGTCCGGCGCTCTAACCACTACGCCACGTTGCTGTTATCAGGAATAGTTATTGTTATGAGTTGAATTATCGTCAGGCGCCCTGGGCGGGTGTGAATACCACCCAGTGACCCCGAGAGCACCACATGCCACGTGGCACTGATCGCACAACGAAGTCGCGTTCTTCTGAACACCAACACCCTCTCCCAAAGTGGTTGGGCAGTAAAAATGGGCGGGGGGGGGGAAGGGGGAGAAGCTGGTGGGCAGCTGCCCAACCAAGAAGGCCCGCTGACCACCCAGAGCGCATACCTGAGGGGATGTTCTCCTTGGCCAGAACGCTGCCACTGACTCGCACAAGTTCGCCAATCTGCTGCAGGACCTGAAAGAGAAGAAGGCCTTCTCAGGGCCGCGGCAAATCCCCTTTTGTGTGTGGGAAGCAAAACACGGAACATGTGGGGATGTTGTGGATAGTAAGGTCAAGGGACCCCTGACTATTAGGTCCAGTTGTGGCCGACTCTGGGGTTGCGGCGCTCATCTCGCTTTATTGGCCGAGGGAGCCGGCGTACAGTTTCCGGGTCATGTGGCCAGCAGGACTAAGCCGCTTCTGGCAAACCAGAGCAGTGCACGGAAATGCCGTTTACCTTCCTGCCGGAGCGGTACCTATTTATCTACTTGCACTTTGACGTGCTTTCGAACTGCTAGGTTGGCAGGAGCAGGGACCGAGCAACGGGAGCTCACCCCGTCATGGGGAATCGAACCGCCGACCTTCTGATCAGCAAGTCCTAGGCTCTGTGGTTTAACCCACAGCGCCACCCGTGTCCCTTTTTAAAAGAAATAGCATCTCTCAGCTCCCCTCTTGTTACAGGGAAGCTTTGCTCGATCCGAATGAGCAGAAAATGGATGTCCGCCTGGGCGGGGGAAGAGACTTGCCGCCAACTCTGGTATTGGGCAAGGAAATGGGTACATGCAGCATGAACCGGGAGGGTGCCTTTTGCAGCCCTGCGCCAAGTCGCTTGTGCCACCTCTCCCGGCTGCTGGGTCTGGCACTCCAACTACAACACTAGAGACAAAGTTCTGCCAAAGCAGAGGGGTTCTTTTTGGGGGGGGAATCTCTCGGGTCGAAGCGATAGGTTGTGAGGGAGGGAGGGAGGTTGGGGGAACCTACCTGCTGGGGATCGTGCTCATATATAAAGTTGATGCAACAGAAAACCGTTTTGTATTCCTCCAAGTCGTCCTTCAGGGGGAGATTGTGGATCAGGACGGGGAAAATCTGTGGAAAGGGTGGGAAGAAACAAGGCGGGAGGGAAAGATGCTTGATGAAGGATCATCACAAAGTCCTTAATTGTAGGCCTTGCTGCTCCAAAACATCTGCAGGGCCCCAGGCTGGCAAAGGCTGTCCTATAGACTCTCAGCCAGAGTTGAAGAGCTGGGTATTTTACTCCGCTTTTGAAGCAGCACTGAAGTAAAAAGCGTGTCAACTTTTGCACCCATCCCTGGGTGCCGTGAGGTGGTTATACGGCCACAGATTTGACCATAGCCGCCTGACCCAAAGGGATTCTTCTGCGCAGAGAGAGAAGCAGCCCAGGGGTCGGAGCAAGGGTCCTCGATTGTGGTCAAAACATTGGAGGATGGATGGCGGCTAACAGATTGAGGTTGAATCCTGACAAGACAGAAGTACTGTTTTGGGGGGACAGGAGGCGGGCAGGTGTGGGGGACTCCCTGGTCCTGAATGGGGTAACTGTGCCCCTGAAGGACCAGGTGCGCAGCCTGGGAGTCATTCTGGACTCACCGCTGTCCATGGAGGCACAGGTCAATTCTGTGTCCAGGGCGGCTGTTTACCAGCTCCATCTGGTACGCAGGCTAACACCCTACCTGCCCGCAGACTGTCTCGCCAGAGTGGCGCATGCTCTGGTTATCTCCCGCTTGGACTACTGCAATGCACTCTATGTGGGGCTACCTTTGAAGGTGACCTGGAAACTACAAGTAATCCAGAACGTGGCAGCTAGACTGGGAGTGGCCACCGAGACCACATAACACTGGTCTTGAAAGACCTACATTGGCTCCCAGTACGTTTCCGAGCACAATTCAAAGTGTTGGCGCTGACCTTGAAAGCCCTAAATGGCCTTGGTCCAGTATATCTGAAGGAGCATCTCCACCCCCATCGTTCTGCCCGGACACTGAGGTCCAGCTCCGAGGGCCTTCTGGCGGTTCCCTCGCTGCGAGAAGCCAAGTTACAGGGAACCAGGCAGAGGGCCTTCTTGGTAGTGGCACCTGCCCTCTGGAATGCCCTCCCACCAGATGTCAAAGAGAACAAGACTTTTAAAAGACATCTGAAGGCAGCCCTGTTTAGGGAAGATTTTAATGTTTGATGTATTACAGTATTTTAATATTTTTTGGGAAGCCGCCCAGAGTGGCTGGGGAAGCCAAGCCAGATGGGCAGGGTATAAATAATAAATTATTATTATTATTGTTGCTGTTGCACTCCTTCGTTAACCGGGGTTGGAAAAAATGGTGACCACCCCCCTTCCCCACCGCTTGGCCAAGGGGATCGGACTCCCCACTTCACCCAGAAGCACGGGGAGTGGGAAAGTCTGCCCCTCTCCTCCCCCCTCCCCATATTCTGCTGGGGCAGTTAAAAAGAACGTGTTAAGATAATCTACTATTCAGAAAGGAAGGTAGCTAATGAACAAAACCCAGTGGTAAATAAAATGCTTCGCAGAGCAAAGGTTGCATGTTTAATCCCCAGCTGAAAACAACCGTAAAGAGTCAGGGCTGCTCCTGAGACCTTGGAAAGCTCCTGGGAATTCGAGTCAACAGCACTTTCCTCTCCCCTCCCCATTCCTTTTTCCTTTCATGACGTGCGCAGTAAATTGCAACGCCCGTGGACAGGGTTTGAATCTCTGTGCAACACACAGAAAATGTTAAGCACTTAACATAAATGCTAAGGATAATAAAATATTACTTTATTAAATAATAGTGATGATGATGACCGGAAATCAATCAACAGCCTGGGTTTCAGGATCAGGCAATTCTATAGGCTTAATGCCTAGGTTAGTTTGGATTTTTCTTATCAGAAATAAAAACCTCTTTTTTTTAATTAATAAAAGTTGATTTCCAAAACCCAATGGATAAGCAGAACGGCAAGTAGGTATTCCAGATCAACCAAGCCGGAATTAAAAAAGAAGTGGTGGCAAAGATTAACTGTTTCCAAAAGCATATACAGTGGTACCTCGGGTTACAGATGCTTCAGGTTACAGACTCCGCTAACCCGGAAATAGTGCTTCAGATTAAGAACTTTGCTTCAGGATGAGAACAGAAATCGTGCTCCGGCGGCACAGCGGCAGCAGGAGGCCCCATTAGCTAAAGTGGTGCTTCAGGTTAAGAACAGTTTCAGGTTAAGAACGGATCTCCGGAACGAATTAAGTACTTAACCCGAGGTACCACTGTACATGCTGAAGCTAGGTGCCTCCAATATTAAGGAGGTGGCAGAAGATTCCCGATCCGCACCTGCGCTATGGGGCCTTGCATACTGATCAGGATTCGCACTCGGCTCTCACCTGTCCGATGGGGACCCCTCCAGGATTGGCCATCACCATCCTTGCGACGGCCCCGCATACATTGTCGGCCACCCGGTTGTTACGCTCCTGAGAGATTATGTTGGACAAAAGCCCCAGGACCTTGGGGTAGTGTCTGTAGCAGAGCAAGCGAGGGGGTTAAGGAGAAAAAGGAAGAGTCGGGAGGGCGAGGAACTGGAGAGAGAGCGAGAAAGGCCAAAGGATTTTGCTGGATTCCCACCACCAGCACCGTTGAGTTATTATACACTGCTTAACTGCCAAAATGGCTTCCAATAAGCTTTAAATATATATAATCAATTCCTATACAAACGAAAACAAAACACAAGAAAACAATCTCACCGGAACATTGAAACGGTCGCAGTCAAGTTGTATAATAAAACAATACAGTGGTGCCCCGCAAGACGAATGCCTCGCAAGACGGAAAACCCGCTAGACGAAAGGGTTTTCCGTTTTGGAGGTGCTTCGCAAAACGAATTTCCTATGTGCTTGCTTCGCAAGACGAAAATGTCTTGCGAGTTCCTGCGGGGTTTTTTTCCTTCCCCCCCCCTTTTCCCAAGTCGCTAAGCCGCTTATCAGCTGATCGGCTAAGCCGCTTAACAGCTGATCCGCTAAGCCCGCTAAGCCGCTAATAGCGCTAATCCGCTAAACCGCTAATGGGCTTGCTTCGCAAGACGAAAAAACCCGCAAGACGAAGAGACTCGCGGAACGGATTCTTTTCGTCTTGCGAGGCACCACTGTAGTCAGGAGAAGGCTTGTCTAAACAGGTGGGTCTCATCGGGGAGAGACCAGGCCACAACTCTGGGGCCGTCCGTGGAAAACCTGGTCATGGATTCACTTGACCGGTTTGATCGACAGAATTGGCATTATGATGACGACCGGTGCCACATAATCCCCATTCCACATTTGTAAGAACTCGGTTGTTTAGTGTGGCAACGTCTGCACTTTGGAACTCCCTGCCGATTGAGATCAAGCTGGCGTTTTCGCTGCTTGACATTTTCGGCACCCTCTAAAAACATTCCTGTTTAAGACATGCCCACCCAGACGCTTTAAAATGTTGAGGCAAATTTAATCTGTTTCAGCATTTCAGCTTTTGCACGTTTCAAAGTAGGGTTCTGAATCTGCCTCAGTTTTGCCATTTTGTATTTTGTAGGCTGCTTTGAGGGTGGTTTTTAAATATATATATATACACACACACACACACACACACACACACCACCCTCAAAGCGGCCTACACTTATTTATATTTATACATTTATACTCTGCTGGATTATATATACATATATACACACACACACAATCTAGCAGTGTATAAATTCTATGAAATAAATGAATTAAGTGACTAAGTGATAACCCTATCCCTTTGGTGTTTTCACTTTGTATTTTCATGCTGTGATTTTCAGATGAAGGGCAATATACTAAATGAATGAATAAACCACAGGGATCTCGGCAGGCTGCTTTTCATTTTGATTATGCATACACAATTGATACATAATTTGTTTTTAATAGCTTAGTATTTAAGCAACGCATTGCCTTTCTCGTAGTCCCTGAGGGGGGCCTTTCACAACAACATGCTGGGAGATTAGATAGATCAGGCTTCCTCAAACTCGGCCCTCCAAATGTTTTGAGACTACAGTTCCCATCATCCCTGACCACTGGTCCTGTTAGCTAGGGATGATGGGAGTTGTAGTCCCAAAACATCTGGAGGGCCGAGGTTGAGGAAGCCTGAGATAGATGATAGATAGATAGATAGATAGATAGATGATAGATAGATATAGGCTGCTTTTCATTTTGATTAAGTGTACACAATTGGTATATAATTTGTTTTTAATAGCTTAGTATTTAAGCAACGCATTGCCTTTCTCATAGTCCCTGAGGGGGGCCTTTTACAACAACATGCTGGGAGATATAGATGATATATAGATATATGTGGGTGTTGGTGTCCCTTTTTTCGCCAGTACCTTGAGAAATCCGCTCTGATTCTGCCTTCAAGGTACAGGTGAAACTCGAAAAATTAGAGTATCATGGAAAGTTCATTTATTTCAGTAATTAAACTTAAAAGGTGAAACTAATATATGAGATAGACTCATGACATGCAGAGTGAGATATATCAAGCCTTTATTTGCTATAATTGTGATGATTATGGCATACAGCTGATGAAAACCCCAAATTATATCATGTATTAGTTTCACCTTTTAAGTTGAATTCCTGAAACAAATGAACTTTTCCACGATATTCTAATTTTTCGAGTTTCACCTGTGACACGATTCCAGATTCTGGCTCACTTCAGCCCAGGTTTCTATAAACGGCTTTTCTTCGTTTCTGTGGGGTATTGACGGAAGCTTCCGGAACGCGTGCGGACTCTTCCTTGGCGGGCCGCGCCGGGAACCCGATCCCGGCCCCCTCCACCTCACGGAGCAAAGGATACTCGTGCATGGCTTCCCCGCCGTGCTCCGCCAGCACGCCCAGCCCGAAGACGGCGTTGCTGCGCACCTCCCGGTTGGCGTCGCGCGCCGCCCCCATCAGCACCGGCAGGAGGCGCGGCACGAAGGCGCTCGAGGCGCGGCCCAGGCCTTGCACCGCCTCCGCCATGGTGCCCACTGCGAAGGACCTGTCTGTGGAGGAACAGCTGGGCTTCTGCGGGGAGGAGGAAGGGGGCAGGATGAAGCGGAAACGCAAAGATGAGGGAGAAATTCACAGGAAGGGAAAAGACCCCCTCCCCGCTCCACCGGAAAGCGTTACAAGGGGGCAAGCAGGGGGGTCAGATATGGCGGCACGGAAATACTTGAGCAAAGTAAAAAAAAACACCCCTGTGAGGTAGGGTGAGGCCCATGGCTGTCAAGGTTTTCCTTTTTTTGAAGGGAAATTCCCTTATTCCAAACATGATTCCTCGCAAGTAAAGGGAAAAGTTGACAGCTATGGTTAGGCCAGCCTTTCTCAACCTGTGGGTCCCCAGATGTTGAACTACAACTCCCATCACCCCTAACTAGCAAGGCCAGAGCTCAGGGATGATGGGAGTTGTAGTCCAACAACATCTGGGGGACCCACAGGTAGAGAACTGCTGGGTTAGGCCTAGACCAGGCATAGGCAACCTTTGGCCCTCCAGATGTGTTGGCCTACAACTCCCATGATCCTTAGCTAACAGGAACAGTGGCCAGGGATGATGGGAATTGTAGTCCAAAATCTCTGAAGGGCCGAAAGTTGCCTATGCCTGGCCTAGACACAGCGACAGGCCCAAGGCCCGAATTTTAAATTTTTCACTTTAAAGCTGAATAGCATGGCACAAATGCCCTTAAGTAGATAAATAAGGGCTGAGGTGTCCCGGGACCCGGGCTAAAGTAAATGGGAAGCCACAGGAAGTCCCGGAGAGGGAAGGGGGGCGTCACTCACCATCTTATTCAGGAGCAGGGGCAGGAAGCCGGCAAAGTACGGAGCGAAGGCTTCTCCGCCAGCCGCTTCGGCCAGAGCCGGGATCACCTCACCGGCGTACTCAATCAGCATGGAGTCATATTCCGCCTGGTTTTGGGAGGCAGAGGGAGAAAGGAGAGACACAGGGCAGGGAGAGGAGGAAGCAGAGATTTAGAAGGCGGGCTGCAACTCAGAGGGAGGGAATCTGCAATGCCTGTAAAAGGTCTTGAGTTCAAATCCTGCGGGCATCTGCAGGCAGGGCTGGGAGAGAAAGAGACGCCCGTCTGAAAACCTGGAGAGCCACTGCTGCCGTTCAGGTAGACAATGCTGAGCTAGGAGGACCAATGATTTGTCCCTATGCTACTGTTTACATCAGCTGCTGCTTCTGAACCACGAGGACTGCAATCTTAAAGACTACAAGGCCCACAGCTCAGTGGCAAGGCATCTACCTTGTGTTCTTGTAGAAAAGGAAAAAAGAGATAAAAAGAATTGAGCCGAGGTTCTCCGTCTTCCTCGCTTGCAGGCCGCGGAGCGGGTATCTTTTTCAAGGAGGAACTGATTGCTTTCAGACGAAGATTGGACAAGTATAATGATACAGTGGTCCCTTGGTTCTCAAACGCCTTGGTACTCAAACAACTTGGAACCCGAACACTGCAAACCCGGAAGTGTTCAGGTTTGCAAACTTTTTTTGGAAGCTGAACGGGCTCCAAAACTTCCGTTTTGAGTGTTACGCTGAGGTATATCTGTTTTTGCTATTTCTTTTGCCTTTTTGTTTTTGCGGCTCTTTTGTTTTTTTGTGTGTGTGACTGTGTGGAACCCAGTTCAGCTACTGACGGATTGACTGTGTGACTGCAGTACATTGTTTATTGCTTTCATTTTATGGGTCAACGGTCTCGTTAGATAGTAAAATTCATGTTAAATTGCCATTTTAGGGGTTGCTTTTAAAAGTCTGGAACGGATTAATCCGTTTGGATTACTTTCTATGGGAATGTACACTCTTGGTTTTGGAACGCTTTGGTTTTGGAACGGACTTCTGGAATGGATTAAGTTTGAGAACCAAAGTACTTGGAATGCATTTATTGAAACCATAAAGGCTAGTGAGGGAAATATATATCAGGCTGCCGTGTCTGTTCTCAGAAGCCCACAAATTACAAGGGGTTCTGGGGTCTGAGGCTGCTGATTGCTGGACTTACCACCTCGTCACAATCTTCATCCTCGTCTTCATCCAGACTGGGGTCCTGACAGACTGTCTGCAAAGGGAACACGAGGAAGAGAGCGTTTTTGAATAGGACTGCGGCATATACTGGCCTAAATGTGGCCTAGGACCCACGTACCTACAGGACCGCCTCTCCTGGTATGCCCTGCGGAGGACCTTAAGGTCCACAAATGACAACACCTTGGAGGTCCCAAGTCGCAAGGTGGTTAGATTGGTCTCAACTAGGGCCAGGGCCTTTTCAGTACTGGCCCCGACTTGGTGGAACGCTCTGTCACAAGAGACCAGGGCCCTGCGGGACTTGACATCTTTCCGCAGGGCCTGCAAGACGGAGCTGTTCCGCCTGGCCTTTGGTTTGGACTCAGTCTGACCCTTCTGTTTCCCTCCCCTTCGGGTTTTGATCTATGGGCTACTTTTAAAATGAGGCTGCATTTTAAATTGCATTTTAACCTGTATTTTAAAATGGTCCCCCCCCAATGTTTTTACTGTAATTTAACTGGTGTTAGCCGCCCTGAGCCTGGCTCTGGCCAGGGAGGGCGGGGTATAAATAAAAATTATTATTATTATTATTATTATTATTATTATTAAATACTCCTCCAACAAAAAAGCCCCACTTCTACCCCATTTGTGTATGTCCCACCACTTCCCAAAAATGCACTGCACTAGTTTGTAATTTTATATACAGTAGTACCTCGGGTTAAGAACTTAATTCGTTCTGGAGGTCTGTTCTTAACCTGAAACTGTTCTTAACCTGAAGCACCGCTTTAGCTAATGGGGCCTCCTGCTGCTTCTGTGCTGCCGCTGCACGATTTCTGTTCTCATCCTGAACCCGAGGTAATATTTCTGGGTCGGTAACCTGAAGCGCCTGTAACCTGAAGCATATGTAACCCAAGGTACCACTGTACTCATATAAAGCTTTTTTGGGGGTGCCCCTCGCCCTGACGCTTCCCACCCCCTCTGTGAAGCTGAATCTGGCAGGAGCTGCCAGATTCACAGTCTGGTCAGCGGAAGTCACCGAGGGCAAGCTTGAGTGATGGAAAAGACTGGCCCCCAAGAGGGGAAAAAGAAGAAGAAGAAGAAGAGTTTGGATTTGATATCCCGCCTTTCACTCCCTTTAAGGAGTCTCAAAGCGGCTAACAATCTCCTTTCCCTTCCTCCCCCACAACAAACACTCTGTGAGGTGAGTGGGGCTGAGAGACTTCAGAGAAGTGTGACTGGCCCAAGGTCACCCAGCAGCTGCATGTGGAGGAGCGGGGAATCGAACCCGGTTCCCCAGATTACGAGTCCACCACTCTTAACCACTACACCATACTGGCTCTGTAGAGCCCTGCAGAAATCTCTGCCCCAGCCTTCGCCAACCTGGAGAACTCACAGGTATTTTGGACCACAGCTCCCCTCCCGCCTCCCCACCTGAAGACTCACTTTTTTCTCCAGGACCTCCCGGATGACCTGGCACAGGTCCGTCAGCTGCCCGGGTGTGCGGAGGGCCTCTTGCCGGCAGGTCTTCAGCACCCTCGCCAGGCTCTCCAAAATCTCCATCACCACCTGGCGCTCCTTGTCTTCCCGGATCCCTTTGATGTAAGCAGGCAGCACGGTGCACAGCAGCTGGAGGCGAGCTGCGGAAGGAAGAAGAAGAAGAGGAGGAGGAGGAGAAGGAGGAGGAGGAGAGTTTGAATTTGATATCCCGCTTTATCACTACCCTAAAGGTAAAGGGACCCCTGACCATTAGGTCCAGTCATGACCGACTCTGGGGTTGCGGCGCTCATCTTGCTTTATTGGCTGAGGGAGCCGGCGTACAGCTTCCGGGTCATGTGGCCAGCATGACTAAGCCGCTTCTGGCGAACCAGAGCAGCGCATTGAAACGCCGTTTACCTTCCCGCCGGAGCAGTACCTATTGATCTACTTGCACTTTGACGTGCTTTCGAACTGCTAGGTTGGCAGGAGCAGGGACCGAGCAACGGGAGCTCACCCCGTCACGGGGTGACCGTCTGATCAGCAAATCCTAGGCTCTGTGGTTTAACCCACAGCGCCACCCGCGTCCCATCACTACCCTAAGGAGTCTCAAAGCGGCTAACAAGCTTCTTTCCCTTCCTCCCCCATAACAAACACTCTGTGAGGTGAGTGGGGCTGAGAGACTTCAGAGAAGTGTGAATGGCCCAAGGTCACCCAGCAGCTGCATGTGGAGGAGCGGGGAATCGAACCAGATTACGAGTCCACCACTCTGAACCACTACACCACACTGTTCTCACGAGGACTAAGAGGGGCTGGATCCAGCGTCCTGGCCCCACCAGATGCCCCGCCTAAAAGGAGGGCATGAACGCAGTGGTGTTTTTAGAAGCAGACGGGCCAGAGATTGGTTGGCGGAGCAGAAGGCACCAGATTTGATTCCCCACGGCAACTTCAGGTAAAAAGATTCCCTGCCTGAAATCCTGGCAGTCGGTGCAGACAAGATGGTCTGACTTCATAGACAACAGCTTCCTACGTTACTGTTTACGCCAGCCCTTCTCCAGTTCCAAGAAGACTAGAATCTTGTTTTACTCTTAGCTCAATGGCAGGGCCCGGGTTCAGTCCCCGATGGCACCTTCACGTACGGCAGGGAAAGATGCCGGGTCGAATATCCGGACAACTGCGGCAGCCAGTCAGGGTAGGCGAGACAAGATGGACTTGTTATAATAAAATTCCGGGGTTGGCTTTTACAGCCCAGCTCCCCAGCAAGGGACTCCCAAGCCCATTAAGGGTCAGAGGAGAATGGATGGAGGCAGGATCCAGCAAAAAGCAAGGCAGGTCTTTATTTCCCTGTTGCCACGGAGTTCCCTCCCCGCTTGCAAGGACGACAGGACCCAGAACAAAGGTGTGCAAAGACTTCAGAAATTGCCCAGCCCAAAGACCACCAAAAAGCACCGTACAACCGTCACAGTAAGAGGCAGAAATTTGAGTGTGTGGCTTGTCTCCTGTCTGCCAAGATACCTGATAATATTTGCCGGTTGCCTTATCTTGGCCAGTTTGGGCCATTCTTTTGAGATGGCAATAATTTTGGTTCATGAATCCATTTCACAGATCAGCCTCATTCATACATAAAAGCTGCTCTTTTGACTCGCATTGAAGGATAGTTGCTGGACAGTGGCCCATTCACTTCAGTAAATTTCTCTGTTTACAGGATTTATAAGCGAAAAGAAAGGTTTTTCAAAGACACTTCCTTCTATTGCAGAGAAAATTAAGAGAGCCAAGGTGGCTTTGGGATTGCTCTGTGAGCTCAAATCAAGTGATCCCCACCCCCTCCGGAATATTTTCTACCGTATTTTTCCCTATATAAAACGCACCAGACAAGACACACCTAGTTTTTGGAGGAGGAAAACAAGAAAAAAAATATTCTGAATCTCAGAAGCCAGAACAACAAGAGGGATTGCTGTGAAGTGAAAGCAGCAATCCCTCTTGCTGTTCTGGCTTCTGGGATAGCTGTGCAGCCTGCATTCGCTCCATAAGATGCACACACATTTCCCCTTACTTTTTAGGAGGGGAAAAGTGAGTCGTACAGAGCAAAAAATACGGCAATTTTTGAAGGGTGAAAGGTTGGTTTTCTGGAGAGTGTGTGCTCCTATGTGTGTGCACCTTGAAATTTGTTACAGTGGTACCTCGGGTTACATACGCTTCAGGTTACAGACTCCGCTAACCCAGAAATAGTGTTTCAGGTTAAGAACTTTGCTTCAGGATAAGAACAGAAATCGGGCTCTGGCGGCACGGTGGCAGCGGGAGGCCCCATTAGCTAACGTGGTGCTTCAGGTTAAGAACAGTTTCAGGTTAAGAACGGACCTCCGGAACAAATTAAGTACTTAACCCGTGGTACCACTGTATAACAGATCAACAGTTGCACGTGGCAACTTCCTGTGCTGCTGCAAACCTTCCAAGCTATATATTGTCCGTCTGAGCCTTCTGCAGTTTGTGTCCCACCCCTAATTTGCGGGCTCCTCTGCTCCTTTTGCTAAGGTAGGTTCTTCCTGCGTCAAAGTCGTGCTTCAAGGTCATTCTTGGACCAACGCAGTTAAAAAACAAACACACCATCCCTGAGGTCACTCACCGGCGCTGTGAGGTTCGGACGGATCCCGCTCGCAAACCCGGTGTAAGGAGATGCAGAAATGTCCCAGGGTGTTGAAAGCAGATTTCCGGACGTTGATGTTGGGATGCTGGGAAGAGAAGGAGGAGTCAGGCCTTTTGCTGTGGCCCTTACATCCGCTTTGCTACCACTAACAAAGAAAACGTCCTGCACAGCTGAGGACCAGGCTACCCGAGAGACGGCATCCATCCCTTACAGACCCTTTCTCCTTAAAGCCCCCCCAAATATCAGAAGCCCGTGCCACAGTTAACACAGAGCAGGGCCTCCAGGGTGGCAGCCCCCGTTCTGCACCATACCATCCCTACTGAGATACGACAGGCGCCCCCTAGCGGCACTGTCCGGAAGCAACTGTGCGCATTTTTGGTTCAAGCTGGAGTAAAATGTTATCCACCGTTGCTGCTCTCGTTCTGTATTGCTTTTGAACCGCTCTTAAGCTGTGGAGCTTTTTGAGGTACTGTTTATCAACCCCGTTTCAGCTGTAAATCATCCTGTGATGAGTGCAGAGGGTCATACATCCGTGAAGAATTATAACCACCCACTTGCACTTATTCCAGGTCCCTAAATTTAGGGCTGCCATACGTCTGAACGTATCCGGGATTCGTCTGCCAGAAATAGTGTCCAAGCAGAATTTTTCGAAATCAGTTCAAACGTCTTGGAAAATCTGACAGTTGGAAGATGATTTTTTGGCGAATTTCCTAAAAAATATATGAAGTATAATGCCCAGATCAAGGGAAGTAATAAAGGTAAAGGGACCCCTGACCATTAGGTCCAGTCATGACCAACTCTGGGGTTGCGGCGCTCATCTCGCTTTATTGGCCGAGGGAGCCGGCGTACAGCTTCCGGGTCATGTGGCCTGCATGACTAAGCCGCTTCTGGTAAACCAGAGCAGCGCACGGAAACGCCGTTTACCTTCCCGCTGGAGCGGTACCTATTTATCTACTTGCACTTTGACGTGCTTTGAACTGCTAGGTTGGCAGGAGCAGGGACCGAGGAACGGGAACTCACCCCGTCGCGGGGATTCGAACCGCCAACCTTCTGATCGGCAAGTCCTAGGCTCTGTGGTTTAACCCACAGCGCCACCCGCTGGGAAGTAATAGTCTCACTCTATTCTGCCTTGGCCAGACCACACCTGGAATACTGTGTCCAGTTCTGGGCGCAGTTCTGGGCGCAGGAGAATATTGACAAGCTGGCAGGTGTGAAGGAGGGCAACCAAGATGATCAAAGGTCTGGAAACCAAGCCTGATGAGGAACGGTTGAGGCAGCTGGGTAAGAGGAGGCTGAGAAGGAGATATGATCGCCACATGGAAGCTTCAGCCAGCTTGTTTTCTCCCGCTCCAAATGATGGATTCAAGTTGCCGGAAAGGAATTCCGACTCAACATCAGAAAGAACTTTCTGACAGCAAGAGCTGTTTATCACTGCCTGATTCAGTATAACGGAGCTTCTGTAAGGGACTGCTGCCCTACAGGTGTCCAGAAAACATCTCTCCCCTCTTTCCAGGTCCAAGCCTCTCCTTTCCCCCGCCAAAGTTTGCCCCCTGCTCCACTTTCCCCGAACATACTCCCCCCCCGGCCCCCCCATTACCTCCAAGAGCACAAAGACTTCCTGGAAGCATTTTTCCAAGAAAGGCAGGAAGACCACGCTGAGATGGAGACAAAAAGAGTTAAGTTAAGTTTTGTTGGCAGGGACATCCCAAATGCCTTTGGGGAGGTATTCTTATATGCAACGGCTGCAGCTCGGACTTTGGTGGCAAAGGGGTGGAAGGAAGAAGAAGTTCCGACAATAATGGATTGGCATAACAAGCTACAAGAATTTGCTGAAATGGCGCAGTTGACAAATAGCCTGAGAGGCAATTCAAAACAAAATATTATGGGAAAGTGGGATAGATAGAATATATATGTTCAAAAATACAGTCAAGGTTTGCTATCTATGCTAGCATTCGATTGACGCTGGAGAGAGACTGAGTTGAGAAATAAGACCAAGGGTACATATTGATATAGGGATGTATTACATAAAATGTAAAGAAATATACAATAATAAGAGTACATTCATTTGTAAAAAAGGAATATACAACGGGATGGACAGGAAGTCCAAAGCGTTGGTATATATATCATTTTGGAATAGTTTTTTGTCCTTGTTTCTTTTCTTTAGGTATATAAACTTTGTATACATGCTGAAAATTATAATAAGCCTTGTGATATAATATAATGTTTACCAATGTAACATAAGAATGTTAATAAATAAATAAAACTCAAAAAAAAAAAAGAGATGGAGACAAAAAGAAAGTGGGGGAAAAGGTTAGTGTGAGATCTAAGCTCTCGTCTCTACTTGGGGAGAGCTCTGGGGTGGGGAATATCTGCCTCACCGGACGATGCCGCTGGACTCCGATTCCCATCAGCCCAGTCACAAGGGTCAAAGGGCAGGAGCCAGGTAGACACAGTGCCTTGCCCTGCGCTGAAGGACCTGCGCTCATGTGAGGATACGAGGATACTTGACGGAGCACCCTTCCCTGTGCAGACCCCTCTAATCCCACTGCCGTCACATAAGCAAAATCAGATTTATTTTTTTTGGACGCCCGAGGACACCAACTGGGATCTGCTCCAAACATCTACTGAACACACTTCTGTTTGTCAACACAAGCCAGTTTCAGATCGCCCTGCTGTGTGTTTTCCTCTTGATATTTTGTTGGGCTGGATATAATAATAATAATAATAATAATAATAATAACATTTTTTTTATTTATTTATACATACATACATACATACCCCGCTCATCTGGCTGAGTTTCCCCAGCCACTCTGGGCGGCTTCCAATCAAGTATTAAAAACAATACAGCATTAAATATTAAAAACTTCCTAAACACTACACTTCCCTATAAAATCTTAAAATCTCCATATAAAATCTTTTTAAGGGGTGGGTGTCCCTGCTGCTCCCCCTCCTCCCACCAACTGCCCCTAAGGGGCGCTTCAGGTTTTTAAAGAGCAGAAGCTTCTCCTCTTGTCACCAATTCCTGAGAAGGGTCTGTATACCCCAAGGTCTGTTACCGATGGGTCAGTCACACTGGTGGTCTCCAAACCACTCCAGCACAAAATGAGTCTCTCTCTCTCTCTCTCTCACACACACACACACACGGTCATACCTTGCTCCGGTGGCAATCTCTCCCAGAGCCACACAGGCGTCATCCTTTTCATCCATGAAGGCGCTTTCCACGTTCAACCTGCAAGAGAACCGGAAGCGGGGGGGGGGGGGGAGAGGAAATTTGGGATTAGCCTCCTCACAAACAACAAACTCAGATATTCAAGTCCCAAGACAGAATCTCACGCCTAGAGCATTCTCCAAGGCCTAAATTATACTTAATTACAGTGGTACCTCGGGTAACAGATGCTTCAGCTTACAGACTCCGCTAAGCCAGAAATAGTACCTCGGGTTAAGAACTTTGCTTCAGGATGAGAACAGAAATTGTGTGGTGGCGGCAGCGGGAGGCCCCATTAGCTAAAGTGGTACCTCAGGTTAAGAACAGTTTCAGGTTAAAAACGGACCTCCGGAACGAATTAAGTTCTTAACCTGAGGTACCACTGTACTTACATCCTGCCCTCAGTCTCGCCAGACATCCTGGTGGTGGGCAGCAATGTAAAAACCTCTCAAAGAAATGCTAAACAATAGCTAAAATGAACTGGCTGCTCAAGAAGAAATGTCAGCTGCGTAGGCCTGTTGGCGTAAAAACGTTCTCAAGAGACGCCTGGGAGTCAAAAGCAAGGGCAGCCTGCCAAATCTCTGCTGAAAGAGCTCTCCACAGCATGGGAGTAGAGACACTAAATGCTTGACTTTTGGTTGAGGACAACTAACAGTGCTCCTCCGGATGATTTCAGCAATCCGGCTGGGATATAAGGGGCTCAGGTGGCTTTTAAGGAGCCTGGGACCCATTCTGAAGGGGATCAACCTGAATTTGAGGTGCCCCATTTTATAGATTGTTTTTTGGGGGGCTCACATGTTGGGTTGAGCCTCCATACAATAAAAGCTCCCGAATAAATAAAACCCACTGCATACGCAAAATCAGTGTCAGGAGAAAGGTTGCTACACAATCTTGGGGAGAGTGAGACCAAGCAGACAAGCACCGCCGGCGACTTCAGAGATGGCCTCTCAAAGTTACGAATTTCTCAGCTTTTACGCCTAAATCCATCTCTCCAGGGCCATAAATCTCCCAAATCAAATTCCATCAGTCTTCAGAGAGCTAACATCTACATCAAGGGTTTTTCAAAAAAAAAAAAAATGCCACCAAAATGGCCTTTTAAAAAACTTCCACCTTTGCTTATTTAAAGAGTTAAGTTTCCAGTCCACATGGATGCCAAGGAAGGATTCTGAAACACGAAGGGCTCATCCTGCGGCCTGCTACAGGCTATGAAACCAGAGGGTTTTTGTTTTTCTGAGGGAGGATCGTTTAAATATGGCTTTGTGCCTCTCACCTGGAACATCCCCTCCCAAAACAAGGGAGATGCCGGCCTTCCTAAAATCCCTCCCACAATGGTCACCTACCCCGAAAGCTCAGAGTTGTCGTCTTCGTCTTCGTCCAGGCTCTCCTCTCCTTCCACCTCCGCCTCGTCCTCTTCCTCATCGTCAAACAGGAGGAAGGAGTTTCCAGTTCCACCGTGAGACTGGGCAGAGCAGACGACAAATGCAGGAGAGGCGAGGAGGCGATTAGGAGACACAAGAGGCGTCATTTTAAGATGCGGGAGAATATGAACTGTCTTGCAATGCTCATCGTTCGACTCTGCAGCCACCCAGGAGCTCAGGAAGCCCAGAAAAGCTAGAAAACTAGGCAGCTGCAGCCGCCGCGATACTGAGCGTCACAAACCTCTCTGCTTACAGGTCACAGCACTGAGGTCTCAAAGTTTACAGCTTCTCTCTCTTGCACACAACACAGGTCATTTGTGCCCCTTGGGACCGGTGGGGTGGAAAGCAGGGAGACAAAGGGCAGGGGACGCAAGAAGGTAGATTGGTGGGGCAGGGGAATAAGCCAGGATCATTGGAGAAGTGGTCCATTTGCCCCAACAGACCAGTTTCCAATGCCTCCCCTGCCCCCAGGAATATGGACACATTTAGGTTTTAAGCATGCAAACATTTAATGAGCCAGCAAGGCAGTAATGTGTATTAATAATGCATATTGGGACCATTTTATAGCATTGAAGCAATGGGCAGTGGACGTGGGTGGCGCTGTGGGTTAAACCACAGAGCCTAGAACTTGCCGATCAGAAGGTCGGCAATTTGAATCCCCGCGACGGGGTGAGCTCCTGTTGCTCGGTCCCTGCTCCTGCCAACCTAGCAGTTCGAAAGCACCTCAAAGTGCAAGTAGATAAATAGGTACCACTCCGGCGGGAAGGTAAACGGCGTTTCCGTGCGCTGCTCTGGTTCGCCAGAAGCGGCTTAGTCATGCTGGCCACATGACCCGGAAGCTGTACACCGGCTCCCTCGGCCAATAAAGCGAGATGAGCGCCGCAGAGACGTCCGAGACTGGACCTAATGGTCAGGGGCCCCTTTACCTTTACCTAGCAATGGGCAAAGTGGCGTTATACCCTTTAAATTTGTTTGAAGCCTATTGTTACGACTTTAAAAAAATAAATAAAAATGGGGTGGGGTGGGGGGAGTATACACTGACTTCTGATGACAGGAGTCTCAGCCCACGAAAGCAGATGCCAAAATGCTCACCTCAACGCCCTCTGTGGATTTGAGAGAATAGATCATAAGAGTGGTGATGCGAGGCAGGTACGGCTCAATGGCGTCCTCCAGGACGGTCGCGAGAGACCCAAAAAGGCTGTACCTGGCGCAAGAAAGGATTCTTTTGAGCTCCTGTGTGTCTCACTGGCCTCCATTTTAAAACAGGTTGAGGTGGCAGATGCGAAGCTTGCCTCTCTTGGCCAGAAACCCCAAAATTCACGAGAGTGGTTTGTTTTTTTGCCAGCCTCCCAGATATTTTTACGACGACTCCAATCATCCCCCAACATCCCAAGGGCGTATGATCAATAGTGGCAGAGAGGCTTCTTCCAAGAGGAGATAAATGCATCTATAACTCAAGAGTCACCAGCTGTGTTGGTTGGGGGATGATAGGAGTTGTAGTCCCAAACATCTGAGGCGAAGGCCGGCTTGTGCCATTTATCACATAACCCTGGCTCTCGTGGCCTTCCCACGTGGCTGGGGAAACCCAGCCAAATGGGCGGGGTACAAATAATAAAATTCTTCTTCTTCTTCCCCAACTTTCATTCTCACTTTAACCATTTAAGCCTCAACTTTTTGCCTGTTCCCCTCAGAGAACTACAATTCCCAGAGTGGTTCAGCCATCAATCCCTTTTCGCAGGGAACTCTGGGAAATGTAGTTGTGCGAGGAGAACGGGGCGCAGGAATCTCCTAGCAACTCTCAGCACCCTTGGCAAACTACAGCTCCCAGAATTCTTGGGGAGGGCAGCCATGATATAATCTTGCTTTAAACGTATGAGGTGGAGGTGGCCCAGATTACATCTTCTGCAATGCTGGATTCGTTCCATGCTTGCTAAACCGCCTGTTTTTGCTTTCCTTCGCATTCCTCGATCCGCTTTGTAAACTGCTTCTTTGCCCTCCGCCCTTCAAAGTTTTGCACTTTGATAAGAAGCGGGCGTCTGTCAGCGATGCTCTGGCTGCCTCTCGTTGTGGAAAGGCAGCAGATAAATAAATCTGAATTCAACTCTCAAGCAACGGGCCCCTTCCCCAAAAACCTTCCACTACAAATCTCCGCCAAGGTCAGCTGCGAGGAGGATGCTGGGTCCTAACGTTCCCATCGGGAGCGGACGCCGCCCGGTTTGACTTACGTGCACCGCCTCAAGTCCGGATCGTCCACTTTGTCGCAGAGCTCCAGCCCTAGCTGGCAGCATTTGTTGGCCAGCGGCAGAAAGACCTCCCTGTCCATGACGCTGGCGAGGACGGCCAGAGTCTCTGCGGGGGAAGCAGAGGGCGAGGCGTGAGCAGCAGAGGCTTCTGGGAAATGGCGGCGTTCCCCACCTGCTCCGCATTCCCCCGTTAATAGCAATTCTAGCGATTTATACCCAACCCTGTGCCTGCTGACCGTCGAGGCGGCGTTCGTGAGGAAAACTAAATTACCCAGCTATTCCAAGTGGGCGCTTTGACAGGTTTGCCATCTTGACTCTCAAGGCAGGCTTTGTTATTTTTAGCAGCTGTGTCGTAACAACCCGAAATTCAACCGGGAAGGCTTTCTGAAGGCAGCCCTGTTTAGGGAAGTTTTTAATGTTTAACAGAGCACTGTATTTTAATACTTTGTTGGAAGCCGCCCACGGTGGCTGGGGAGACCCAGCCAGATGGGCGGGGTATAAATAAATTTATTATTATTATTATTATTATTATTTCCTTGGAAGGAAGCTCTGCCTGTTGAATTTCCGTATCACATAGCTGCTTAAGAAACCCTGTTGAGGGCGATTTCAAATGCTCAGAGGAGACCTTAGAAACGAGCCAGCAATTAAATGGAGCTTTAAAACGCCCCCTTCTTGGGCAAAGAGAATGAGCACAGATTTGTAGAGTCGGAAGGGACCCCCAGGGATCATCGAGTCCAACCCCCGGCAACGAGGGAATCTTTCCCCTGAAGTGAAGCTCAAACCCAAGCCCAAGCCTCGGGCTCTATTGACTGAGCTAAACCTGCACAGAAACAGACCCTTGCTTATTTTTCTTTCCCTTCATGATCCCTAAAGTGAGTTGGCTCAGAAGCCAGTCACAACGAGTTCAACAGGACCGCAAAGTGTGACCAGCTCAAAATTGCAACGGCAAACCTAGACAGCATCTTAAAAAGCAGAGACATCACCTTGCCAACAAAGGTCCGTATAGTTAAAGCTCTGGTTTTCCCAGTAGTGATGTATGGAAGTGAGAACTGGACCATAAAGAAGGCTGATCACCGAAGAATGGATGCTTTTGAATTATGGTGCTGGAGGAGACTCTTGAGAGTCCCATGGACTGCAAGAAGATCAAACCTCTCCATTCTGAAGGAAATCAGCCCTGAGTGCTCACTGGAAGGACAGATCCTGAAGTTGAGGCTCCAAGACTTTGGCCACCTCATGAGAAGAGAAGCCTCCCTGGAAAAGACCCTGATGTTGGGAAAGATGGAGGGCACAAGGAGAAGGGGACGACAGAGGACGAGATGGTTGGACAGTGTTCTCGAAGCTACCAGCATGAGTTTGACCAAACTGCGGGAGGCAGTGGAAGACAGGAGTGCCTGGCGTGCTCTGGTCCAGGGGGTCACCAAGAGTCGGACACGACTAAATGACGACGAAACCACAACAAACTTTGAAGAGAGAAGGGGGTAGGGGGAAAATCTCACTTACCCACAGACTGGATCTGGACCGGCCTCAGATCCTCCCGGGTGGTGAGCAGGTATGCAGTCAGGTGATCCATGATCGCTTGGAAGTATGGCAAGAGGGATCCCCGGGCGGCCTGGGCTGGAGAGAGGAGGGTAAGCTTTGCACCCAGGGAACAGACCCAGAATTTCCAGGTCCTGCCAGATCTAGGCTGTGTTTGTGTGGCAAGGCGCCACCCACTTAATTCTGATAGGAACCCAAAATACTCCTCTGGAAAAGCAAAGGCTGGCAACAGAATGGCCTGCACAAGAAGAAGGTGCAGCAGCGAGTAGACCTATCTTAAGAGAAGTTGATAATCCACGTGGATCCGTGCTTTCTAACCATGTTTTTGTGCCATTGCGGCCCCACGAAACAGTGGATGCGTGATTTTTTGGGTGCAGGCTGTAGCCATGGACATGCTATGTGATCTGATGGTGAATTTGGGGTGACCCAATGTAAAAATCCTGAGGATCCATGGGCTTTTACCTCCCCCCTCCCAGGCAGCCTCCTTTATCGCTAGCATCCCTTATCTCCCTCCCAATCCCTTACCGATCAGCTGCTTCCTTTCAACACTCCCTTCCCTCTTGTTGGCCTTAGTGTCTTTTCCTTAGCGGGAGCAGTTTTTTGCTCCTCCTTTTCTTCTAATTTCTCTCCTTATTGCTTTAGTCTTCCTGTCTCCTCTCCTTGCAAGTTCACTGTCTTTACCTCCCTCCTCCCAGGCAGCCTCCTTTATTAGTAGCATCCCTTATCTCGCTCCCGATCACTTGCCGATCAGCGGCTTGGTTTCAACACCCACTTCCTTCTTTTTTCTTCTTTTTTTAAAAAAAAGCATGATCTGCTTTTTGCCCCTGGGCAATTCGGCTCCAGGGACCACGCATTCGCTCCATAAGACACACAGACATTTCCCCTTACGTTTTAGGAAGAAAAAAGTGTGTCTTATGGAGCAGAAAATACAGTAATTTGCCTACAAGAGACACATATAGCAAAAAAAAATCAGAGAGTCCTAATAAATAAAAAATTAGGGATGGATTTTATCACTGCTGACGATACCAAAAAACAAGGTGTAGTCTTTTACATTAAACCAGCACTAGAGCCCAAATTGATTAGCAAAGACAAGAAAAGGGAGAATGTTAATAGTCCAAATTAAACTTCAGGGGGAGAATATGTATTTGGTAGGAATTTATGCGCCTGGCGCATAGCTGTCAACTTACAGATTTGAAAATAAGGGACCAGCAGCCTCGAAAATAAGGGATCAGCAGCCAAAATAAGGGATTTTAGTCAACCAGCAGCCAAACGAAGCCTGAAGCGGTGGTTCCCACAGCGCAGCAACCCGGCAAAGGGGATGCAGCAAGGGGAACCACCGTCACCTCTCTGCTGGGAAGCGCTGAGCAACGCGGCTGATTTGATCGACACAAGGCGTGCAAGCTCCACCCCCAGTCGTTCTTAGACTCCTTATTGGGTGAGCAACGCAGCCAAGCAACACAGCTGGAGCCTCCCTCCTCCCTGGCCGGTAGGGAGTGAGGGAGAGGAGCTGCTTCCTTTGAAACCTGGGAAATTTAAGGGACATCATCAATAAGGGACAGCAGCGGGACACGGCGCTGGGATAAGGGATTGTCCCGCCAAATAAGGGACAGTTGACAGCTATGGCCTGCCGCTCTCTCTCCATCACCTGCTCCTGCGACAATTAATTCTGCTCGCTACCTGGGCGGAACAGACATTTCCGCACCACCGCAGGCCTGGACAAATGGCGCCCGGGACTGCCCTTCCGACGAAGCTCAGGGTTTCATCTTCGTGAGCCCACTAGCAACCCCCTCCGTGCTCCTAAGGATCATTGGCTGGTGGTGGGTGAAGTGAATGGGCCTTCCTTCTTCCAGGGACGCTACCCCCCCAATTATAATACAGCGTCTGATCTGTCTTCTCCAAGATTCAAGGCCAAGGGTCCATCTCCAGGTGTGCGCATACCTATGGCACCGATGGCGCTAACCGCCAGCTCCTTGACGCGGGGGCTGCCAGGGGAGCTCAAGGTGGTCAACATCCGCTCCATCAGGGCCGGGAGGTAGGGGGAGATCTTGCCTTCTACAAGGAAGAAAAAAGGACCGATATATGAGAGAGAGAGAGAGAGAGAGAGAGAGAGAGAGAGAGAGAGAAATGGTGGCGGGGTGATAGGGGAACATAGAATCATAGAATTGTAATAATAATAATCAATTTTATTTATACCCCACCCTCCCCAGCCAAGGCCGGGCTCACGGCGGCTAACAACCAATAATAAAAACAAGTGGATTGAAATACAACTTAAAAAACAAGATTAAAATACAACATTAAAATGTAGCCTCATCGCAGGAAGAGAAAGGAAAAAGAAAGAGGGGGAGGGAATCAAATTGACTCCAAGCCAAAGGCCAGGCGGAACAACTCTGTCTTACAGGCCCTGCGGAAAGAAATCAGATCCTGCAGGGCCCTGGTCTCATGAGGCAGAGCGTTCCACCAGGCCGGGGCCAGTGTTGAAAAGGCCCTGGCTCTGGTTGAGGCTAATCTGACTTCCTTAGGGCCCGGGACCACTAGGGTGTTGCTATTTATGGACCTTAAGGACCTCCATGGGGCATACTGGGAAAGGCGTTCCCATAGGTGCAAAGGTCTAAAGGGATGGCGAGGGTCATCAAGTACAACCACTCACAAATTATTATTGTTATTATTTACTGGATTTATATAGCGCCCTATACCCGGGGGTCTCAGGGCAGTTCACAGAATAAAATTAAGATATAAAACCATGAAATACATAATAATAATAATAATAATTGCAACAACAACCCAATAGCCTCCCCACCTCACAAAAAAAACACAGTTTAAAAGGGCATAGGATGTAAATCAGATCAACCAAAGGCCTAGTTAAAAAGGAACGTTTTTGCCTGGTGCCTAAAGGTGTGTAATGAAGGCGCCAGGCGAACTTCCTTGGGGAGAGCATTCCTCAGACGGGGAGCCACCGCAGAGAAGGCCCCGTTCTTGTGTTGCCACCCTCCGGACCTGCAGAGATCTTTTGCCCAGAGATCTTTCTGGGTTTCTGGGGGTTTTCCTGTTGTTATTCTGTCTCTCACAGCGACAATAAACCCACCATTAAAATTATGGACTGGTCATTTCTTTGTCAGAGGGCAAACGGGCAAATTTAGCAGGAGATCGAATACTTTCCCCCCTCGCTGTACATGTCGCCAGCACCAGGGGCTGAGGAGTTAAAGCAGCCTGGTGGCGTCCAGATGTCATTGGACTACAACTCCCGCCGTCACCAACTGCTGGCTGCACTGGGAGCGCCACAACATCTGGGAGGCGGCAGGAGAAGGGGGAACGGATCCTGCAGGCCCTAAGAGGAGAAATACAGTATTTTTCGCTCTATAGGACGCACCAGACGATAGGAAGCACCTAGTTTGGGGGGGAGGAAACAAGAAAAAAAAAATCTGAATCCCAGAAGCCAGAACAGCAAGAGGGATCTGGCTTCTGGGATAGCCGCTTGCTGTTCTGGCTTCTGGGATAGCCGCTGGGATAGCTGGTCTAGCTTTGTGTGAAGCCTCCGCAGGGCACGGGGAGCCTTCATCCCCGTGCCCTGTGGAGGCTTTTGGGACAGCCCGCGAAGCCACCGGAGGGCAGAGGGATGAAGGCACCCCGCTGCCCTGCGGAGGCTTTGCGCAGCTAACCCCGAAGCCTTTGGAGCACAGTGCACTTTGCACACCGACCCCTCTCGCTCTCCAGGCTTCAGCAAAAGCAATGCGTAGCCTCCGGAGCACTCCCTCTGAGCTTTGGAGGCTTCACGTTGCTTTCGCTGAAGCCAAGGAGCCTGCATTCGCTCCATAGGATGGACAAACATTTCCCCTCAATTTCTGGAGGGGAAAAGGTGTGTCCTATAGAGCGAAAAATACGGTATGTAGCGACAAGGCAGGTCGGGATGGTGGGCGAGGGAGGAAGCTGCTCTGGGGCTACCCCATGGAAAAAAACAGGCAGTGTCAGGTAGTGAGTAAACAGTCAAAGAGATGGAGCCGGGTTCAGAGCCTCCCTCAGCAAGGGAGGCCTCAGGCAAACCATTCCACCAGAGCTTTCAATCTACCTTGTGGGGCTCTTGGGAGATTTAAGTCACTCCACGAATGAAAAATGGCAATAAAATGAAACGCAGTCCAATCAAAAGGGTCTGTTCCAAACGGCAGAGATTAATTCATCAATTAAACTGGCCTGGGAGATCTTCCCTGCATTGGCAGGGCCAGCTGTGGCCACTCAGAGCCGATCGAAATAAAATAAGGCCACGTCCGTTTAAAAACACCCTTTTAAACAGCCCTGGTTCCCCCCTCAAAGAATCCTGGGAACTGTAGTTCGTTAAGGGTCCCAAGAGCTGTTCGGAGATTCCCTGCCCCACAAGTCCCCTCACAGAACTACAGTTCCCAGAGTGCTCTGGGACGAGGGACCGATCATTACATCCCCCTGGGAATTGTAGTTCCCTTAGCACCCTTGACAAACTACAGCTCCCAGAATTCTTTTAGGAAGGGGAAGCTGTGATTGTTTAAAGTGGCATGGCGGTGCTTTAAATGCAAGGGGCGAACGTGGCCTAAGTTATGGGCTCTGCATGCTCAGGGTTCAGGGCGGAAATGGGGGGTGGGGTTGGAAAAAGCCAGCCCAACCGGTCAGGAATCCTCACCCAGATTCTCCACAAAGTTCTCCAGGGCGTAGTAAGCTTTGGCCATGTGACTCGTGTGGGCCAACTGGACGCCTTCCAAGTAGCGCAGAAGCAGAGGCATGATGTCATCCGAGTAACGGGCGATGTCGGGCTTGGGAAAGAGAGACAGGAATGGAAAAACAGAGGGGAAGGTTGCTCCTTTCCCCCCCTTTTAAAGACACACACTGGTTCTCTCAGTAACCTCAGAAACCTGATAATTTTCCTTTAAAACTGGGTGAGGGGGAATGTTAGTTATTGTGCATCTCCAACAAATTTGACCACACTGATAAACTGCAAAAAGCAGAGTGCATTTTTTTATTTGGGGTGGTTTTTATTTTACTTTTAGCATCAGCAAATCGCTGGGATACAGAAGCACAAACTCTCAACCTATGAAATAAAAAGCTTATCTACTCTTTCCTCTCAGTTTTTCAGCCAAGGCTGCAGTCAAGAGTTTTCACAATACAGTGGGACCTTGGTTGTCGAACTTAATCCGTTCCGGTAGTCCGTTCGAGTCCCGGAACCATTCAAAAACCAAGACACTGCTTTCCGACTGGCTGCAGGATCTTCCTGCACTCAATCAGAAGCCGCGTCAGACATTCAGCTTCCAAAAAAAAATCTGCAAACCGGAAGACTTATTTCTGGATTTGTGGCGTTTGGAAGCCGATTTGTTTGTGAGCCAAGCCATCTGACAACCAAGGTACCACTGTAAATGGGCTCAGGGCTAGAATTTGCCAGTTTGTGGGCATGGGGCTGTGCCACCGTCCGAGCGAAGTTTCCTCTTAAGAACGGGTGACAGGAGGCACACTCCATTGTCTCAAAAGAGAGACAGATGCCAACAGTGTCTTAAAAAGGTAAAGGGACCCCTGACCATTAGGTCCAGTCGTAACCAACTCTGGGGTTGCGGCGCTCATCTTGCTTTATTGGCCGAGGGAGCCGGCGTCCAGCTTCCGGGTCATGTGGCCAGCATGACTAAGCCGCTTCTGGCGAACCAGAGCGGCGCACGGAAACGCCGTTTACCTTCCCGCCGGAGCGGTACCTATTTATCTACTTGCACTTTGACATGCTTTCGAACTGCTAGGTTGGCAGGAGCAGGGACCGAGCAACGGGAGCTCACCCCATCGCGGGGATTCGAACCGCCGACCTTCTGATCAGCAAGTCCTAGGCTCTGTGATTTAACCCACAGCGCCACCCGTGTCCCTAACTGTGTCTTGGGTGTGTGTAAAATTTCTTCCTGACCAGCGGTGGGCTGCTGACCATTGGGACTGGTGGGACAGAAAGCAGAGAGACTGCCAATGGCAAGCAGAGGCGGGGCAAGAGCCGTTGACGGGCACAGCCAGAGCCAATGACAGGTGTGTGAAAAATACCTGGATTGCAGAGCCTGTTTTTCTGCTGAGACAAGGAAGAAGCAATGTCTGCTGCTTCCGGTGGTTTGCTTATTTTGCTGTACATACAATAAAGCTGTTTAGATTAGACAAACAGCATATGGACTCTTCTGCACATAGCTGTCAACCTTCCCTTTTTTTGCGGGAAATTCCCTTATTCCAGTGCCCTTTCCTGGTGCTATCCCGGATTGTTAGATATCCCGTAGACTTTCCGCGGGACAGGTGAGGCTGCTGATCCCTTATTTTCGAGGCTGCTGATCCCTTATTTTCAAATCTGAAAGTTGACAGCTATGCTTCTGAATGCTTACATACAAAGTAGCACATGCTGCGCTCGTTCTGCTACAAGTCCAGGAAGCTGAGAGCAGTGAAAGTGTACCGGACCTCTACGAGATGGAGCCAATACACCCTACCTTTGGCGCATCTTCCCCTCTGCTGAGTTGCGCAAGAGCCACAGGGTGCCTAAGGGGGAAGGAGCAGACAGGGTCCACCCCCCCACCCTACTTGCCAGGCTGGTTGGAAATAAGAAGGCTGGTAGGTGGGGGCCTGGCCATGGTGGGATACTGCCGGGAAGACGGGGGCATCAGGCAGGCCCCCAGCTGGCTCCAGCCACCGGCCGGCAGCCGGTCTCCCTTGGAACAGCATCAATTAGTGACACGAGCCTCAGGTACGTTTAGAGACCCATGCACGCTCTGTCAGCAGAGTGCGTAAATCTTCTTGCAGTAGAAGAGGCGGACAGAGAAATATGGAAGTATAATGTACAGCATTTTATTCAGCATAGTTCAGGAACAGAGGAAAACATGTCTGCTTCCCTTCGTCTCCAGCAAAACAGCAGTACAGTGGTACCTCGGGTTAAGTACTTAATTCGTTCCGGAGGTCCGTACTTAACCTGAAACTGTTCTTAACCTGAGGTACCACTTTAGCTAATGGGGCCTCCCGCTGCCGCCACCACACAATTTCTGTTCTCATCCTGAAGCAAAGTTCTTAACCTGAAGCGCTATTTCTGGGTTAGCGGAGTCTCTAACCTGAAGCGTATGTAACCTGAAGCGTATGTAACCCGAGGTACCACTGTATAGCAAAAGCAACATGCAATGGAAGTTCCCAGCAGACTGTGCTGGAAGTAAACAGGCATGCGATGCACAACAGTCCTGCCTGACCCTTTTAAGGCAGAATGGAACTATATCCTAACAGGCCAAGGGAGACACCACGGGGTCCTGCTTGCCCTGAGCTCCTCCAATCCCGGCCCCCTACCAGTGATCCCCGAACGTGACTCACCTGCAGGTTCTCAGAGAACTGGCCCAGGGCAAAAAGGGCGGCATTGCGCACCACCTGGCTCTCGTCTGACAGCGCCCGGCACACCACTTGCAGCATGGGCTGGAGGTGCCTGCAAGGGGACGGTTGGTTCAAGGTTAGTATTGGTTTGCTCAAGTGTCAGCTGACATCTGCTTTGAGGCTCAAATACAGTGGTACCTCGGGTTAAGAACTTAATTCGTTCCGGAGGTCTGTTCTTAACCTGAAACTGTTCTTAACCTGAGGTACCACTTTAGCTAATGGGACCTCCCACTGCCGCCACACCACCACCACCACCGCGCAATTTCTGTTCTCCTCCTGAAGCAAAGTTCTTAACCCGAGGTACTATTTCTGGGTTAGCAGAGTCTGTAACCTGAAGCGTATGTAACCTGAGGTACCACTGTACACACACACACACACACAAACACACACACAGAGAGAGAGAGAGAGAGAGAGAGAGAGAGAGAGAGAGAGATGAGAGTGTCAGGAATTCAGCCTACACTTGAGTAGGACCCTGGCAGAGACACATGCCCGACTGGCACGTTCCCTCCCTCCTGGTCAATCGTTTGGGAGCTTCATAAGCTTTCTTCAGCCCAAACATCACAGCGACCGATGACAACCGACACCGGCACACATAGGGATCTGCAGAGTTTGCACATCATGCGCGTGACAGACCTCAGCATTTTGGCTAATCTACTTTATTTACATATAAACACACATGGATCACTGCAACACGGCTCCCTCTCTCTCTGGCATCAGACAGCAAAGAGAGAAAAAAACCAAAGGACAATAGTCCCACTTCACGAAACACAGTAGCACAAACATCCTGTTTCCATCACTTCCCACTTTGTGGAGTCAAAACATATACTGTCATGTGATAGACAAAAATCCCATGACTGCAATCATAGATCAGGAACTCTAACAGGGAGATCTGTGGCAGTCCAGATTCAGACAGAACAGCTTTAGCACAGGGCAGGCTATCTGCATTTCAGAGGAAGAGTGAGAGGAAGCTTAAATCCCCATCACACGATTCCCTCCCCCCAAAGAATCCTGGGAACTGTAGTTTGTTAACAGTGGCAGTGAGTTCCACAGTTTAGCTGTGCACTGTGTAAAGAAGTACTTTCTTGTGAACCGTTGCATATGTACCATTCTTTCATATGGAGTGGACCTGTAAAAGGGTAACAGAGTATCGGAAAATAATTTATAATGAATTGGGGGGGGGGGAATTAAAAGTACTTTTCCAAAAAACAACCCGACTCCTTTTTGTTGGGGATCAGACGGAAATTCCCAGGTGTCCAAAAAATATATTTATGTGTGCCACTACTGCAGCCCGTGTTTTGTTAACCCAAAAATGGAAAATGAGAGAGGCCCCAGCTAAAGAAGAATGGCAACTTAAACTGATGGAATATGCACAACTCACAGACTTAACATATAGAATAAGAGAACAAGAAGAACATACATTTAAAGAAGATTGGAAAACATTTATTGAATATATGGGGGGAAATTGTGTACACTTGAAAACGTTGGCAGCATTAAGATAAATTCAACAGTGTAAATAGGTTTTGAGGGATGTAATAATGGAATACTGAATGGTTTAGTTTATGTAAAATATGCAGAGATTTATGATATGCAATATGAACCGTAGAAAGAGAAGAAGGGAAGTCACTGATATTTTAAGGATGTTTAAATGAATATTCTAAATTGTAAAACAGAAAATTTAATAAAAAAATATTTATATATTAAAAAGTACTTTCTTTTAAATGCCTGTCCTGATAAGCCCCCAACATTCAGTTTTGCTTGGGGGCCCAGCGTGTTACGAGAGAGGGAGAAAAACTTCCTGCCTTTCCCGCTCTCACTCTGTATGCCACGTGTACCGTATTTTTCGCTCCATAAGGTGCACCTGACCTTAAGACGCACCTAGTTTTCGCAGGACGAAAATGGGGGAAATATTCTGAATCAAATGTTGTACTAAACTATTTAATAAACTACTGGTATATCAGAGTGAGACTGAGAGGGACAGGAGCTGTATGTTTGTTTAGTGTGCAGGCTCAAGGAGCCAGCGGATCAGCTGAGACGCGGGGGGATTTGCGTAATTTTCCCCTCTCCCTCATCCCCTGCCCTCCAGTCCCCAGCAGCCTTCCTATTTTACCTCCTGACTTTCACTGCGCTCGTGGCTCAGAGCTCGAGGTTGGGGTTTTTTTGCTGCTGGTTGCTTAAATTTTATCCTTCCCGATCCAACCCTTCCTATGCCCTGCCGTCCCTCTGCAGCCTCATTGCTCTGTTTAGGGAGCGCACAGACCTTTGCTAGCTGAGGCTACTGCACCTGTCGCTGGCTACGCACCGCTTTTAAAAGCGCCTGCTGGCTTTGAATCGCCTGCCTCCTCCCAGCTCGCTGTAAAGCAAGCAAAGGGAGAACCGCGCAAAGCGGGACTGAAGCCCTATAAGTGGCTCTCGCTTTGCTTGACTGACGGGAGCCATGGCTGCGGTCCAGTGCATTCGCTCCATAAGACGCACTGGCATTTCCCCTTTGTTTTTAGAAGGGAAAAAGTGCATCTTATGGAGCGAAAAACACAGTAATTTTCACAGATCTCTCTATCCCATCTCCTTTAACACGCCTTTTCTCTAAACCGAAAAGCCCGGCAGGCGAAACCCAACAGTTGAGAGGGAACAGCAAAATGAAACCAGCAGGAGCCTCAGCAGCGAGGCACCCCCAAAAAATGTCACCCCGCAGTACGTACTTGTGTCGGATGTGATCCCCACAGCCTTCGGCCAGGACTGCCAAGCACATCAGGCCAGCTTTGCGGTGATAAGGGTTCGTGCTGAGAAGCGCCGGCTCCATCAGAGGTGTCTGGGGAGGAGGAAGATGGGAGTTTTAAAAATATCGCCTCAAAATTCTGCCCTTACTTCCAATTCCTCTCTCTATATGCATATATTATTAGCAAAAACATACATAACAAACAAAAAGAAAAAGCATACATGAAAAAGAAAAGAGAAAAAAATTAAGACAAAGTCATTTTACAACAGGCATAGGCAAACTCGGCCCTCCAGATGTTTTCGGACTACAAGTCCCATCATCCCTAGCTAACAGGACAGGTGGTCAGGGATGATGGGAATTGTAGTCTCAAAACATCTGGAGGGCATGTTTGCCTATCTCTGTCTTACAATAATTGTCCTTATACTGACCTAGATCTTGACTTATGTATAATGAAATTATTAAGAAATCTTAGGATTTATATACTAATGTAGTTATACAATGCAATATCTAAGAAAAGAAGAATAAAACAAAAGGGAAAAAAATTACGGCTAAGTCAAAATAACAGCCTGGACAATATAAATACCTATCTATTGATAAGTAGTACTTAATATAGTTCAAACCAATGTTGGTGTTGTTTATACATTATAATTTTTGTTTTGGGTTGAATCCTTTTTCAATTTATTGCGTTGTTGACTTCCTTCCACCTCATTACGGTTTCAGTTCGAGTATTCCTATTTTTTTACCCTGTATTTGATTAATTATCCTCATCTTGGAATGAAGAGAAAATATTTTACCATCTGCGAAATGACTCAAAACACAGCCAGGCCTTGTTGTTGAAACCTGGTTTTCCAATTCCGCTCTTAACGTTGCCAGGAAAAACTCACCAGCTGGGGGAAGAGCTTCTCCGGGGGCAGGTGCAACGCCAGCATGTCCACCACCTGTTTAGAGGAGAGACAGGGACAACATGAGAAGAGGGGGGTGCTGGGAAAGAAAGGAGGGCAAGGGGTGACCCCAATAGGGGTCTCTCCTGAGAGGGCAAGGCAGGACCAGACTCAGGAGGGAGAGGCCCAAGGCATGCTGGGAGGCCAGAGAGAACCCAGGGAATTCTGGGATTGAACACGGAAGAGGCATGCCGCCCACTGAAGGGAGAAGCCCAAGGCATGCTGGGAGGCCAGAGCGAGCCCAGGGAATTCTGGGATTGAACGTTGAAGAGGCACGCCGCCCACTGAAGGGAGAAGCCCAAGGCATGCTGAGAGGCCAGAGTGAGCCCAGGGAATTCTGGGATTGAAAGTGGAAGAGGCATGGCGTCCACTGAAGGGAGAAGCCCAAGGTATGCTGGGAGGCCAGAGTGAGCCCAGGGAATTCTGGGATTGAACGTTGAAGAGGCACGCTGCCCACTGAAGGGAGAAGCCCGAGGCATGCTGGGACTTGGTCCGAATCCAAGAGGCACATCCTTGTCAAAGAGAAGGTAAAGGTAAAGGGACCCCTGACCATTAGGTCCAGTCGCGGACGACTCTGGGGCTGCGGCGTTCATCTTGCTTTATTGGCCGAAGGAGCCGGCGTACAGCTTCCGGGTCATGTGGCCAGAAAGACTAAGCCGCTTCTGGCCAACCAGAGCAGCGCACGGAAACGCCGTTTACCTTCCCACCTGAGCGGTACCTATTTATCTACTTGCACTTTGACGTGCTTTTGAACTGCTACGTTGGCAGGAGCAGGGACCGAGCAATGGGAGCTCACCCCGTTGCGGGGATTCGAACCGCTGACCTTCTGATTGGCAAGCCCTAGGCTCTGTGGTTTAACCCACAGCGCCACCCGCGTCAAAGCTGGCAGCAAATCGCATCGTCAAAGTTGGAGTTTGTTAGTACAGTGGTTCCTTGGTTCTCGAACGGCTTGGCTCCTGAACAAGTCGGCTCCCGAACGCCGCAAACCCAGAAGCGAGTGTTCCGGTTTGCAAACGTTTTTTGGAAGCCGAACGTCCAACGCGACTTCCGCTTGAGTGCAGGAAGTTCCCGCAGTCAATCGGAAGCCGCGCCTTGGTTTTCGGACAGTTCCAGGAGTCGAACTGACTCCCGGAACGGATTAAATTCAAGAACCAAGGTACCAGTGTGCAAACATAAATCTTCGCAGACTTGGCTGAGCATCATGCCTAATGGGCACAGCAGCACATCCCTAGGAGGTATGGTCTCACGAATCCGTTGCCAAGACGGAAAATCCCCGCCTTCCCACAGCCATCCTAAGTGTCCTCCTTTCCGGGGCTTTTTCCAAGCAATCTGAGACTATGGCCTGCCCCTGCCCTGCCTATTTCAGCTCTCTTCTGGCTCTGGGAGACCAGCAGAGAGACCTGCTTGCTGCAGCAGGAGAGTGAGACATCCATGGCTCTTCACCAACCTGTTCCATCTCTGCCTCTTGGCCTCCCTTCCTCTCCTGCTTCAGCTTCTACCTCTGATTCTGCACTTCTTTCTGCCACAGACTCCCCCAGCTCACTAAGCCCTGTCGCCTCTTCGGTTTCCAACACCTCCTCTTCCCAGTCTGCTCCCTCTTCTCTCTACGACCGCACATTGTCATCCCACCACGGCTCCCCAGGCTCTGAGCCTTCTTCCCTTGGGGGTTCCCCAGCTGGTGACCCCCACCATCCTTCTGCATCCAACCAGGACACCTCAGCGGAAAACAAGGCCAGACTGGGGTCCCAAGAGAGAAAGGGAAGTCTTATGCTCAGGGGGTAAGGCCAGGATCATGCTGGGACTGAAGAAGCCGTCACCCACGGAGGACCTGGGCTGCAAAGTGCTTGGGAGTCTGGACTTCGGCCCTGTCCTCGATGTCCTCCTCCGTCTGCTCGTCCTCCGCGTCCATCTGGCCCGGCGGCGGCTCCGCACTCATGATGGGGAAGAGGGCGTTCAGGATGGGAGAGAGGAGCTTGTGCTTCAGGATAGCCTGGGCAGAGAGGAGGAAGGAGGGTTTTCGACGGCCCTTAAGTGATTTTTTTCTCTCCTTCCAATAAAGTACAGCAGAGAAGTTGTCCAAATATAAACAGTCAACCTATTAAACCTCACAATTCTTTCATAATTATCGGTCTGTGTATTTCTAATAGAATAACCAAATCAGTCATTTTTGATGTAGCTGTAAAAACTACTCTGAAAACTTATTATTCCAAAAAGGAAACCTTCACCTGGTTGTAAATATCGTATTTTTCACTCCGTAAGACACACTCCCCGCCACCCTAAAAAGTAAGGGGAAATGTGTGTGTGTCTTATGGAGCAAATGCAGGCGGGAAAAGCCCCCAAGAGCTGCACACACGCTCCGCGCAGCTCTTGCAGGCTTTTCCCCAAGGAGGGAGAAGGGCAGCCCGTCACTGACAGGCTGTCCTTCTCCCACCTCCTAGAAAAGACCGCAAGAGCAGCGCTCCGTTTAAAGAGCGCACGGCTCTTGGCTGGCTTTTGCAGGAGGTGGGGGGATGGACAGAGGGCAGCTTAGCCGCGCACAGCCTCTTCCTGGCATGGGGAGCCTTCATCCTGCTGCCCGGGAGAGGCTTCGGTGGCTATCCCAGAAGCCAGAACAGCAAGAGGCTATCCCAGAAGCCGGATCCCTCTTGCTGTTCTGGCTTCTGGGATTCAGAATATTTTTTCTTGTTTTCCTCCTCCAAAAACAAGGTGCGTCTTATCGTCTGGTGCGTCTTATAGAGCGAAAAATACGGTATTAAGAAGATACGGCAGGAATGAGCCTTCCTGTAAAAATAATGATGATTTAAATCAAGTCTTACTGGCAAGTGATTTAAACCAAATCCACCCTGGCCGGAAGCAGGACTGAGCCCATGGACCAGCTGTGGGTGGGAACACCCTCCTGTCAATCGCCCAGTATCGCCATGACGCCAGGGGATTGACAGGGTGCCAGTCCCGCCCACTGCAGGGTCAGGGCGCAGGCAAAGATCTGCTGGGAAAGTTCCCCCGCATGGGTGGGGAAGGGGAGCAGGCAACCCAGGAAGAGTCGCCCCGCTCTTTCGCTCGCACTGACCTTGCCCTTGAGTTTGATGAGGAAGCTGATGCAGGACAAAGCCTTCACCCGGAGGTTGTCGCCCAGTGATGGGTTGGAGGCCACCTGGGAAGCGAGGAAATAGATTTGAGTCCATGTTCCGAAGCTCAGTTCCGGCTCCAACCTGAAGGGGGAGCCAGAGCGCAGGGGAGGAAGGGGAGCCAGACCAGGCGCATCCGCCCACTGACCTCCAGGCAGAAGCCAACGACCGCCGAGAGATGCTGCACGATGATGGACACTTCGGTCTCCATGAGCTCGTCGAAAACCTCCATCACTTCGCCAGCGTGGGTCTAAAAGGGTTGGGGAGTCATTGATATCTTGAGGATTTAAAATGAGTATTTTAAAGTGTAAAGCAGAAAATAAAAATTATATACAAAAAATAAAAATAAAAAGGTTGTGGAGCGAGGAGAAACAAAGAAATAAGAGCGCTATCGAATGCCAAACGGACACACGGAGGCCGCAAAGCCCGACATCTTGTTGTTTCAAAATGTAGTGCACTTTATGGCTGCAACCTGACGATGACGGGCAGATAAGTACAGGTCATATGTACGAGACGAGCTCAGCTGCCTAACGCAGGGTCAGGCCCCTGGGTCCAGGTAGTATCACAGTAGAAGAAGAAGACGAAGAAGAGGAGGAGGAAGAAGAAGAAATTATTTATACTCCACCCACCCCACTCTGGGCGGCTCCCAACAGAATATTGAAAACACAGAACAGGGACGTTCAACTCCCACGAATTTGCAATCTACTCACAGTACAGTCATACCTTGGGTTACAGACGCTTCAGGTTGCGTTTTTTCGGGTTACGGACCCGCCGAAACCTGGAAGTACTGGAACGGGTTAATTCCGGGTTTTGGGGGTTGTGCGTGCGCAGAAGCAATAAACTGCGCTTTGTGCATGTGCAGAAGCACTGAATTGCAACCCGTGCGTGCACAGACGTGGCGCTGCGGGTTGCGAATGTGCATCCTGCATGGATCACGTTCTCAACCTGAACATCCACTGTATAAAAAATCTGGCAATCATCTACCCATTGTCGATGGACTAGAGTTGTTGAGCTTTTTTTAGGCAGCTAGACTGGTGACTGGGAGTGGCCGCCAGGACCACATAACACCAGTTCTGAGAGATCTGCACTGGCTCACAGTACGTTTCCGAGCACAATTCAAAGTGTTGCTGCTGACCTTTAAAGCCCTAAACGGCCTCAGTCCTGTATACCTGAAGGAGCATCTCCACCCCCATCGTTCAACCCGGACACTGAGATCCAGCTCCGAGGGCCTTCTAGCAGTTCCCTCATTGCGAGAAGTGAAGTTACAGGGAACCAGACAGAGGGCCTTCTTGGTGGTGGCGCCCACCCTGTGGAATGCCCTCCCTTCAGATGTGAAGGAAATAAGCAGCTATCTTCTCTTTAAAAGACATCTGAAGGCAGCCCTGTTTAGGGAAGTTTTGAATATTTAATGCTGTACTGTTTTTAACACTTGATTGGGAGCCGCCCAGAGTGGCTGGGGAAACTCAGTCAGATGGGTGGGGTATAAATAATATATTATGATGATGATGATGATGATGATGATGAAGCCAAAGAGTTGTTGAGAAGTTGTAGGGAAGTTTTTAATGTTTGATGTTTTATCGTGTTTTTATTATTCTTTCGGGAGCCACTCAGAATGGCTGGGGAAACCCAGCCAGGTGGGCGGGGTACAAATAATAATCTCTGAAACACAGAGCAGCAAAGTGCATCTCTCTCTCTTACACACACACACACACACACACACACACACACACAGCACCCACCTCATTAACAGAGATCAGTTCCCGGATGGCTGCAATCACCTTGGGCATCATAGAAGACATCAGATTCTGAGAGGGGAAGGAAGAGCAGGAGACAATTAAGAAACAAAACGGTGAATCCTTGTACACTGAAAAATAGCTAAAGAAATAGCAGCAGACCTAATGATACATTGGCAATAGATACTGGTCGTAATATAGACAAGGAAGCATGGGAATGACTGTAGAATATGGATATAAAATTCACAGCATGTTATGGTCTAAGAGAAAATTATATGAAAATGATATACCAAGGGTGTCTAACACCAATTAAATTAGCAAAAATGTATAAATCCAAATCAAATAAGTGTTGGAAATGTAAAGAGAAAGAAGGCTCTTTTTATCCTATGTGGCAGTCTTGTAGTAAGGTTAAAGCTTACCGGGAAATGATATATAATGAATTGGAAAGGATGTTTAAAATAACATTTGTAAAAAACCCCAGAAGCTTTCCTTTTGGGAATTATAGGGACAGAACCACCAAAACTGTACAGAAACTTATTCATGTACTCGACTACAGCGGCAAAAATGTTACGCGCCCCAAAATGGAAAGAAGCAGAAGTCCCAGCAAAGGAAGAATGGATACAAAAACTTGTGGAATATACAGAAATTGTGAAACTTACCGGAAGAATAAGAAATCAAGACAACAAACTTTTTATAAAAGAATGGAAATGGTTTATTGACAATTTACAGATAAACTGCAAAAGAACATTGGCAGCATTATTGTAATAACCTGCAGTTTTATAAGTGTATACCGTATTTTTTCCTCTATAAGACTCACTTTTCCCCTCCTAAAAAGTAAGGGGAAATGTGTGTGCGTCTTATGGAGTGAATGCAGGCTGCGCAGCTATCCCAGAAGCCCGAACAGCAAGAGGGATTGCTGCTTTCACTACGCAGCGATCCCTCTTGCTGTTCTGGCTTCTGAGATTCAGAATATATTTTTTCCTTGTTTTCCTCCTCCAAAAACTAGGTGCGTCTTGTGGTCTGGTGCATCTTATAGAGCAAAAAATACGGGATATTTTAAAAAGATGAATAAATGAGCAAATTAAATGAATTAGGATATGCAGAAGATATTAAATATAAATTTAAGGAACCGCAGAAAGAGGGGGAAGGAAGTCGAGTTTTGAAATGTTAAAATGATTGTAAAATTAGTGAGATGGATAGATCCGAAAAGCATCATTAATTATTATTATTTTTTAAAAAAGAAGAAATAGCGACGGACTCACCATCTCGTCGGAGCCCAGCACGGGGACCATGGTGCTGAGGCTTCGCAGGGAGTAGTAAAGGGTGGCTGGCTGGTTGCGCTGGTTGAGTGTCTGGTGAAAGAGGCGCAGGAGTTCCTTGAAGTGCGGAGCGAACACCTCGGGATCCAGTTCCAGGGCGGAATGCAGAAGCAGCAATCCCACCTGCGGCCAGAAGGGGGCGCAAAAGTCCCTTTAGGGCTTATCACTGTATTTACTCAAGTCTCATGCGCCATCAAATCTAATGCACAACTCTGTTTTCAGAACCTTGAATCCACCCCCAAAAAAGTATTTGCTGGTGAATGCAAACGTGCTGTCAAACCTAATTCGTGCCTTAATTTTCGCATAATTTTTTTTTGGGGGGGAGGTGCACGTTAGATTCAAGTAACTGCGGTATTATTATTTTAAGGAAATTTGAGAGCCGTTAGGAATGCCTCAATTCGACAGTGGGGTTTTTTCCGCTCAAAGGATAAAGGTAAAGGTAAAGGGACCCCTGAGCCTTAGATCCAGTCGTGGCCGACTCTGAGGTTGCGGCACTCATCTCGCTTTATTGGCCAAGGGAGCCGGCGTACAGCTTCCAGGTCATGTGGCCAGCATGACTAAGCCGCTTCTGGCGAACCAGAGCAGCGCACGGAAACGCCGTTTACTTTCCCACCGGAGTGATACCTATTTATCTACTTGCACTTTGACGTGCTTTCGAACTGCTAGGTGGGCAGGAGCAGGGACCGAGCAACGGGAGCTCACCCCGTCGCGGGGATTCGAACTGCCAACCTTCTGATCGGCAAGCTCTGTGGTTTAACCCACAGCGCCACTCGTGTCTCTCCTCAAAGGATACTTGATTCTTATTTTTTACTACATTTTCATAGCCATCCTGTAACAGAAGCATTCCAAGCAGCTCACAGGGGGGAAAAGACACATAGAACATTAAATTTAAAAAAACCTGAAACAATAAAGTATATATTTTATTTTAAATGCCATTTTTAAAAAAACCACTAAATCTGTGCCAATGTTTTCTCCGTAGTCCAAACCTATTTCTAGTCATCTATCTACATCCACACTCACATACATATACATGCAACTTGTTCTTAATGTTTCCTTTTATAGCTTTTCCTAATCGATATTCTAGACTGTATTCTGTAACGCGCTTAAGAGACCTCTTGCAATTGACCAAGCGGCACCCAAATTTTGTTAAATAAACCAGCGTAAAGAGGTTAGCAGAGCGCAACCTGCCTACAAGCCACGGCTGTCTCCGCCAGGTACAAACCGCAGCTGGGGGACCAAGCTGAGAGAAGGGAAGCAAGACCCCTTGAAACCCCCCCCCCCCGTACCTCGCACTGGGTGGGGTCCTGCGAGCGCGCCCCCCGCTGGATGAGCTGGAGCATCTGCGGCCATTTCTCCAGCTTCTCGTTCTTCAGAATGACGGCAGCCAGCTGGGCCAGACCTAGAGAGACCTTATGGCTGGAAAAGAAGATATTGGGGGGGGGGGCACGGAGAAGAGAGGCTGAGAATGCAGCAGCTAGACTGGTGACTGGGAGCGGCCACCGAGACCACATAACACCGGTCCTGAAAGACCTACATTGGCTCCCAGTACGTTTCTGAGCACAATTCAAAGTGTTGGTGCTGCTGACCTTGAAAGCCCTATACGGCCTCAGTGGCCCAGTTTACCTGAAGGAGCGTCTCCACCCCATCATTCTGCCCGGACCCTGACGTCCAGCGCTGAGGGCCTTCTGGTGGTTCCCTCACTGCATGAAGCGAAGTTACAGGGAACCAGGCAGAGGGCCTTCTTGGTAGTGGCTCCCACCCTGTGGAACGCCCTCCCATCAGATGTCAAAGAGAAAAACAACCACCAGACTTTTAGAAGACATCTAGAAGGCAGCCCTGTTTAGGGAAGCTTTTAATGTTTAACAGACTATTATATTTTAATATTTTGTTGGAAGCCACCCAGAGTGGCTGGGGAATAAATAATAAATTATAATTATAATAATTATTATACTATATATGAACACTCACTCTGTTTCCTTCTGCAGGGTGGACAGCACCAGCGTCTTTAGCCTGGAAGAGAGAAGATTTCAGGGTCGGGGTTAAATTTTAGCTTGGGAATGAGAGTGAGTTGTGAACCAGGAGCTGCTCCAAGTCAACCCCCTGCCCGTCTTTTCCTTCTACACTCCCCAGAATACCTTCCTCATCCAGACTTACATGGCTTGGTCAGCCGCACTGATCTTCCGCCAGTGTTTGGTTAGGCGCCTTCTCACCAACACAGCGGCAAACTGCCGGATCTGGGGGTGGAGGAGACAAGAGGCAAATGGGAGAGGCCGGTGAGGACACAGGAGGAAGGGCGATGTGGTGTGCAAACTGTGAGGTGGGAGAAGGGACTGACGGTCTTCCCTTGTCCCTCGTCGGGGAAAAGCCCCCAAGAGCCGCACACATGCTCCACGCGGCTCTTTAAAGGGAGCGCTGAGCAGAGCCTCCCACCTGCATTCGCTCCGTAAGACGCACACACATTTCCCCTTACTTTTTAGGAGGGAAAAAGTGCGTCTTATGGAGCGAAAAATACGGTACTTAACCTGTGGCCTTCCAGGTGTTGTTGGATTCCCATGACCCCCAGCCAGCACACCCAACAGTTGGAGGTGGGGAGTTTGTAGTCCACGAAGGTACCCCCAGATTCCCCATCCCTGGGCTAAGCCCTGCAGGGTCTTACCTGCGGATTCTGAGAGCTGGACATCACCTGACAGAGGTGGGACAGTGCCAAAGGATGCTTCAGGGCCTCTTTCAACTGGGCTGTAGCCTGAGGAGGAAGAATGACAGAGTCGGAAGGGATCCCGAGGGTCATCTAGTCCAACCCGCTGCAAAATCCTGCCCACCGCCATCCCTGGGGGACTCGAACCACCAAAGTTTTGGTCAACAGCCTGATGCACTGACCCACTGCGTCACGACCCAAATCTTCAGTTCAGTCACTGCAGAGTATAGCCGCGCCGTTTCTCTCTTTTCATATATAAATTTTTTATTACATTTTCAGTTTCACAATTTAGAATACTCCTTTAAGCATCCTTAAAATATCAGTGACTTCCCTTCTTCTCCTTCCATGGTTCATTTTGCATATCACAAATCCCTGCATATTTTACCTAAACTAAACCATTCAGTATTCCATCATTACATCCATCAAAGCTTAATCGACACCGTTGAGTTTATCTTAATGCTGCCAACATTTTCAAGTTTACACAGTTATTTCCCATATATCCTGTGAACCGCCCTGAGACCTCTGGGTGTAGGGCGGTATATAAATTTAATAAATAAGTAATAATATATTAAATAAACGTTTTCCAATCTTCTCTAAACGTATGTTCTTCTTGTGCTCTTATTCTATATGTTAAGTCCGTGAGCTGCGCATCTTCCATCAGCTTAAGTTGCTATACTTCTTTAGCTGGGACCTCACTTGTTTTCCATTTTGGGGCTAACAAAACATGGGGCGCAGTAGTGGCGTACATAAATAACCATGCCATGTTATTTCTCATGCAGCATGGGTTTCTGCTATACCCAGAGGGACAGGATGCCCTAAACTGGTCCTAAAACCGTTTTTCTTTTTCTTTTTATAAAAAGTCAATAAATAAATGCTTCCATGCAAAGGAATTTGTATTTCACAACAGCTCCGAAGGGGCAGCTGCTGCGATTTGCCATTTTACAAAGAGCATGACTGAGGCAGCCAGCCACTGGCAACTCCTGAGTCCATAGACAAGGAGCGGTTTCAGATCTAGGGGTCCTAAGGTAAGGCTAGTAAAGGTAAAGGGACCCCTGACCATCAGGTCCAGCCACGGACGACTCTGGGGTTGCGGCGCTCATCTCGCTTTATTGGCCAAGGGAGCCGGCGTACAGCTTCCAGGTCATGTGGCCAGCATGACTAAGCCACTTCTGGCGAACCAGAGCAGCGCACGGAAACGCTGTTTACCTTCCCGCCGGAGCGGTACCTATTTATCTACTTGCACTTTGATGTGCTTTCAAACTGCTAGCTTGGCAGGAGCAGGGACCGAGCAACAGGAGCTCACCCCGTCGCGGGGATTCGAACCGTCAACCTTCTGATCGGCAAGTTAGCCTAGGCTCTGTGGTTTAAGCCACAGCGCCACCCACGTCCCTTAAGGTAAGACTACCCACCAGCAAAATTTCTTCAAAAAGAGTGGGAAAAATTTATGTCGTATATGGGAAAGATAAGATGAAATAGTGAAACCAGTAGAATTGGGAATGAACCTCATAACGGGAACGATTAAGAAAAGTGATGGATAATGAAAATAATATGAAGCAAAATGTATAAGGAGATTAATATAACTAACAATAGTTGTAAATACATGCAGACAGACAACAAGAATTGTATAAACAGAAGGATTTATTTGTTTATGGATATACTACGGACAAATATGGAAAATGAATAATATACAAAATGGAAGAAAATAATGCGATAAAATTATATGTGATATAAAAAACCAGAAGAAGAAAGGAGGGAAGTCAGCGCTTAGGAGCAAGTATAAATGTAAAATAAAACGCATTATGCGTATGTGGAGTATGTAACTGGAAAACTAATAAAGATTATTTGGAGGGGGAAAATTCCCCTGCCTATTACACTAACTGACTTGGAAAAGGAGCATTGGGATATCCTGTGAGGGCCGCCCCCCTGCCAAAATAAGACCAGTCTCTATCTCAGACGCCTCTCTCAGAACAATTAAATGGAAGGAAGTTGAATGTAGGGAGATCCAGGACAGATAAAATAAAATCCTTCTTTGCACAGCGAATTGTTAAACAATGGAACTCCCTCCCACAAGACAAGAGGCAGTCACGGCCCCCAATTTGGATGGAATTAAAATAGGATGAGGCAAATTCGCAGAGAAGGGCTACTTAGCCACAGTGGCTTTGCTCTGCTGGCACAGTCAGAGTCAGCAAGGCTTCCGAATGCCAGCTGCTGGAAACCGCAGGAGAAGAGCGGTGTCTTGCGTTCAAATCCTGCTTACGGATTTAAGGCATCCGAGTTGGCCACTTTGAGAAGGGGATGCTGGACTCGATGGGCCGCTGGTCTGATCCAGTAGAGCCATTATTACGCATCCCCCAAATCAGTTCTCTGCATGTTGCTGGACCTCAATGTACAACTCCCAATCCAAAACCTTACCCTCCCCTATTTATTAGCATTTCCCTCCATTCCTATCCTGCTTAATTTATTATGATTATTAATAATAATAATATTGAGTTTATATACCACCGTATACCCGAAGGTCTCAGGGCTGTTCACATAATAATAATAATAATAATAATAATAATGAGTTTATATACCACTGTATACCCGAAGGTCTCAGGGCTGTTCACATAATAATAATAATATTGAGTTTATATACTGCGGTTTACCTGAAGGTCTCAGGGCTGTTCACATAATAATAATAATAATGAGTTTATATACCACTGTATACCCGAAGGTCTCAGGGCTGTTCACATAATAATAATAATAATAATAATAATAATAATAATATTGAGTTTATATACTGCCGTATACCCGAAGGTCTCAGGGCTGTTCACATAATAATAATAATAATAATAATAATAATAATAATAATTTATTTATACCCTGCCCATCTGGCTGGGTTTCCCCAGCCACTCTGGGTGGCGCCCCACAAAAGATTAAAAACACATTAAAACACCAGTCATTAAAAACTTCCCTAAACAGGGAAGATCACAACATATATAATCAGAATAAAAACAACAACCCAAAAACACTCCCTACCCCCCTAGAAAAGAGCCACATTTTAAAAGGGTATAATTTATGCCCACATGGTCCGCTAAGCAGCTTACAAGCGCAGATACCAGTTGCACAAACATCCGTAATCAAAGCATGCGAATTAAAACTTCATTAGAGATTGCATAGCAGCGCCCACTATCTGTGCTTTCCAGAAACATCTGAAAACATTAAATTATTTTTTTGCCTGGACGAGTTTTCCCAGCCGGGTGAGGTGGTCCCTCAGGGTTCATTTCCCAATAGCTCTTAAAATGACACCTCCTGGTCTTTCCTCTTTCTAAGGCTATTATTTTGGTGGCCCCGAGAGAGAGAGAGAGATGCAAAAATAATAACAGGCGATTCATAAATCGCACTATATTAATACTTTTAATTGATTTTCCAAGACTTGGGTTGCTCCAAGCCCTGACCACTCACATGCCCCCCTGGATTTCACATATCCTGCTTCCCCTGAAATGCCTGGATCCTGATGCGGTTTCAAACCCAGCCGCCCCACACTTCTCTTCCCCGCTCTACCTGTTGGATGACGGCATTGTCGGGTTGCAGCAAATCTGACAGTATCTTCTCCAGCTCCTCAGTTGCCATTGTGCTGGGAGGGGAAGGAGACAGAAATATATATATATATACACGAGGGAAGGGGAAATAAAATAATAATAAAGTTCCAGGGGGAAAGGAGCCCCACTGAAAAGTGGGGCAGGGAGACCCCTGGCTTGTATGGGGAGGGGAAGCCCCACTAGGGATGGAGAGGCTGGAGGAGGAGGAGGAGATATCTGGCCCCCCCACCCCCCAAAAAGAGAGAGAAATGGGGGGAGAAGCCTCAGCCCCACAGGCGAAGGGAGGCAGCTGCCAGGCGAAGCCCAAGTAGCTGTTGGTTACAGAACTCCCAGCACATGTGGAGCAGACAAGGCGGCCGCTTCCGGGGGACAGAGGGGCTCCGCCACGCATGCTTCCGGCGCCTCGGGCTCCCCCTGCTGCCCTGGGAGGACCTACTGGCCACCCTCTGCTCTGAATCTGGATGGGTTGTTTTTTTACGCGTGTTGTTTTAAACTATTTCTGTATATTTCATAAACAGAAATAGTTTAAAACAACACGCGTAAAAAAACAACCACCCACCCCCAGAGTCAGAGTTGAGACTGGATTTTATGCTCTTTATTCAGCTCATAGCAGGGAGGAATGGGAGTTCCCCCGAAATGTCTGCTTTATATACATTATTTAACACAATGGGCCACACGTGATTGGCTAATTCTGGGATTCTCCTGTAGGCCAATCAGATTGGGGTTGGGGTTGGGACTGGAGTTGGATTGGGCGGCGCCTGCGGACCAATCAGCCTGCTGCATTCTGGATCCTCTTGTTCTAGGACCAATCAGCCTGCTGCATTCTGGATCCTATTGTTCTAGGACCAATCAGACTGCTGCATTCTGGATCCTATTAGAGTTGTTTTTAAAAAATGTTTTCAATAATAATTTTTTACAGACTTTACAGATATTAAATTATAACCACCCTAATTACGAATATTTAAGTGATAAGGCGGGTAGTGGTGGGAAGTAAGGGGAGGAGAGGTGCGAAAATATTGTTTAAAAAGGTGTTTGTTGTTGTTTAGTTGTGTCCGACTCTTCGTGACCCCCTGGACCAGAGCACGCCAGGCACTCCTGTCTCCCACTGCCTCCCGCAGTTTGGTCAAACTGATGTTCGTAGCTTCGAGAACATTGTCCCACCATCTCGTCCTCCGTCGTCCCCTTCTCCTCGTGCCCTCCATCTTTCTCAACATCAGGGTCTTTTCCAGGGAGTCTTCTCTTCTCATGAGGAGGCCATTGAGTCTCAGCTTCAGGATCTGTCCTTCCAGTGAGCACTCAGGGCTGATTTCCTTCAGAATGGAGAGGTTTGATCTTCTTGCAGTCCATGGGACTCTCAAGAGTCTCCTCCAGCACCAGAATTCAAAAGCATCCATTCTTCGGCGATCAGCCTTCTTGATGGTCCAGCTCTCGCTGGGAGACTAGGGTTCAAATCCCAACTCAGCCATGAAGCTAACTGGGTGACCTTGGGTATCAGTCACTGCCTGTCAGCCGGGCCTACCTCACAGGGTTGTTGGGATTAAAATGAGAACAGGGAGAACCATGTACGTCACTTTGAGCTCCTTATAATAATAATAATAATTTATTATTTACCCCCCCCCAATCTGGCTGGGTTTCCCCAGCCACTCTGGGCAGCTCCCAACAGGATATTAAAAAGACGATAAAACATCAAACATTAAAAACTTCTCTAAAACGGGCTGCCTTCAGATGTCTTCTAAAAGTCAGGTAGTTGTTTATTTCCTTGACAGGGTGGGTGCCACCACTGAGAAGGCCCTCTGCCTGGCTTCCTGTAACCTCACTTCTCGCAGGGAGGGAACCGCCAGAAGGCCCTCAGAGCTGGACCTCAGTGTCCGGGATGAACAATGGAGGTGGAAACGCTCCTTGAAGGAAGAGGTGGGGTATAAATGCAAGAAAGAAATAAAGAGACAGCCAGAAAGTCTTGCAGCCAGGTTTTTTGGTTTTTCTTTTTAATTAATAAAGTTTAATTTCAAGATCTGTAAAAAGAAACCGCTTGGAACGAAACAAAAATCAAATTAAAAAAACAAAACAAAACCCTAGCTTCGATCCTTGCTAAATATACATAACTCCTCATATATATAATTTCCATATATAATTATAGGCATTTTCTTGACTGTGGCAGAAGGCGAAGAGACAGCTTCTTCCCCCACCCAGACTATAATAGCCCCAGGCACCTTGGGAGTAACAAAAGAGGCAATGTAGGAAAGGGAGGGAGCAAAGGTATTGGCAAAGCAGGGAGGCCTCTGACTGGAGGGGAACTACCTTGTCCATGAGGTGGCAGCGGCTGGTGAAACAAATCCACTGAAGAGGCTGGATCCCCTTCTGAAGGGGTCAACCAGTGTTCCCCAAGCCGGAAGATGTTGGACTACAACTCCCATCATCCATGACCGTTGGCGAAGCTGGCAGGGGATGATGGGAATTGTAGTCCAACAACATAGGGGATTCCCAAACACTGGCGCAGCCTATCCCACAACATGCAAATAGGGGGATCCTTAAAAAGCTGCAGGGAAAGGCCCGCCAAATACAAGACTTTTTCTCTGTCCCCCTCCAACATGGAGAGATCCATTTTAACCTAGCCCCCTCGGAAGGTCTCTGGTCAGCGGAAACCATTATCCAATCCTTAGCCCGCCAATTCTCTCCCGCATTAAGAATCCCATAGAGGGGGAAACCCCGAGGGACAAGGTGGTGCCGGTCGCTGGGGCCATTTCCATCTGCAGGGCCGGCCCTGCCGGTCCTCGTAGGGGCCAGTTTTTATTTGGAATACGATTGGCTGGGACCTGTCACCCAATTGCATAAAAGCTCCGAAGGAAGCAAATCGAGGCAGAACAATCTTCCCCGTTTCCCGGCTGGTCAGCCGCCAAGAGCCCGACTTCCCTTTGGAAGGGAAGGAGAGCGAATGGCTAACCGAGCCCGGCGTTGGTCAGCTGACCAGGCCGCCCAGCCAATAGGAAGAGAGCTCACCCGATTGGTCACATTTCAACCCATTTAAAGGGAGTAACAAACCATAATTCCCACCCCAAAGCGCACAAACTGCAGTTTCGACCATTTTTTTTTTTATAAAAGAAAGGAAATTTGTTGCAGTGCCCACTAATTGGCCAGATTGACAGGTTCGCTGATGGGCTAGTGGCCCTGACCAACAGGAGAGGAGGGCTTAATGGATCCTGTTTCCTGCTGCTTCCCGGCGATCAAGCAACTGCCACTGCGGTGAGCTGGAGAGCTCTCGGAAACCGATCCCAGCTAACGAGAGAGACGGATCGTTTAAAAGCCCAGTTTCCCCGAGCTCGGGCTGATCTCCCAGCCAACTGGGAGGCCCAGCCTTTGAGCGGCGCCAGGTCCTAGCGAATGGGGAAGCAGAGCTTTATGGCAAACAAGAGCGCAAGGAGGGGGCGGGCGCTCAGTCCATCTTGAGGTTGACGTAAATGTAGCGGATGAATTTGAGGGAGGCGAAGAAGGAGATGGTGCCCAGCATGAGGAAGAAGACGTAGCCGGTCAGGAGGGAGTAGCCGAAGAACTCCACCGTCTGCACCGCGCCCGACATGTTGGAGCGGCGGGAGTAGTAGAAGACGGAGTAGAGGAAGATGAAGAGGCCGGTGGAGCCCGCACTCAGCACGGAGCGCCACCACCAGCGGTAGTCCTCGCCCGAGAGCTGGAAGTAGGTGAGGGCGATGGAGATACAGGCGCCAACGCTGAGAAGGATGGCGAAGACGAAGAAGAGGATCCCGTAAAGGGTGTACTGCTCCCGGCCCCACACTGTGGCAAAGATGTAGTAGAGCTCCACAGAAATGGCGCTGCCAATGACAATAAATAATAAATTTAATAATAATAATAATTTATTATTTATACCCCGCCCATCTGGCTGGGCTTCCCTAGCCACTCTGGGCGGCTTCCAAAAAAAAATATTAAAATACTGTAATACATCAAACATTAAAAGCTTCCCTAAACAGGGAATAAAGATAATAATAATAATAATAATAATTTTTATTTATACCCCGCCCTCCCCAGCCAAGGCTGGGCTCAGAGCGGCTTACAAGCAATAATAAAAACAAGTTGAATGATTACAACTGAAAAACAAAATTAAAATACAGCATTAAAATATTGAAACATTAAAATATTAAAATGTAGCCTCATTGCAGGAGGAGAAGGAAAAGAAAAAAGAAAGAGAGGGAGGGAATCAAATTGGCTCCAAGCCAAAGGCCAGGCGGAACAACTCTGTCTCACAGGCCCTGCGGAAAGAAATCAGATCCTGTAGGGCCCTGGTCTCATGAGGCAGAGCGTTCTTTATTTATTAAAGATAAATAAAGATAATAATAAGCGTATTTGTACCTCACCCGTCTGAGTTGAACCCCTAATTCTGGACACAATGGAGATGTAAAAGATTTGGGTCATAATAATAATAATAATTTATTATTTATACCCCGCCCATCTGGCTGGGTTTCCCCAGCCACTCTGGGTGGCTTCCAACAGAACACTAAAATACAGTAACCTATTAAACATTAAAAGCCTCCCTAAACAGGGCTGGCTTCTGATGTCTTCTAAAAGTCTGGTAGTTGTTCTTCTCTTTGACATCTGGTGGGAGGGCGTTCCACAGGGCGGGTGCCACTACCGAGAAGGCCCTCTGCCTGGTTCCCTGTAACTTGGCTTCTCGCAGTGAGGGAACCGCCAGAAGGCCCTCGGCGCTGGGCCTCAGTGTCCGGCAGAATGAAGAAAAGATACAGGAGGAAATTATTAGGAAGAGGACCCACAAAGGGGAGGATGGAAGTCCAAGAGATTCCTTAGAATCTTGTTTTTACATAACTGCAAAATTTTAATCTGAAAAACTAAATAAAAACACTCGTGCCTTGGATCCCAAACGCCCTGGAACTCGGGACGTTTTGGCTCCCAAGCGCCGCAAACCTGGAAGCAATTGTCGCCGTTTGCAAACGTTCTTTTGGAACCTGAAGTCTAATGGGGCTTCCATGGCTTCTGATTGGCTGCAGGGGCTTCCTGCAGCCAATCAGAAGCCGTGATTTGGCTTTCAAATGTTTTGGAAGTTGAACGGACTTCCGGAATGGATTCCGTCCGACTTCCAAAGTACGACTGTAATTTTAAAAGCCAAAATAATAGAGTTGCACCAGCCACTCTGGGCGGCTTCCAAAGTTTAGCTCCGTGGGATCCCCACGAGCTCCGACATTATAAGAAAGCGTTCTGTAAGCGCTCTCTCTTTTGCAAACCTTTATCAGGTCACCTCCTACTTGACTTTTCACTTTTATTCATTTATTTATCCGCAGGAAAAGAGCAAACCAATCGAAACGAAAACAAAAAAAATAAAGAGAGGGAGAAAAAAAGGGGGAAAGTATACAGTGGTACCTCAGGTTAAGTACTTAATTCATTCCGGAGGTCCGTTCTTAACCTGAAACTGTTCTTAACCTGAAGCACCACTTTAGCTAATGGGGCCTCCCGCTGCTGCCGCAGCACGATTTCTGTTCTCATCCTGAAGCAAAGTTCTTAACCCGAGGTACTATTTCTGGGTTAGCGGAGTCTGTAACCTGAAGCGTATGTAACCCGAAGTACCACTGTAAAGTCCTCCTTCCCAGGTAGATCCTAACTTGTCCCACACAGAAGAAAGGTGAACTTTCCCAGCTCTCACCTGGGAGCATCCCTTTCTTCTCCCAACCTGGGAGATCTTCCCTTCCCTGCCTCTTACGCAGGGTCCTTCAACAACGAAGCATCACCTTCACCGGCATGTTAGCCGCTCCTTAACCCCGAGTCGGGGGACTGCACTCTGCATAACCCCACATCCTTATTTCAGACATTGTGATATATCGGCATATGGCCGTGTTTAGCTGGTGATGTATCACGGTGTTGAAAACCAGACATCACCCTGCCCTACTGCACGCAATAATAAAAGAAGCAAGGAAAAGAAGCAAAAGAAAAAAGAACGATAGAGAGAGAAAAGAAGAGAGGAAAAAGCGAAAGGAAACAAAGAAAGCAAAAGCAGTATCATTTTTGGATATTGTATAATGATTTAATGTATAACAATTTAATACAGTGGTACCTCGGGTTAAGAACTTAATTCGTTCCGGAGGTCCGTTCTTAACCTGAAACTGTTCTTAACCTGAAGCACCACTTTAGCTAATGGGGCCTCCTGCTGCCGCCGTGCTATTTCTGTTCTCATCCTGAAGCAAAGTTCTCAACCTGAGGTACTATTTCTGGGTTAGTCTGTAACCTGAAGCGTCTGTAACCCGAGGTACAACTGTATTTCTTTTCTGTTATGTATTATTTCTCTTTTTTACTAAATTTTATAATGGAAAAAAAATAAATAAAAAGAAATAAAAATAAAAAATAAAAAAATAAAATAAAATAAAATAAAATAAATTAAATTAAATTAAATTAAAAAATAAATAAATAAAATAAAATAAAAGTGGGCAGCTCAGAACCCAGGAGGGATAGAAAAGGATGGAGGCAGCCGGAGACCCAGGCTCTGCGCCGACTCTCACCTGAAGGGGAGGAAGCCCCCAATTGTCATATGAACCAGCGTGGACTTGTACCAAGGCTGGGGCGGGATTTCCCGGGCGATGTTCTTGGTGCGACAGGGGGCGTCAAAGGGCCCCGCCCGGTTCTTGCCGAAGATGCCGCCGATGACCGTGAGAGGGAAGCCCACCAGCAGCCAGACGGTCAGCAGCAGCAGGATGGTGGTAGCTGGCAGCGCCTGCGTTGACCCGTTGGCCCAGTGCACCGAGTTGACCACACTCCACGTCAGGAAGAAGGGAGCTGGGCAGAGGCAGGGAGAGAGAAGCACACGCAGCAGCGTCAGCAACAAATAGAGGGCTGTATCCGTCTCAGGCAAATTGGACCAGCTGCCCTCCCTCCCCCCCCACGCTCCTTTGTGGGGATCTTGTTAGTACAGTGGACGCAGGTGGCGCTGTGGGTTAAACATGCCGATCAGGTCGGTGGTTCGAATCCCCGCGACGGGGTGAGCTCCCATTGCTCGGTCCCTGCTCCTGCCAACCTAGCAGTTTGAAAGCACCTCAAAGTGCAAGTAAATAGGTACCACTCTGGTGGGAAGGTAAACGGCGTTTCTGTGCGCTGCTCTGGTTCGTCAGAAGCGGCTTAGTCCTGCTGGCCACATGACCCGGAAGCTGTACGCCGGCTCCCTCGGCCGATAAAGCGAGATGAGCGCCGCAACCCCAGAGTCGGTCACGACTGGACCTAATGGTCAGGGGTCCCTTTACCTTTACCTCGGGTTAAGAACTTAATTTGTTCCGGAGGTCCATTCTTAACCTGAAACTGTTCTTAACCTGAAGCACCACTTTAGCTAATGGGGCCTCCTGCTGCTGCCGCACCACTGCTGCGCAATTTCTGTTCTTATCCTGAAGCAAAGTTCTTAACCCGAGGTCCTATTTCTGGGTTAGCAGAGTCTGTAACCTGAAACGCATGTAACCTGAAGCATCTGTAACCCGAGGTACCACCGTATTGTAATGTCTCATTCTCACATTGCATAATGTTGCAGGTTTCCTTTAATTACTTAATTGATGTATGAGTATGGGAACTATTTAAACGTCTCCTCCCTCTCTGCTCTGCTCCTCTGTTGAAGAAGGAGGATGTGAGAGTCGTCCTATTGTTTGGTTGTTTGCTTTATAAATAAAAGCTTTGATGTTACCATTCCAACCACAGTTGCTGCTGCTGCATTCTGCTGTAAAGGACTGAGTTTACTAGCTGCAAACGGGCGTTAATGCTCACAGATCTAACACGGCCCCTGAGAAATCCGCTCTCGTTTTACAAAGAGCAGCATGTTCCTAGTCCTCATGAGGTGCAAACGAATCGGAACATGTGGCAACAAGATTATCCAGCAGAGGAACAGAACTGAGTTCACAGGCCTCCCACCCACAAAACTCCACATCAGGTTACCCTCCCAGAAACTTTCTTCATTGCAGCAATGTAATGGGAGGGGAGATTTTGTTGCTGCACAACTGGGAATCAGAAATCCTTGCTGATCTGCTTAAAACCATCAGAGATCCATCAACAGGTAGCGATATACCTTCTGCTCACCCCTGCCCTAGGCCACCACCCTCAAAAGATCCCATCAACGGTGTCTCCGGAAAATTTTGCACATCACCTGGGAAGACAGGCGAACTAATGCCAGTGTACTGGCAGAAGCAAAGATCATCAGTGTCAAAGCAATGATTCTTCAACATCCACTTCGTTGGACTGGTCATGTTGTGCGAATGCCTGATTATCATCTTCCATAGCAACTACTCTATTTCCAACGTAACAATAGAAAGCGTAATACCAGTGGTCAACAAAAGAGGTTTAAATACTCTCTCAAGGCAAATCTTTTAAAAGGCAGTATAAACACCAACAACTGGGAAACACTGGCTTGCGAGCGCTCCAGTTGGAGAACAGCCTTTACCAAATGTGTCCTGGGCTTTGAAGACACTTGAACTCAGGATGCAAGGGAGAAACGCGCTAAGAGGAAGGAACGCTTGGCAAACCCTCACCACGATCAACTCCCACCTGGAAAACTATGTCCCCACTATGGAAGGATGTGTGGATCCAGAACTGGCCTCCACAGTCACTTACGGTCTCACTGTTAAGACCATGTTTATGGAAGACAATCTTACTCGGCTACGAGTGATCGCCAGAGAAGAAAGAAAGAAGAAGACAGAAGTGGGGAACATAGAGGAGACTCGTGAAGACTGCCACTAGCAGGGACTAAGGTAAAGGTAAAGGGACTCCTGACCATTAGGTCCAGTCGTGACCGACTCTGGGGTTGTGGCGCTCATCTCGCTTTATTGGCCAAGGGAGCCAGCGTATGGCTTCCGGGTCATGTGGCCAGCAGGACTAAGCTGCTTCTGGCGAACCAGAGCAGCGCACGGAAACGCCGTTTACCTTCCCGCTGGAGCGGTACCTATTTATCTACTTGCACTTTGACGTGCTTTCGAACTGCTAGGTTGGCAGGAGCAGGGACTGAGCAACGGGAGCTCACCCCGTCGCGGGGATTCGAACCGCCGACCTTCTGATTGGCAAGTCCTAGGCTCTGTGGTTTAACCCACAGCGCCACCCGCAGGGACTAGCAAGACCCAAATGTATAGAAGGATGATCTACAGAGGGACCAGATTGTCCCAATCCTCTGGGCAAAGGAGAGGCAGCCGAAGAGCTCTCTCCTCCAAGGACAGGTTCCTCTCACTCCCAAAGTTTGCCCCGATGCAAAAGGACTGAAAACACCGCCGGGCCTCTGGGAATGTAAAAAGGTGAAATGTTTTTGGGAAACGATATACAACGAGTTGAAAAAAATGTTGAAATATACATTTACAAAGAAACCAGAAGCATTTCTAATGGGAATGGTGGGAAGTGATATAAATAGAAAAGAATGTAAGCTTTTTTTATATGCAGTAACAGCAGCTAGAATACTATTAGCCCAGAAATGGAAGCAAGAAGAATTGCCAACGATTGAAGAATGGAGGATGAAGTTGATGGACTATGCAGAATCAGACAAATTAACAGGAAGGATTCGAAACCGGCGGGACCAGAAATTTACCGAAGACTGGAGTAAATTTACAAACTATATGAAAAGTATTTGTGATGATCAGACGATGTTTGTAGGTTGGCAAGAAGTTCTGTGAGGGGTATTGTTGGAAATATTGTAAAAATGGAAAAGGGGAGATGATAAGAGAGGTAAAGACAATATAAAATTAAGTAATGCATAAAAAGAGGTGAAGACGGAAGATCATTGGAGGTGCTGATGGAAGTCCAAAAAAAGTGTATTTGTAATAATTTGTGTGGTATGTTTTATAATTTGTATGTTAAAATTAATAAAAATGTATTCAAAAAAAAGAAAAGAAAACGCCGCTGGGCCTCACCGGAGAAAAGGCTGGTGGTGAGCAGGATGTTCCAGACCCAGCGCTCGCCTCCAATCTGGCGGTAGAAGTTGCTGGAGACATAGCCGGAAATGCAGCAGGTGAGGGCATAGAGCAGGATAGCGGCCGAGTTGATGGCGCCGTGCCGGTGGACGTTGAACATGCCCAAGAGAGCCATGACGATGATCCCCGTGCCCAGGGCTAGGAACTGGCTGCCCACCCCCAGCACGGCGCAGAGGAGGCTGCGGCAGGGCGGGAAGCGGAAGACGTCCGTGTGGATGATCTTCCAGCCGTTGTCGCCCTGGTCGAAGTCGTCGCCCGAGGACGAGGTGGAGGCCTCCTCGTCCAGGTTGTAGCGCGCCAGGTCGTTCTTGAGCACCCTCATGAGGATGACGACGACAAAGCCCACCAGCAGGAAGACCAGGACCATGGAGTTGATGATGGAGAGCCAGTGGATCTCCAAGGTGCGGGGGAAGAAGCCGTCGTCGCCGCTGCGGCTGCCTCGCCGGTCGCCTCGCCGCTCCAGCGCCGTCTCGGACCAGCGGACGCTGTAGGTGTGGGCCACGGGGAGGACGCTGCGGACGTCGTCCAAGCTGGTGGGTTTGACGTTGCGGACGCTGACGTTGGCGTAGATGATGCGGTCGCCGTTCCACTCCAGGTGGAAGTCCAGGTGGGTCCAGAGGCCGATCTTGTGGGTGTGGGGGAGGAAGCCGCTTTCCTCCATGTACCCCACAAAGCCACGGAGAGGCAGGTCGTCCACCACAAACTCAAAGTAGTACAACTCTTCAATGGCTTGCCGGAGATGCTCCACCTGCCGGGGAGGAAGGAAACCGTCAGGACAGAAGGGAAAGAAAGATTTATAATGAACTGAAAAAGATGTTGAAATATACATTTGTTAAGAAACCGGAGGCTTTTCTTTTAGGAATTGTAGGAAATGAAATATGTAAAAAAAGATTGTAAACTTTTCCAATACGCAGTAACAGCAGCGAGAATACTCATGGCCCAAAAATGGAAACAGGAAGAATTACCGACGGTTGAAGAATGGAGATTGAAATTGACGGACTTTGCAGAACTGGATAAACTAACGGGGAAGATTCGATATTTGCGAGACCAGAAGTTCACCGAGGACTGGGGAAAATTTACAGATTATCTGAAAAGTATATGTGATGAACAGACAACGCTTGTAGGTTTTCAAGACTTTCTGTGAAAATATGAGGAATATTGTAAAAAAGGGAATAAGATTGGGGAGGTTATATTTCAAAGGCAATATTAAAATTAGAAAATGTGTGAATAAATAAACAAAACGGAAGATTGGCAGAGAAACTGGGGGAAGTAAAAAAAAAAAAAAAGATTATGTGATAAATTGTGATATTGGCTATATAAATTTGTATTTGAAAATGAATAAAAAATATTATTAAAAAAAAGAAGGGAAAGAAACCAACACACCCCAAACGGTGCTTGAGTCGTAGAACTGTAGAAATGGAAGGGACCCCAAAGGTCATCCAACCCCCTGCAATGCAGAAATCGTTCGCCCAACGTGGGACTCGAACCCACGACGCTGAGGTTAAAAGAGACTCATGCTCTACTGACTGAGCTTGGTCTTACCGATTGCTTTCTTCCCCGAGATTTCAAAAGCCCGAGGATGCATGGGATTCAGTATTTGCCTCTAATCTGAGAGTGCGCAAATAAACTGTTTTATTTTTATTCCATTTATTGATTTTATATACCGCCCTACGCCCGGGGGTCTCCGGGTGGTTCACAGAATAAAATCAAGATATAAAACCACAAAGTACCTAATAAAAATAAAACAGCAACCCAATACCCCCCCCAAAAAAAAACACATTTTAAAAGGGCATAGGATGTAAATCAGATCAACCAAAGGCCTGGTTAAAAAGGAACGTTTTTGCCTGGCACCTCAAGGTGTATAACGAAGGCGCCAGGTGAACTTCCCTGCGGAGAGCATCCCACAGATGGGGAGCCACTGCAGAGAAGGCCCCGTTCTCGTGTTGCCACCCTCCAAACCTCTCGAGGAGGAGACACATGAAGGAGGGCCTCAGAAGATGATCTAAGGGTCTAGGTAGGTTCATATGGGAAGAGGTGGTCCTTGAGGTATTGTGGTCCTGAGCCGTTTAAGGCTTCATAGATCAAAACCAGCACTTTGAATTGGGCCCGGAAACTAACTGGTAGCCCGTGCAGTTGCACCAGGATCAGCGTAAGATGCTCAAACTGTCTTGCTCCGATGAGCAACCTGGCCGCTGAATTCTGCACTAGCTGAAGTTTCCGAACCTATGGAATTTGAAGTTTCCGAACCTATGGAATTCTATCATTAATGAATGATAGAATGATGTTGGATAGTAATTAAGCGGTTTCCAGCTGTAATGCTCTAAGAGAATATGGAAAAAGGGTTATAAATGGGTTAAAATCTAATGGTAAGGATTTGCTGAACCAATAAATTGAAGCAGAATACAAAAAAGGGAGGTACGAGGAGGTCCGGGAAACAAGCTAAAGGAAAATAAGTAATAGAAAATATGTGTGTTTTTAACTGTTTTTATTTTGTATTTTTCTTTTTCATTATTACTGTAATATTTCAAAAAACCTTAATAAATAGCTTATAAAAAAAAATAGAAGCCCTACTCCCAAATCTCAGAAGCATAGCTTTCTGTGGCTTGGTTATTTGTGGAAGAAATGTACACTGCACAGACTTCTAGAAGCACTGTTACACAGCATGTCCAGCACTCGTGTGTATTTAACATTCAGCTCTGAAAGGGTTTGAACCTTTTGCATGGGATCAGTATGTGCGTTCATTTAAAAATGTGTGTATACCTTTAACTCTCATGCCCAATAAAGAATTTATCACAAAACACACACAAAAAAGGAATTTGCTGCCCACGAGGTGTAGCGACAGCAACCAACTTGGACAGCTTTAAATGAGGATTAGACAAATTTGTGAAGGAGAAGGCTACCAACGTCTACTATCTCCACCGTCAGAAGGAGGATGTCCCTGAATTTGGAGTGCTGTTGTGGGGGCTTCCCATAGGCATCTTGTTTGCAAGGCTAAAATTAGGATGCTAGCTGGACAGGTCTGATGTTCTAACCCAGGGGTCTGCAACCTTTAAGACAAAAAGAGCCACTTGGACCAGTTTCCGAAGAGAAAAAAAACTGGGAGCTGCAAAACTCGTCATTATAAAAATAACTTTTTTGTCACTTTTTTTTATTATTTCTTTGTTTGACCCCTCAGAATTACTCCTCCTCATAGAAATAAACGTTAAATTAACAAGTTACCTTTTTGTGTGTGTGTGTTCTTCAAAACAGTGACCAGCATACATGCCCCCTTTCAATGCAGTGACCAGCGTACATGCCCCTTACAATGTAGCGGGCGGGTGGGCGGGAAGGTGATGTCGGGACGGTGCATGACTAATGCACGCACCGCCCCCATGCGACGTCACAGCCAGTACAGCGCCCGCCACAGTGGGGAGTGTCGGGGCGCACAATGCACCTCCTCCCCTCGCTAGTATCCGCCCCGGAGCCGCGGCAAAGGTGTAAAAGAGCCACATGCGGCTCCGGAGCCGCGGGTTGCAGACCCCCTGTTCTAACCCAACAAAGTCCAGGTTAGATTCAGAGCCAGGAATATGACACACACACAAAATCCCGAGAAAGGAACAGTGGCAAGAGAAATTGATGAAGTATGCAGAATTGGCTAAATTGACATACAAACTGCGAAATAAGGAAAACTGTGACTTTAAAGAAGAATGGGAACTTTTTACAAAGTACTTAAAAAGACAACAAAATGAATTGGACTCCTTGTCAGGTTTTGAATAAGCATACACAAATTTAGCGTTTAGTGACATGGTAGATAGATAATATAAGGATTGAAATAATTTTATAATATGCAGAGGGTGACATGTGCTGAGAAATCAGAGAGAGGAGCTGAGGGAAGTCTTGGAGGGAGGGGGGTTTGATGGGGAATGGGAAACAAGGAGGGGGGAATAATGAACATGATATGTTTTGATATGCTATGTGGAAATGGTTAATAAAAAAAAATATTAAAGAAAAAAAGGAATAAGACACACCCACCCACCCCAATATCCTGGAGCCCAAGCTGACCAGAAGAGGAATATGTGTTGAGATACCAGACTCTGAAAACAATAACAGGAGTAAAGGTAAAGGTAAAGGGACCCCTGACCATTAGGTCCAGTCGTGGCCGACTCTGGGGTTGCGGCACTCATCTCACTTTATTGGCTGAGGGAGCCTGCGTACAGCTTCCGGGTCATGTGGCCAGCATGACTAAGCCACTTCTGGCGAACCAGAGCATCACATGGAAATGCCGTTTACCTTCCCGCTGGAGTGGTGCCTATTTATCTACTTGCACTTTGACGTGCTTTCGAACTGCTAGGTTGGCAGGAGCAGGGACCGAGCAAAAGGGAGCTCACCCCGTCGCAGGGCTTCGAACCGCCGACCTTCTGATCAGCAAGCCCTAGGCTCTGTGGTTTAACCCACAGCACCACCCACGTCCCTAAAGGTAAAGGTAAAGGGACCCCTGACCATTAGGTCCAGTCGTGGCCGACTCTGGGGTTGCGGCCCTCATCTCGCTTTATAACAGGATAAAAGGAATCAGCTGTCAAACCTTAAAGTCAAATTAGGGATGTCCCACAGAACCAGGAACCCAGGCGGTAAACACCAGCTCCATGAAACAGACCTTGGAATCCAAGATTTTCTGGCCGGGCTTACCTGCTCAGGTGTGAGCTTCATTTCGCAGAGGACCTTCTTGTCAACGTTCTCCCGGAAGCGGATCTCATACATCGACTCGGCCATGCGGTCTCCATCCAGCACCTCCCCCAAGGTAAGGCTTTTGTGGCGGATATTCTCCGGGGAGCACACAGGGAGCTGGTAGTAATGGTAGGTCTCCTGGGGGTTGTGGTAAGGCCCCACTTTGTTGACGTAAAGCATCACTGGGTCCCCCCGCTGATAGTGGGTCTCTGAAGAGGCCGTGGATAAGAGGGAAAGGAGGAAGAAAAGGAGGAGGACAAGAAACGGGGGGCGGGCCATCATGGGGTGGTAACAGGAGAAAGGGGGGTGGGAACTGGGCCGGGGCTTTGGGAGGAAGAACAGAAAAGCATTATTCAGCGAGGCACAATTTCTCTGGAATCACATTATAGTTTTGGGGACACTATCTTGGCCAATGCCAACTTAAGGTCTTGGTCCTGGGTCACAGTCACCCCACACATTTTGAAATCACTATATTACAGCTGCAAACAGCTGCGGCTTCCCTCAAAGAATTTTGGGAGCTGTATTTTGGTACCGGTGCCAAGTCGTGAGGAAGCCCGTTCCTCACTGAGTTACGGTTGTCAGAATTCCCTGAGGAGATGGATTGATTGTGAGAGGAATAGGGTTCTCCTAACACCCTCAATTAGGGACGCGGGTGGCGCTGTGGGTTAAACCACAGAGCCTAGGACTTGTTGATCAGAAGGTCGGCAGTTCGAATCCCTGCAACGGGGTGAGCTCCCGTTGCTCGGTCCCAGCTCCTGCCAACCTAGCAGTTCGAAAGCACGTCAAAGTGCAAGTAGATAAATAGGTACCGCTCCGGTGGGAAGGTAAACGGCGTTTCCGTGCGCTGCACTGGTTTGCCAGAAGTGGCTTAGTCATGCTGGCCACATGACTGTACGCCGGCTCCCTCGGCCAATAAAGCGAGATGTGCGCCGCAACCCGAGTCGGCCACGACTGGACCTAATGGTCAGAGGTCCCTTTACCTTTAACACCCTCAATGAACTACAGCTCCCAGAATTCTTTGGGGGGAAGCCATGACTATTTAAATTGATATCATGATGCTTTTTAAACACATGGTGTCAAGTGTGGGCTTGGTGGCTTCCTCGGTGCCTGTAGAGTTTGGGATCACTATGCCTGACTTAAAGAGCTTCCATTCTTTACTATGGGAGCTCCCAGAAATCAACCGTTTTGAGGGCACCATTCTGTTGACGTCAAAGCACCTGAGAAACACCCCATTGATCCCTAGAGTCCATTGCTGGGTCTTCCCTTCCCCCAAACTCCAACAAACAACAACCCCATAAACTTAGAAGCATGGGCCACCTTTCCAACTCATGACAACCTAGGCGTTTTTTGTGCCCTCATAGTACCACCACCTGCGGCTTTGGGGGAGAGGGAGAACAAAGGCCCTGCCAGGGATCAGCCTTCAGGAAACCGCATGTTGAAAGATTCAGGACAGATAAACAGACAGTCTTCCTTCACACAGTGCATAGTCAAACTATTGGACTCGCTCCCCCAGGAGGCAGCGATGGCCCCCACATGCAGGGCTCTAAAAGAGGATTAGGCAATTCCATGGAGGAGAGGGCTATTGATGCTACTAGCCAGAATTGATGCTTTTGAATTATGGTGCCGGAGGAGACTCTTGAGAGCCCCATGGACTGCAAGGAGATCCAACCTCTCCATTCTGAAGGAAATCAGCCCTGAGTGCTCCCTGGAAGGACAGATCCTGAAGCTGAGGCTCCAAGACTTTGGCCACCTCATGAGAAGAGAAGACTCCCTGGAAAAGACCCTGATGTTGGGAAAGATGGAGGGCACAAGGAGAAGGGGATGACGGAGGACGAGATGGTGGGACAGTGTTCTCAAAGCTACGAACATGAGTTTGACCAAACTGCGGGAGGCAGTGGAAGACAGGAGGGCCTGGTGTGCTCTGGTCCAGGGGGCCATGAAGAGTCGGACACGACTAAACGACTCAACAACAAGCCAGGATGGCTCTGCTCTGCCTCCACAGCTGGAGAAAGCAACACTTCCAAACACCTGTTGTGCTGGAAACCACAGGAGCCTCTCTCCCCTGATCTGATCCTGCTCTCTGCTTTCCCCAAAGGGATCAGGATGCTGGGCCATCGGCCTGATCCAGCAGGCGACTCTTAGGCTCCTTAGCCAAACGATGGTTTGGAAATGCAGTTTTGACCTAGGGTGGGGGGGGTGAGAGGGGGAGTCTCAAGCCGCAAGTATTTGTTCGTTCATTCATCCACACACAAGTGCCGTATCGGGTCACGGCAATCTGGGACCCTTCCTTAAGCGGCCATCCCTTTAGGTCCATTGTTTGGGGGATGCCCACTCTGAATGCCACACTGCAGGGGGGGCTGTACTCCATGGTCACAGAACCACAGAATTGCTGAGTGGGAAGGGACCCAAGGGTCATCTAGTCCAACCCCCTGCGATGCAGGAATCTTTTTGCCCAGCGTGGGACTCGAACCCTTGACCCTCAAGTTAAGAGTCTCACGCAACGACGGCAGCAAGAATATTATCGGCACAAAAATGGAAGCAAGAAGAATTACCGACGAAAGAAGATCAGAGGATGAAATTGATGGACTCTGCAGAATTAGACAAACTAACAGGAAGAATTCGAAACCGGCGGGACCAGAGATTCGCAGAAGACTGGTGTAAATTTACGGACTATTTGAAAAGTAACTGTGATGATCAGATTATGTTTGTAGGTTTTGTGAGGTGAATAATTTGAATGATTGCATAAATGGATAAAGAGGAGGATGTTAGTTAAGATAACTAATTTAAGAAATGATAAAAATGGGTGCCGATCAGAGGTGCCGATGGAAGTTCAAAAAGACTGTATAAGATGTGAAGTTTTGTGGTATGTAGGACAATTTATATGTTTAAAAATTAATAAAAATTATTATATATATATATATATAAAAGAGAGTCTCATGCTCTACCGGCTGAGCTATGCTAGTCTACCTTATGGGGGAGGGGGTTCTTTTGCAGGTGCAGCAATGGCACCCTAGGAAGACCCTCCTGCACCCACCCTAGCGCCCACCCTGGAAGCCTCCCTAAGCAGGGGAGCTGCCCCTCTGCCCCCCCAAATACCCCAAATGCCCCCCAGTCTCTGCAGCACAGGCTCCCACTCCTCACCTGACCTCACCTCTCTCTCTGGGGCTGCCCTTGGCGCTGCCTGAGGGTCTTGCACCTCCTTCTGCCCGGGGGCGGGGGGAGAGGAAGCGGGGGTCTCCAGGCGCAGAGGGTGAAGGGGCGCGCGCCTCTCAGCCCCAGGGGCTTCCCATGCCCGCGCCTGGCCCCACTGCTCCCTTCAGCCCGGCTCCCAGCCCGTTCTCTTCCCAACGCCGCTCTTCCCCGGCTCTCTGCCAACGAGGAGGCTCGCGGCTAAGGGCTGTGGCGGATCATTCGAGGGGCCGGAGGCTCGCGGCGCCTCGGGGTCCTTCAGGCGATCTCCGAGGGCAGGCCCGGCCACGTCCGTCGGCTGCTTCCGCCCTCAGCAAGAGCGCGGGGGGCCTGGCTGCCCGCACGGTGACGTAATTCCGAGTTTGAGGGACACGGCGGCGGCGGCGGCGGGAAGCGTAGACTCCATAGAGACGGGGAGAAAACACACACACACCCCGGCTCGCGCGCATGCGCGCAGGAGGTTGTTCCGCTCTTGCCCCGCCCACCTGTTAAAGGGGCAGGCGCGAGCTGGAGGTCGGCGGAGAGAAATTCAAGCCGGGAGAGGAGGGAAGGTGGATGAGCCTTAAAGGCTCCATTTCCCAGAAGGCAAAACTGAGGCAGGAAAGAAAGACGGCGGGGGTGGGATGCCGGATCTCCTTAATTCCCCCCAAGTGGAGTGCAAAGCGCTGGAAAAGGGCGGGGTGACTCTGATCATGCTAAGAGTGCATTTTCATTGCGTGGCTGGATGTTTGCCTACTTTGCAGCAGGCAGAAATCCAACAGGGGGAGCTACTTCCGCCGCCACCAGCCACAGCTAGGGAAAAAAGAGTGTGGCTATAAATTCAGGGCTACCCTTTAGCCTTAGCAGCAGAGGCACCTCACAGCATTTCTGCCCAGGGCTGCTCTTGTTTCCAAAGCTTATCAGGCTTGTGCATTCAGTAGAAAGTGAGAATTCAATTACCTAAAAAGAGAAAGAGAGAATTATTAAGACCTCATGCTGCAGTAAGGAACCGGGACACTTTTGACACCTAGGTGTATATTTCTGGATCCAGCTTATTTTCGTAATTGCAAGCAAAACAAAATGCTAGCACGTTTGCAAAGCTAAGCAGTTTCAAATAGGATGGGGGGCACGTCTTGAGGGTGTCAAATTAGAGGACCCTCAGAATTCTTTCCAACTCTGCAATTCCCTGATTCTGTGATTCTATTTTAATGTTGCAAATCACCCTGGGAACCTAAGGTGAAAGGTGGATAATTAACAGAATACAATATAACAGCATGCCATAGACACTCAGCGACTGAAAAGGAAAATGCCTATAAATCTCATTGACAAGCTGATGTTAGGCAATGGAGACTGAGGCCCCAGGAGTAACACCCTATGAATATTTCGTTTACTTTGAGGTGAGGGTGCCTGGGGTTGGTTTGCAAATCCCACAGACCTGTCGCTCTTCCCTTTCCAAAATTAAGCCTGCAAAAATAAATGTCCATACAAGCTGAATGCAGCCCATCAGCTCTGATGATAAAGATTATGGTAGTACGTCAAGGCTGTATATTGTCTCCCTGCTTATTTACGGTAACTTATATGCAGAATTCATCATGCAAAAGGCTGGGCTGGATGAATCCCTAGCCGGAATTAAGATTGCCAGAAGAAATATCAACAACCTCAGATATGCAGATGCCACAACCTTGATGGCAGAAAGTGAGGAGGAATTAAAGAACCTTTTAATGAGGGTGAAAGAGGAGAGCGCAAAATATGGTCTGAAGCTCAACATCAAAAAAAACGAAGATCATGGCCACTGGTCCCATCACCTCCTGGCAAATAGAAGGGGAAGAAATGGAGGCAGTGAGAGATTTTACTTTCTTGGGCTCCATGATCACTGCAGATGGTGACAGCAGTCACGAAATTAAAAGACGCCTGCTCCTTGGGAGAAAAGCAATGACAAACCTAGACAGCATCTTGAAAAGCAGAGACATCACCTTGCCAACAAAGGTCCATATAGTTAAAGCCATGGTTTTCCCAGTAGTGATGTATGGAAGTGAGAGCTGGACCATAAAGAAGGCTGATCACCGAATAATGGATACTTTTGAATTCTAGTGCTGGAGGAGACTTGAGAGTCCCATGGACTGCAAGAAGTTCAAACCTCTCCATTCTGAAGGAAATCAGCCCTGAGTGCTCACTGGAAGGACAGATCCTGAAGCTGGGACTCCAAGACTTTGGCCACCTCATGAGAAGAGAAGACTCCCTGGGAAAGACCCTGATGTTGGGAAAGATGGAGGGTGCAAGGAGATGGTGGGACAGTGTTCTCGAAGATACCAGCATGAGTTTGACCAAATTGCGGGAGGCAGTGGAAGACAGGAGTGCCTGGCGTGCTCTGGTCCATGGGGTCACGAAGAGTCGGACACGACTAAACGACTCAACAACAACAACAAATTGTATCACATAGCATCCCTGAAAAAATGGTGTGTGTGTCGCAAGTACCTGACCTACCACAAAATGGAGAGAGGGCTGCATTGAATTTGGTGACCCATGACCTTATGCAGACTTTGGTTCAAGGAGCTGCGTCCGAATATCTCCCCTTTAATCCTGGCTAACCCCCATGTATATGTTCTCAACTCCTTTCCTGAGCCCAATTTGGAAGTTCCATTCAACGCATGTTTGCGGCTGAAGGCCCTGCAGTGCTGCGAGATTACTTTTCGGCAACTGCGTTTTTGTCCGAGGCGAGGACCTGGAATCCTGACGCAGCCCGTGGGTGGGGCAGCGCCCGCACCCTTTGCCTCGAGACAAACCCCCATTGCCAGCCAAGGAACCGGAACCCCTCCGACCAATGGGCGCGAGCGGAATGTTGGGACGTGGCTATGACATCATCGGAATCCCGGGGGGAATCTAGGTTGGTGGAGGGCGGGGGGTCAAGGTGTTGTTGTCGGGGGGCCCCGGAAGGCTGGATCTTCTCACCTCCTTTGAAGCTATCGCAAAGAAGGGTGCCAACTTGGATTTGCCCATCCTGGACACAAGTAGGGTGAGATCCACTGGATCTCACCATCGTTAAGGCAGAAAAACGTGCCACCCAGTTCCCTTTCAGCTGGGCTGTGCGGTGGGAGAAGCCAGCCTTCTCACACCAGGTTGGGTCTATTGCCTTCCCATTAGACACTGCTGACCTAACAATTATTGGCAGTATTGAGCACCTTCCCCGTAGACCTTGAGCTGAAACAAGAAGCCACTGGCTGGTTGAAGGAGGTTTGAGGCAGCACACAAGACTTCAATCATGGTTGAACATTCGGCCTCCACGCCCTACGTCTCTGTGATGGACCAGTATGGTTACCAGGTCGGCAAAGTGATCGGCCACGGTTCCTACGGGACCGTCTACGAAGCCTATTTTGCCAAGCAGAAGACGATGGTGGCCATCAAAATCATCTCCAAGAAGAAGGCCTCGGAGGATTACCTCACCAAATTCCTGCCGAGGGAGATACAGGTTGTTATTCTCATGGTGCCGCGTGGATACCCCTTCCAGCCCTGAGCTTTTCCATAGGGCACTTCGCTGTGGGCTCGGGAATGTGTGTTTTGAGCATCCTCGTGACGTCACCCCCATCCAAATGCTGCTCTGAATTTCTTGCCCCCCGTTTAATCCAGATTTGCTGTGTCCTTTGGGAAATCTAAGAGATTTGTGGGTTTGTTGTTGTTGTTTAGTCGTTTAGTTGTGTCCGACTCTTCATCACCCCCTGGACCAGAGCACACCAGGCACCCCTGTCTTCCACTGCCTCCCGCAGTTTGGTCAAACTCATGCTGGTAGCTTGGAGAACACTGTCCAACCATCTCGCCCTCCGACATCCCCTTCTCCTTGTGCCCTCCATCTTTCCCAACATCAGGGTCTTTTCCAGGGAGTCTTCTCTTCTCTTTTTTAAAAAAATAATTTTTATTAACCGACCAATCAAATCAAATCAAATCACATCACATAAATTCCGAATTACAAAGCCGAATTTTGATTTTTTTCGTTGGGGGGACCCATATTTCAAGTTCCAAAGGGGATTCCAATCATCTTCTTGCTGCTGCGTTAATATCCACAAATCTGTCCAAATAATGTTCATAATTCTATCTAGTCCTATCTTGCTGTTCCCACATCTCATCTTGTTCGTATATTTTTCTTTTTTTCTTTATGATCTCTGATAATCTCCTTAAGCAGGTAAACACCAGTTATAATCCTGTGTGAATTTTTCTGTTCGTCCAATCATCATGTCGAGATGGTTTCCATATATCATCACTTTCATAAATAAAAGCACTCTTTCCATCATTAGTCTCGCAAATCTGTCGCCTTCTTTAGTCCCTCTGAGGAGGCTCACCCACAATATGAAAACAGATCTATTCCTCCTCCCAGACATAAGTCTTTCGACAGAACTTGCCAAAATGGCGACACTATTTTTTGCTGCGTCATTCCAAAGCTCTTATACTTTCCACGATCTCCTTAAAACATGCTTTGGTTAGAAAATTATCTCCACACAGTCTTAAATCCTCAGCTTAAGTCATTTAAACGGCATTTCTGACTTGTGACTTGGGGGGGGGGGATTCTTGGTTAATCACATAGAGAAAAGAAAGGAAAGTTCCCCCCCCCATCCAGTCCCGTTGCCGAACATACCGAGCCTTGGTGTGTCTTCTCATGATTTATTCCTGTTCCTCCGACCCGTCTTGTTTCTCAGAGATCTCTTCGGTTAGCAGTCTTTACTCCCCATTCTTCCTTGAAATATGTGCATTAGCTTCCTCCTAATTGTTTCTTTTGAAGTTGCTGCAGCTAGAGGCGCGAATCAGAGACAGCGTCCAGAAGCGCCGAAGTCCGCACAAGGGCTTTCTGCCTAGTGCCCCCACCCCCTCAAGTTCGGGGGTGGTGTAGGGCACAGCAGGCAAGGGCAGTCCCCCCCCCACACGCTTGGGGGGGGCAGGAGGCTGTTTACTCCCATCATAGCCTCTTAATTACCTCGTGTGGGTCGGAGAGATGTTATTGTCAGCCATCTTCCAATGCGCCCCTAGTGCCCCCCCCGGGAGTCTTCTCTTCTCATGAGGAGGCCAAAGTCTTGGAGCCTCAGCTTCAGGATCTGTCCTTCCAGTGAGCACCCAGGGCTGATTTCCTTCAGAATGGATACGTTTGATCTTCTTGCAGTCCATGGGACTCTCAAGAGTCTCCTCCAGCACCAGAATTCAAAAGCATCAATTCTTCGGCTATCAGCCTTCTTTATGGTCCAGCTCTCACTTCCATACATCACTACTGGGAAAACCATAGCTTTAACTATACAGACCTTTGCTGGCAAGGTGATGTCTCTGCTTTTTAAGATGCTGTCTAGGTTTGCCATCGCCTTTCTCCCAAGGAGCAGGCGTCTTTTAATTTCGTGACTGCTGTCACCATCTGCAGTGATCATGGAGCCCAAGAAAGTAAAATCTCTCACTGCCTCCATTTCTTCCCCTTCTATTTGCCAGGAGGTGATGGGAGCAGTGGCCATGATCTTCGTTTTTTTGATGTTGAGCTTCAGACCATATTTTGCGCTCTCCTCTTTCACCCTCATTAAAAGGTTCTTTAATTCCTCCTCACAAAGAGATTTGTGGGAGGAACAGCAAAATGGCACATCCAGATTAAACAGGGTGGGCAATATGGGATGGCGTTTTGATGAGGACACTGTGAAAAATTTGCGCAAGCAGCACCGAGTTATAAATAAACTACTGGCGGGGAAGACAACCTACTTTTATGGTGACATCTTAGAGTGGTTCCCAAACTTTCTTCCCCATGGACCACTTGAAAATTGAGGAGGGTCTTCCTCACAGACCACATGATTGTTTTTCTGCTTCTTGCAGCAGTTGTAATGAGCTGTGTGCTAGATGCAGTACGATTTTTATTGTTATTCTTTTATTTCTTAAGCATTTCCTGTTCTGCTGTTTTACCATTTTGGCCCTCGTAGAATTCAAATTGCAACACGAAACGGAGAGATTGAAAAATGCAGTTAAAAATCCACATGAATACCGTATTTTTCGCTCTATAAGATGCACCAGACCACAAGACGCACTTAGTTTTTGGAGGAGGAAAACAAGAAAAAAAATATTCTGAATCTCAGAAGCCAGAACAGCAAGAGGGATCGCTGCGTAGTGAAAGCAGCAATCCCTCTTGCTGTTCTGGCTTCTGAGATAGCTGCGCAGCCTGCATTCGCTCCATAAGATGCACACACATTTCCCCTTACTTTTTAGGAGGGAAAAAGTGAGTCTTATAGAGCAAAAAAATACGGTATTTTGTGCGAGGGCTGTGCCGTCTCCCGTCTTTAGCTGTGAATGCCACAGACGAGCCACAGACCACCTAAAGTCCTAAACGAAGCTTGTGGACCACTGGAGGAGGGGCAGAGTTGTGGACTGCAATTTTGAGGACATACCAGAGGAGTCAAGAGATGGCAATCTTTTCTCGGTGCTAAATTTCTGTTATCAAGAGAACAGAATAAACCCCACATTCTTACTAGTGCGAGCCACAGGAGATCTGAAATCAGAAACCCTTCCCAGCTGCCCCTGGCTTCAATGTAATGTTGACTTTGGGCTTTATGGCTTTGCATATGTTAATTTCCTTTCCCCTTTTGAAGAACAAACATTGCTTATTGACAGATCCTAGAGGTCGATTGAAGGCTCTGGCTGGATAGTTTTCCATTTGCTGGAGCTATGGGGAAACTGGGCAGCGGAGTCTGAGATCCCATCTGCGCTGCACATTGTTATAGAACAAACTCGGGTTATTCTTTTGCAACCCAACTCTGCATCGAGAGATTTCAGTGACCCTAAGTTTGTTTTTGGTCAAGGGGGAAATGTGTGGAGGTAGGAACCAGTGGAAGGAAAGCAAGGGAGATCTTTATTTGTCTGTTGCATCACAGCCCCCCTTCCCCCCTTGCAAGGACCCAGAACAAAGGTGTCTAACAGCTTTTAAAGACTAGAAATTGCCCAACCCCTTAGCCAAAGACCACCCAAAAGCATCATATAAGCCTCACAGAAAGAGGCGGTTTGCAACAGAAATCTGAGTGCATGGCTTGTCTCCTGTCTGTCAAGATACCTGATAATGTTTTACTGACGTTCTTTTAAATGACAAACACCCAAGTTTCTGAAACCATTGTCACAGACCTCCCCTATTTATGCACAAAATGTGCTCTTTTCACTGGATTTGTAAGTGAAAAGAACTTACTGGGAGAGGTTTTTCCAAGATGTTTCCTTCTGCAGAGAAATATTTGGGGTCATTAAGAGTCAAGATGGTTTCTGGAGTGCTCTCCTGTACTATTTCAGACACGCGGATTACAGTGGTACCTTGTGGTACGCTTCAGGTTACAGACTCCGCTAACCCAGAAATAGTACCTCGGGTTAAGAACTTTGCTTCAAGATGAGAACAGAAATCGTGCTCCGGCGGCGCGGCAGCAGCAGGAGGCCCTATTAGCTAAAGTGGTGCTTCAGGTTAAGAACAGTTTCAGGTTAAGAACGGACCTCTGGAGCGAATTAAGTATGTAACCAGAGGTACCACTGTATGTGTTTATGGATGAGTGTTTTAGCTTGTGCACTTATGAACGTTTCTGTTTTATTTACGACACCTTAAAATTGTTATAACACAGATAAAGTGGAATCATGCCATGGATTTTAAAGTCATGGCTTCTCAACAAAGAATTCTGGGAATTGTATTTTGCTAAGGGGGCTGAGAATGGTTGGGAGTCTCGGAGCTACAATTCCCAGAGCAGTTTAACAGCCAATCCCTCTTCACAGGTGTTATAAGAAAAATACTGCTCCTTTTCCCTTTTGGGGTATTCCAGAGCCCGTACAGAGTCCTTAAGTAGGTTCTCTATCGGTAGGAGAAAATAGGGCCAAGCAGAGAATGTTGTTATTTAGTTGTTTAGTCGTGTCCGACTCTTCGTGACCCCATGGACCAGAGCATGCCAGGCACTCCTGTCTTCCACTGCCTCCCGCAGTTTGGTCAAACTCATGCTGGTAGCTTCGAGGACACTGTCCAACCATCTCGTCCTCTGTCGTCCCCTTCTCCTTGTGCCCTCCATCTTTCCCAACATCAGGGTCTTTTCCAGGGAGTCTTCTCTTCTCATGAGGTGGCCAAAGTATTGGAGCCTCAGCTTCAGGATCTGTCCTTCCAGTGAGCACTCAGGGCTGATTTCCTTCAGAATGGAGAGGTTTGATCTTCTTGCAGTCCATGAGACTCTCAAGAGTCTCCTCCAGCACCAGAATTCAAAAGCATCCATTCTTCGGCGATCAGCCTTCTTTATGGTCCAGCTCTCACTTCCATACATCACTACTGGGAAAACCAGAGCTTTAACTATACAGACCTTGATCTTTATTAAGTGTTGCAACAGGCATTTGAAATTTCCTCCCCTGTAGCTCAAGACCACCCCCCAAAAAATCATACATCAGTGAAGGGGTGATCTACACCAGAAAACCTTTTTGCCAGGATACCTGATAATGGTCACCGATTCCTTTTTCCTGAGCTTCCTGGCCATTGCTTTGAGATGGTAAATAGTTTAGTTCCTGAAATCTCTTACATATATTGATAGTTTCCTCAGCTTAACAGATAGCGGTACTTCCAGGCTGTATTTGCAAAGGGAGGTGTATGCCCCTGAAGTCCAAAGACAACTGGAATGCTTTTCCCATTTCCTTCCTCCTTGCAAGGAAGTATTTGAGGTCAATTTGGGAGAGTCAAAATGGCTCCAGGGTTGCTCTCCTGTACTGTTTCAGACACTATACTTATGCTTGTGTGTATGCCTTATACATTTGTGAACATTTATTTTACAGTATATCTTAGACCTTATACAGTGGTACCTCAGGTTAAGTACTTAATTCTTTCCGGAGGTCCGTACTTAACCTGAAACTGTTCTTAACCTGAAGCACCACTTTAGCTAATGGGGCCTCCTGCTGCCTCTGTGCTGCCAGAGCACAATTTCTGTTCTCATCCTGAAGCAAAGTTCTTAACCTGAAGCACTATTTCTGGGTTAGCAGAGTTTGTAACCTGAAGCATATATAACCTGAAGCGTATGTAACCTGAGGTACCACTGTAATTCTCATAACAATGGGAATTCTGGAAATTGTAGGTCAGGGAGGGAAATTGGGTCTCCCAACAATTCTCAGCACCCTTAAAAAGGTAAAGGGACCCCTGACCATTAGGTCCAGTCGTGGCCGACTCTGGGGTTGCGGCGCTCATCTCGCTCTATGGGTCGAGGGAGCCGGCGTACAGCTTCCGTGTCACGTGGCCAGCATGACTAAGCCGCTTCTGGCAAACCAGAGCAGCGCACGGAAATGCCGTTTACCTTCCCGCTGGAGTGGTACCTATTTATCTACTTGCACTTTGACGTGCTTTCGAGCTGCTAGGTTGGCAGGAGCAGGGACCGAGCAACGGGAGCTCACCCCGTCGCAGGGATTCGAAACGCTGACTTTCTGATCGGCAAGTCCTAGGCTCTGTGGTTTAACCCACAGCGCCACCCACATTTCCCAGGATTCTTTGGGGGAAACCATGAACGATTAAAGGGCCATGAGGCTGCTTTGAATACATAGGGCAGGCAGGGCTTAAGTGTACACGACATAGTCCCCTCTGCAGGGAGGTGGGACCGATTCGGATGGTCCGCTGCCGCCACTTAATAGATCCAAATGGTTTCCAGAGAGTGGTAGGGGATGCTTTCTCCCATGTTGATGGCCCGCTGGAATGTGGAGTTAACCAGGGCTATTGACTGTTTGGCTCCGAAGCGCCCTCTCCGATTGCATGGAGCCCGGACAGCCCTGTGGTTTTCCACGGATCTGAGGGCAATGAAACAATCGTTGAGACGGCTAGAGCGCCGGTGGCGGATAACTCATTCCGAATCTGACCGGACACAGGTTAGAACTCAACGTCGAGCCTACCAAGTGACGATAGCGACGGCGAAGAAGACCTTCTTCGCCGCCTCTATTGCATCTGCAGAAAACAGCAGCAGGAGACTTTTTCAGGTGGTTCACAATTTAGCGGAACCACCTGCGACATCGGGGCCCAGCACGGGCCACATGATCTCCTGCAATGATTTTGCAAAGTTTTTTGCAGATAAAATCGCTCAGATTCGGGAAGAAGTAGACTCCACCGTGGGAGCAGGGCCAGGGCGGGAGAGTGCTAGAGTCCTGTCTAGTCAAGTTGTGTGGAATCAATTCCAATCTGTTACCTCCGAGGATGTGGACAGGCTGCTTGGACGAGTGAAGCCAACCACCTGTCTCCTGGATCCTTGCCCATCCTGGCTTATAAAAGCTAGCCGGGAAGGACTGGGCGATGGGCTTCGTGGGGTGGTGAATGCTTCCCTCTGTGAGGGAGCCTTCCCAGACCCGCTGAAAGAGGCGGTTATTAAACCGCTTCTTAAAAACCATCTTTAGATGCGGCCACGATAGCCAACTATCGCCCAGTCTCAAATCTTCCATTCTTGGGCAAGGTGATTGAGCGAGTGGTTGCTGAACAACTCCAGGCACGCCTGGAAGAAGCGGACCATTTGGATCCCTTCCAGTCGGGATTCAGGGCTCATCATGGGACTGAAACTGCCTTGGTCGCACTGGTTGATGATCTCCGGCGGGCTAGGGACAAAGGTGAGAGCTGTTTCCTAGTTCTGCTGGATCTCTCAGCGGCGTTTGATACCATCGACCATAACATCCTTCTGGACCATCTTGAGGGGCTGGGAGCTGGGGGCACTGTCAGACAGTGGTTCCGCTTCTTCCTCCTGGGCTATGTTCAGAAAGTGGTGGTGGGGGATGAGTGTTCAGACCCCTGGGCTCTCACTTGTGGGGTGCTCTGTCCTTTCCCCCATGCTTTTCAACATTTACATGCAGCCGCTGGGGGAGATCATCAGGAGGTTTGGGCTGGGTCTTCATCAGTATGTGGATGATACCCAGCTCTACCTCTCTTTTAAATCAGAACCAGTGAAGGCGGTGAAGGTCCTGTGTGAGTGTCTGGAGGCGGTTGGAGGATGGATGGCGGCTAACAGATTGAGGTTGAATCCTGACAAGACAGAAGTACTGTTTTTGGGGGACAGGAGGCGGGCAGGTGTGGAGGATTCCCTGGTCCTGAATGGGGTAACTGTGCCCCTGAAGGACCAGGTGCGCAGCCTGGGAGTCATTTTGGACTCACAGCTGTCCATGGAGGCACAGGTCAAATCTGTATCCAGGGCAGCTGTTTACCAGCTCCATCTGGTACGTAGGCTGAGACCCTATCTGCCTGCAGACTGTCTCGCCAGAGTGGTGCATGCTCTGGTTATCTCCTGCTTGGACTACTGCAATGCGCTCTACCTGGGGCTACCTTTGAAGGTGACCCGGAAACTACAACTAATCCAGAATCGGCAGCTAGACTGGTGACTGGGAGCGGCCGCCGAGACCATATAACACTGGTCTTGAAAGACCTACATTGGCTCCCAGTACGTTTCCAAGCTCAAGTCAAAGTGTTGGTGCTGACCTTTAAAGCCCTAAACGGCCTCGGCCCAGTATATCTGAAGGAGCGTCTCCTCCCCCATCGTTCTGCCCGGACACTGAGGTCCAGCTCCAAGGGCCTTCTGGCGGTTCCCTCACTGCGAGAGGCCAAGTTACAGGGAACCAAGCAGAGGGCCTTCTCGGTAGTGGCGCCCACGCTGTGGAACGCCCTCCCATCAGATGTCAAAGCGATAAACAACTACCTGACATTCAGAAGACATCTGAAGGCAGCCCTGTTCAGGGAAGTTTTTAATATGTGACATTTTAGTGTATTTTTCATCTTTGTTGGAAGCCGCCCAGAGTGGCTGGGGAAACCCAGCCAGATGGGCGGGGTACAAATAATAAATTATTATTATTATATTATTATTATAGTTTTAAAGCACACCTCAAAGAATTATGGGAAGTGTAGTTTCTTCTGGGTACTGAGATTTCTAGGGTAACCTCTGCTCCCCCTCAGGGAGCTACAATTCTCAAAGTGGTTAAACAATTGATCCCAGGGAACTCTGGGAATCGTAGTTCTGTGAAGGGAATCGGTCCCAGACATGTTTCAATCTGTCAGTAACTTTTTCTGCTAATCCATTTCACAAGACGTTGGCACATGATCTGTTCACGGAAAGTCCAGCCTTAGTCTTCTAACATTTGCTGTTTCATTGTCTCGCTGCCACCATAAAATATATTATCGGGTCTTTGCCAAGCCACCATAAAATATATTATCAGGTCATTGCCGAGGCAACTTTGAGTTGCTTCCGTCAACAAAAGTATATAAAGCTAATATGGTTGGGCGTCGACATTTTTTACTATAAAACTTCCTGCCTGACTAGCACGGGATGCAACCCCAAGAATAAATGTTGAAACATGCAACTCTGAATCCCCCAAGCAAATAAAGGAATATTTGTACAACCTCAGCAGGCGTAATATAGTTCAGCCTAAAGCTTTGTAGTATAAAAAAAAAGTTTCACAAGTACTGGCAGGGGTAGCAGTGAGTGGAAGGGGCACAGTGGTGTCAGATGTGGGCAAATCAATTCCCCCCATATAACAAAAAGCAAACAACACCATAAAAACAGTCCTGTTGTTGTTGTTGTTGTTTTTATTGTTGTTGTTGTTATTAGAATTTATATACTGCCCTATACCCGCAGGTCTCAGGGCGGTTTACAGAATAAAATCAAAATATAAAACCACAAAAACAAAAATCAAAACCAATAACAACTTAAACCCCTGTCTCCCATATGACAAGAGATGTAAAATTTCTGGAAATTTTGAAGCCACAAGGGGGAAAAAAAATTCCTCCCTCCCTGTTTTTTCCTGGGAAAAATAGAATTTTTTGAGGGGGGGGGCTTTAAAAGTTCAGTGTGGAGTAGTTTTACAAATTGTGTGAAACACAGTGTATATGAAAGTATTATGCTTGCAACAAAACAGGTAACCACGCCCCTTTCCCTCAAAAGCAACAAAAAAAGCAAGAAACCGTCAACATAAAAAATAATCAGATTTGCCCCGTAGCACCAAAAGCAAATAAAATTCAGGTCCACCTCAATATTTAAGCTCCATAGAAGGTCTACCCTTTGAGTAGTGCTTGGGGGGGGGGGGAAGAAACAGAAGAAACCGTTTGACTTCCAAAACGTTCAGAAACCAAAGCGTTGCTTTTGATTGGCTGCAGGAAGCTCCTGCAGCCAATCGGAAGCCGCACTGGACATTTGGCTTCTGAAAATCGTTAGAAAACCCGAATCCTCACTTCCGGGTTTCAGTCGTTTGGGAGCCGATTTGTTTGGGAGCCAAGGCGTTCGAGATCCAAGGTCCGACTGTATATTAACATAATCAACCCATATGTCCAAACAGATATTGAAACAAGACTGAGGGTTGCAAAATATACATGGAGAAGGCAGTCAGATCTTCAGGCCAATGAGTAGTCGATGTTGTTGTTGTTTAGTCGTTTAGTGTCCGACTCTTCGTGACCCCCTGGACCAGAGCATGCCAGGCACTCCTGTCTTCCACTGCCTCCCGCAGTTTGGTCAAACTCATGCTGGTGGCTTTGAGAACACTGTCCCACCATCTCGTTCTCTGTCATCGCCTTGTCCTTGTGCCCTCAATCTTTCCCAACATCAGGGTCATTTCCAGGGAGTCTTCTTCTCTTCTCATGAGGTGGCCAAAGTCTTGGAGCCTCAGCTTCAGGATCTGTCCTTCCAGTGAGCACTCAGGGCTGATTTCCTTCAGAATGGAGAGGTTTGATCTTCTTGCAGTCCATGGGACTCTCAAGAGTCTCCTCCAGCACCAGAATTCAAAAGCATCAATTCTTCAGCGATCAGCCTTCTTTATGGTCCAGCTCTCACTTCCATACATCGCTACTGGGAAAACCATAGCTTTAACTATACGGACCTTTGTTGGCAAGGTGGTAGTCGATAGTGGATATTTATTCCTCCAGCCTCATAATATAACTCTTTTTGTGACCATAAGATTTCGCAGGATCCACTTCCAGTTCCCATCTGTTAGCCCCTAGGTTATAATGCGAACACCTGCATACCTCAAGGGTTTTTCTGAAACAAATTTAATCCGGATCCTTTCTGACAAAGCGCATGTTTCACCTTGCCCTCCAGGTGATGAAAACCCTGCGCCACAAATACGTGATCAGTTTCTACCAGGCTATCGAGACCACCTCTCGCCACTACATCATCATGGAGCTGGCACCCTGTGGCGACGTCCTGGAGTGGATCCAGAAATCGGGAGCTTGTTCTGAGGCCCTGGCCGGGAAGTGGTTTTCTCAGCTGTCTCTGGGGATCGCCTATCTGCACGGCAAGGGCATCGTGCACCGGTGAGTAAATGGAGGAAATGTCGATAGGCAGTCCTCAAAGCTACCTGTAGAAACAGCTACTTTTAAGACTTGGGCTGTGTGTGCACCAGATCTACTGTATACATGTCATATTCAAAGCACACACAGCTGGCTGGTGTTCAGAAGCACTTCCTGTCTGCCTCCTTGGCATACCTGTCAACTTACAGATTTGAAAATCAGGGACCAGCAGCCTCGAAAATAAGGGATCAGCAGCCAAAATAAGGGATTTTCTGGGCACAGGTATGTTCAACTTCTGAGCCCCTCCGAGCCAAAGGCAGAAAGCCCAGCCAGCAGCCAAACGAAGCCTCAAGCGGTGGTTCCCACAGGGCAGCAACCCGGCAAAGGGGATGCAGCAAGGGAAACCACCGTCACCTCTCCGCTGGGAAGCGCTGAGCAAAGGCAACGCGGCCGATTTGATCGGCACAAGGCATGCAGGCTCTACCCCCCAGTCATTCTTATTGGGTGAGCAACGCAGCCAGGCAACACAGTTGGAGCCTCCCTCCTCCCTGGCCGGCAGGGAGGGAGGGAGAGGAGCTGCTTCCTTTGAAACCCTGGAAATTTAAGGGACATCATCAATAAGGGACAGCAGCGGGACACGGCGCTGGGATAAGGGAGTTTCCCGCCAAATAAGGGACGGTTGACAGCTATGCTCCTTGGAGGCTGAGAACAGCTATCCTGGCTAGTAGCCATCAACAGCCCTCGATTCCTGGCTGGCTCGCCAAATCGTTATAAGAAAAAACTGCTCCCTTTTCCTTATAGGGTACCCAAGAGCCCAAACAGCAGGGGTAGGCAACCTAAGGCCTGTGGGCCAGATAAGGCCCAATCGCCTTATCAATCCGGTTCACGGACAGTTCAGGAAGAGGCCTATTTTTACATGAGTAGAATGTGTCCTTTTATTTAAAATGTGCATCTGGGTTATTTGTGGGGCCTGCCTGGTGTTTTTACATGAATAGAATGTGTCCTTTTATTTAAAATGCATCTCTGGGTTATTTGTGGGGCATAGGAATTCGTTCATCCCCCCCCCCCCAAAAAATAGTCTGGCCCACCACATGGTCTGAGGGACGGTAGACCGGCCCATGGTTGAAAAAGGTTGCTGACCCCTGCCGTACAGAGTCCTCATGTGGGTTCTCTATCAGTAGGAGAAAATAACAGGCCAACCAGAGAATTCTGAGAAGCAAAGCAGCTAGTAAGCCTGATCTTTATTAATCTGTTGCAACAGGGTCCTCGCTCACTCCACGCAGGAGGGAGAACACAGAACAAGCCCTTATATATAGACTTTGAAACTGTCCACCCTGTAGCCCAAGACCACCCCCATAACATCATACATACATCACAGAAGGAGGTGGTCTACAGCAGAAATTAGAGAGTGTTGCTTCTCTCCTGTCTGCCACGATACCTGATCATGCCTTACTTGACTGCCTTTTCTGGGTAGCCTGGCCATTCCTTTGAGATGGTAAATACTTAGTTCCTGAATCTCTCATGCATATTAATAACAGATACTTGCCAGACTGTATTTGAAAAGGGAGGTGTAAGCCCCTACAATCAAAAGACAACCGGAAAGCTTTCCCCATTTCCTTCCTCCTTGCAGAGAAATATTTGAGGTCAATTTGGGAGAGTCAAAATGGCGTCAGGATTGTTCTCCTGTACTATTTCAGACACGTGGCTTATATACTTATGTGTTTGCTTTGTACATTTATGAACATTTATTTTATATCTGAGACCTGAGAATTCTTATAACATCCTTCTTTTTATATGTCCTGAACATTCGGCTTTGTGCAATGTCCAGGAATTCTAGCACGGTGGGAGAGGGAGCGAAACTTCAATCTATGCTGTGCTTAATTTAATAAATGTCTGCCTTCTTGCATCTCACTCGCTTTTCTTCAGCCCCTTTTTGGGGAAGGAGAAGTTCCCAGGGCTCCAGACTTCCTTTGTAGTGGAATTTCTCTCCCCCCGCCCCTTGATCTCTCTGGTTGTCATTTTCTGAACCTTCTCCAACTCTGCAATATCCTTTCCACGCTGGAAACTGAACCTGGGATTTCCCTGTGAGAAAGTCCTGCAGGTTTAACCCACTTCCCCTGTGATAGGAATTTTGAGGTCTTAGATATATGTTAAATGTTCATAAGTGTACCAACCAAGCACATACATAGATCAGCACAGGAAGACCGACCTGGAACCATTTTGATTCCCAAACTGTCCCAAACTGAGCAAATGTTTTCTCTGCAAGGTCAAAGGAAAATGGAAAAGCCTCCCCATTGTCTTTTCCTTCACAAATCCTGTCTTAAGGGTATGTCTGTGTTTGAATAGGGTGTGAGCCTGTGACCTGGCCCAGGAACTAAATATTTATCATTACAAAAGACTGGCCAGGCTACCCGCAATCCAGTCAAGTAACCTGCCAGACAGGAGATAAACAAGGACAGGAGAAAAACAACATTCAAAATTTCTGTTTTAGACCGCCTTTTCTGTGATGTAGGTGTGATGTATCTGAGGGGTGGTCTTAGGTTACACCCCTTCTGTGATGTTCTGGGGGTGGTCTTGATCTACAGGGTGCCAATTTCAAAAGTCTTTATAAGGCCTTGCACGCCATTTTTCTGGGTCCCTCCTCTCTCCTGCAGGTGAGGGGAGCACCCTGTTGCAACAGATCAATAAAGGCCAAGCCTACAGGCTGCTGATTTGCTCCAAGTAATCCTGGTTGGTGTCTTTGTTTTTGTCCAAGGGAGCCCTCGGATTTTTTCCGTTAACACCCCTATGATCCCCACCCAAATCCCTGTCTCCTTCCTTTTCTCCCTCTGCCCTTTTCCGACCGCAGGGACCTGAAACTCGAGAACCTTCTCCTCGACAAGCGCGAAAACATCAAGATCTCAGACTTTGGCTTCTCCAAGATGGTGTCCACCCAGACGCAGCCTCCCCCGACGCCGTCCTACCGCATGATGAGCTGCTTCTCGCACCTGAGCCAGACGTACTGCGGCAGCTTCGCCTACGCTTGCCCGGAGATCTTGCTGGGCCTGCCCTACAACCCGTTCCTCTCTGACATCTGGAGCATGGGGGTCATCCTCTACACCTTGGTGGTGGCCCACCTGCCCTTCGACGACACCAACCTCAAGAAGCTGCTGCGGGAGACGCAGAAGGAGGTCAGCTTTCCCAGCCACCTCCAGATCAACGAGGAAATCAAGGTGAGCAGCATGACACCTAGGAGCCGTACCCACAAAAGCCACCAGGGGGCACCATGCCAATACCACTGAGTGCCACTAGGGATGTGGGTGGCGCTGTGGTCTAAACCACTGAGCCTCTTGGGCTTGACGATCAGAAGGTCGGCGGTTCGAATCCCTGCGACGGGGTGAGCTCCCATTGCTCGGTCCCAGCTCCTGCCAACCTAGCATGCCAGTGCAAGTAGATACTGTATTTTTCGCTCTATAAGACGCACCAGACCATAAGACACACCTAGTTTTTGGAGGAGGAAAACAAGGAAAAAAATATTCTGAATCCCAGAAGCCAGAACAGCAAGAGGGATTGCTGCACAGTGAAAGCAGCGATCCCTCTTGCTGTTCTGGCTTCTGGGATAGCTGCGCAGACTGCATTCGCTCCAAAAGACACACACACATTTCCCCTTACTTTTTAGGAGGGAAAAATTGAGTCTTATAGAGCAAAAAATACGGTAAATAGGTAGCACTGCAGTGGGAAGGTAAACGGCGTTTCCGTGCGCTCTGATTTCCGTCATGTCAGAAGTGGTTTAGTCCTCCTGGCCACACAACCCGTAAAGCCATCTGCGGACAAATGCCGGCTCCCTCAGCCTGAAAGCGAGATGAGCGCCACAACCTCATACTCGCCTTTGACTGGACTTAACCGTCCAGGGGTCCTTTACCTTTACCTACTCATGGGATAACGGTGTGGTGCCCATACCCCAGTAGGGGGTGTTGATGTGGGGGCCCTGTATCCAGGCCCTCAAAATCCCCTATGGGGTACTTGTGCAATGGTGCCCATACCCTCAAATGCCACTAGGGGGTGCTGCTGCATGGGTGCTACATCAATACCCTCAAAAACCACTAGGGGGCAGTTGCAGGACAGTGGTGCTTCTATGCCTGCCCCCCTAAAAAGCTACTCAGAGGTCCTCATGTAAGACGTGTTGTCTCCTCTCCCCTTGCCCTTAACTCACAGCTTCTCCTCCTCCTTGGGCTTTTTTTTTAAAAAAGTTTTTATTATTAAAATAATTCAACATTAGTACACACATATTGTGAATATACAAGCATACAAACATACATTTCATACAGTCCTTAAAAATGTTCAAACATACCTACACTCAATCCCTAACCCTAACCCTTTTCCCATCACCATCCACCACCCCTCACCCCACCTTTGTGTTGGACTTCCAATTTACTTAATTGAGATTTCTTCCCACTTCTGTTACTTTCTTTCACACACCTTTAACCTAATTTCATGCTTCTTTTTCTATTACACATCATTATCCATCTTATTTAGTATTTCAGTATTTAAAACGGAACTTGTTTATTCTAATAGGAGTTCTGATTTTTCAGTATGGTTTTGCAAGTATCCTTTAAACACCTTCCAGTCCCTGTCTATCTTCTCTTTTGAGATCTCCTCCTCGGGCTTTTAACTGGGTTGGAACAGGCAGAAATCCAACAGGTGTGGTTTTTCCAGCCAGTGCCATTCACACGCCAGCCTGGCTGCAGCGCCAATACTCTCGAGTGCAGCAGGCGTACTTACTGTGAGGCTGGCCCTGCATCAACCTCTCCACCCACCCAGCACCCTGAGGCTGTATCACGGGGGTGGCAGGAATGCCAGCTACACCCTGGCTGATCACCTGGTTCCTCTGAGCAAGGAGAGGAGCTGTTCCCCGACTCTCATGGCGCCTTCCTCCTGGAGCCTTCCTTCTCCCCACGTTACCAGCTTCCAACGATTGGCAAGACACGACTGACCGAGGAGGTGGGCACTCAGCGCCTGGGAGTTCAGAAGAGGGCGAAAAACACCAGCCGCAGGCAGAGTTGGGGGTTCTTTCCCGCCCACGGCAGAAGTCCAAATTTATCGGGGCTCCTAACTAATTTGGGGTGGCCTTGTTGGCTCTTGCGGGCTGCAGCAAGAGAAATATGTCACCCAGATCTGAGGAAACAAGCCAGACGCCACTGTAAATCAGTTAGGACAGGAGTCCTCAAACTTTTTAAACAGGGGGCCAGTTCACTGTCCCTCAGACACTGTTGGGAGCCGGACTATAGTTTGAAAAAATAATAATGAACGAATTCCTATGCACACGGCGCATATTTTATTTGTAGTGCACAAAAACAGGAAACCAATACAATATTTAAATTGAAGAACGGTTTTAATCAACATAAACTTTTAAGTATTTCAATGGGAAGTATGGGCCTGTTTTTGGCTCCTGAGGTGGTCAGTATCCGGTTTCATATTTGTCACTAGTCGTAGCAAGTGTTTATCAGTTAGTCTGGATCTGGTTGGAGATTTCACATGTTTCATTCGGGGAAAAGTCTGTTCACAGACATAGGTAAAGGTAAAGGGACCCCTGACCATTAGGTCCAGTCGTGACCGACTCTGGGGTTGCGGCGCTCATCTCGCTTTATTGGCCGAGGGAGCCGGCGTACAGCTTCCGGGTCATGTGGCCAGCAGGACTAAGCCGCTTCTGGCGAACCAGAACAGTGAACGGAAATGCCGTTTACCTTCCCACCAGAGCGTTACCTATTTATCTACTTGCACTTTGAGGTGCTTTCAAACTGCTAGTTTGGCAGGAGCAGGGACCGAGCAACGGGAGCTCACCCCGTCATGGGGATTCGAACCGCCAACCTTCTGATCGGCAAGTCCTAGGCTCTGTGGTTTAACCCACAGCGCCACCCGCGTCCCTGTTCACAGACATAGGTGCTGCCAAAGATGGTTGCGATTTTGAGTGCACGGTTCCTGAGATTAAGATATGTCTCAGAGGGGAGAGATGCATAGAAATTAGTGAGGCTGCCTGATTTGAATGTGTCTTTCCCAATTTTGTAGTTCGGCCAATTCCATTTGGTAAATCGGATTGACAGTTTCAGTGTCAACAGAAAACTCTCAGCCACAGAGCATAGAAGGAGAGAATGCAAAAGCACCGGCCTGTGTGTGCCAGGATCACATCATCCCTCCTCTTGCACGCACACTGTCCTCCTTCCCCACAACCAACCATCCACTCGCGGTATCAACGGACGCCGGATGCAGAGGCCGTGCTAAGGCACAGGACGCCATACTTCCTTTCGCCATAGACCTGTTAGACAGCGGCGGGTTCTGCAATTGCCGGGCAGGCCGGGTTCAGGACTGTGGCAGGCCTGATTTGGCCTGCGGACCGTAGTTTGAGGACCCCTGGATTAGGAGGACTGCAAGATGCCTCAAAAGGTTAAAGTTTGTTGTTTGATCCCGGAGGAAATGAACACGACTCCCGTGACTCCCCTCCTCCTTCCTGGGAGCCTGATTTTGCCGTCTCCTTAGGTCAGCGTGCGGAATCATGTGCCAACTCCCCGAACCTTAAGAATGTAAGGCCCGATGGGGCTCTTTTACTGGGGCTTGCAGGTAACACACTCCCAAGGTCGTTTTCTGGGCTTCTTCAGTGGTCTAATATCAAAGCCTTGATATGTATATTGATATTCAGTTTCATAATGAATAGTATTTCTTGGCTTAAACTTAAGAGACCGATTTGCTTAGCAATCAGCGGCCTCACTTGGACTGCCAGGGCGAAACAGGTGCAAAACGCTGGTACCCTGTCTACAACTTCATGAACATTCATCTACAACTTCACTAGCATCCCTCAGTATTGTGAACAACACCAAACTTACCCTTTGTTGCTATCTTTATGAACTTACTTAAAAAGATAAAGAAAGCAAAGGACTAAGTCAAGCATTTGAAAAATCTATTGAAATAAGACATTAGAAGTTCATCTTAGGTTGGGTAGTTTGTAAGTTTCTGTGGTTTTGGCACAAGGTTTTGTATTTTTCTCAGAAGATTGATAAAGAATGTAAAATTATTTTGGTAATTAATGGTAAAGGTAAAGGCACCCCTGACCATTAGGTCCAGTCGTGGCCGACTCTGGGGTTGCGGCATTCATCTTGCTTTATTGGCCGAGGGAGCCGGCGTACAGTTTCCGGCTCATGTGGCCAGCATGACTAAGCCGCTTCTGACGAACCAGAGCAGCGCACGGAAATGCCGTTTACCTTCCCACCGGAGTAGTACCTATTTATCTACTTGCACTTTGACGTGCTTTCGAACTGCTAGGTTGGCAGGAACAGGGACCGAGCAACGGGAGCTCACCGCGTTGCAGGGATTAGAACCGCTGACCTTCTGATTGGCAAGTCCTAGGCTCTGTGGTTTAACCCACAGCGCCACCCGCGTCCCTTTTTTGGGGGGGTAATTATTGTGTGTATATTAGTCGCCAACGTGTTGCACGAGTCGTACTACTTCTGTCAACAGCACAGGTTGCATTTTTCTAGCATCAGTCGTTAAGCTGGAATGTGGAGTTAACCAGGGCTATTGACTGTTTGGCTCCAAAGCACCCTCTCCGATTGCATGGAGTCCGGACAGCCCCGTGGTTTTCCACGGATCTGAGGGCAATGAAACAATCGTTGAGACGGCTAGAGCGCCGGTGGCGGATAACCCATTCTGAATCTGACCGGACACGGGTTAGAGCTCAATGTCGAGCCTACCAAGTGGCGATAGCGACGGCGAAGAAGACTTTCTTCACCGCCTCTATTGCATCTGCGGAAAAACAGCAGCAGGAGACTCTTTCAGGTGGTTCGCAATTTAGCGGAACCACCTGCTCCATCAGGGCCCAGTAGCGGCCACATGATCTCCTGCAATGACTTTGCAAAGTTTTTGCAGATAAAGTCGCTCAGATTCGAGAAGAGGTAGACTCCACCGTGGGAGCAGGGCCGGGGCGGGAGAGTGCTAGAGTCCTGTCTAGTCAAGTTGTGTGGGATCAATTCCAATCTGTTACCCCCGAGGATGTGGACAGGCTGCTTGGACGAGTGAAACCAACCACTTGCCTCCTTGATCCTTGCCCATCCTGGCTTATAAAAGCTAGCCGGGAAGGACTGGGCGATGGGCTTCGTGGGGTGGTGAATGCTTCCCTCTGTGAGGAGCCTTCCCAGACCCGCTGAAAGAGGCGGTTATTAAACCGCTTCTTAAAAAACCATCTTTAGATGCGGCCACGATAGCCAACTATCGCCCAGTCTCAAATCTTCCATTCTTGGGCAAGGTGATTGAGCGAGTGGTTGCTGAACAACTCCAGGCACGCCTGGAAGAAGCGGACCATTTGGATCCCTTCCAGTCGGGATTCAGGCCTCATCATGGGACTGAAACTGCCTTGGTCGCACTGGTTGATGATCTCCGGCGGGCTAGGGACAAAGGTGAGAGCTGTTTCCTAGTTCTGCTGGATCTCTCAGCGGCGTTTGATACCATCGACCATAACATCCTTCTGGACCGTCTTGAGGGGCTGGGAGCTGGGGGCACTGTTATACAGTGGTTCCGCTCCTTCCTCCTGGGCCGTGTTCAGAAAGTGGTGGTGGGGGATGAGTGTTCAGACCCCTGGGCCCTCACTTGTGGGGTGCCTCAGGGTTCTGTCCTCTCCCCCCATGCTTTTCAACATCTACATGAAGCCGCTGGGAGAGATCATCAGGGGATTTGGGCTGGGTGTTCATCAGTATGCAGATGATACCCAGCTCTACCTCTCTTTCAAATCAGAACCAGTGAAGGCAGTGAAGGTCCTGTGTGAGTGCCTGGAGGCGGTTGGAGGTTGGATGGCGGCTAACAGATTGAGGTTGAATCCTGACAAGACAGAAGTACTGTTTTGGGGGGACAGGAGGCGGGCAGGTGTGGAGGATTCCCTGGTCCTGAATGGGGTAACTGTGCCCCTGAAGGACCAGGTGCGCAGCCTGGGAGTCATTTTGGACTCACAGCTGTCCATGGAGGCACAGGTCAAATCTGTGTCCAGGGCAGCTGTTTACCAGCTCCATCTGGTACGCAGGCTGAGACCCTATCTGCCTGCGGACTGCCTCGCCAGAGTGGTGCATGCTCTGGTTATCTCCCGCTTGGATTACTGCAATGCGCTCTACGTGGGGCTACCTTTGAAGGTGACCCGGAAACTACAACTAATCCAGAACGCGGCAGCTAGACTGGTGACTGGGAGCGGCCGCAGAGACCACATAACACCGGTCTTGAAAGACCTACATTGGCTCCCAGTACGTTTCCGAGCACAATTCAAAGTGTTGGTGCTGACCTTTAAAGCCCTAAACGGCCTTGGTCCAGTATATCTGAAGGAGCGTCTCCACCCCCATCGTTCTACCCGGACACTGAGGTCCAGCACTGAGGGCCTTCTGGCGGTTCCCTCACTGCAGAAGCCAAGTTACAGGGAACCAGGCAGAGGGCCTTCTCGGTAGTTGCGCCTTCCCTGTGGAACACCCTCCCACCAGATGTCAAAGAGAACAACAACTACCAGGCTTTTAGAAGACATCTGAAGGCAGCCCTGTTTCGGGAAGCTTTTAATGTTTGATGTATTATAGTATTTTAATATTCTTTTGGAAGCCGCCCAGAGTGGCCGGGGAAGCCCAGCCAGATGGGCGGGGTATAAATAATAAATTATTATTATTATTATTATAAGCAGCAACAGCATGCATGATGGTTTGCGGAGTACAAAAGGGCAGGCTGCGTCCTCTACGGTTTACGGTCTTCCCCGCGAGATGGCTGTTGCTAAGATGTGTTTGTGAGAGAGAGATCTTGGGTAAATTCAGAAGCGGATTAGAGTTCCAAAAATTCACGGAGACCCTTGCTATGTTTTGCTACAGACATAGCTTTCATTGGGGCTTTGGGGGGGGGCGGAGAAACTTGGCCAGATGAACTATTGTGTTGTTGTTTTTTCAAACAACCTGTTACTAAGACCCTCCCAGTTAAATCATAAAATTGTAGAGTTGGAGGGGAAGAAGAAGAAGAAGAGTTTGGATTTGATATCCCGCTTTATCACTACCCTAAGGAGTCTCAAAGTGGCTAACAATCTCCCTTTCCCTTCCTCCTCCACAACAAACACTCTGTGAGGTGAGTGGGGCTGAGAGACTTCAGAGAAGTGTGACTAGCCCAAGGTCACCCAGCAGCTGCATGTGGAGGAGCGGAGAATCGAACCCGGTTCCCCAGATTACGAGACTACCGCTCTTAACCACTACACCACACTGGCTCTGACCCTGCACACTGATGACCCTGCAAGTCATCTAATCCAACCGCCTGCAATGCAGGAATCTTTTGCCCCATGTGGGTCTCGAACCCACAACCCTGAGATTTAAAGGTCTCGTGCTCTACCGACTGAGCTACCCCAGGTCCCAGACAGGAGCTTTTTCGTTTCAAGTATTGTTCAATGCAAAGGACGGCTGTGCACACCTTGATCTCCGAGGAGCTAGAGACTCCGGTGCTTACCTGCAATTTGGTTGCGTTTCCTTGGAAATTAAGATCAGTGGAGACTGCAGTGTCCTCAGGATATACATATTACACAGATATACAGCCTTAACACTCCAGCAGATCTTGCCTGTTCATGATTACAAGTCCTGCACACATCAAGACAAGCCTCTGTCTCTCCAGCTTCCAGCATCAGTGAAAACTCACAACCAACTTGCCTGATTCCAACTTCCTAGGATCATGTGGCATCCAGCCAGGCGAGTTCGGAAAGTGCTTACACCTTCCTGGAAGCATCTCGAGTAGTCGCTATGGCAACACATCTCTTCCCAGTTAACGCCTTAAGATGCTGATGAGGCCACCAAGACCATTACCTGAACAAAGGAACTGGTTTCCTCTTGCAGATTCTAACCTTGCAGGTGTAGGATCGCAGGTTCGGGACCCCTGGGCATCATCCAAATTGACCCCCCTAAAAAAATCTATTGCTAGAATCGAAGATTGTTGTTGTTGTTTAGTTGTTTAGTCGTGTCCGACTCTTCGTGACCCCCTGGACCAGAGCACGCCAGGCACTCCTGTCTTCCACTGCCTCCCGCAGTTTGGTCAGACTCATGCTGGTAGCTTCGAGAACACTGTCCCACCATCTTGTCCTCCGTCGTCCCCTTTTCTTGTGCCCTCAATCTTTCCCAACATCAGGGTCTTTTCCAGGGAGTCTTCTCTTCTCATGAGGTGGCCAAAGTCTTGGAGCCTCAGCTTCAGGATCTGTCCTTCCAGTGAGCACTCAGGGCTGATTTCCTTCAGAATGGATAGGTTTGATCTTCTTGCAGTCCATGGGACTCTCAAGAGTCTCCTCCAGCACCAGAATTCAAAAGCATCCATTCTTCGGCGATCAGCCTTCTTTATGGTCCAGCTCTCACTTCCATACATCACTACTGGGAAAACCACAGCTTTAACTATATGGATGTTGTCTAGGTTTGTCATTGCTTTTCTCCCAAGAAGCAGGCGTCTTTTAATTTCATGGCTGCTGTCACCACCTGCAGTGATCATGGAGCCCAAGTAAGTAAATGACAGGCGTAATTTTTTGCGGAGGGCTCCTGCTTCTTTGCTGCTCCGGTCTCCCATAACTCTGAGCAGGGATGGGAAAGTTGTGGCCAAACAGGGCATCATAAAGGCTACAACAGCCGGCTGCCCCGAGGCCTTTGGCCACACTGGAGGGAGATGATTGGATCTGGAGTCCAAGAAGACCTGGCAGGGCACACCTTTCCTCCTACCCCAGATCTAGCGAAGGCCTCTTTATAAACGATTCCTCCTGCGACACACAAGGGAATAATCCAAAACCGAAAGCAAACCTGCTTTTCCACTTTGGAACAATTGTTTTCACCCAGTTGCAAATTCAGTTGCTTAATCGGTTGCCTCTCATACAGTGAAGATCTTTTTAGTTGTGAGAGAGCGCACTACAATTCCCTGAATTACCCAGGAAGAGATTCGTGCTTAAAAGCAGCTCCAAGGAATCGTGTCTCTGTGAAGGGGATAGGGGTCTCCTAGCAACTCTCAGCACCAGTGCTGGGTTTATGTATAAGCTAAACAAGCTATAGTTTAGGGCCCCACTCTCTTGGGGGCCCCAAAAAATCTAAAGGAGGAAAAAACTGGATGTACATTTCCAAAACATAAGATTAAAAACAAATAAATAAAACCTTCATACAGCAACAGTGTTTTGTGTTGTGTAGGCTCCTATGATGTAAGTCATGGGCCTAGCCTACTTCCTAAAATATCACTGGTTTGCTCCTTTCTATATATAGGGTGCCTACATTCTGCACGGACTGGTTGCATGGCAACATGGGCAAATGGTTTTAGATACCTATGAGGTCCATAAATTACCATATAGCATATATTCAATCCAAAAACCAGCGACAATTTGTTATTGACAAAGGACAGCTGGACATATAAAGGGTCCCGTTACCTTCAGTAGCTGAGGGCCTCATCAAACTTAAATCTGGCCCTGCTCAGTACCCATAACAAACTAGAGTTCCCACGAGCTTTTTTTTTGGGGGGGGGGGAGTTATGGCTGTTTAAAGTGGAGTGACACTGCTTTAGAGGTGTAATCCATGAAGGAACTGTGCACTTCTGAATTTGCCCGTGCACTACTTGGAAAAGGTTTTGTGGATGGCTACCAGCCATGACGGGACGCGGGTGGTGCTGTGGGTTAAGCCACAGAGCCTAGGGCTTGCCGATCAGAAGGTCAGCGGTTCGAATCCCCGCGAGGGGGTGAGCTCCCGTTACTCAGTCCCTGCTCCTGCCAACCTACCAGTTCAAAAGCATGTCAAAGTGCAAGTAGATAAATAGGTATCACTCCGGCGGGAAGGTAAACGGCGTTTCCATGTGCTGCTCTGGTTCGCCAGAAGCGGCTTAGTCATGCTGGCCACATGACCCGGAAGCTGTACGCCGGCTCCCTTGGCCAGTAAAGCGAGATGAGTGCCGCAACCCCAGAGTCGGCCACGACTGGACCTAATGGTCAGGGGTCCCTTTACCTTTTACCAGCCTTGATGGCTGGGCTCGGTGTCCGCTGCCATGTGTCTGAACGCCAGTTGCTGGGAACTGCAGGAGGGGAGAGGGCCCTTGTGTTCGAATCCTGCTCGTAGGTTTCCCACAAGCCCCCTGGGAGAACAGGTGGGCAGATTTAGCTGGGCGGTTGCCCTAATCCAAAGCCTCCTCCTTCGTAGTGGTTCAACCCGGACCGCCTGTCTCTCTCGCCCCTGCAGGAACTGGTCCACCGCATCCTGCGCCCAGCTTCCAAGCGGCTGAACATCCTGGAGGTGCTCAAAGTCCCTTGGGTCCTCAAGTTCCTGGCTGAGAAGCCGACCACCGAGATCAAGGCCCTGGAAGCGATCTGCGGACCCCGGGCAGCCGACACCAGCAAGAACGCCACCACACCCAGCACCACCAAGTCCCGCTCCCTCACCTTCACGCCGGACAAAAAGAAGGCTGCCAGCCGGACCCGCAGCACCGGGCAGATCAAGGGGACGAAGACCCAGGAGAAGCCCATCTGAAGGAAGGGAGACATCTTGGAACGAGGGATGGGGGGAGATCTCAGGCCGGAGTCTCTCACTTACAGTGACCGGCCGATATTTTCTTTGAGGGGGCGAAAGTCCAGGGGGTGGGTGGTCTAGGGTGTGCACAGGGACCGTAGGGGGGAAAAGGAGGGCAGGGAACACCCAGAAATAGCGTTGCAGCCCCTTCTCTTCATCAGGCCTAAAGGAACAAAAGCAGCAGCAGGTTTCGGAACCTGACGTTTGGGTGCCATCTCTGAAATGCGAGATTAAAACCGAAAACAGAACAGTCCTTTGGGGTTTTGCGGAACTCAATTTGGGAAGGTGGTTAACGGACCTTTACACTCATCCCTTCTCTGGGATTTCTTTATTATTTTCTTTATTTCTTTATTATTTTCTTTATTTTATTAACGCGCATCCACAAAACAAACCATGAACCATCATATACAGTGGTACCTTGGGTTAAGAACTTAATTCGTTCTGGAGGTCTGTTCTTAACCTGAAACTGTTCTTAACCTGAGGTACCACTTTAGCTCATAGCTGTCAACTTTTCCCTTTCCTTGTGAGGAATCCTATTCGGAATAAGGGAATTTCCCTTTTAAAAAGGGAAACGTTGACAGCTATGCTTTAGCTAATGGGGCCTCCCGCTGCCGCCGCGCAATTTCTGTTCTCATCCTGAAGCGAAGTTCTTAACCTGAGGTACTATTTCTGGGTTAGCAGAGTCTGTGACCTGAAGCGTCTGTAACCTGAAGCGTCTGTAACCCAAGGTACCACTGTATATATATTCCCCGGGGTTATTGAGCCAAAAGGCTGCGATTCTTGATTTTGCAGAATGGTAGCTCTGGAAGGGACCCAGCGTGTCATCTAGCCCAACCCTCTGCGACGCAGGAATCTCAACCAGATCCTTCCACAACATGTGGCCACTCAACCACTTGCTTAAAAACCTCCAAGGAAGGAGAGTCCGCTAGCTTCCGAGGGAGACCGTTTCATTGTCGAACTGCTCTTCCCGTGAGAAAATTCTTCCTGATGTTTAGCTGGAATCAGTGGTGTAGCAGAGTTTGCCAGCCTCCAGGGCATAGAGGGCGAAGAGAACTGTGCTAGCCCAGGCCTTGCCACTGCCGCCCCTGGAGCGCCCACCCCCTTCTGGGTTATGCTGTGCTGCCTGTCAGCCCACATGGGGGGACGACAGCCGGCCGACACAGCCTTTGGTGGTTGGATTCCCCGGACGTCCACCAAGAGGAGTGCCAGGCTGGGCTGGGCCCTTGCCCGCCTCCCTCAGCCTCCGCCCGCTCGCCAAGTGCAGTGCGAACAACCCTCTGTTGTGTTTTGGGAGTTCAGCTCCTTCCCCAGCGAGGAAATTGGGAGTTTGCAAAAAAGCCACCTTAGCAATAGCAAGCGTGGCAACGTACAGCGTGCGGGGTTTCAGCAGGATCTAGGAAGCAGAGGACCAAAACAGAAAGTCGTTGGTCCGTACCGTACAGCCCGCAGTGCCTTCCTGCGTTTCAGAAAGGGGACCATTTCAGCCCCATGTGGATCTTTGAAAAAGGTGCCATTTTAGCGGGTGGTGCTGTGGGTTAAACCACTGTCTAGGACTTGCCGATCAGAAGGTTGGCGGTTCGAATCCCCACGACGGGGTGAGCTCCCGTTGCTCAGTCCCTGCTCCTGCCAACCTAGCTTGAAAGCACGTCAAAGTGCAAGTAGATAAATAGGTACCGCTCTGGCGGGAAGGTAAACGGCATTTCCGTGAGCTGCTCTGGTTCGCCAGAAGCGGCTTAGTCATGCTGGCCACATGACCCAGAAGCTGTACGCCGGCTCCCTCGGCCAGTAAAGCGAGATCAGCGCCGCAACCCCAGAGTCGGCCACGACTGGACCTAATGGTCAGGGGTCCCTTTACCTTAAAAATCAGGCAGGGCAGTGTATGTGGAGAAGCTTATAAATAATGCAAAGTGAGTGGCAAACACGCCCGGCAAACACCAATGAAAGTGAAGGCCGGGGTCAGAGTATGAGAAAATCTAAGTGCTATTTCTCCACCCAAAATAGTTTAAATTAAAATGTAGTGATGTGTGCTGATAGCTTCCAGTGAGGAATGGGAACAGAGATCTGGCGGTCGCTCTTACCCGCAGTAACTGAGCAGAGTCTCCAAGCTCAAGAGCAGTCTACCTCTAATTGCACGGGAGACGGCCAAAGAAGGGCGGTCAGTGGCTTCGTTGGGCACATCTGATTGGGCAGCGTGCGGAACAGAGGGACACTCTGTCCAATCCACGAGGGCGTAGAGAGAGCCAAGAGGGGAGGGGAGGACTTGCAGAGAGCCGCTTCCCTCCCCAGCCCCGCCCTTCGAACAACGAAACAGCAGAAAAATTTCCGGCCACGTTTATTTTCAGAGTTGTCGTCGTAAAGGCCACTGCAGCATGTGCGCGTGAGAGGGGGGTGCGGGTTGGGGCAGAAATCCCTCCCCTTCCCCCTCCAAATTCTTGGCCACGAGAAGATACAAAAAGAAGAAGAAACTAACGACGGAGACGAAGACGAGAGAGAGAGAGAAAAGTTTCCGAAAAGTTAGCGGGTTAGCACAGATCCGAGTGCAAATAACATGTAAACGCCACCCCAAGCCACATTTAAACAGACACGCTGTCGATAGGAACAGAGAGAGAGAAAGAGAGAACGTACCTGTTCACACCAGACCCCCCACCCTCTTGGCACGGTTCCACCCACCCCGATGGGGTTGGCATCATTCATCATCATCATTTTTTTAAATTCACATGCTGGTGGGGATAAAATCTGTAGCATTGGTAAAGAGGCTGGGGGGGGGGGGAGAACGACCAAGGCATGGAGCCCCCCTAACCCCCCGCCCAGCAAAGAGGAGTAGCGAAGGAACACTGAACCCCCACAATTTGACACAGGCCCCAATCCCACTCGCAGCGAGTGCAGGGGGAGAACTTAACTCTGTGGAAACCCCTCTGCCTCGCTCCTGGGGAGGGGGGGACTCATGCCCCCCTCCCCACCGAAGGCCCCTCACATGTTTACAACCGCGGAGAGGGTCTCAGGTTTGCTTGGGAGGGGCCAAGCACCAAGATACGCTTGCAAAGTTTGGTCCTCGAGTTTTACAGAGGGGTAACGCGGGGGGGTGCGGGGCCGGTCTCCCGTTCCCAAGGCAAGCCCCCTATCCCCTCCCCACGATACAATCTGTTCATATATATATATATATTTCATATATATAAATCTGTCTATATAAAACTCTTTACATTCGGCACGTAAGGTTATTTCAGGCAGGGGCGGGGCGGAGGGGGTGGGGGCGTCGGTGTTCACCACCCCTCCCCGAATCTGGAACTGAAGGAGGAAGGCAGGGGGGGAAAAGGTCCTCTCCGGTCTCCCAGCCCTCCAAGGAAGGGGAGGGAGGGAAGGAAGGAGGGCGGTTTTCCCACAATGCATCACGACACCCAGGCGGCAAGCTGCTTCATTTCTTCGTCGTCGTCGTCATCCACCGCGGAGGCAGAGGCGGGCACTTTTGAGGCTGGCAAAATAATAATAATAATAATAATATTTTTTTATTTGTACCCCGCCCATCTGGCTGGGTCTCCCCAGCCACTCTGGGCGGCTTCCAACAAAGATTAAAAATACATTAAAATGTTGCACGTTGAAAACTTCCCTGAACCGGGCTGCCTGAACGGAGGGAGGGAAAGGATGAAATCAAAATGTAGACACGGCACCCCAAAACTTCAACCCTCTTCCAAATGCTCCCGCCTTTACTTAACGCCTTGCCTCGAGGTGCCTGTTTGTTTACTGGATTTATATGGGCTTTGAAGACACTCGAACTCAGGACGCAAGGGAGAAACGTGCTAAGAGGAAGTCACGTTCGGCAAACCCTCACCATGATCAACTCCTGTCCGGAAACCTATGTCCCCACTGTGGAAGGACGTGTGGATCCAGAATTGGCCTCACTTACGGACTCACTGTTAAAGCTGTGTTTATGGAAGACCATCTTACTTGGCTACGAGTGATCGCCAATGAATATCCAGTAGTACCTTGGCTGTCAAACTTAATCCGTTCCGGGAGTCCGAAAACCCAGGCACAGCTTCCAGTTGGTTGCAGGATCTTCCTGCACTCAATCAGAAGCTGCGTCGGACGTTTGGCTTCCAAAGAACGTTCACAAACATTCACAAACAGGTTTGCGGCGTTCAGGGGCCAAAACGTACGCGTACTAAGGCGTTCGAGAACCAAGGTACGACTGTAGCGCTTTCAGGCAGACGCCACAAAGCGGTTTGTGTAAGGTTACGACAAGAAGAACACACACACACACATACAAAGGGCCTTCTCTTTTAAAAAAGTCACAATATCCAGGCTGGATTAAGACCTTTGGAGATCCTCAGCACTTAAAAGCTTCTGGTGCCCCTATACCTATCCAATTCAAAACATAAGCCGTAAAATAAAATTATTTTTTTCGAAATGAAGCAGAACCTACATTCAGATGGAAAATGATGCTTATTTTTGCACGCTTCTACTTTACATCCACCCACATCTCCAGATTTGTTGGGGCTGCCGCCCCACACCAGCCAGAGGCATGTTGGGAGTTGTAGTCCAGCCACACTTGGGGAGAGCCAGGTTGACAAAGCCAGGACTTTTGAGGGGAGCCGAGACAGCAGGCGACGCCATCCCAAGACCCAGGGGCTTGTGCCCACCTCGCTGCCTCCCCACGCCCCCTTACCTGGCACGCTGGGCAGGCGAGAGGCAGGCACGCTGGGCAGCTCGGGCGTCGGTTCCCCAACATTCAGCAGCTCCTTGTCCAAGTCTTCCTGCTCCATCACCTCCAGCTCAGCTAACAGCTCGTCCTGAGGGCAGCAAAGGCAGGGGGATGAGTAGAAACACAAACAGGTACCCATTGCCACTTCTCCCCTCCCCTCCAATGCCCACTGCCCCACTACTCTGGGGCTCAGCCCCACCCCAAAAGGCGGATCTGGAGAACTGTAACCGAACTCCCTCCTCCACTTTTCAGGAGTGAGAGTTCCCCCGCTTTTAAAATTATTTTTATTAAAGATTTTCTTGATTTACAAAAGTGTGTGCAATGTCTCTCTCTCATATATATATATATATATATATATATATATATATATATTTCCATGTAACATTTTTACAAGTCTGTTTCATTTGTTGAGACATTGGGAAGAAAAGGGGGAAAGAGGTGGAGGGGGGGGAAGATGAGTGGGGGTGGGGACGGGTGGCGATGTTTCTACAGTGGTACTTCGGGTTAAGTACCTAATTCGTTCCGGAGGTCCGTTCTTAACCTGAAACTGTTCTTAACCTGAAGCACCACTTTAGCTAATGGGGCCTCCTGCTGCCGCTGCACGATTTCTGTTCTTATCCTGAAGCAAAGTTCTTAACCTGAAGCACTATTTCTGGGTTAGCAGAGTCTGTAACCTGAAGCGTATGTATCCTGAAGCGTATGTAACCCGAGGTACCACTGTACTTTATGTGGGGTTTTGTGTCAGCGTCGCTTGTGCAGGTTCTTTACTGCTCACTTGTGTTCCTTTGGTGGTGAGAGAGGTTGGGGTTGGCCTAGGGTGTGGTTATTCATTTGTGATTGGCTGTGTTGAACTTTGTTTTCGTGTGTGAGTGAGGTGGGTGGGTGTTTTGGATCAGGTTGCTTAACGGTTGCCATTAATTTGATTTTAATTAATTTTTATAATGAAATGTTTTAGAATGTTGGATTATTTGATTGTTTGATTATTTGATTGTTGTTAGCCACCCTGAGCCCGGCTTTGGCTGGGGAGGGCGGGATATAAATAAAACTTATTATTATTATGATTATTATGATTATTATTATATTGATTTGTATGCTGTTGGTGGATTTTTGTCGTTGTCTTGTTGGGCTGTGTATGTGATAAAGGGGAGCCATACCGGGGTAAAGGCGTCTTCTTCTGTTTGTCCCCGTGTCAGTTTCAGTTTATTGGTTAATTTTTCTAGCAGGGCTGTTTCCCATACTATTTGGTACCATTGGTCCACGCTTCCTGCCTGACAGGTCTCTCCAGTGTCTGGCTATGATGCTTCTGGCTGCTGAAAGTAGGTGGGTTATGAGTTCTTTGTGGTGTAAGTGGGCCTTATTGCCTTGGAAGGTGTTTAGTAAGGGTCCCCCGCTTTTGACGTTACCTCATCTACATCGTCCCCAAAGCCGACGGGCTTCGAGATGGCGTCGGAGATCTGCTGCGCAATGTCCTGCTGCTCTGTGATCTCGGCCATCAGGTCGTCCACTTTGTCGATGTCCCTGGAGAGACGGGGTGGGGGAAAGGGTGAGACACGGAGGAAAGGACAGCTGGGGTGGGGGGCTGCTTTTGCCGTTGCACCGAAGCGCACCTCAAGAACAGGAAAGCACGGGAGGCCAAAGGAGCTGGAAGACGGAGCAGGCAAGTGGCAAATCCGAGATCCAGGTCCGAAAATGCGAGCAGCCGCCACGAGACAAAATCCACAAGGCAGGACTAAGAAGGATGGAGCCAGCCTTTGAACGGGGAACCTTTCTTTAGCCAAGGGCCGCAATCCCACCAGGGCAACTTTCTGGGGGCCACAGGTCTGGACACACACAAGCCTCTCCATCCTGGTTTGACCCCAGTTCAAAGACACAGACCAGCCAGGTAAGCTTACTGGAGGGGGGCTCGGAGATGGCCCAACAAGGGGCGTGGCCTGGGCAGAGGATTCTGGGAGCTGTAGTTTGTTAAGGGCACTGAGCCTCGCTAGGAGAGCCCTATTCCCGCTCACAGAGCAGCCATTCCCAGAATCCCTGGGAAGAGAGAGTGGCTGTTAAACTGCCCTGACAACCATAGCTCTTGTGAAGGGAATAATGCAGTGTCTCAGCACCCTTATCGGACTACAGCTCCCAGGATTCTTTGCAGGAAGCCACACCTGCCAGCACTGTCTTTTAAATAGAGGGCATGCACATGGCCAGAAAGGGTCTCCTCCTTTTGCACTCAGGGCTTGCTGCTCCCTCGGCCTTCTCTTTTGCCCTTTCCAGGCTCCACACAAGCACCCTATCTCCCTCCTGAAGGCCCCACAGCCTCGGGACCCACATGTGCTGATGGGCTTCCTTCATGGCTCGGGCTGCGTCCGACATGGTCTTGAGCACTTCGGTGTTGGTGGTGGCGTTCTCGAGAGCCTCGCGCTGGAACTCGATGGTGGAGAGGGTCCCATCGATCTGCCCCAGCTGCTGCTCGTAGCGTTTCTTCCGCTTGAGAGCTTGCAGGGCAGCTGGATCGAGAAGGGAGGGAAAGAGGCAATGCGTTATTCTGTTTTTAATATTCAGCTGACAACTGCCCAGAGTGGCACCCAGTCAGATGGGTGGCATATTATTATTATTATTATTAGCATGCATCAGTTCCATTTGCTCTCTGACACAGCCCACCCCTTAAACTTTACAAACGCTCTATTTCCTCTTCTAAGGCTACAGGGTTCCGTTCCTCAGAAATGTAGGATGTGCTGGAAGCAGGCACACAGCTCCCTAAAATCCCCCAGCTTTCGTTTTGACACTGCTAAGTTTCTTTTTTTATTTTGTGTGTGTGTGTGTGTGTGTGTGTGTGTGTGTAATTGAACTTAAATATCACATCACAAAAGTAAAAAGAAAATACACCACTTTATTTTATTTATATGTAACATTTACTTTTTGGCAACATTTTACTTTCTACATAACATATTTTTGCTAACCGGCGAGCGGTGTATTTTCTTTCCTTTTCTTTTAACATTGCTAAGTTTCTAGTCCTTATGAAAGCACAGCCCCCTCAAAGCTGCTGCTTAAGGGATGAAGGAAATCTTTGTTTTAACCGGCCCCCTTCCTGGACCCCACGTTCTCTGTATCTCCCTCCACTGCTCCATTCACCTCTTTTGTTTTTCGTCCCATGTTTCTTGGCCGACTGAAGCTCCTGCTGGATCTTTTGCTCCAGGAATTCTTGTTTCTTGACAAGCACCTCCTCCGTCTCCCGCAGCTTCTGGATGGCCTCCTGCGGGGTAGGGGCTTTGGCCTTCTTACCTGGAAAGGGCCCCGGCCAGAGAGGGTGGGGGGAAGGGAGAGAAGGGAGAGAGCCAGAACGCCCATTAATCCTCCAGCATCAATCCAACCTATTTGAAAGCCAACACCCCAGAGGACAGGATCACACTTCAAAACGACCTTGACAGATTAGAGAACTGGGCCAAAACAAACAAGATGAATTTTAACAGGGAGAAATGTAAAGTATTGCACTTGGGCAAAAAAAATGAGAGGCACAAATACAAGATGGGTGACACCTGGCTTGAGAGCAGTACATGTGAAAAGGATCTAGGAGTCTTGGTTGACCACAAACTTGACATGAGCCAACAGTGTGACGCGGCAGCTAAAATGCCAATGCAATTCTGGGCTGCATCAATAGGAGTATAGCATCTAGATCAAGGGAAGTAATAGTGCCACTGTATTCTGCTCTGGTCAGACCTCACCTGGAGTACTGCGTCCAGTTCTGGGCACCACAGTTCAAGAAGGACACTGACAAACTGGAACGTGTCCAGAGGAGGGCAACCAAAATGGTCAAAGGCCTGGAAACGATGCCTTATGAGGAACGGCTAAGAGAGCTGGGCATGTTTAGCCTGGAGAAGAGGAGGTTAAGGGGTGATATGATAGCCATGTTCCAATATATAAAAGGATGTCACATAGAGGAGGGAGAAAGGTTGTTTTCTGCTGCTCCAGAGAAGCGGACACGGAGCAATGGATCCAAACTACAAGAAAGAAGATTCCACCTAAACATTAGGAAGAACTTCCTGACAGTAAGAGCTGTTCGACAGTGGAATTTGCTGCCCAGGAGTGTGGTGGAGTCTCCTTCTTTGGAGGTCTTTAAGCAGAGGCTTGACAACCATATGTCAGGAGTGCTCTGATGGTGTTTCCTGCTTGGCAGGGGGTTGGACTCGATGGCCCTTGTGGTCTCTTCCAACTCTATGATTCTATGATTCTAACAACAGGGACTAGAACCATTGCTTGGAAAGGATGGTGCTAAAGGGAGACTGGCCAGCCCACCAAGAGATACCCCAGGTGAATTATGGGCTTTTCCCAGCAGCCATCCTTCTCCTCCATGACTCTCTTGCCCTGCTTCAAAATGGTGGGGGGAAGCTGCCCCCCTACACCCAGAAACTGATCACTGGGGAAGAAGATAAGTTAACCCCCCAAAATAGAGCTTTTTGGAAATATGGTACAGTCCACTCCCCCCCCCGAAAAAGCTTGGAATGAACCCTTCCCCTTCCTTTAATACGCTTCCCTCCTTTGTTTTTCTCCCTCCACCAAGCCAGACTCTTTTCCTCTCCTTCCTCCCCCCCCAGACATAAATGGTTTCTCCCAGCTGTCCGTGATCCCCTATGGCGATTGGGCGATACCACCCACCTTCAGGGTGGGGAATGTAAAAGTAGGGGCTCACCCTTCCCGAAGAGCTTTCCCAAGCCACTCATCTCGCCTGGTTGGTAATTCACTGGACTTCCTCTTCCGGCTTCATCCACCTCCCAGCCTTACACCGCCTCCATCCCCCCCCCCACCAATCACATGACAACAGGGAAGGACCAGAGCAAAGAGATACAGTCTTCCTAGATCTCTATAGAGACATCAGGTTCCCAATATGAACTGGCTACACTCCTCTTACGTGCGGGGAAATGGGAGTGGAATTGCATTTTTTAAAAAAATGGGTTCGACCGAGACTCATTTATTAATTGCAGTTCATTCCCAATGAGGCTAATTAATCGTGGCCCAAGTCCTACTGATTTAATTTGGAATTCAGTGCAAATAACTTACTCTAGAAGACTGGGACCAACCCAGTGATCGGAATTTTTTTAAATTTAAAAACAAACAAACATCATGGCTGCTTCAAAGAGCAGCTGCGAAAGGAGAAACTCTCGCCCTGTTTGGATTTTGGCAATTGGGATTGGTTTTTAACCATAGGTTCCGACATCGCTCCACCACGCTTGCCCCGCACATGGGAGGTGGTTTTACAATGGAAACCGGAAGTTGAGGTTGCGGGGAGCGTCCAATTAATGGTATCAAATCTGGACCAAATCTGGGCACGGGACAAAAACGTGGGCAGGGAAATCATATGACGTGATGTCTCTCCCTCTCTTCCCCCCTCCCTCTCTTAAAGGAGCCGCGCCGCCCTAAAGAACGTCTTTCCAATCCTGAAACAGAATTTTGTAGTCTCGAAATTAAATTATGAATATCCATTTCGTACAGGGGCCATATGATCTACCTGGTTTTATGGGACTGAATCCACATTAATCATTTTGCCTGCAGTTTGAAGATCTCCACCCCGAGCTGCCCCACCCATCCCATAATAGCGCCCCGATCTTGAAAAAGCTGCGGGAGATTTAACAATCCAACAGGTATAGCTTTCCACTGTGGAGGAGAGAATTCGGGGAGGAGCTCCCCTCCTTTTAACACTGATTTTCCATGTTTACTATACCGGATATAGAGATCCATTGATTCTCCTCTGTTTTAAGACTCCTATCTCCCATCATCCCTGTTTTATTGGCTGAGGCTGACATCCAAAAACATCTAGAATCCCCTAGATGTTAAAAGCACTTCTTTGTAATCTGGCTGACATGTCTCTTCCCACTTGGCTCTGGGCATTCACACCTTTTCCTTAATGTATTATTGTTGTTTAAATAAAACATGAATTGAAGATGTGATTAGAATTCTAAAGTCTTAGATATATAATAAATGTTCATAAATGTACCAACCAAGCACATACATAGATCAGCACAGGAAGACCGACCTGAAACGGTTTTTGATTCCCAAACTGACCAAATGCTTTCTCTGCAAGATCAAAGGAAAATGGAAAAGCCTCCCCATTGTCTTTTCCTTCAAAAATCCTGTCTTAAGGGTATGTCTGTGTTCGAATAGGGTGAGCCTGTGATCTGGCTCAGGAACTAAGGCTCCCCTGGGTATCCAATCAAGTGAGCATTAACAGGTAACCTGTAAGACGAGATAAACAACGCACTCAGATTTCTGCTGTAGACCGCCTTTTCTATGATATATCTGAGGGGTGGTCTTGAGCTCCAGGGCAGGGAATTTAAAATGTCTATACTGTATAAGGGCAGGCACACCTTTGTTCTGGGTCCTCCTCCTTTCCTGCGTGTAAAGGGAGCACCCTGTCGCAATAGATCAATAAAGATCAGGCTTTTCTAGCTGCTTTGCTTCTCAATATTCTCTGGTTGGCCTCTGTTATTTTCTCCTACCAATAGGGAACCTACGTAAGGACTCTATATGGGCTCTTGGATACCCCATAAGCGAAAAAGGGCAAATGTTTGTTTACAACAAAGACAAGCATGTCTCTGGCCATGTGCAAAGTACACCTTCCCCAGCAGTAACTGCAGCTCAGCACTGTGAGCATATTGAGGGTGAAAGACTGTAGGGCCTGGCAATTGCTTTTAATAATTAAAAAAAGGGGGGGGGAGCATTGGGCCTGACTGACCTGATCCTGGATATTGCATTTAAAAAAACAGAAAGCAAAAACAAACCCACACTACTCATGACTTTTAGGAGATGCATTGCATTGCCTGATTGAAAGAGCAGAGTAAAGATATTGCAAGAAGCACAATTCTGCCGACTCTTCTGTGTATTCCTTTGTTCTCTGCGCTTGGTTCTTAACAAACGTTATATCAATTTTACGCGATAAATAAATGTCTGATCCCACAGTGAGAGAGACACAGAGGATGTGAGCTTTCACTTGCTCCTGCCTACCTCAGCCAATGAGAAATCAGCAACCCACCAGACAGTTTTGGCCCACCTGGAGCCCTCTGGAAGTTTGGGGCTGCAGCTCCCATCAGCCCAGAGTTCACAGAGTGGTAGAATTGTCGAGTTAGAAGGGACCCCAGGGTCATCTAGTCCAACCCCCTGCAATGCAGGGATCTCAACTGAAGCATCCATGGCAGATGGCCACCCAACCTCTGTTTAAAAACCTCCAGTGAAGGAGCGTTGTATTCCAAAAAACTGGAAGGTGCAAAGTTGGAAAAGGCTGACACAGGAATGTAGCCTGGGAGTCATTTTGGACTCACAGCTGTCCATGGAGGCGCAGGTCAATTCTGTGTCCAGGGCAGCTGTCTACCAGCTCCACCTGGTACGCAGGATGAGACCCTCCCTGCCCGCAGACTGTCTCGCCAGAGTGGTGCATGCTCTAGTTATCTCTCGCTTGGACTACTGCCCTGTGCTCTACGTGGGGCTACCTTTTTAGGTGACCAGGAAACTGCAACTAATCCAGAATGCGGCAGCCAGATTGGTGAATGGGAGCGGCTGCTGGGACCATATAACACCAGTCGTAAAAGACTTGCATTGGCTCCCAGAACATTTCCAAGCACAATTAAGAGTGTTGGTGCTGACCTTGAAAGCCCTAAATGACTTTGCCCCAGTATACTTGAAGGAGCGTCTCCACCCCATCATTCAGCCCTGACACTGAGGTCCAGCTCTGAGGGCCTTCTGGCAGTTCCCTCCTTGCGAAAAGTGAGGTTACAGGGACCCAAGCAGAGGGCCTTCTCGGTGGTGGCGCCCGCCCTGTGGAACACCCTCCCACCAGGTGTCAAGGAAATAAACAACTAGAAGACATCTGAAGGCAGCTCTGTTTAGGAAAGTTTTTAATGTTTGATGTTTTATCGTGTTTTTAATATTCTATTGGACAAGGATCCTGCAATCACGTTAAGGGTAGCCATATGTGCGATTGCCATAAAACATAGGCAACAAGCTGTGCTATCATAGGTTTTAAATAATAATTTTAGGTTATATGTTAGTGACTAAATTTTAATTTATATATATTTTTAACTGTTGCTATATCTGTATTGTCCCTCTTATACCTAATTGCAAATTCAAAGGTATCCCTATCGTGTTTTATGACTTCCTTGATATTGTATGTGGGCTGGAACTGGTCTGCGACCAAAATAATAAAATTCATTCATTCAATATTCTATTGGAAGCCGCCCAGAATGGCTGGGGAAACCCAGCCAGCTGGGCGGGGTATAAATAATAAATTATTATATTATTATTACGTTATTTGGTGCCTGTTAAAAATATTTGTTTAGGCAAGCCTATCCAGAAGCATAGCATGTTCACATGCATTTTATTCTGGTTTTTATCTTATTGTTGATGTGGCTTTTAAAAAATACTTTAGGTATTTCTCAACCGATTCTTTTTCCTTTGATTTCATTGTTTTATTCTGTTTATAAACCACTTCTGACATTGTTGTCGTTGCCTTTCTACAGTCAAGCAGTGCATGAATTTTACAAAGCAGACAATTGAATAAAATAGGACCCCCCCCCCCCCCGCTTTCACAGTGCCTGTCGTCTTCTGCCGGCTCGGCAACTGGAGGGGACGTGGACCAGTTGTTGGGGAACAGGAGCGTGGCAAGGTGTAGGGGTGCAGATATCCAGAGTGTGGGGGTCAGGTGGGATCGCTATGAGGAACTATGAAAAATGAAGCAGGCCAATGTGTCCGCGATGAAAGCATTGCATTGACTGGGTATGATCTATTGACAATAGGTTCTGATCGAATCCCACAAGCCTCTCCACCTCTGCCATTTGCTATCTACCTGAAAGGCACGTATAAGCATTCTAAACACAGACCAGTTGCCAGTTGGTTCATCAGGCATCCTGGGTCATAAAGATAGTAGGTAGCTTCTTTGATGTAGTTTGGGTGGCGCTGTGGGTTAAACCACAGAGCCTAGGACTTGCCGATCAGAAGGTCGGCGGTTCGAATCCTCGCGACGGGGTGAGCTCCCGTTGTTCAGTCCCTGCTCCTGCCAACCTAGCAGTTCGAAAGCATGTCAGAGTGCAAGTAGATCAATAGGTATGGCTCCAGCAGGAAGGTAAACGGCGTTTCCGTGCGCTGCTCTGGTTCACCAGAAGCGGCTTAGTCATGCTGGCCACATGGCCCACAAGCTGTACGCCGGCTCCCTCAGCCAATAAAGCGAGATGAGCACTGCAACCACAGAGTCGGCCATGACTGGACCTAAGGGTCAGGGGTCCCTTTACCTTTAAAGGCCAGGAAGAGAGTTCACAAGGAGATGGTAAATACTCTTTTCCTTGCCATCCTTCCTTCCTTCCCTGCCTGTTTATGACCTCTAGGTTTTGCTGAATGCATTCCTCTAGTCCTGTTTTGTTTACTCTCAGATATGTATGCATGCTCAAAGTAGTCTTTGTAGTTAACAGGATTTCTTCTGATCTGACTTTGTCCCACGTGGGGTTTTTTGAAATGCTCAGAGGAAATCTGATTGGTTCTTATGAACACTGTGTAAAAAGTCCTTTTGTGAATAAAACAACCTGGGCCGAGGGGGGGAGAAGGATTATTATTATTATTGGCACCTCTCCCCAGAGTCTTGCTGGCCAAGCATTGTGTGTACAGTGGTACCTCAGGTTACATATGCTTCAGGTTACAAACTCCGCTAACCCAGAAATAGTGCTTCAGGTTAAGAACATTGCTTCAGGATGAGAACAGAAATCGGGCTCTGGCGGCACGGCAGCAGCGGGAGGCCCCATTAGCTAAAGTGGTGCTTCAGGTTAAGAACAGTTTCAGGTTAAGTACGGACCTCCGGAACGAATTAAGTACTTAACCCGAGGTACCACTGTCTTTTATTAATCAGAGTCCAATCCTTCCTTTGCGTTGGGAACGCTACAGCAAGGTGCCTATCAGGTAAGTCCAGGCTGTTCACACGCGTGTAAAAAGATGCACGGCAGGGAAACACGTAGAGGATTTATTGCACGGGGTCAAAATCCCGTCCCCGCCAACACACTCCACACATGACGAGAGAGGTCCGGTTTGCGTCAGCCGCAGGCGGCATTCAGGATCGAGCGAAGGCTTCTAGGCCCTGTTTCAGGAGGGACAGGTTCATGCCGTTGGGGACGAGGATACATGTGACTCCTACGTGGAAGCGAAATAGGGGGGAAATAGATTGCACATCTCCCCGCCCCCCTTCGTACGAAGCGGACTTATTCAGAAACAGCCTTGGGGTCCGCTTAGCTCAGGCTTGTCTCCCCTGACCTACAGCAGCTCCCAAGAGTGAGGCGGGTGCCCCCTTTGCCCCACAGACAGCAGCCTCCGCCGCCTACGGGCGAGGGGGTCACACGCAGCGGGCACATTTCTCCCCGTTACCTAATTTGCTGACGTCGTAAATGTTGCGGCTCTCGTCGTCGAAGAAGAGCATCTGCGAAAAGGGAACCCCGGTTTGCTGAGACAACCTGAGGAGGAACAGGCAGGGGGCAGAATGAGAAATCCCCGTCCCGTTGCTCCCATAGACCAGCCTTGCCAATGGCGTGCCCTCCGTCAGTGGTGTCCAAACTTTTTTCACAGAGGGCCAGATTTGATGAAGTGAAGGGCCGTGAGGGCAGACCAAAGGGCCAACCAAAGTCGTTAACCTTTTTTTTAGGGTTGAAGTTAGTGAGCTTTTTTTTTTAGGATTTTACTCCAGGAAATAAACTGCCACAGGGGCCGGATTAAACCGTACTACCAAAATGATTAAGGTTTTAAATGACAATTTTAGGTTATATTTCAGTGATCAATATTTAATATATATTTTTAACTGCTGCTATACAGTGGTACCTCGGGTTACATACGCTTCAGGTTACATACGCTTCAGGTTAAAGACTCCACTAACCCAGAAATAGTACCTCGGGTTAAGAACTTTGCTTCAGGATGAGAACAGAAATCGCGCGGCAGCAGCAGGAGGCCCCATTAGCTAAAGTGGTGCTTCAGGTTAAGAACAGTTTCAGGTTAAGAACGGACCTCCGGAACGAACTAAGTACTTAACCCGAGGTACCACTGTGTCTGAATTGCCTCTGTTATACCCAATTGCAATTCAATGTATTCCTGTTGTGTTTTATGATTTTCTTAATATTGTAAGTGAGCCAGAACTGGACCGTAATAATAAAAAAAATCAAATAAACCAACCGGCGGGCAGGATTAGGCCCAAGAAACGGACGGAACTTGGGGGACATCACTGTGGGGGTGTACAAAGAGTCCATGGGCCAGCTGCTCCAGGCTCCTGTTTTCACAGCCGCCGCCCCCTCTATGCCCCCCATCCAACAGGATGTAGGTCTTCCCTTACTTTTGAAAGTGGGTGACTTTGCTGCCCGGGTAGATCTCTGCGTAGTGGATGAAGCGGTTCAGGCCGAAGAGATCCAACAGCTGATTAGCCCCCCGGATCTCACCTGTCCTAGGAAGAGAGAGGGAGGGGTGGAGAGATTCATATTTGAGATCGCTTATTCATCTTGTTTATTAAATAATACCCCCCCTTGCAGACGACTGCAGTGCCTGGAGATGGGCAGTCAAGTCGTGCATCCGTAGCAGGGACCTGAGGAGAAATGACCGCTGGGACGAGAACGGAGAGAAGAAATACAGTGGTACCTCGGGTTACATACACTTCAGGTTACATACGCTTCAAGTTACAGACTCTGCTAACCCAGAAATAATACCTCGGGTTAAAAACTTTGCTTCAGGATCAGAACAGAAATCGTGCTCCAGCGGCGCAGTGGCAGCGGGAGGCCCCATTAGCTAAAGTGGTGCTTCAGGTTAAGAACAGTTTCAGGTTAAGAACGGACCTCCGGAACGAATTAAGTACTTAACCCGAGGTACCACTGTACCACGATGCAACCAGACACCTTACTCTGCCCCGGCTGCAACAAAACATGTCTCTCCCATATCATCTCTGCAGCAACAGCAGGCAATATCTTGACCTCACCCCCAAAGGTGCATTCTTCCATTGTCTCCCATCGTCAACCAAGGTTAAATTTGTAAGCTCAGGTTCCGGCACCTCTCAAGTCAGTGCCACTGCCGTTGTAAGAGAGGCGTTCATGGCGAATTCCTCTTTCTTCTAGGAAAATAGCAGGGCGGTTCACAGCACAAAGCACAAAAGGAGAACACAAAATGCGTAGTGAAATCAAGGACAAGAAAGAAAAGCAAGCCAGTAAACCGTCCCACAAACACATTTAAAAGACTTCATAGGGACTAGTCACACAACGGAACTTTAACACGGAACTTTAAGGTGGTCGGCAAGCAGCAAACATGGTGTGGATGTCCCTGTTGACATGGAGTCCAATAATAATAATAATAATAATAATAATAATTTATTATTTATACCCTGCCCATCTGGCTGAGTTTCCCCAGCCACTCTGGGCAGCTCCCAATCAAATGTTAAAAACAGTACAGCATTAAATATTAAAAACCTCCCTAAAAAAGGCTGTCAAGCCAAGTAACCCGGAATAAATGGAGGCGGTTTGGGGCCTGCAGGGATGGGTGCAGGATCTGGACTCACCGTGAGGCAGCCGCCATAGGGATCCCCTCCGCTTGCAGCTGCTCCAGCACAGCCGGCACCTCAGGGTACAGATTTATGGGTCGCATGTTGCGGTCTCGTATTGAGCCATCGCTGAGGGGAACATTGACAAAAGAGTCATGAGGTTTGTTGCCTTTAAAACAACAACAAAAGTGTCGGGATGGTATATGTGTTTTTAACATGGCAGGCAGAAATCCAACAGATACAGTTTTCCCCAGGACACAAAGGAGAGCTTCACCTGTTGGGTTCCTGCCTGCTGCACGGTTTTTAGGGGCACAGAGCCCTTTAAGCATAAAACAAACATCAGTGTCTCTCCCCAAGTGGGGGGAATAAACAGCTCCCTGAAAGGCCCTTTGTATTGTGCATTAATGACAATTTGTGCTCAAGATGGTTTCAGGGAAGTTAGATGCAGAACTGCCTTTTGACATTGTTTTGGGGTTTGGACACCCCAGTTGGCACATGCCCCATAACCTGCTGATGAAATCCTGCATCTTTTAAAATATAATAATAAGAATAAGAATAATAGTAATTTATTATTTGTACCCCGCCCATCTGGCTGAGTTTCCCCAGCCACTCTGGGCGGCTTCCACAAAGACCAAAAATACACGAAGATGTCACACATTAAAAACTTCCCTGAACAGGTCTGCCTTCAGAAGTCTTCTAAATGTCAGGTAGTTGTTTATCTCTTTGACATCTGATGGGAGGGCGTTCCACAGGGTGGGCGCCACCACCGAGAAGGCCCTCTGCCTGGTTCCCTGTGACCTCGGCTTCTCGCAATGAGGGAACCGCCAGAAGGTCCTCGGAGCTGGACCTCAGCGTCCGGGCAGAACGATGGGGGTGGAGACGCTCCTTCAGGTATACTGGGCCGAGGCCGTTTAGGGCTTTAAAGGTCAGCACCAACACTTTGAATTGCGCTCGGAAATGTACTGGGAGCCAATGTAGGTCTTTCAAGACCAGTGTTATGTGGTCTTGGCGGCCGCTCCCAGTCACCAGTCTGGCTGCCGCATTCTGGATTAGTTGCAGTTCCCGGGTCACCTTCAAAGGTAGCCCCACGTAGAGCGCATTGCAGTAGTCCAAGCGGGAGATTACTAGAGCATGCACCACTCTGGCGAGACAGTCTGCGGGCAGGTAGGGTCTCATCCTGCGTACCAGATGGAGCTGATAAACAGCTGCCCTGGACACAGAACTGACCCGCGCCTCCATGAACAGCTGTGAGTCCAGAATGACTCCCAGGCTGCGCACCTGGTCCTTCGGGGGCACAGGTACCCCATTCAGGACCAGGGAGATATAAACAACGTTCTAGTTTATGTATTTATTTTGCCCCGCTTTCGTCGCGTTACAGCACAACAGTTGCCCACGCGGATGACAAAGACATGGTAACCTTAGAGAAGCATCGCATCAGGGAATCTAATAAGCGGTACAATGTGTGCGGACCGCCCAGTATAAATCCATCACTATTTATTTCATAAAATTTGTAAAAATTGATTGTAAAAAAACCAACAACCAACCCCTCAAAGAGGTTTGCGAAAAAGATAAAACAATGCAATTCAAGAAGAATTAACAACAATAATTTAAGACTTTTGAGAAATGAAAATGAGCCAAAAACAGATTAAAAGCCACATTAGTGTGAGTCAATGACAGGCATAGGCAAGTTCGGCCTTCCAGATGTTTTGGGACTACAACTCCCATCATCCCTAGCTAACAGGACCAGTGGTCAGGGATGATGGGAATTGTAGTCCCAAAACATTTGGAGGGCCGAGTTTGCCTATGCCTGGTCAATGAGATGCTGCAGAAAAACACCCTCAAAAACACTACCAGTCCTATAAACACTCCATATTATTATTA